TTACCTTGTGTAAATTCAAAGTTTTGTTTAAATGCATGTTGTTGAACAATGCTAATTATGATGATATTTTTTCTGCTATATTTACCTGGTAAAAAACGAGCCGATCGGGAATGGATATTACCACGAAACATGAATGAAAATAACGCTTTGGAAAGTGTGCAATAAATAAGGCAGTTTGCCAAGATTTGAATTCCTAAAATTCGGTAGTTTTGTTGTTAAATCCATCTTCAAACAAACAACAAAATCATTTATGAAATCTATTATTAATTAAAGGTTTCCGCTTCCTTTGTTTACACAACGTACGGAATCTATTCAGATAAAACGCAGTCGTTCGAATAATTATAAATGACATTAAAATTAAATTTGGATTATTTAATTTCAATATAAGAATATTAATAACTTTTATGCAGATAATTCTGCGGTCATTATGCGTATTATTAAGTTTTCTAAATCCAATAATTCTTTCAATTACTTTTAATATGACAGTTCAACTGTCAAACTTTAATGACATTGACAGACACATATTTTAGTGTTCCCTGATGTCAAATATTTTACAAAACGCTTCTATGGATAAACGCATCGAAAGTATAAAAATATTTTCACTTTCAACGCATATTTACTCCTCGTGCACGCGTAAAGCAATAACATTTCAATTCAAATCAGTTGTTGTTCAGTAAAAACCGAAAAAAAAACACCATCCCGTCCTTGACGGGTGTCATGCCCTCGCCGATCGCTCTTTGTCCGCTATGTAAAATTAATCGCAAAAGTCCGAACGAGAAAATGCTCGAAACGAGGAACATTTCGTGGAAAAAACAAGAAAAACGCTTAGCGCCCCTCTTTCTAGTTTATTATCTGGATATGCACAGTTACGAGGCAACTTTCCAAGTACGACCGCCATGATGATTACGGTCCGATTTTCAGCGCGCTCCGTCTCGCTCGCTCTCACGCGTTCCGCCCGATCGCCGTCCCGCTCGCGAGGCGTTGCGCATGCCCGCGACGAACGGCGATCGCCGAAACGAGCGTCTTCGATTCGATTCGATATCAGTCTGACGAAGGATCACGCAGCGAGAAGGTGGAAACGAATCCGAGGTACAAGCAGTGTTATTTTGCTATTATTGTTATTCGTTAACGTTGTAATTGTTGTTATTCAGTTTGTTGGCGTCGTTTGTAGTCGCGGTTCGTTCGTGGTGAATGTCGTGTTGGTGTGTAAGATAAGTGTGCTGGTTTTATCTGTCAATGGCGCTGGTGTAACCTACTTCGACATATTTCTCCAGCGGATCGAGTCGGTTGAAAGTGGCGTAAAGATTCGGGATATTGTGCAAAAGTGATCTTAAGTTCGATCCGCGGACGGTTCAGTTCGTTAGAATTCCCGTTTCCATCGGATTTCGTTGTTCGTTCAAGGTGAGTGTGCAAGATGTAGCGTTTCGTTTCGCATTTCACAACGTGTGCCTTGGAAATTTCTCTTTGTGCGCATTATTATATTTTATTTCGGATTGCTCAAAGGTTGCCGTGGCGTGTACGCGTTTGTGTTCCGTGTAAAGCTGATTAATGACAACAGCCCCGCTTCGATGACGTACGTACGTACGGTTCGGCTGCAACGTCGCGACGGTGTGGCGTCACGAAATCGAACGGAAATACCACACGGGCCGGATCGCCAATTACTCATACCTGCACGATCGTGGGGCTCCCACCTCTACCAGTTTGTCGATACCGTTACCGTTCGGAATTCTCTTTTCTCGTATACAAGAAAGTGACCTTGTGCATTCATTCGCCATCGGATGGTGCGATCGTAACACATTTTTTTTTTTTTTTTGATTTCGATTCTTTGTTAATCTAGATCCCTTTGATGGTGCAACATTCGGAATAAAACTGTCTTGCACGAAAATCTAGTGACTCGCGCAAACAATGTTTATCGCTAATTGTCAACTGTCAATTGATTAGTATCTCACTTTTTAGATAAATTAATTTTTAATCTCTAATATCTTTGCCGTGGAATTGTGAAACACTCTGTTTATTCAACAATGGTATTTATTTAATCGTTAGATCTTGTATTGTTTCCATAACTATACTATTGAAGATATATTTGCAATTTTGATTCCTTTAATAAATCCTTCCTAGGATAATATTCATCTCCTACAAATCCTTCAAAGTATTCATTTTGTCTAATATCTCAATTTATCCTTAATTCTTATCTTTATGTTTCCAAACTAATTTGTTTACTAATGGTGCAAGAGGATTCTAGTTTGTCTCCATTGATCGGTTGTGTCTTGGGATTTAAATTAAATTGCCTTATTATCTGGTGTGTGGCTCATCCAAATTCGGTTTTATGGCGAAATTATTGAAATTTGATCGATAACTAGCGGTTTTTCGTAGCTGAAAATTCGCCTGGTCATTAATTCGAATTACCGTGCCAATTTTTTTCAAAGACAATGTAGTATCCGAATTGATGTTTCTCTCGTGATTTTTTTTCTTTCAAAATAACATTTTTTTATTACTTTATTTGTTATACATCGAAAATATACGTATAGTCGAGATAAAACTAGGCAAATTGTATTGTTGATCTCTGCAGATTCTTGTAAACAAAAATATTTTGATTTCTATTTGTGGCGTTTAAACCGAAATCAATTAATGAAATTGTTGTTTTGCTACGGTTAATGTCGGTAATAACAATCAGGTAAATGCGTATTTTTAACTTATCGCAACGTATTCTTTGTTATTATTTTTTAAACAGATCCTATTTTAATTCACTCCGCACTTTTTTTGGGTAAATATTTTCGATTTCGCGACTCTTTAGATAAAGCGAATTAAATTTCTCCCGCGCCACTCGCTCTCGAATCGGCAAAGTTTAAACAACGTTGGAACAGTTCCACGTTTCGTTATTGTGTAACGATTGATTTATCGCCAAAAATCGACTCTGCGCCTGTTTATTTCCTTTTGCTCTAATCGCATGCTTTACAAAACCGATTTGTTTGCGAATTGGACCGTTTTTAGTGCCAAAAAGTATGTATAATAATCTTCGTATTCAAATGTATAGAGTGTGTTGGGTGCTTTATGCACGAAGGGAAACCCAACAAGAGTAGAGAGCGTCACAGTGACTAAATAACAGAAGGGGGTTGAGTATGTTGACCTTTTGCTTTGTAGGGCGTGCAGCTGTGCCTTTGGTATTCCGTTCGCAAAGTGTATCTTGTTCCCCTTTTCGTATTCACTGATGGATTCTTTCTTAACGAAATTGCGCGTACTGTTTAAGCCTTTTAGTGCCTTTTTTTTGGATTTTCAATCGCATTGCGAACATTCCGGTCGATCGTTTGAAATATTAAAGCTGTTTATGCTCTATTCGCATGCTTTGTAGGCGCAGCGGTCGTCCTTCGATCGCCCAGACCTTAATGAATATTGAAATTGTTTGTGCTACGGCGTATTGTTATATTATAATTGCGTGCGTCTATGTAGGTTGCGTCGAGCCAAAAACCGACGAAATTTTTCGTACGAAAATAGCGTTTATTAATAGCGAAGAGTCTCGGGAGTTGATCAGGTGGTCGTTAAATTACGTAACCCATTATTCCGTTTGAGCGCGGTGTATTTTTATAAACTCGGGAATAATTTCCGTTTTCTTTCGCCAACTGTCGAATGCTGCAGGAAGTGTATCGGACCGATTTTTTTGATTGAGATGTGCTATTTTTAAGCGGACGAAAATATAACGGCCCGACAGGATCGGGAACCTGGCGAAATCGGTGTTTTGTTTTCGTTTAAAAGCTGTTTATTTTGAATCGAAACACCCAACGAACTGTTTTTATCCAACACAATAAAACTCCACTGATCGGTACGAATTGGGGATTTCTCACGAGAAATTTTACTATAGCTTTTGTAACGTTTACCCGGCGTCATTCTGCGAATTTTATTGCGTTTTTTTCGAAGCGAACGATGCTCAAGGTTCGCTCGTAATGCAATCATACCGCGATCCGTAGATTAATTAACAATAGCCTATCAATGGTGATCTGCTGACGCTAGAATGGCGAAAATTCTGTCTGAAGATCCGGCGAGTGGACCGAAGGAAAACGAGAAATTGACACTTTTTCTTTCCGTTTCGGCGCCCGTAATAAATTAAAGCGGCGGACGTGATCTCTATTTAACCTCGATTTCGTCATGGCTGTGTCGTAGTTGTGGCATTTATCGATCGAGCGAAGCGTGTAATTGTGTAACGCGTTTGGTGAGAACTTCTCCTGGATAAATCGCCGAAAAAAAGGGAATTCCAGCGCGTGGAAATGTACGATTCTTTTTTCACAAGAAAGTGACTCATTTATCGCGAATAATCGAGTTGATATAGCGGATGTTAGTCATACCGAATGCTTTCGCCCGTCGGTTTTTACCGAACTGTTCGGGAAAAAAAAGTAACAGTAATTATTGTAGAATGGAGCCAGTGTAGTAGGAGCAATGAGAAATGGCACAGTAATTCATAAATCGTTGTTATGCAGATGCTTGCTTTATCTCTGATTGTTCCGTGAGTAATAATCGCATTTCGAGCGTGGATTCGGTACAAAAAAAAACACACGAATTTCTGCCGCTTGTTTTTCTCGACGCATAATTAGACGATGAAAGGCGAAAAATCGAATAGATTCGCAATGAATCGATCGGAAAAATGAGAAGTTTCATACGACGAAGTAAATAGGGCGCGAATACTCATTGCGCGTCACAAAGTAACGAGCAATGAGCAATCCTCCGCATTGTTTAGTAACCTTGGTATAGTTTTTTTTGTCGTTGTAATAGTTGGTACGATCGATTGTCAGCGCTCGAGTCATTCGGTTTTCTCGACGTTTTTGTTAAATATGCTTTTTCAAAATTACGCGAATGTGTCAATTTCTACGTATTTGTCATAAATACGGCTACTAAAAATTGATAAACGGGTCAACGCAAAAGGTGAACGATTCGACGCGCGTATTTTTATACATTATACCACTAATTTATCTATAACGGTAGATTAGTAACGAATTTCGTTTGTGTTCCAGAAACCCCCCTCAGTTAAATGGTGTTCTCCTGACAGGACATACCTGCTTCGGCCTTTCTTAAGGAATCGAAGGAGCAGTCTCTACGTAGCAAACCGTCGCCATCGAAGGCCCGATATCGACAGCGAACCATCCCAGATCGTACCAGAGGAACCATCGCCGGACGCCATGGAGCGCGAATCGAATCCCATGCAGGCCCTGTGCCGGTCCGGGTGCGGTTTCTACGGCAGTCCCGCCACCGACGGGCTGTGTTCCCTCTGCTTTAAAGTACGTTTTTATTATTTGAATTCATTTTTTTTGCTAGTTAATATGATGAAAAACATAATCGCTAGGGGGTGGATTTCGACAATCGATGGTTTATCGCCGCTACGATTGGTAAATCGTAGTTTTCGTTGTTGAGATTTAGTGGCCCGATGTGCGCAAGATTATGAGAGCTGATTAACGATTAAAGTTCGATAAATAAACGCGTTTGTTTGTGTTTAATGAGTTATTAATTGGTGTTTTTTTTTGTAGGAAAATTTGAAAAAGAAGCAACAACTTCCCAGCACGCCGACGAGCCTCAGCGCTTTGAGGGATACAGCCACAGCACAACCTACCATTAGTCATATTACATCATCTATTTCCGATCTTCCTACGGACGTAAGTACTCGAATTGTAGCCCGTGGAGAATGATGAGAAATAATAATTGACCCGACGGCCTTTCCGGAACAATTCCTCACGCCCTGTATATACTATTTATTTACACGCGATGACAAGTCGACAGTGACGCGTCGAAAAAATTCAATCCATATCGGTCCGATGTCGCCGTCGAATAAGGACGCCCGAAATTCGGAAACGACGCCCGACGATAATAACAATAACGAATCGATCGATTCTCGACGCGATGGCGGTAATGATGGGCGAATATAATTTGTATTTTTTTGGTACCAAAAACCGCCGTTACCCAATCTGTAGATATTTAATTTCCAGAAAGGCCGCTGGTCAAATCGAACCGCCCGTTCGGGCAGCCGCGCGACGGCGTCGCCGAATCGCCGCGAAATCGCGCCGAGAAACGCAAGGTAAAACCGAAATTATACTCTGTTCGCTATCGGATTGCATGTATTCAAAGCATAGTAATGTCAGGAAACTCGCGTCCCGTTATTTGAAGCGATAGTTCCTGAAACGACCGTTAGATGGCGATGCTTTGAATCGGTTTTATGGCTACCTCCTGATGGCGAACGGAGTATAATCGTGTACCGCAGAGTTGCCGTTTCTACTTCTTTGTATTCGAAAGAAATAGGAATAACAGAGGAATGAATTTACCTACTCCAGAGAATTACAATTGCGCCTGAACTTTCGCGAATAAATTTTAATCGCTCGCCTTGGATTCTCGCTCCTTTTCTACTACACCCCCTTCGATCATGTGGATAGTAAAGGAGCGAGAGGCGGCAGTGAGCTATAAGTCCGCCTTCCGTTGTACAAATTGCGAGGTAATTAATTGTTTATTTGTTTTTTTTTTGGGGTTGTAACGCAGGTGTCTGAAGAATGTTCGAATACCGCGGGAACGCAGGCGGCGGGAAACGCGACCGCCGCCGAAACGATCGCGGCCGAAGCGGCGGCGGCCGTGTCTAATTCGGAGGGGGACGCCAGCGGCGACGACAAGGACGATAAGGACGTTAAAAAGAAGAAGAATCGATGCGCCACCTGTCGCAAGAAGGTCGGATTAACAGGTAAACGAACGCCGATTTATTTTCACCGAGACATTTATACGAGAGACGTTTCTAAAGTACTCGGAATTGTGTTGTTCAGTCTGAGTTAGAGAGATTTTGTTGCTCGTAGAACTTTGGAAACATCGCTCGTAGATGGCTTGTAGCCGGTTGTTGTTGAATGGTAAAAGGCTGTGTTTAATTTTGGTCCGTTTTCGTTTCTGTTTTGTAGGTTTTGAGTGTCGCTGTGGAGGTTTGTTTTGTGCCATCCATCGATACAGCGATAAGCACGACTGCAGCTTTAATTACCGGGAGATGGGCGCCCAAGAAATTCGACGCAACAACCCCGTTGTGGTAGGCGAGAAGATTCAGAAGATCTGAGCCCCGCCGCAACGTTAAAAACGCAAAAAAAATATATAGAGAAGGGCGTGTGCCATGCGTTCCCCTCCCCCAGTGATCAATAGACGCTTTTTTTGTTCTCTACGGAAAATTTGATTAACTCGGTCGGGACGCGATTAGTGCAAAACACACAAAAACAAAAAAAAAGACTCAAGTGATTTATTATACGGTACTTTTATTTACAATTTTGCCACTCAATTTCGTCTTTTAGTTTTATTTCCATTTAATAAATCTAGATATATCTATATATATTACATGTCATTTTAGCTTCTTTGTTGATTGTATATAAATATTACTGGAGGGATCTGTTGGGATGTTTGGAGAATTGTTGGTTTCGTTTTGGTTGACCCGATCTTGATGAAAAAAGATTAAAGTTTGCTGGAGCACGCAGCGGAGTAGTGTAGATAAATTGCCGGAAAGCAAATAAATTGCTGTTTCTGCGTATGTCTTAATTAAAAAGAAGCAGATTTTATTTGCGAATTGTTCTTTGTTCCTTGTAATGATCGTTTTCGGAGGACTGCGTGCGAATTTATTTTTGTTTTTTTTTAATTTTTCGGTTTATTAAAGCTAAAACTTGTATTGGTCATCAACTAAGAATTTAAAACAAGATATATATATTTATAATTGAAATAGTTCAGCTAGTCCTGTTTTTGAAAAAGCTTATGGATAATTTTTCATAAGTATTTGTTATGAACGAATGAATGACTTATACTTTTGGTATCGATTTTTTTTGTTTGTAGACCTAATGAATTTGTACATAGAGTTTAATAAATTATTTTTTAAAACATTGTAATTGTCTGTTCTTTAACCCGGATTCAGAACTGTATTATTTGAATATTTATCAGAAAATATCCATAGCTTTTATTTTAAATAAACTAATTACGTCTTATGAACTTTAATTTAGGATTATTGTATGTATATTATGATTTAGCGATGTTACTGTGAATGAATTTCAAATAGACAAACAACAATATTGAGTAGGCCTGCGTATTTGCGGTGAAACCGAAACGAAATCATAAAAAAATGGACTTTCCTGGATCCGTACGAATTAACTGGCAGGGCATCAAACAAAGCCGCGCTCCTTTTACAAGCGAATTGTAGGATGTCCTGTACAACAGACTTTATTTATCTTCAGTATAGGGACGTTATAGCGCCCTGTCGGCTTCTGCAATTCTAATCCAATTTTTAATGTAGAAGTTTTGTTTTATTATTGTGTCCCATCCGACCGGGGGATGGTCAAAATGCAGGCGGTTTCGATCAAGTTTTCTTTCATTCTGGGACATCCTGTAATCGAAACCGATTCCGTTCGTTGACTGAGCATTTGACCATCCCCGGACGCGGGGATTGTTTAAAGGAACCAGGTTAAAATTTAGTTTTTTCGAGCAAGTTTATTTTATTGTGCAAATATAGGCAAAGCCTCTTGAGGAGTTGGTATTGCAGGTAAAGCGGGTCGGTGGTAGGTGGAATTTTGAGCTACTGGAAAATTTATCAATCGCAAGTAGTTTACGGAGTTTTTGCATGAAATAACAGACATTGAAGGTTGCTGCTCAATTTTGCTACATTTAGAATAATTCAAGTTTTATTTTTGTATACACTGCTAACGAATCGCCGCACTGGTTAGATGAAAGTCGAAGTAATTAGAAGAGAAATAGATTTGTTTTAGAGGCTATTCGATATTTTCTTTTGGTCGAATATGTGCTGGTCACAATCATTTTTGTAGTGGGCAACAATTTCAATATATTCAATTTAATTTACTTTTGCCCCTAATTATACTAAAGACAATAAAAGTGATTTTACCAATATACCTTGGGAAAACTCTGTAAATTATGCTTTAATTAACGTAATTTTTTAAACCATTTTAATAAACCTGCCGCGCATTTCAAATTCGATTAAATATTGACCGTACTACCGTTGTTTGATGACTATAATAATTATTATTTCACATATCACTGTACCAAATTGTCTTTTTGAATGACGAGTTTAATAAAATGTTGTATTTTTGAATTTCATACTGTTTTTTTACCGATAACATAAACACCTAAAAATAATCCAGGAAGAGCGTGCGTGATCTCTTTTTTGTTGCATCAAAATTCATTAAAATCATGTTTTTTATTTTGATCCGGCAACGTTGCTTTGTAAATAGTACAAAATTATGGTCTCTTACAAACACTGCAAACAGTCACGAATATTTTGATTTCTTCTTTTACGTAAAAGTGACAGCTGATCCAAATAACTACTTTGACATTTTCAATTTTGTAGTGACATCGAAATGTCAGTCAAATGAACTACTTGATAAAATCATAACCTATTATTTAATAATTTATTAATTATTTATTGTTAAATATCCAAAATGATAATACTTACAAATTTATTAATCCTCTTAGCAACTTTACAAAGCGCAGTGACCCTCAGAACTTATACCAAAGATGATTTAAATAAATTAAGGTTAGCCATAACAAAATTTCTTATCTGAATTGAAAAATACCTTTTATACAATTTACAGAGACGAAGTAAAAGAAATGTTTTATCACGCCTACGATAGCTACTTAAAATTCGCCTATCCCTACGACGAATTGCGCCCCATCAGCTGCGATGGGGTAGACACTTACGGGAGGTAAGTTTCCCAATATTTCAAAGTACCTTCTAGACAATTCTCTTGCAGTTATTCCCTAACTCTAATAGACGCCCTGGACACTCTAGCAATAATGGGCAACTACTCCGAATTCCAAAGAGTCGTCGATATTTTATCCAAAAAACACGACTTCGATGCAAACATAAACGTATCCGTGTTCGAGACTAACATTCGAATTATCGGAGGACTTTTAAGCGCTCATCTATTATCTCACAGGTAACTTATAAATACTCCAAGCCTATAAAATGTATTTATTATGCTGCATTAGAGCTCAGGCGAGGTTAGAACCGGGCTGGCCTTGTAACGGGCCCCTCTTACGTCTAGCCGAAGACGTCGCGAAGAGACTCATAGTGGCATTCGACACCAAAACCGGCATGCCTTATGGAACAGTAAATTTACGCAGCGGCGTCCCCAAAGGCGAAACCACCGTCACTTGCACCGCTGGCATCGGAACCTTCATCATCGAATTCGGTACATTGAGTCGATTAACCGGAGACCCTATATACGAAGAGGCAAGTCTTACAAACATCCCACTACTCCATCATGTATATTAATGCGTTTAGGTTGCTTTAAACGCGCTCTACTCGCTGTACAACCACAAATCCCAACTGGGCCTGTTCGGCAACCACATCGACACCGAAACAGGCAGATGGACAGCGCAAGACGCCGGCATCGGGTCCGGAGTGGACTCCTACTTCGAGTACCTAGTCAAAGGTTCGATACTCCTCCAACGGCCGGAACTAATGGAGATGTTCTACCAGGCCAAAAAGTCCATCGACAAGCACTTGAAGAAGGACGATTGGTACATGTGGGTGTCGATGACCAAAGGGCAGGTCACGCTGCCGGTGTTCCAATCGCTGGAGGCCTTCTGGCCGGGCCTGTTGAGCCTGATCGGCGAAACGAACAGCGCGATGCGCACGCTGCACAACTACCATCAGGTGTGGCAACAGTACGGCTTCACTCCGGAGTTCTACTACATACCCCAAACCGAGTCGGGCAGCAACAAGGAGAGCTACCCGTTGAGGCCCGAATTGATCGAGTCCATAATGTACTTGTACAGATCGACGGGCGATCCGTTTCTACTCCAAGCCGGCGAAGATATCCTCAGGAGCATCCAGCACAGCGCTAAAACGCCTTGCGGTTACGCCACGGTAATTAGCAATGATAAATATCAATACGTTTCTAATGCGATGTTTTAGATAAAAGACGTTAGAGACCACAAAAAGGAGGATCGAATGGAGTCGTTTTTCCTATCCGAAACCACCAAATACCTCTACTTGCTGTTCGATACCGATAACTTCATCCACAATCAAGGCGCCGAAGGCACCGTAATAAACTCGCCCAACGGTGAATGCATTATAGACGCCGGTGGTTATATTTTCAACACCGAAGCCCACCCGATCGATCCAGCCGCTTTACACTGTTGCCACACCTCGGCCAACGAAGACCTCTTCGATTTCGATCAATTAGAAAAAAACAAAGCCCTGTTCAAAGGGGAGACGGTTAGAGAACGGAAGAGCCAATCGTTGCCGTTCGATAGCGAACAAATTCCGGACGTTTCCGACGAGGAAATCCAAATCACCACCGAATCGACGACCGGCTACGTTAAACTAGAAGACAACGATAACGTCAGTCAGAAGATCACGAACGCCGGGGACGAGTACCAGGAGAGCGTCGCGACGGAGAACGCCGACAGGGCGTCGTTTGCGAAGATAATAGATCAGGTGATATCGAAGGAGAGCCGGAAGTTCGATCCGCAGGACATGCTCGAGCGGTTCAGGAGCGAGAACAAGTATCCGAGGAACGCGAGCTGGGAGAGCAACTACAAGTTGTTGTCGTGTAAGGGACAGCCTTTCTTACAAAGAATGTCTATCATGGGTGAATTTTTTAATAAATAAGGTGAGAGTTTTAAATTATTTAACATAGCTTTTTTCGTTTTCTATAAAATGCGTTACTTTTCTTGCAATGTCTTGGTATGTTTTACTCAAGTCGCTCGAAGTGTCAGTGACAGTCACCGGAGTTCCTTCGTCGGTACTTTTGGATATAACGGGGTGTAACGGAAAGGTTCCTAGTAAGTTACATTGGAGCTCTTCAGCCAATTTTTCAGTACCCTTTCCATATACATTAATTTTTGTAGAGCACGACGGGCAATCAATATACGCCATATTTTCTACTAAACCAATAATAGGTATTTTGACGATACTGAAAATACCAGCACCTTTTTTAGTTACTTCCAGTGCCGCTGATTGAGGTGTAGTGACTAGAATAACACCTAAAAAAGCAAATATTTACTCTCTATTTTCCAATTACGATACTATTACCATTAATGGGTATGTTTTGAATCAAACTTAACAATGTATCTCCAGTTCCAGGCGGCGTGTCTACAATTAAATAGTCTATGCTACCCCAAGAAACGTGTCTAATGAGCGTCTCCATGCCTTGCATCACTCGTAGACCTCTCCAAATAATCGGGGCATCTTTTTCTACAAGAAATCCAGCAGACATGCTAATTTCGTTTTATAGCGGTGTGTTTTGTTTATAATAATGCCGACCTAGTTTCATAAAAGTACAAGCATGAAACTAGGCCTAATATTTCATACCATTTAACTCCGTAATTCAACAGAGGTGCCAATTTCTTATCATCAGTAACGTAAGGTTTCGATCGAAGATTCATCATTAGCGGTATGGAGGGACCGAAACAATCTGTGTCGAGTAAACCGATTTCTTTATTCGGATTTGCTAATTTTAATGCAGTTGCTAAATTAACTGAAACATGTCCGTTTGAAGAGAAAACTCGATACTTTTGCACGTAACTCACCTGAGACTGTGCTTTTACCAACGCCGCCTTTGCCCGAACATATTAGAATGATGTTCTTAACTCCTTCTATTGGTTTTTGTTTAGGTAGGCCCCTTTTCATCAACTCTTCTCTTCTTTGGTGCAAATCGACCTTTGGTTTGTCCGTTGATGAATAGTTTATATACTACAATAAAAGTATTAAAATAGAGTAAGTTACGGAAAATTTAAATATATTACCTGTGTTATGCATTTTGTATTAAATATTCGATTATTTCTAACGTTTCTAATCATGTTTATTTACAAGTTGCAAATAAGTGAGGTTAAGTTATCTGTCAATCTTCTTTTTATTTTAGAAGTGTTTATTTGACATTTTGTAGATAATTTAAATTTAAAGAAAACAGAAGATCGAGTTGATGTTGTTGACTTTGACGTTGTATGTCATAATTGTCAAAATCAATGGAAAATTCGTAAATAATGATGTGAATTTTATTTAAAACAATTTTGAATACAGCAACGAAATTAGCCAGCTACCGCTATTTAGCTAGTAGAAAAATAATGTGATTCTTGCAGCAGTCAGAAGTCCCATCGGTTTGAATGAGAAGCATGGGATACAAAGCAGCTGTGCAAGTTTTGAAGTGCGTAAATATTTTGCAATGTTTCGAAACCTATTCATCCTCGTCTCGATTTTTCTCAGGCAAGCGGACGATTTGAAGATAAAGGTATCGAGGAAATGCGATTGGCTGAACAACGCCGAAGCATGGACGGACCAGCAAAAATTGCAGACCATCTACCACCAAGTCCTGGTGCTGGATTTAGAGTACGCTCTGGACAAGAAAGTCGAACAGGACCTCTGGAATATCGGCTTCAAGAACCACATATCCGCCTTACAGGAGCAAGCTAGAGATAAAAAGGTTCGTACAAGCATGCTCTCGAATCGCTTGAATTAATTCGTTATCGTAGAACCCCCATCGTTCCGATTGCCAAGCGCTGTTAACATGGGCCCTGGAATCAGCGTCTGGGTTTTACATATCCCTACTGCAGGAACTGTGCAATACATTCGATGTGGATTTGCCGTTTCGTCGTAGAGGCAACATTTTCGGCCAGACAGTTCCCAACTCAGAAATCAACTGCCTACCGCAGACCTCCTCCTGCCAATACGTGTGCCAGTATTGCCTAGTCCATTTGGGCGACATCGCGAGATACAGGAATCAAAGGAAACAAGCTGAGAGTTTCTACAAGTATGTATTTCGAATACTTTAGTAGCTTTGAAACTAATTTAGAATTTACAGGCAAGCTATTATGGTGTCCCCGACGAGCGGACATCCCTACAACCAATTGGCTCTGCTGGAAGCCAGCCAAGGGAATAAACTTTCCACTGTTTTTTACTACATCAGAGGCATCGCTGTGAAGAATCCTTTTCCCGCTTCCGCTACTAACCTAGCTTGTACTTTGAGTTCGGCCATCGACAAGGATAGGTAAGTCTTACACCTAGTTAACGACACGTTTTAGATGTAATTGTTTTAGTCCTTCTGAGAAGATCCAAACGAAAATGACGGTAAACGAATTCATCCAGCTGTTCCTTTGCACTCACGGGTATTTCCACGCGGCGTGCGATTTGAGACAAGCCGAGCTATCGGTGAAGAGCTTGAATTCCGTCATGACCGCCTTGGTGGCCACGCAGAGTTTCACGAGAGACATGCTGATCAAAATTACTACCATTAATTTGTACGCGTTAAATCACATCGGATCGGATAGTGTGAACAATATCCACGAATTGACCGATGAGGAGAGGAAGGCGAGAGAGCTCGTGCTGGAGTTGATAGCGGGCTCTTTGTGCGCCTTTTTGGTACCCGTACATACGCTCAAAATGGACGAGAGTCTGATGGATTATTACGCTTTACCAGCAGGTACTGGATGGCTCGTCGTTTGTTCGAATTGGTGTTAATATGATGTATTTTTTAGTTAAACTTCTGTTGTATTTCATTCAAAACGATTATAATGTTTTGAAAGAGAAAGTTTTTACCAGTCGATTGCAAATTTGGCCGAGTTTGGTGAAATTGCTGAATAACGTACAGCAGTACGTTAAAAGCTTCAATTTTAATAAATGTAAGTACTATAACATATTAGTGTTAGAAAGGGATGTTTAATATTACATTTCCATTGCAGATTCTAAAGTGCCATTACCGGAAGATAAATTCCTCGAAGGGTTCTCGCCGTTGTGCAAGAATTTCAAAGATTTCGATTTTAAAAGCGACATCGACGACAAGAATATCGAAAGACTGGTTAGAATGAAGCGCATCGTTAAATTGAGCCTGTGGTTGACTGATTTAGATGTTAATGGAAATAAATTGATATTGAGGTAAGCTCTACACCATTGTATATTATACATCGATACACGGTATGTGTTTCAGGAATGAAGTAAACGGCGATGTGGTCTTCGAGCCTGTTTGTATCCAGCCAGATCCTACGAACGATTTGTTAGAGGAAATGAAATCGTTTAGTGTAAGCGATGGTGTTGAAAACATCGCGAAGAAAAGTAAATGAATAACTCATTAAATCTCAAAGTTTATTAAGAATACAAAATGTTTGTAGGTATAGAGAAGAAGGCCGGCATTCTCAAACCCCAAGGCTCTTTGGAGAAATCGAGAGAGGAGCGCGAACTGTTGACAAACACAACAATCGAAGGTCCTGTAATCGGAAATTTCAATTCGTCCTCCATTAAAGTGGATAATTCGAAGAATAAACGGAGCAAACAGAACGTCGCCTTGCAATCTATTATTAAAAAAATGGAGGAGAGCAGCAAACAAGTACGTTAAGTTACCACGAATTTTCGATAAATCTAGGTGTTATTTTTTATTAGGTGAAATTCATAATGGACGATTCCGATGAGAAATTAGTCAAATTCGATTCGATGCCAGCACAACCGAATCAAACGCACTTTAATCAAAAACCGAATTACAACCAAAATCTCTCGTCGTTCATCGTCCCGCCGCCGTCCCAGCCCGACTATCTATCGACGCTCAGAAATATGCCCAGCATGCAGATGAACGACACCAACTACCAGTACCAGAAGAAGGACATGCCCAATATGGGCGTGCAGATCGCGCCGCCCTACCAGAGCCTGACCAACAAGCCGGCGTCCATGAACCCGAAGGCCCCGTTGCCCTATCAGAACTCCTTTCCGCCGGCGCCCTACCAGAACGTCTCCTTTCCCTCGTCGCATCCCTTCAACACGTGGAAACGGGACGAAATGGCGCCGATGCCGAACCACAATTGGTGGCAGAACAACCAGCAGGGCCAGCAGAACTTCAGATCGGACTATCCTTTGAACTACAATCCGCGGTATTCCAATAGCGTGTCGTCGAATTACGCACAACCGGGTAATTTACGACAATTGTACTCGTAGAAAGGTGATAGATTTGATGTATTTTTGTTGTTGTTGTTGTAGGCGTGAATAACAAACCTTCGAACCAGACGAATAATAGCGAGATGTACAGTTCCCCTTGGAATAGCTACTTGGGCAACTTCATGAACGATACTAATAACATAGGTTACGAAAATACTAATCAAGGTATGTCCGTTAGACAAGCAATGCTTAAAGAAGCGAATTTACCGGGAACACCAGTAGGACCTCCGGGCGGTAACCTACGATTGCCCAACATCAACCAGGTAAATGAACGCAGTATCGGAATACTATGATACTATTTTTTAATGGTGTTGAATTGTATTGTAGCCTCCTCCGGTGCAAGAGCACAGCTTCGTCCAGAGCCAGAACAACGCGCCGGGCTATTCGTTGTTCAACAACAGCTGGACGCCGAATTTGCCGGGCCAGTTGAGGAACAGCAAGCCGTTGGACAGCAGCCTGGCGCACCTGCCGCAGCAGTCGTTGTTCAGCGGACAGGGGCCCAAGTCGCTGGCGCAGCTGCTCGAGCAGCAGAGCCAATTGCCGAAGAACGATTTGTAAGGACCGACAGCGACAATATTTCCTATGAGAATAAAACGAGAGCAATAACGCCTAGACCAAATTTCGTATGCCGCTCGCGGGCGGGTGTAGGTTTTTTTTTGGATTTTTTTTTTATAGTCGAACGGTTCCTAATCGAAAGGGCGATTAGAAGATGCGAATTATGATATTTGATTACCGAGTAGAGTGCACGTTCGTGATTGATTGTTCAAAATATCCGAAGTTACTTAGGGTAGTTTTTAACACATTGCACAACAATCGATTAAACATTTCATCTCCATTATGTCCTAAAGTTGCTTATTATTTTAATAGCTCTTATTAGAAAATACTAAAATTATGTAGTACATTATAAATTGTGTATTTTTGGTTCGAATAAAAAAGGTATAGGATAGTTTGAGACACAGAGCTTAGTTTAAACTAAATTAATTAATTTGGTTGGATTTTTATTTTGTACTTATTCGTATTTATACTTAAACGCATTGTTAAACATTTTCTTTCAATAAAAAAAATCTGTTGTACTTTTGCGAGCGCATTCGTGAACTCGACAAAAGTTGTTATGGTTAACGAAAATAGAATGTTCTGTTTATTTCTTATGCGAGCCATTTGCTTACCTCAAATTTAATAATAACTTTGATTTTACTTTAATTTCTATATAGCTGTATTTTAATTGAATCAAAGTTATTTTTTATAGGCAATTATGAAGTTTACATTGTTGTGGTTAGTAATTTTAAATATACATTTTGATTATGGTAAGTTGAGATAATTTGTATCACAACATGTTACGATATAAATCCACTTTTTACATACAATTTCCACGTAAAATTAAGTTCTAGGAGAGGTGGAATGTTACAAATGCATCGACAAATTCGACGGTGGTTGTTATTATGGAAACGAGGAGTACATGACACGTTCTAACTGTTCTGAGGAAGAAGTGTGTATTGTTCACATTACCGAAAGTAAGTTTGTATATTAAATTATAATTAAAACGGTACATAAAAGAAAATAATTTACCAGTTACGCAACGATCACATTCGTACAAATTGACGAAGCGAGGATGTTTCACGCCGGATTTTTGCGATAACTTAAAGACGGTCAAAAAGGTAAAGACAAATAGCAAAACTGTTCATTGCAAAACTTGCAATACGACTCTATGTAACGATTCCGCGATGAGAATCGCTCCATTATATTTCATTTGTATCCTGCTTAATGTAATATTTATTTAAAAATAATGTCCAATATGCAATCATTGTATAATTTATGTTATGAATAAAATATTAGCGAATATCTATCAATTGTGAATTATTTTTTTGCCTTAGAAAGTTTATAACGAACAATCTTATATAAAAATACTTATCCTCCTTATCTAATTCTTTGATATTAACGAAATCACAGCCATATTTTGTCCAATATTTACAAAATGAATCGCCTATTTTACCAATAAGGGTATCGTAGAAACTTTTATCGAACAAATCCGAAAATCTACTTTGTATAATATAAACAATTTCAAACAAAACGCTTTCGTTATTTCCAATAAAAGAAAAATACGATTCGCTCGATATTAAATTCCTTACTATACCGAACACCATAAAATGAACGTGATAATCTTTAATAACCTTCAAAATTCCCAGCAAAACTTCCAACAATTTTTTAACCAACAAACTATTACCTTTCTCCCCTTTCAACATATTCGCAACATCCGCGTAAATTTGCGCCAAAAACGAAGTATTTTCGCACACAACTTTAACCCCCAAAGGTATACCACAAACGGCTTTAACCACCTCCAAAATCAACAACTTACCATCAGCATCGCAAACCTCGCTACAATACAATTCGGAAAACAACTTAAAAGCCATCGACCTCATAAAATCCGAGAAATCCTTCTCCGTTCTCAAACCGTCTCTCAACAACTCCAACGTGAACGTCCTGTGCTCTTTATAATTCACCTCCGAGCTGTGGAGGAACGTATACAATTCCGGCACCGTGCTGAAATCCAACGAAGCCTTCGCTGCCAGATGTTGAGACAACGGCAAATACATAACGTGATTGGGCTGCGTGAGGATCAGCGCCATCCTGGCCAGGTAAATCGCCGCGAAATTGTTCAATTTGAAATCCGGTAACGCGGCCGTACCTAAAAAAACGAGAATGTACAGTTCGCGCCCGATTGATAGGCAACCCATTACACTCGATTACCTTTACAAACGGCTTCGACGTAGCGGATCCACAACAGGTTATCCTTCCCAGTTTGCCTGGCTTCGACGTGATAGTGAAACCTGGCCAGTACGTGGCAAGCGGCCCTTCGAACTTCCTCGTCTGCACTGCTCAATCCTATCACGGTTAGACTCAGAGCACCTACAACAACGAAACCAACGATAATACAAAATTACTATACAATCATCTGCGATTATCGTACCGGATCTGGTGAATTTGTAGGTAAGCACCTGCTGTTCGGGAGCCAACAACTGGCTGAACAGCGGCAACAGAAACAACAAATCGTAACTTTTCGCCTCCGGCACGTCGAGAAGATCTCTCTCGTCGGGCCTCAGGCGATCGCTGAAAGGATAGCGAGTTATGGTGGAACAAACCAGATCCTCTTGGAGTATATCGAGAACGTCTCCGGTCTTCGGTTGCCTCAGCAGGGCGTTCTCGATGCGATTCTTCACGGAATACTGCGTGGCGGCCGACTTTCCCCACAAAAACGGCTTGAAATCGTAGAAATGCGTCCGATCCGGCGCCGATTCGAACCTAAAATCATCCATTATAAACCACCATCACAAGAGTTTACACGCTATACTCACATCTTGAGCAGTAACAGTATAATCCTGTCGCATTTGTTCACTCTCGCGGTGTAGCTAGCCAGCAGGAGCGGCACGAAGTTCCTCTCCATGAATTCCGGCCAATTTTTACAGATTATTAAATACAATTCTAACAATTCCGCTTTGGTGTCGCCGTGCTCGCCCAGCATCACGTCCAGGAACTCCGAATGGGAGGTGAGCATGTCCAAAATCAGCCGGGCTTCTTCATTATCCAAGCTCTCCCGGAGGATTTCCAGCACCGTTTTCAGGGATTTGAGGAACGCGGGGCGCGAGGACACTCCGTATTTCAAGCAGAATTTCACGTACAACTTCACCGATTCGTTCTTCGCGACGGCTTTTAAATCTCTACCGATCGCGATCGGTTTGAGGGCGTCGAAAACTTGCGTAATTTGCGATGCAATTTCCTCGGCTTTCGCCAAATCCGCGTCGGTTTTCTTGAACAAGTGTAGTTGCAAGTGCACGAAAGTCAGTAGGATGCTGTTGATTTCCTTATCGGTAGTTGATTCGCTGAGGGATTTCGAACAAAGGGCTTTCAACAGATGCACGTGGTAGATCTCCGAAGCGTCGAACTTTTGCACTTTCTCCCAAAAGCTTTTGCAAGCTTCGACGGGAGCGGCGACGCGGATTAATTCCACCAAGCCGTCGTAGTGCTGGTGGAAATGCTGGCCGGCTTTTTGCGGTTTCTGCAGGGTTTTCTTCAGAGAGGTTTCTACTAAATTGTAAGTTCGTTTGTAGAAATCCTCCTCTATTTGTTCCTTGCTCAGCACGCTTAGTATCGGTAGAAGTAGAGCTTTCTTCTCGCTTATCTTCTCCAAGTTTCTCCTCACGCTTTCCATGTGAGCGGAGCAATTCGTTTTCAAAATGTAAGTGATTAGTTTTATATTGTCTTTAGGGGAGTCTTCGATTTGTAGGAGCGTTTCGAATAGATCGGAGTTGATGAAGTTTAGTGTGTGAGGGAAAACTTCGAGGTACTCTAGGAATGTTGAAGATAAAGCGCTGGTTAATTGTGGTTGATGTTTGGCTAAAATGGCGAAGTAATCGGTTAGTTTCGTGGCGGTTTCTTCGTTTATAGGCTCCAAATTTGCATTCGAAAGGCACTTTTGAGTGAACTGTTGGAGGCTGTAAGATAATATTTCTACAATTACCTCGTGGTTCGAGTATTTATCGAAATATCTACCGATAGTTTCGAGTATAATCGAGCACTCTTCGTAACCCAACGAGTAAATGTGCATCAGAGTTTTTATATCCGGCGGATTTTCCTCGAATTTCTGCGGTTTCTTCAGTATCTTCAATATAGAGTGCAGCAATTTCTCCCTGTAAACGTTCAAATAGAGATCCAAATCGCGATTCGAAGCAGCCAAATCCTTCGTAACGTTCACCATTAACTTCGTGCAATTGGATTGGTTTAGATGCAAAAATTTCGTGTTTCGCGCCAGCACGGGATGGCACAAAATCCTCTCTACTACATCCTTATCGTTATTTGGCAACAATTTGATGAAATTCTCGCATTTATCGGCCACATCGCTCGACAAACAGTCGTTGTTGATCAAATTAACAACGTAAAACAACACCATGTCTAACAAATTGAGCTTTAAATCCGAGTAAAAATCGATATCTGCGGTTTTAGCGTATTTTTCTACATCTCCCGATAGGAATTCCTCGCTGCATTCGCGCAAAACGGCGATTCTACCTTTGGATTTCGGCAAACTTGGCGTTTTTTCACCGCTCAACCAGCAATTACAATACTCTTTCAACGCTTCTGGTACATCCGCTTCGTTTATTAGAGCCGCTATCGGCTCGAAATTCGTTTGCGAGTGCAACAAATTCGCGAAGATAAAGCTCGAATAGGCCTTCAAAGACTTAGTAGGATTCGCTCGCTTCAAATACTCCACGTAACCGAGCACCACGGGGCTCAAATATTTATGCCCGACGGGATACTTTTGAATTTCTTTCGCAGTAACACCGGTTTGGTTCATTAGATTCCTTATAGTTTCGCTGTAGTGCTTCTCTCTGTTAGTCTCCGTTTGAATCGCGGATAACTTTTCCAGTAATCCAAGCACATCGTTATCAGTTAATTGGAAAGTCTCTACGATGGCTCGGGCGAGTTCTTGATCCCAATTTTTCGCGTCCAATACTCCGTTTATCCATACGTTGATTTCGTGCGGGCAACCGTCGAACAAACCGGTGTTTTTGAGGAGTTTGTTCAACACCCTCAGAGTGTTCGAATCGCCTTTGGGGTTGTGGTAGTAGATTTTCAACAACAGCGGTACGACCGACGAGAACATGTTGGATTTCACGAGGAACTTCGACGGATCCAAGTCGACGAACAGATCGATTATTTTGACTTGGAGGTTCGATAGAGATTCGTCGAAGCCTTCGGTTTTGTTGTATTCCAATAGGTTGCAGAGTTCCGAGTCGTTGTTGCTCAGATCGTTCAAAAGTTCCGGGGATATCGTTTTGTACAGATTGAACGTATCGATGATTATTTCCAAATTTCTTAAATCGGTGAACGGGGAATTTTCGTCCAGTTGGTCCCAATTATTCAGGAAGGTCAAGGCGTCGGGGAAATTCTTCGAAACGTGCTTGTTGATTAGAAATTCGAATTTTGCTTGTTTCTCTTCGGATAAAAATTCCCTAGAAGCTACCAAGTAGTTACGAACGGACTTTAACATTTCTAACAGCAGCCAATTCACGTATTGTTTAATCGACGAACAATCGTATACGAGTTTCTCCGGAATTATAGTCTTCAGTATCGGTAGAGGCAAAACCAGGCATTGTACGATTTGAAATAGCTACAAATACAACAACTAGAATCATTCGTTTACTATATTATTATGGACACTTACTTGTATTTCGTTCAGTTCTTTGATGCAAAATTCGATGCAATTCGGATGCAGTTCGTTCAAAAGATTCACGGAAAATTTCACAGCAGCGATCCATTTAGGAGACATTCTAGGTTCAAGTGAAGACTTTAAGTTTCCCCAAACGTTTTTGGCCAAGTCTGGACAAGCTCCGCATATTTTCGTCACGAGTTCCGAAGCGTACGAGTGCTCCCAAGGCCTAAAAATACATACTTAAGGTACTTGCGTGATTAAAAAAAATTAAATATTAACCTTTCTAAGCCTTCTAATACAGTGTACATCAAAGCGTTCTGATTTTTCTTCCCTAAACCGACCGAATGATCTCTAAATATTATACCGTGCTTGTGGCTCGTGCATAATTTCAATAAGAAATCGTGTAATGCTTCGTTTACTTTCGCTTTTTCTACGTTATCGGGCTTTACAAGAGTTGCACGGTTATTTTTCTTCGTAGCCTTAAAACCAGCGGGCCCTGTCCAATTGTAGAGATTAACGACATCTTTAATCACGACTGTATTGAATGTTTTCATTTTCGCCGTTTTGGAAACGTAGGGGTTCTCCAAAATGAACGTTTTCATGGCCGATACGACCAGACAAAGGGTATCCACAGAGTCGTACTTCAAGCCCTGAATTATGCTGGTTATGAAACCCTTCTTTTCCAATAAAGTGGACAAAGCTGGGTAATGCCCATCCACTAAATACGCTGTTAAAAATTTAATGAAATTGTCTCGCACGGAGTTCTTTTCTCCGGTGTGTTTCGTTAGTAATTCGATGTTAGCGGTGTGGAAACTGACGTTGATTAGAATGTCTTTGGCTAGGACTGGGGAGAATGCCACCATGGACGTGAGGAGTTTCAGGCACGATTTCCGTTCCGGAGTGGTCGAGCTCATGTTCAGCATCTTGTTGATGACTGTTATGTAGTTGTTTAGCAGGTAACGGCATGATTCGTACGCGGAGCTGCGGTATTGGGGATAAGAGGAGCTGATTTTCAGTAGAATTAACGATATTACGTCGAATATTGCTACGGGGGAGATCGTCGAGTTTTGCTCTAAAATTTGCAGTAATTCCAAGCAATTCCCTCCGGCTTCTAAGTAGTCCAATACGTAATCGTGCTTGTTGTCGTTGTTAATAGCCTCCGAAAATTGTTGTAATGCTATAAAAATGTATGTATAATAAAGAATATAATTTTATTAATGATTATACAAACCATTTGAAACGTTGGAAGTCGCTAATTGTTTGCGAAATTCTTTCGCGGAAAACTTTCTCGCCTTTTTGGTAGGCTTGATGTTTTCAATTTCATTCGAATCGGCGGAATTATTATTCATTTTTATTCAAGTTTCACCAATAACATTATTTAAAAACTCAACCAAACTTTCGAGCACGTTTTTGTATTTGACTTGCTGCGTCATTCTTGTCAGATGTCTACTTCGTTTTGATCTCTTACTATTCCGGAGTTTAGCCACTATCGTACTTATAGTTAGGCAACCAATTTTACAATTTTAATGAAATGTTCGAAAACTAAGATTCTTTTTACGTAAAACAATAATTGAAGAAGAAAAACACTTTAATTGCTTCTATTCATAAATATTTATATATATTTAATCAATAATATCTTCCATTTCAACATCGTCTAAAACAAGATCATCCAACATTTCAGCTAAAGTTATCTGCGGCAAATTTTCGTTCTGTTCATCGAAAGAGTCGACTGGTATTTGCTTAGTTTTGTCTTTAAATATATTAATATTTTGCCGCAAATCCGGATCTTCTTCCAAATCGTCCAAAAATTCGTTGAAATCGCTACAAATGAACATTTATAAACTATGTTAAAAAGAACTATACAAAACTGGACTTACTTTGCATCAGGGTCGAAGGCAGTGTCCCCTTCAGCAAGTCTCTTAAGCTTCCAAATCCTTTGCCTCCTCCTAAACGACTTATCACCGTAATGTTTCTTCACTAATATAACATCCGGTACAATTGACTTGTCGAGTTTATCGAAATTAGCATCATTGACATTCGAATCTTCCAAATTGTAGCTAAAAATTTCCCAAATATTACCAAGTCACTAGTCAAATCACTCGAACATACCCAAGTACAGAATCACCAGGTTTTAATACATGCCCTAAATGCGTCCTAGTGTGAATCGTAGCATCGTTCAAACCTATTTCAGACGCTTTCGTTACCCATATATCCGCGAGAACGTGACGATACGAAATAGCCCCCTGTCCGGGGAAATATTTCCGATCTTTATCCATTATCGGTTCGATATCCATTACAATATACTCCACTAATTGCTTGGGATTGCAAATGGCACTGAACGGATTACGCCAATACACTGTAGAACTCACTTCGGCAACTACAACATGCATTATTTAAAATTGTGTTAATTACAATCTAAAGACTCATTTACTTTGGGCCGTAGTGGGATCGATCAAATGTATCGAACTGGTCACTCTGTAAATCAAGCACAAAGGCGAAATTCCTCCCAATTGCTGAGTCATTTTCTTCGACAAACATATCACGCTGTCTTTAGACACTGGAACGATATCCACTGAATAGGTGAATTTATAGTTGTACACGTTACTGTGTATATCGTGGGAAATCAGCTTCTTGGAATGTTGATGTTTGCAAGGAAGCACAGAAGATAAGAAATCTATCATTTTCCTGGCGTGACCTTCGGTAGCGTAAAAGAAATCGAGTCCACCTACAAAAAAATATATATTAAGAATCTATCAATTGTATTTTATCGATTATTCGAGTACCTACCATGAATAGGTTTAATTCCTAACGTGTTTGCGTGCGCCTTGTGCTTCAAAATGAGCTGCTCCAAGTAGTAGAAAGTTTTCTTATTCTCGGCCTTCTGCCTAACTTGCACGGTAGCCCTCCAGAAATTCTGCGCCTCGGATCGATGGCAGTCGTCGCACATCTGATGCGCCACGGTGTACTCCACGACGAACACCTGCTGCAATATGGCCCCGCCCGACACCTCTCCTTGCACCGTCAGCTTCACCTTGATCCTCTTCGAGTGGGGCTCCGTCCACAGGAAGGAGGCGTCGACGAGCTTGACGCGGTTCAGCCCTTTCAGTTTCTTCAGGCACAACGACAGCAATTCGCGCGACTCCAAGGCGCACTGCACCCACTCGCCGGGCGGCTGGAAGTACCGCTCGCAGCCCCTGCAAAAGTGCAGGGTCGCCTGCTTCGGAATGCCTTCCGTTATGTCGATGCGAGACCGCAGGCAGCCCACGCACATGTTCGCCGGGTTCGGCTCGATGGCCACGCCGCATTCGCAACACAAACTGTGCAATTTTGTTGGGATTAAATGGGGTTTAGGGTTTTATTTTGTGGTACTTACATGTGCGCCTTTGGTGGTTCGTTTGATGCTATGCATTCCATTGTTTGTTTAATAGGTGTATTTGTTGTGGGTTATTTGGTGATATTTTCTGTTTTGTAAGTAAATTCAATCAGGAATTGTTTGATAAAATAACACGAAACTCATGTCAAACTAAAATTAACCTGAAAATGAAACGTGTTATTTGACAGTTGTGGCCTCTTATTTGGTGGAATTATAGCGACTTTTATTTTAACTATTTTGATTAGTACATAAATTATTTGTAATTAAATCAACAATGCTAAATTTATTAGAATGTGTTATTATTGTTGTTGATTATATTTATAACAATATTAAATATATGAATCGCCACAAACCACATCAAAAAAAGACCACATTTTAACAAAATGTCATTTGTCAAAATACAAAAAACCGTTGAGTAATAAAATTTGAAAACTTTACAATTTGTTGGAAAAGTACTTACAATAAGCAGTAAAAGAAAATGTTCACCGTCACAAGAAGAAAAAAATTAATACCAAGGAGCCGTCGCGACAACAAATCGGAATACATATTCCACGAAAACGACTACAGAACCCCGATAAAAAGCTCAACGTCCAGAAAACGCCCTCACGGATCCCCTCCGAAGCCCAGCGTCCCGAAAAGCGACTCGCCTACCAGAAAACGGGCCAAAGTCGAAATCAAACACCAATACGAAATCCGCCCGAATCGCACCCGAATGGCAGTGGTGCACTTCAACCACCCCGAGATGCGGATCACCGGCACCGAAGCGGAGATCATCAAGGAGAAGATCACCAGGAGACTGGAGACCTCCATCGTGCCCTGGGCGCAGCTGCTGGAGGTGGCCGACATGAAGTTCGAGCACGGGCTGCTGTGGGTGTCGCTGGGCAACCACAAGACCGTCAGCTGGTTTTGGGAGACCGTGCACTCGTTCAAGATGGACGGGGTGCAGCTGCGCGTGGTGGAGGAGAGGTTCGTGCCCATCGACATGGTCGTTTCGGTTTCCGTGCCCGGGATGGGCAAGGACGACGAAAGGGCGGTGAGGAGTTCGCTTATTGAGGACAACGAGCGTTTCCGCATGGATAATTGGTTGTTTATCAGGAGTTATCCTAACGAGGACGAAACTGGATTGGTCCTGGAGTACATAATGGGCACTCGAGATTTCGACGAGTTGAGAACGTGCAATTTACAAGGGTGGCTGGGTACGAAATTAATTAAGTTCAAATTAATTTAATGTGTTTTTGTATAAGTTGGTTAGTTGTAAGTTTACTTTTTAATAATATGTGATTTTGTAGCAAGATACAAGACGTTGTTTTATTTATTTCAAAGATAAATCATATAAAAACTGCCTGTGAGTCACACACACACGCGTCGACAACATACGTCACATATGTCTGATGTCATAATGAAACGTCATTCTCTTGACATTTGAAGGCCACAACTACTGGTGCTAAACAGCCAATGTCAATGACAGTTTGCAAATTATATTTCCTAATAAATACAATTTTAATGGCGAATTTAACTATTTCAACGTACATACACTCATAGACAAAATAAAAGACATCTTTCTTTCTCTATGCATACACTTTTTATTTAATATCGTAGAAGTGAAATTTCTTCCATTGCAGTTGTGAAAACCGGCTTCTCAACACGTGATCGAAACGTCAATTTTTTTGAGGTTATGATTACTGTTTACAAACAAAATGTATTTTTTAATCTCGCTCGTTTAGTCGTTTACACGGTAAGCAATTACATTTAACATTAATTAATTCAGTGACTGAGATAATTAAAAATGCTCCTACATTCACCGTACTGTAATCGCTTTCGTTTCGCCTTCTGCGATGATTTTAGATCCCCGAAATCGGAGAATTTGTAAACACACAAGACACATGGCCGAAATTAGCCTCAACGGGTTGCATGTTACACAATATTGCGGGTATATTTAATTCCACGTTGTTTATCTTACGAGCCACCACCGTCAGTTTACCATTTCCGCACAGATGAAACGGTTGCCCAAAAATAATTTTTCAAACATTTTATTTTCGACATATACAGGGTGTCCCATGCATTGAATACTCTAATTTGGGAATAAGTAGATGGCTTTGAAATTTTCTCCTGAACTTATAGTGGTACAATCCACCCTGTATACGAAGATTAATAACGTCTTTCTGACAATCAGGGTTATTATTTACTAATTACTGATTAGTAAAAGATGGGATACCCTGTATGTAAGATGCTTGTTTATAAAAATTCGTACATCACCCCGTATATCGTGCGAAGGGTAGGTTGTCGAGCGAATTACTGAATGGGGTCGTCCGGTATCGATTTTCCATTTTCTATCCCTACTACAGTCGCTACTCTCAGTTTTCCCTGTTTCTGCTCAGTTCGCATTCTAAACAGAAAACAGCTGAAAAATTACAGCCTTCGCAAGACATTCATTTACTGTGTTTTCTTCATTAAAGTAAGTCTTTCATGTACACCTGTGTATGAGTATATGTGTGGGTAATTAGCAAGAGATGTTTGTCTTTTGGCAGGTTTTATGGTTTTTGTGTGTTGTTTAATAATTAGTTTTTATTCGAGGAAGAGCGGTGCAATTTTTTTCAAACTTTTATAGAAACTGTCTCGTCCTGTAGGGTATTTACCAAGTTAAAATACCTGTACATGTTTACATTGCGATACAGGATGCACTCCAGCAAGTGGCACTCGTGCATCTTATCGCAAACACCAAAAGTCTGCTGTAGATCAAACAATAAAGTTGACTGTAAATATTTGCTGGTTTTTCGGGGTTCTCATCAGGTTCTTCTAGTTAGTGACAAAACCACACAAGCTCTGTGTAAAGTTGAAGTACACCGAGAACCTGCGTTACTCGAGCACAGTTTGAGTGGATTTATTAAAATTTCTGGTGGGTGGGTTTTAAATGTGTTATTGTTGTTTCAGTTTTGCATGTCCTGGTGAAGGATGCGACCGCAGGGCGTAGTTTGGGGTTTGCAATTGGATTGTTAGCCGATTTATGTTCTCCTGTTGCGGACTGTAAGTATAATTTATAATTTTTTTTAGTCGGTTTTGTTTATTTTATTCGACTAATCTATGATTAATTGATCGGTAATTCCGAGATGATTCGATGTAAAAACATCCGTTTTTTTTAATTAACTTACCGTCGCAAGAATTCAATACGTAGAAGCAACTAATTAGTAATTAAAGTTTTTATAATTACCTATACAAAATTGGAAACTAATTAACAGATATAGGACGAATTTAACGTGTTGTTGAAGGTTCATTTATGTGGCAGGAAAGTTGGAATTAAAATGTGCAATTTTTCATGCAACAATAATAAATAATTTTTCGATACTTAAAATACCGACGCGTTTCTTTGTTGCCAGGCAACGAACGTTGAATTTCTACGCATGCGTTCGAAAGGAACGTTTATCATTTATCAGAACAGCTGAGCAGCGGTTACAAAGCGCCGTTGCCAAATTTCCATTGCTCGTTTGCTGTTTACTTATGTAAAAATGTAATTTCTTTATTAAAATGTTTATAAAAACATCAGAATAATTAATCGAGTTAATGTATTATTAATAGAATATTGAAATATTTTTAATAGCATCAATTTAAATCATCAAATATCGATTATTGTCAATTGATTATTACCCCAAAACTTGTTAAATTTTGTACCAACGGCAACACAGCGTTCGTCCAGGCATAGACTTCGTCCACCTCGTTGCCATATCTCTTAATCTATCACAAGATCCCATAATTCTTAATTTTTTCATACAACTTTTTCGAATAAAATTCTCGTTCACCATATTAATCATTCTATAATTTACCCATATATTTTCCTCACATTGAAGCCACCGCAAAGCACCATCATCAATTTTCAATGCTTAGAATTTCCAATGAATCGATATTTACAAAGAAATTCTCCGACTGGCAACGAGCAACAACGCTTTATATTTTATATACCAAGTGTTCACCATTCTCTTACCTCCCGCTATTCGGGCACATTTCTAAATAAATTCAACACAGTCCGTTCGCGAACCCGACCCACACGCGTTGCCCAAAAACCCGATAAAAATATAAATAAACCGCCCGATTTAGGGGGGTCGCTATCGCTGGGAAATCTCGCGGTAATCGGCCGGTAATTAGTATCGGTAATTGCGCGTTAATTGATTTTCCCCGATGGTTTAACGACCGTTTCGGCATCGACTCGGCGATCTATCGTACCATGGACGGGCTCAGATTGGCCATACAGTGAGTAATTTAATTTGGATTTGTTGATTTTTTTTAATGCCAGCAACGGAATTCGAATATGTAATTAATTTGTTGTCGGTTATCTAATGTTGATTAGTCGAATTGGCGCGTGGATGATTAGGAAAAATTCAGGGAGTTCCTTTGAGTTTCTTTTGCGAAAAAATGAAGAAAAAAATGTTGTGTTTATTGGAGAATAAGTGCAAAGTATTTGTGTGCTGAAGAATTTTTTTTCCAATAAGGAAATTCGATTTTCCGATGAGTTTTAATAAAAGCACATTCGTATTTAAATTACCTAACTGAATTTCATGCAATCTTCAGGATGTTTTAACTCAGACTGATCGTGCAGTCGAGATAATTTCTTAATTAAACGCATAAATTATCCGTGTGTATGCATGTTATTAGCACGTAAGGAGCATTATAACGAGATGAGTGCGTTACACTCGGTTATTCGAGTTTTGCTTTAGAAATTTTTGGCTATTTTCCAATCTACAATTTCGAAATAACCCCGCTTAGTACACCACTATCGCCTATTGATTTTAGCACATGAATTATCGATACGATTTAATCTAAATTCATCGCGTTATTTAACGGTATCTTTCGACTTTTTACGGTATGCAATAAGTTATTCCTGACGAATTCGAAACCAGCTATTGCTTTACCTTCATTGTTCAGCAAACGAAAACGTGAACGTTTCCCAGTCTAACGAAAATTAACACAAATTAACATAAGCACATGTTGTGGTTTAGCTGCGCCATTTAGTAACCCATGGCGTTTCTTTATGATGCACTATACAGGGTGAACAATGCAAATCACTCCGCCTTTAGTTCCTATTTCTTTGAGTTTTTTACTTAGTTATACTCCGTTCGTTATCAGGCGATGTAATCATCATTCCTCAGTTAATCCTACTTCTTTGGTTTCTCGTTGTAACAACTAAAGAAATAGTGACGATCGAGGAATAATATTGTTCAATTACAAGCAAATATTTCTTGCCATTGACCTCGAGTAACCACTCTTTGGAATCCATTGTCATCGGATATGATCATTGAAATTCGCCGGGTAATTCCATAGCACCGTATATCTTTCTGTAGAAATCTAATTGCGGAGGGATCGCGAGAAATCGCCGGTTTCTTCTCGAATATCGCGGGGCTATGCAATTTTCGCGGGATCGTTCTCACCCGGAACGTTCCTGCGAACGAATACGGCCCTGCGGGCGAATGCCATTCTATTTTCTCTTGTACAATGTGCAAGTATAAGTACGAGTACCGAGCCATTGTTGCTCGAGACAATGTCTCATGGGAATGCGGCGTGCCCGGAATGATCACGATCACGCGTATTCGAATCGTTTGATATTTTTTTTAGATTATATTTATTTTATAAATCTTGTGTAGATAAGAGATTATAGATTTTCGCATTGTATTACGAGATTATGTAGGATTTAAGATGCGTTCGATGATACATAAACAAAAAATGGTCAAAATTGACATTAGTGACATTTCGTATGACTGAAGTTTAATGGAGGTGGGAATGATTTTTTTCGGTATAGAGGTGCAACAAAATAAGCGTTTGATTTTAATTTCGTTATCCTGATTATTCTACTCCTGCTCTACACTATTCGATTTTACTCTGCTTTTTACTTTTCTACTCTACAATGAGTTTTTTTCTCTTTCGGGAATAATAAATGGGGATTTATGCGTTAATTAAACAAAAATTGTAAAAATTGACATTAATGACAGATTTGTTTTGACAGAAATTTAGAGGTGGGAATAAATTTTTTGCATAGAGATGCAGTAACGACTGTTACAAAATAAGCGTTATTTTTCAATTTCGTTCTCCTGATTCTACTCTACTCTAGTACAGAAGTATTCGAATTGTATTTTACAAATTCGCACTATTATATGTTAGATTTCATGCGCTGTGTAGCGTATAAAAAAATACTAAATATAGATATTATCTGGCGTTGTAGCGTGTATCGATTTTGTGTATGCGTTGTGCAAAAGATCCTTTTTATAAAACCAAAATAGCAGTACGCACAATAGTAGTTCTACAGGGTGATCTCGTTCGAGATAGGACCGTCCTGTATAACGTTTAATTTGTTATTATCGAACGAACGTTTTAAATTTATAGTGACCCACTTTTTCGCATTATTTTGTATTTCGGTTCCCGAACAACGTACGCAGAACGAGCGATTGTAATTTGTAATGCGCCTTTGTATTTGATAATTATTTCGAAATAATACGTCTATTTTGAGAGCCTGTTCGTTTCGTATAGTTTAAGTCTTCATTTCAGACTCTGTTCTATATAATTTGGACACCCTATAAATTCGATATTGCTCGATGAACTTACCTAAACCCATCTGATTTGGGTTTTAGAAAGTATCAATAAGTTACACATTGTGTGTAAACGAATCGACCTTAATTAAATATCGGTGTAAACACTAGTTTTTTTAATTAGACGCCATTTAATGTACATATTTTATCTAAAATACAAACAATGTTGTTTTCGTTAAAAAAATACACACTTATCGGTCCGTATTTACTTTTAAATGCCTTGTCATTTACATAAATTTGCCGCTAACGTCCTAATTATTTAACGAAAAGCGGGTTTATTTGGATATATATTTCGCTTCTTATCTATCTGTATTCTACAGTGCTGTAATGAATGACTCAAATTTATTCGAGACATTCATACACTTCACAATATCTGATGAATGCTTGATTTCAAAACAAAAAATTCACAATACTATAATCACCCGTTTTTTCCATACATTCCCATACACTGTTTGATAATTAAACGTTAAAATCCAATGAATTGAGTTTCACAAGTCCAGTTTACACCAATTCATCTCATAAGATTTTCAACTATAAATTCATCCAAATTAGGCAATTGTAATTTAACTGTATACAAACATCGAAATACCTCCGAGATTTACGGTACAACCTTCTAATTCGTTGCAGGACCAGTTTGGGCGAGAGGATGGTCAGCATGAATTCGACATTAGTGGAAACAGTCAGCATAAACTACGAGGATTTCAACGAAAGTTTCCTAACATGCGGCACGTGTCTGTGTAAGCTAAACACTCTTTTATTCCCCTTCAATCGCTCAGATTTATCGACTTAACCTCGTATAACAATTAACCCGAATATTTCTCTAAACGGTTATTCGTGGTTAATTCGATTTAAACGAATAAAGTGCCGGCGTAATTGCATTTATTAGTAGGCAATTTGAATTCAGCGGGAAAAAATAAGGGTAGTTTGTGTAGTCCGTTCGCTGAATTTTAAAAGTTTATTTATTTCTAGTGGTGTAGAAAATGGTCAGTTTCTCGTAGAATGGAGAAGATCACGATATGAGATATGCGGATTTTAGCAAAAGATACGATTAGAAATGATTCCTTAGAGCTCAAAACAGTTTCCAGTTGCTCAAAATGTGTAATAATTAAAAAGATATAGTCCTTCGAAATTTAAAATTTTCGTGTATGACGTAAGAGAATACAACAAGAACAAAAATCATACTGTCACTTGTCAGATTTCGGTCATATTTGGGCACAGAAAAGAAAAATAATTTGGCCAATCGCTTTTTTAGGACACACTATTTTGAAAAAAAATATTAAAAACAAAGTCGTGGTTCTCTCCATTAGATCTATTACAACCACGTTCCTATATTTCTAAGGTCTGGAAACATAAGTCGAAAAAGTGTCCCGTTATTTGAGGTTGAAACAGGGTTCCTAAACGGACCACGGTTTTTTGCGAACGAATTATATAGAATTTGCATTAAAAAAGGTTTGATTTAAACTAAAAATATATACAAAATATAAAAATATACTTTAATCATCGATGATTGTGTTGTTAACATCAAGACTCACGTATCTTCGGTTAATGTATTTCTCCATTTTCTCCTCGAAATGTCAAATAATAATTTTTGAAGTTTTGACAGCTTGAACTGTCATCTCACAACCGCGATTTACATGTAGCGCGACGCTGATTGGCTGAGATAAGTTGGTCCTCCGATCGTTCGCCACGGTGCGGCGCAAAAGTGAAGCTCAAAAAGCCCTCAAATAACGGGACACATTCTCAACATTCTCACATTCTTCACATTCTCAATGCTGTTTATTTTATTGCGTAAGTTCGCGAATTCAGCGAACGGACTACACCGATTAGAGATCGAGAATAAACATCGAACGGTGCAATTTCAGGCATGTACGACGGCCAGGAGCACACGCCGAAGCTGCTGCAATGCTCGCACACCGTCTGCCTGCACTGCCTCGCCCGCATAGCGGCGTCGCAGACCCGCGACACCGGCACCTTCCGCTGTCCCATCTGCCGCGAGCTCATCCACATACCGCGCGGCGGCGTCTCGGCGCTGCCGCCCTCCTTCCTCGTCAACCAGCTGCTCGATCTCATGTCGCGGCAGCGCCGCGAGGTCATACCCAAGTGCTCGGTGCACATCAACCAGGAGCTGCTCTTCTGCGAGACCTGCGACACGGTGTTCTGCACGCTGTGCACCGGCGGCTCGCACAACGACGCGGCGGCCAGTTGCGAGCACACCATCATACCGTTTTCGATCGCCATCAAGAGGATGTCCGAGATTTTGTTGTACAAAGCCAACGATTGCATATCTAAGGTGCTTGCTTCAACGCCATCTCTGGTTTCTTTATACGCTGTGATCATTCATTCCAGATCGCAACATAGGTTATATAGGCTGTAGGTGCGATAAAGACAACTTCCATTAGACACTTATAAAAGAAAAAGTGACATTTGCAACTTTTCAATCTGACAACTGTCATTTTAATAACCTTTCTTTGTTCCACTCATAGAAATGACCATATTGCAATCGGAAATGGAGCAAGGTGTATTTAGGCTATAGGTGCGATAAAGAAAACTTCCGTTAGACACTTATAAAAGAAAAAGTGACATTTGTGTCATTGCAACTGTCATTTTATTAATCTTTCTTTGTTCAACTCGTAGAAACGACCATGTTGCGGTCTGAATTGAAGCAACCTGTATAAATGTATAAAGTGTGTTTTATTGTTAGTTGTCTCAAGCCCAAGAGGGGGTCAGCTCGGAGCTGTGCCTGCTGGATTCGGCTAAAGAAACCTGCCTAGAGATAATAAACGAAACATTCCAGCAAATCCAGGCGTTGATGGATCAAAGGAAGAAGGAAATAATCGATACGGTGAACGGGATATGCCTGGAGAAACGACGGGTGTTGGAAGAGCAACATACGCTTATCGAAAACGAGAAAAATAAGGTGAGAATCCACGATGGTAGCGCTCGAATCGAGCGTTAATTTCGAATCGTTTCAGGTGCAACAAGAGTGCCAAGGGCTCCAGTACCAGGTGGAGGTGCGCAACATCACGCAGCGCATCGAGATCCTCTCCGAGAAGCTGGACACGACGGTGGCGTTGAGCGAGCCGCGCGAGAACGCCTTCCTCACCGTCAATTTCGATCTCAACGACAGCCTGGAGCACATCCGCCAGCACCTCAGCGTGCTGGGGAAGGTGCGCACCAGCACCACGTTTCCCAGGCTGTGCACCGCCCGCCTGGAGGGCGCCACCGTCGCCGGCATCGAGAATTTCGTCGCTCTCACCACCGTCGATTATCACGGCGACGAGAGGAAAACCGGCGGGGATCCCGTCGAAGCCGAGCTGTTGCTTGTACCGGCCGATGATAGGTACTACTTCAGCTATGTTTATGATACTCGGTTACTTAGCTGTGTTTATAGTTCGAGTGTGGATGTTGAGGAGAATCATCCGGTGAGGGTGGAAGATAACAACGATGGTACTTACAAATTGTACTTCAGGGTACCGAGGTCCGGTAGGTACGGAATGAAGATATCTGTGATAAATCGACCGATAAAGGACGTGCCGTTGTATTTCGAAGCGACCGATCACAACGATCCGATATGCGTTTACGGATCAAGAGGTGAGTGATTTTACGCTGGGAGTCTACGAGGAAATTTCATCGTTTTTTCGATCGCAGGTAGCGGTAAAGACGAGTTCATGCAACCTGTGGCCGTGGTCATCGACGAAAAAGACCAAACCATCTACATCCTCGACACCGGCAACTCGAGAATCAAAGTCCTCAACGACAAGCTCGAATGCATCAAGCACGTCACCAACGAGGGTTTGCTGGGCAGGAGCTGCACCGGTGAGTACCCGATGGATATTTACCAAACGGTAGTTCGAAAACGCATCGATTGCAGGCATCGACGTGATCAACGACGGGCTGATCGTGATCAACTGGCGCACCAAGTACATCACCGAGATGACCACCGACGGGGAGACGAAGAAGACCTTCACCTACAACGCCTTCCAGGAGCCCATCGATATAGCGGTGGACAAGAATTACGGGCACGTGTTCGTGGCCGATAACGGGATGAATTGCGTGTTCGCCTTCGACGCCGACGGGAAGATGCTGTTTCAGGTGGGCAAGAAGGGCACGTTCAATCTGATCGCTTCGGTGGCGGTGGGGCCGCTGGGGGAGATCATCGTCGCCGATTCCAGGGTGCAAATGTTCTCGGCCAAAGGGGATTTTATGGAGGTCATTTACGACGAAGGAAAAGGTTATTATGGATACTTCGTTCGCCCTAAGCAGGCGGTAATGATGCCTCACGCAAAGTAGCTTGCCAGTTGGAACATTTCGGTAACTGAATGTGTTACAGCGAGTTTTAGAGAGCTCAATCCGGCATTTCTTAGGTAGCGATGCGATTTAGAACCACCAAGCTACTTTGGTTGAGGTATTCGTTACAATCCCTTGAATGCGAATGGAGTATAGATGATTAATTGTTCGCTGTGCATAGGTAAAGGTAGATACGGAGGAATAGCCATAGACGGCGAGAATCGGGTGTTGTTGACGAGGACCGAGCAGAAAGGGCGCACGTTCGTGCAGCTTCTGTCGCTGACCGATAGGAGTCTCAATCAATGCATCGATTCGCACGAGGCCAAGTTGAAGAGACCCAGCGGACTGGCCGTTACCGGTGATAATCACGTAATCGTGGTGGATTTGGGCAACAGTTGCGTGAAGAAGTACAGATATTGGTAGTCGAGGAAAAATAGAAGGAAACGTTCCCGTCGAGAATTTTGAATTTACTTTTTTTTAATGACGTATTTGTAACTATACCGATGTCGTTTTTGGCTGGTGTAGTGTGCGTACTTAAGTGCTTATTGAGCCGAATTTTGCTGTACGAAGTGCCCCGATTAGTTTGCGATATAGATCTACTAGTACAGACTTTTGAATAGGGTCACTTTGTACTGGGCGATTGAATAATTGAGACGTTTTTGAAAACGCCTACGTTTTGTATATTTTACTGTTTTTAAACATAGAGGTGTACTTAAATTAAAACGGAATAAATCCCAAAAAAACCTCTCAATTTGTAGCTGCCCGGAATATATTTTTTCAACGAAGCACATTCTTAATTACCGCCATTTTCTGTACCGCATACGCTGAACTTATTTATTTCTCGAATTGTACAAACGTCGTATGTCTAGTCATTAATTTGTATTTTTGTATGATTAAATTTATTTATTGAAATAAAGAGAGAAAAAAACACTCAACGTGTATGAAAAGAGCCGAGCAAATCGGAATAAAAAAATAGTGGGTCTATTATAATTGAAATTGGAAAAGTAAAAAAAATTACACAGATCAAAAATGTTTACGCTTACAATATAATAAAAATCATCAAAAACAATTTACTTAGAACGGCGCATCTTCCTGAAACAATGATAATTTCATGCAAATCAGTTCCACAACTTGAACAGAATCATTGCTAATCACTAATCAGCAAGTCGAAAATAAAATTAATTGAATTCTCGCCCCTTTCCTAGTACAACCCTTCGATCATATAGATAGTAAAGGAGCGAGAGTTCGGGGTTAGCGATAGGACTATCATACGCTATTAGGTTTGGGTTTTTCGAGAGATTAACACTTTCGATTTGAGTATTTGAGTACACACTTACTTCATTAAACTGGGCTCCTTCAGCGAACATGGCGCCGCCCTCCTTCTCGGCCGACTTCTAAAATTCACAAAATGGAATCACAACCGGTCAAACTCAATCGATTAGATTTAACTTACGTGGTTACAGATTCATTCGAAGTTACCGATTCGGTAAAACTCGAAATTGAAGAATTTCTGAAAAAAAAAACAATGAAGAAAACAGTCGATTTTGATTGTACAAATCGATTTACTTACTCCTTGGTATCCGCTTTGCTCGATCGAGTGCTACTACTCGACGAAATCCTATTGATCGACTCTTCTACTTTCGTGCTCCTCGTTAACACCACCTTCAACGATTTAGTTTTTTTAGTTACTACAGTAGATTTTTTCGACACCTTTCCCGCCGATCCCTTCAACGACTTCCTAAAAAAAATACAACTCTTGACCACCATTCTGAAATCACATCTCGAGGAAAAAAAAAAACGCACCTTTTCTTACGCTTTAAAGACATCGTAGTCTCCTCCTCCCATTCACCACTAGACGTAGAACTCGAGTAAACAGTCGTGTCGATCAAACTGAAAACATTTCCAATTAAAAACACCCCGTATAAATGGGAAGCGAGAGGTTTCGTATTAATACCTTCGACCAGTCCCTGCAGACTGCTCGACCCGATCATTGTCGCTATCAGAATCAGAATCGCTTTCTTTCGTGTCGTTTGATTTTGTCGCTGAATAACTGCAATGAAAACGTACATGTGAATCCCTTAAGTTATTAAATTATTATTAACGAATATTTGAGTAAATAGTAACTTACCCATTTCGATTTTTTTTCCTTTTTACTAACGGAGTCGATCTACAAAAGAAATATTAAACGAAATCGATCAACAGTTAAACAGCTACTTACGTTGTTATACTTTTGCCTCTACTAGTTTCCGCCTTTACATTACCTTTACTGGAAAAAAAATCAGGTAAAGTGAGTAAGTGAAAAATTCTCGCAAATTCGCAAAATTTAAATTACCTCGTCGAAGGCTCCTCTAAATGCAAAGCGCTTCCGTTCCAGCTCGAACTCGCCGATTGGTTTTCAATTAACGTAGGTATCTGAAATTAACACAAAAAAATCCATCAATTAAAATCCACAAGTTCCCTTCGATTATTTTACCGTAGGTAATTCTGTGATGGTGGAGTTACTGGAAGCGTCCGAGAACGAACCGTGCGTGGGTAAAATCATTCCTTCGGAAGTCGGTACGCCGAGCTGCGAAAATCGACCGATTAATTTATTTTACAAATACATTTGTACCGCATTTACCGATCTCCCTGTAGATTGGCTGCGCCTCCAGCTCTCTTCTATTACAGTCGATAATCTGCAACAGACGCACTTTGTACACCTCCATACGCAAAATCTATCTGTAATTTACCTTTTTAAACTGCCGTTACTCGAGTTCAAAGACCCGTTCGAGCCTACAAAACGATTAGATTTACAAAAAGAAAACAATTAGAACGGAGTACTCACCCAATGACTTGTTTCCTGAGTGCACAGGCGAAGTTGAGGTCCTCTAAAATCGATAAATATTGTGATTTTATAGAGAATTTGCCAAGTTACTTACCGATGTATTCGCTACCGGCTGACTCGTATTAGGCCCGTTTTCGTCATTTTGCGGTGTTGTGGATAAACTGCCGGAGTTGTTACCGTTTAAATTTTCATTTGCGGGGAGGGACTCGCTCATTTCGTTTAATCTCGCCAGTTTGATTGTGGGATTATTTATGACTGCGCCATTCACTCTATGAGGATGGACAGTTAGCGTTTGTTGACCTACATCAACATTAAAATGTACAAATTATTCGACGTTGTTTTCTATTTCCTAGCTTATTTACCAATAGAATTTGTATTTGTTGGTATTGAACTCATAGAAAAAACTTCTGTAGTCAGTTCTACGGCCTCCTTCAGTTTCCCTACGATTTTTGTGTAATGATGGTGCATTTTCTCCACAGTTAATTTCAAATTCTGAAAGAAAATTTTAGAGTTGAATAGTAGACGATTTTGTTTCAGTCTTTCGAACTTACTGCGTTATCTAGTTTCAGTCTAAAATTTTCATCTCTAAAGCAGATTATCTGCGCTTCCATGACTCCTCTCCTTTGTTCTTCCAGGGATAGTTTTTCGGCTATATTCTTGTTCACCGTCAATAGGTTCTCGCAGTTACAAGCTGGAAGAAATTTGCAAATAAATCAAAGAAATTCATAAACCTGGATAGTAGAGAAGCGGGTAGAACAAATTCGAAATTTGCACTTTTATTCAGTTTTACCTCTTTCTGTTTTTTTATGCATTGCGTATTCTTTTTAACGCAATCCACCGTAATGCACGAGTATTTGAATGTATTTTTTACGAATTTAAAAAGTAAACGGCAAGAGTAAAGTAGTAAACTGATAAAAAAACATTACTTTGACTTTTGACACTTGATAGACTTGACACATTTGAATTGTGGTACAAAACTACAATTACCAAATTGCCAAGTAGCAGAGGCCTTAATTAAAGGAAAAAGAAGAACACAGCAAATGGCTGATTCTTGAATATTTGTGTTCTGTGATTTAATAGTTGTCAATGTCATAATAACCATAACCTTAAACAACTTAAGAATCATTTTATATACTTACATTTTAGTTTACTGATTCTAATAAAATTGAAATCAAAAGTCATTTCGAATTGGATTAGTCAAGCATTTAATTGATAGAAAATATTAATAATACTACAATGGTGTTAACAAAAGAATATCGAATATGCATGCCTATGACTGTGGAAGAAGTAAGCGATAAAAATCAATAAAATTCAAACGTATTTATTTAAAATCTAACGTTGGCTATTCCAGTACCAAATCGGACAATTGTATATGATAGCTAGACACAGTTTAGAACAATCCGGAGATGGGGAAGGAGTGGAAGTTGTCGAAAACAGGGAATGTTTCGATGAAAAGTATGGCAAGGGACAATTCACCGAGAAAAGGATTCATCTCTCCAGGTGCGATAACTAATTTAAATGATTCACGAAATTGGCTAATAATTTTCTTCTTAGTCGCCTTCCTTATTGGTTACAATCGGTGTGTCCCAAAATATTTTATGTAACTGAAAAGGCGTGGAATTTTTACCCATACACTATAACAGAATATACAGTAAGTGTCGAGTAGGATATTAATGTTAAATACAATATTATTTTTAATTGTAGTGCTCCTTTGTGCCTAGATTTAACATATCAATCGAAACAAAGTATGAAAACAATAACGGTTCCACAGAAAACGTAAGTATACAGCAAACTCTCATCGCGCAGTTTTTAACGTAATTTTCTCCAGTGCCTTGATTTAACTCCCGAGAAATTGGCGGAAAGAGTAGTCGATCACATTGATATAGCATACGATGAGGTTTCCGTGAAGCATTACAAGGAAGAGGAGGACCCGCGATTTTTCCAATCTAAAAAAACCCACCGGGGCCCTCTGGTGGACGGTTGGAGGAGCAACTGCCACCCCATCATGTGCTCCTACAAGTTAGTTCACGCCTCGTTCGAAGTATTTGGATTCCAAACCAAAGTCGAGGAGTTCATACATTCGGTAGGTCGAAGATTTAGAGCGAAGAGACATTGAACTTTGGAATTTTTCTTTTACAGTGCATTAGAGAAGTTCTTTTATTAGGCCACAGACAGGCGTTCGCTTGGATAGACGAGTGGATCGAAATGACCATGGAGGATGTTAGAAAATACGAATCGCAGTTACAGAATCAAACCAATTCGCTCGTTCAAACGAAGCCTTCCGGTAAATACCCGATGTAATTTTAAGTTAGAATTGTGGATCGTTTATTTTTTTTTTAGATACAAACGATTGTTTATCCGATGCAAATACTCCACCGGATACTCCCAAGTCGCCCAAATCACCGAAATCCCCCGGGAAAAAAGGCTACTTTTCGAATTGGTTCTAGTCACCCGTTGGGGTTTATCATTTTAGTTTAAAATGTTGAATTGTGCAATTTATTGTAAATTTATAAACGTAAATATATATTCATTTCATTCTCACGTGTATCATATATAAGTCTATTAGGTATATTACAAAGTTTTCTTGATAGGTTTCGGCGCGACGCTAACCTTGATAGGTTTGCACAAATCCAACAAAGTCGGCGTGGATTCGCCGAGGATTTTCCTCTTTCCGATATCCGCCTCGGGTATCGCCAACGACACGTTGATCTCCACGTCGCACGCCTCCGACCAAACCTGATGCGAAACCAGCACCGACGTGAGCAGCCTGACATTGTGCCCGATCTCGTTGTCCTTCTCCGCCCCATCGTAGTACAACGGCTTCAAGTGCGCGGGACGCGGCAGCACGATCTGCGTCCGTTGATCCGGATACTTGATCTTCAATCGCACCCTCCCCGGATCGATCAGATGGCGCAGCTCCGCCTCGAACGGCACCGACATGATCAGACCGGCCGTGAACTTCAGCGACGTGTCCGTGCGATTGCTCGGCTCCAGTATCAGCGCCGAGCTCATGCGCACGTTGACGTTCGGCGTCGGTATCTTCCGCACCTTCGCCTCGCACAGGACCGGTATCAGAATCCTGGCGACGGTGCCCGGCTTGGGCTCCTCGAGCTGCGCCAGCTCGGCGAACACCGAGCCGGTGAAGTGGTTCGGCGCGATGCCCGCCTGGGCGAGCTCCTTCTGCATGTCCTCGACGACGGTGAGGAAATGGTGGCAGGGCGCCAGCGCCGAGGCGTTGCTGCCCTTCACCACGTACACCAGGTTGAGGGCGAGCGCCTGCAGGCGCAGCTGCTTGACGGCGCACTGCTCGCTCGGGCCGAGGCCCACGAACAGGTACTGCAGCTTCAGGCAGAGCTGCAGCAGGTTTTGTATGCTGATCTTCAGGTTGTACGATTGCTGCGTGGCTAGAGTGCTCGGATTCGCCCAGAATCCCTTCTCCAATATTTGGAATATCTCCAAGTGGGCGGATATGAACAGGGCGGTGAATTGCGCCGTGCCCGCCACTGTCGAGTCCATTTCGCTCAATCTGTTTAGATGCTCTCTGGCGGTTTCCAGTAGAGACTCGTGCACTCTCACGTTGCTCTCGGCTAAATCTAAATTACTTATAACGTTATTTAGGAAATTTAAACTTTCTGGTACGGACATCGGTCGCGATACGGAATGCAAATTCGAATCGGACAAATTCAAAACCGGCACGTACTGGGATAAAGTGTCCCGCAAGTAAAGGTAGTGTCGGAGCGTGTGAGGCTCGAGTAGCTGTATAATAGTTAAGGAATGCTGCGCGGCGTTCAGTATTAGTATCAACAAGCAAACGTACTGGGGATTATCGACGTCCGGTTCGGCAGTATCGAAGAACGGATGTATGTTGAGAAATTGCGGCACGAGAGGCAGCACCAGTTCCGGATGTTGCGAGCCGATTCTCTGCAAACACCTGTAGGTGGATCGTTTGTCTTGCGGGTAGCGATTCAAATTTTCCAGCAGTTTTTCCACGCACATTTTTAGTCCGGCGGACGTCGACATTTTACAAGAGGCCAACATTCGATGCAAACTCTCCCTCACCTCCTGGCAGAAATCCTCCAGCGCTCCCAAGATCGTTTCCAGTTGATCGTCTCTCAGGATAATATGCTCGGATATCCGCCTCAAACTGTCGATGGCCTTCAACCGGACGTCTTCGATCTCATCGTTGAACATATCCACCAAAAAATCCAAAGCCAAGTTGGCGAAATGCTGGTTGCTGATGGACAACTGGCACAAGGACTCCACGGCGGCCGATCGCACTTCCAGAAACTCGTCTTCCAACCCGTGCACGAACGCCCCGCAAGCGCCGCTGCTCATCAAGCTGATGCTGTCGGCGTCGAGCACCTCCTTCGGGGCGTCGTCCGCCCATTTTTTGCCGCTGGCCCATTCGCCGCTCACCACGTTCTCCCAGGCCAGCTCGTGGGCGGTTCTCTTGCGCCTCATGTTCGACATGAGCTTCTTGTCGAGCGTCTGGCAGAGGAACTTCGGGCTCACCGATTTCATCGAGCCCAGCAGCTCCACGGCGAGCTTTCGCACGTTCATCGACAGATCCGTGACGCCGTTGCAGATCTTGCCGAAGGCGTCGTCGATCAATCGGATCTCGTGATCGCTGTCGGCCACCAGGATCTCGTTCTCCGGGTAGAGGTTGCCCAAGTGCCAGATGAGCTGCAGGACGACGTGCCGCACGATCTCGTAGTCGTCCTTGGACGCCTCGCAGACGTCCACGTAGATGTTGGGGTTGATTTTGAAGCGGCGCTCGTGCAGGGCGACGATGGTTTTGAACGCTTGGCAGCGCACTCTAGCGTCGTCGTGGTTGAAGTACGATTGGATCAGTTGCACGAGTTTTTCCGTGTGTTCGTTGTCGGTGTGCGGGGAGTAGGCACCGATTATCTCCAAGCATTTGCATTTGACCGAATGATTGGTGTCTTTTAGATACAATTTGGCTACTTCTACCAGTTTGGCGTGGAACGTGGCCGGAGGGTCTGCGAGTAACTTGCCGAGCTTCAATATGGTGTTCATGCCTTGGGCGATTACTTTGTGCGAGCTATCGTTTTTTATCAACGATATGGTTTCTTCTACGATCGTGATAATTTCGGATGTATTTTCGATGCCGATTTCGCTTAGCAGCGACAAAATCTTCACTCGTACGGAGGATTCTTTCTCGTTTTTGAAGTGCTCGCTGAGCTTCTTCACGGCGTCCGGGGCTTCGCTGGGATTCAAGTCGGTCTCGGACGCTTGAAGAAGGAGCTTGAGAACGTCCCGACTGGTCTTGCAATAGTCTAAAAGGTTGAGTACGTTTAGGAAGTTGTTTGTGGGCGATTCTGATTTCTTGACGAGCCGCAGCTTCTTCAAAGGAGCGACCGCTGTTTCTTGGATTGTTTGGCTGTATTCGGCCAAGGCCCGTTTCTTCAAAACTGCAGCCATCGTGCATTTATTTGTGTAAATTCGTTATATTCGTATTATTTTGTTTTGATAGACGTTTAAACATAACCTCAAAACCATTTCTATTCTTCTTGTCGCCATAGACGTTTAAACATAACCTCAAAACCATTTCTATTCTTCTTCTTTTTCTCTAAAAAATTATTTCCTTATTACATGGACTCTTGCGAAGTGCCGCATCCGGCCACTATGTCATAAATGTCAAATAAAAAAAGAAGAAATAACATAACCTCATTTCTTAGAATGCTCAATTTCTAAACAAAAATGAATACTGGAAGGTTTTGTAAATTATATAAAAAATTACTAACATTAAATCCATCCAAATATTCATACTTAAGTTCTGTACGCAAACAAAGTGGAAGTTTATACGAACCTGATTACTTAGAGGTCAGTACTAGTACTAAAACCCTATATAAATTTTAACTCACTGTATGCAATTTGTAGTCTATGAAACCTAAAGTACCACTGTACGAGCAATTAAATGTGTTTCTGAAAGGATACGATTACCCGGTTTTGGAGCAATATCAGAAATTCATTCACAACATGTTCAAAAATATGGATTTAGACGTAGAGGACTCCTGGGCAGTGCCTGCGCAGGATATGAGCGTGACTGCTTTGAAACCGAAGAGCGAAGTCCTACACGCTCAGTACAATTTGAAGATATACGAAAGGGTCATTCAGCTATCGGACGTACTATCTACACAGGTATTAACAATTAGCTATAAACTGTCGATTAAATTTTGATCGATCCGTTTTAGTTACCCACGGTTATTAGAACGATCGAAGCTAGTCTTCCCGCCGGAGTTTCCGCTGAAATTCGACCTCATCAGGAAACCGACGATGAAATTCGATACATACCCGATGCGGAATTGAACACTCTCAAACAGGAATTAGAAGATTTAGGCGGACCTTCAACTACTAGGACAAAAAAATGATATAACGGAACGTTCACAATGCACATTGTAGCAGCACAAGTGTGTTTAAGGAATATGTTAATGTTTTTAGGAAGACAAATGTAATATACTCCTATAAATTAGTATTTATTTACAAAAAAAATATGACTTTGGACTTAATAAATAAAAACAGTTCACCTTTAGCATCAATTTAAGGTCGCCTTATCGCCCATTTCCCGAAGTAAGCAAATTCAAAAGTGCCACTTTCTCTTTCTCCTTTTTCTTCACCACATCGATGCATCGATTTCTCCACGAGCTCTTTCGCAATTTTATCGGCCTGCTACCCACGTATCGACCTAAAAATTCGCACATTTAATCGTCAATTAATTAAAAACCCCAAGGAACTTACCATTCATCTCCTTCATAGCTTTAGTGAAATCGGCGGGATCTTTGAAACTAACGAACCCGTACCCTTTGCTCTTGTTGGTTCGCTTGTCTCTGATCACTTTCGCCCTTTGAAACGAAGGGAACTTGTTGAAAGTTCTCGTCAGCAGCTCGTCGGTGACGTCGTTGCCCAAGTCCCCGCAAAATATGCGAAAATCGTCGTCTTGCCAATCGGCCAGGGACGTGTCCTCCCAAGTCTGTCCCCCAGCAGTCCTCATCAATTTCCTGTTCTTGCTACCCTTCCGTTTGTAATCGTCTGGCCCGAACGACTGCAACGCGCTGCTCGCTTTTCCTGTGAAACACATCGCAAATTTAATTACCACATTCTACTGTAAGGAGACGTGGAACTAACCTTGCGAAATGGCCAGTTCGGCGCTGATTTTCTCGTTCTTCAGCTTCTTCAATTTCTTCTCGACCTCGCTTTGCAACGCGATTAGGTCCATCGAATTGGCCTGCGTGGTGGCTTGAGTGGACGTGTTGACGGTGAGTTTAGGGGGCGCGTACATGGTGGGCTTTGCAGAGACTACGGCCGGCTGGGATGCTACGGTGTTCGATGTGAAACAATGGTCGTATTTCCTGCCCGCTTTGCTGATGTGTACTTGATGGGGAATGAGCATCGGAGGCGTCGGCGGTGGAGGGATAGCCCCGAAACCGGGAATGTACGTGGGAGCGTACTCGGTCATGAGAGTTTGGCCCGATATTTCCGCCTCGAATCTACAAAAAGTTGTTTGGTTAACTTGTATATTGTTTGTTAAAGGTGTACTGACCTGCTCATCTCGTCTTCCATGTTTCTGAATTTACTTTTATCCATTTTAGAATGAGAATATCTCCAACTACTTACACTGAAGTAAAAACAACAAATACAAATTACTGAGGCAAGTGACAACTGACAGACAACAGTAAGATTAGAGGTGGGATATGTCCGGTTCCTTAAAGTTCCAAATCTTAGGCAACCAGTATATCATTTGTAGAAATTAATTACATATTTTTCAATTTTGACATTTATAAGTAACAATGCTTAATTGTGAATTCATCAAATTAATTTCCAAATAAAATTTCTACTTCTGTAATTGGTTTTTTTATTTCAAAAATTGTAGATTAAATCGGACACCTCTAATTCGCTTGCACTGAAGTTTGACATTGACATTTTTGACGTACGAATCCTCCATTTTCTTTTCAATAAACCTTTTTTACTGGATTTATACGAAAGTAAGTAAGGTGAGTTAAATTTTACCGAAAATCATGAATTTTTACGCACAAACCTATCCATCTCATCCATTACAACACTTTCGTACTGAAATAACAACTGTACAGCCCTTTTATTAACGCCTAACAACGTCAACAAGACATTCGTCTCGACCATGTGCTCTCCTAACCTCAATCGCGGAATTGTTGCAGGTATTTATTCACAAACATGACGAATTCCAAAGGTTACCGTCGAGGAACGAGGGACCTGTTCGCCAGGAGGTTCAAAAAGCACGGAGTAATACCCCTTTCGACGTATTTGAAGGTATACAAAGTAGGCGACATCGTCGACATTAAAGGCAACGGTGCCGTCCAAAAGGGCATGCCCCACAAAGTGTACCACGGCAAAACCGGCAGGGTTTTCAACGTCACCGCACACGCTTTGGGAGTAATCGTAAACAAGAGGTAAAACGACAACCTAATCTCTACGATAGTAATCTTAACGGCGTGATTGTTATATAGGGTACGCGGAAGGATAATCCCCAAGAGGATAAACATCCGCATCGAGCACGTCAATCACTCGAAGTGCAGGGAGGACTTCCTCCAGCGAGTCAAATCGAACGAGTTGCTGCGTAAGAAGGCTAAAGAAGAAAACGTAAGAGTGGAATTGAAGAGGCTCCCCGCCCAGCCCAGGCAGGCGCACATCGTGAGCGGAAAGGCCGGCGCTCAACTTTTAGCACCTATCCCGTACGAATTTATCGCTTAAATTTGTTAGTTTTTGAAATGAATGATTAAAGTAAGGATAAAAGGTGTTTCGTGTTTTTTTAATAGTGCGAAGAGTCGAAATGAAATATCTTTTCTTAAAAAAAAAACGCTTTAATTCTTAACCTGTAGATTCCAGTTCCTCTAATAAAGCAGCGCATTTATTTTTCAATATTGTAATGGCCTCTGTGAATATTACGTCCGGTCGCAAAGCACCCACTGATTCAATCGTAACTACAAAAAATAATTAAAATTGCACACAGCAAGTACAATTAAGTGACATCTAACTTACAGACGAAATGGTCAGGTATTTTAGTGGCTACTACAGCATCTTTGATGTCATCATGTCTGAATGCATTCCTGCTACATGTATCGTATCTGGCATTATCTACATAGGCCACTCTTTTGCCGTCTTTTTCGTGTCTAATGCCGATCACGCCGGGCGAGAAGCAGCTCTGCAGCCTCAAAGCCGCCTCGCCTTCGACCGGCCTCGTTAGCTTCACATCGGGGAGTAGTCTATAAAAGACAGTGGCTGAAACACAAGTAGAAATTCGTCAGAATTATTGCTAAATAGCGGTAAAAGAACGTACCGACGGGCGAGAATTTGGCATGGTCTCGTCCGCAACCCTTTACAGCCACCAGTTTTAAATCCAGTTCGTGACCAGGCCGCATTTTAGCCAGTAGAATGTTATCGTCGATGGGCCCCACTTCGGATTCTTTAAATCTCTCCTTCTGGTTTCCTACCGGCAACCATTTGATATGCCTCGAATAAACTGCAATAGTAGTTAAGTTGTATGTGTTACAAAATTAGTAAGACTCTTACCATTGTTATTTTTGTACATATCTTCGGCTCTCGATGAATCTTTCTTGTTGGCTTCTTTATTGTAAGTACACTTAATTTTCAACTCGAACTCCAATGAATCGTTCTCGTTGGACTCCGCGGAAGCTAAAAATAACACACAATTAGACTTAAAAGATGATTCTGGGGGCAAAAAAGTACCATCTTCCTTGTAGTCGAACAATCTCGGATCCGCTTTTAGGGGCACCAGCCCCAGACGATGGGCGAGCACCTCGTCCTGGATCACTGAGGTGTTGTTGCTGATGTACACTTTCTCGATGCTCATGGTGGGCACGTCGCTTAAAATGAGCCTCCGAAAGGCGTTTACTAGGAACGGATGGATGCCGATCATGTCGAACTCCATTTCGTTCTGCTCATTGCGAATTATTACGATTTTGAAGCTCTTTTTAAAGGATTTGACGGTGAAGTGGTCCTTCGCAATGGGGGCGGTCTGCGTAAAAAGTAGATAGTTATTGGTCGTGTATTAAAAATGTGGTTTGCAAATTATTACCTGCGCGAGTTTATATTCCTGCAGGACGATTCTGGGCTTTTGTTCGGCTAATGGTGACTCCATTGTCATTAGATGGAAGCTAGTTGATGAAATTATGTGAAAATTTTACTATTTCTTGTTTTTCTAATTGCTTCCTAACCTCAACTATTCAGAATTTATAACCTATTTGTGGATAGAAAATAGTAGATGGATAACTTATGCAGTACAAGTCAATTAGGAACAAATGTCATTTGCAATTTCAAGTCCTCTTTTATAGGCAATACTTTATACACAATAGTTCGTTTAGTGATTTTATTTTATATTGGTGAGTGACATTGTTACTGAAAATAACGGAATTTTTTATAACAAACCAATAAACATTTAAGAATTATTTTTTTCTTTTATTTAGTACAAAACGTTGTGGCAGCTATTACTGTCAAAGGAACATTGAACACCTATGCTACAATAAAAACCGAAATTTTATTCACATAAAAAAATGACTTTGTTTTTAGTAAGATGGGAAAGGTGAACTATAAATTAAAGAACAAGATAGCGAGACACAAGATCTTGTTTTTGTTCTGAAAGATATGATGACGTTTAATGCGGTGTTGCCACATGAACTTATTTTCATAATTCTACTACTTCGTTCAAAATAATTCACAGCTCACTATCGCATTTAAAATTATTATATTGTTTACTGGACTTTCATTAAAATTTTTGGTAGTAAAATATTGGTAGCGCGGTGCACGTTAGTTTTAAACAACGTTATTACTAACTTTTTTAAATTACAGTTTTGTTACTGTTTTGGATTTTGTTTAAAAGATATGGCAACAGCAGTGTCAATTGCGATTCACGTGACGTTTCACTATGTTCTATTTGTGTTCCTCTATCTCAGTTTTCCATAACATTACGATAAAGGTTGAATGTAAATTTCCGAATTATGTGTTTTACAGCTAAAATGTTTTACGTTGTGCGTGCTCTTAATGCCAATTCGGTGCTGTAGGTTACTTTTAATTAGTGCAACAAGTGAATCGGTTTTTTATTTGTTTGTTTACGGAGAAGATTACATCAATTTTGATTTATGAATTTGGTAAGTTGTTGTATTTCACGCGCACTTCTACTCCCATAATTGCATTCGATCCGGAATTTATTAATTTAATAGTAATTAATACATTTTCATTAAGTTATACCTGCGTCGCCCACTTGATTTGTGGTATGCCAAACGTCAAGTGTGACGTCAAATTTGACGCCCCCGTCGACTTTTCCAAAATTTAAAATCGACTTACGCTCGTTTTAGGTATGTAGGTACGTGTAATTGAGTTTGTGAGCTCATTTTTGAGAAAAATTCGACATTGGAATAACATTCCGAAAGTTTTGAAAGGAAATCGAACGTACGTCATATGCTGTTATCAGTACATGTGTATGTAAATAGGCATGAAGTTGAGGAACGTTCTTTTTTATAGTAGGCTATTAATAAGCTGTCAATATTGATATTTACTTGTTTGTTCTTATTTGTTTAACATTAAACTCGATGATAAAATGATTGAGGCCGGTAGGTTGAGGATTTTTTTTAGTGGGTCGTTGTTTTAACACAATTTACTGTCGAAAAAAATATTAAGTAGTTGGGTGACAAATTGTGTTATTTTTTGTTTCAAAACTCATTAATCACTACTAAATGCAGGACAGTTGAATACACAAACATAGCGCACTGTATTTATTTTCGTAAAATCCACCAGAGGACGAAATTTCGGTCAAATATATAATATGCTATTTTATTTTAATAATTTTAAAGAATTGTGAAAGTCGATTTTTTTTAACCTTTTACATTTTATTTACCTGGTTAATCTACTGCATACTTACTAATTAATGAATTCAGTAGTATGAATCATTTCAATAGCACTTTCGTTAAAGTTAAAAAACAGTTAACTGTACAGGGCCGGAGTAGCCCATATAGACTTGAGAGAATGGCACCAAATGGGTTTTTCCATAACTATTTGGTGTGTTGAACAAAGAAAGATCATTAAAATTAACAGTGTGAAAGTTGCAATCTGTCAATGTCATCCTTTCTTTTACTACCTAATTTTTCTACTAACATGCATTAAACTGTATACGGTAGCAGTAGATTAAAAAGAGGATATGTATATAGAGACATTAGTAGTATAGAACCATTTGGTCGAAATACAAAAATCCATTATACTTTTTATTTTTGTTTCCAGTTGAACCATAATGGCCGGCCATGTTTGCCGGGAATAAGCGACAGTCGTCAAACGTCAGAGTTATGCAACTGTTCCATGAACTCAAACAGCAATTCCCGACCATTCCCGACCACGTCGTCACCTCCTGCATAACCACCTACATCCAATCGAACCACCAAGAGACCACCATCGCCGACATACTGGCGAAGGCGCTGGCCGACGGCGCTCCGGCCCCGACGGGACGCCCCGCCAAGCAGCCGGAGCCGCCGCGATCGGTCGCCAAGCGCCCCGACCGGCTCGACATCCGGCCCCAACCGATCGCCGACGACCGCCTCGCGTCGGACAAGCGCAAAGACGTTCGCGCGTGGCTCAACGACGAATTGAGCGAGAAACCGCCGCGGTCGCCGTCGACCGCGAAACGGCTCCCGCTCAAACCGGCGCCCGTCGCCAAACCGGACGCCAGCAAGCGGGAGACCTGCTCGACGCCCACCCAAACCACGGACACTCTAATGGCGGCGGACCGGCCGCTGTCCGGGCTCCACGTCAACGTGAACTGCTCGGTGGACGTGGTGCGGAACCGCATGGCGCCCACCATCGAGTTCACGCAACCGTGGACGCGGCGCAGCCCGGAGCCGAGGGGCATCACCAGCGTGAATTTGACGGTGCGGTCGCCGACGGCGGGCGGGGCGCCGCGCGTGCCGGCGCAGAGCCGGCTGCAGATCACGCTGGAGCCGGCGAGGCGCGGCGCGCGCCCCCGGCCGAGCAGCTACCACCAGGAGGAGCCGCCGAGGGAGCTGGGGCCGGCGAGGGCGGGCTCGCTCAACGATTTGGACGTTCGCTGCGCACGTAAGTTTGGGCCGATGCGGCGGCGAAATGGGAATCGTTTCGTACCGCCGGCCTTGTCGAAGCGAAAATAACAGTTCGCCAATCGCGTGGGCAGGCGGCCGTTTCGATGGTATATTTAGAAAACGCTCCGGCGGGATAGAAAACACCTCGCTCGTAAACGTTGAAATGTTGATACCTGTGGACTTTGTTTCGGCAATTTACTACACGGGAACGTCCTTCGATTTTTTCCGAGACGCGCGACCTACAAAACGTATTCGTATCTAGGAAGCGCTGTTTACGAATAATTACATTTAAATTTTCGTTATCGAATTATTAGGGACTAATTGCAACTATATTGTCGGGTGCACCCGAAATTACTATTTTTTTTGCATTGTACGAGAATAAGTAGGACTTTAAGATGCGTTCGATGATACATAAGCACAAACTATCAAATTGACATTAATGACATTTCGTACGACAGAAGTTTAATAGAGGTGGGACACAAATTTATGGTATAGAGGTGCAGTAACGACTGTTACAAAATACGCGTTATTTTTTAAATAATCGCCCTCTGCTCGAATTTCGAAATTAATTTAATATTCATATTTCGGTGTGGGATAACGTACGATCCAAACAGGTATGATCATTTCGGCTTGGTAACTCCGGCGCACCGTTATTTTCTAACAAAACCCCCTTTGAAATCGTTTTATTTTTGTGCAGCGCCCGTAATCCTGAAACAGAAGGCTCGAATAGAAAGATTGAGGGCGGAATTGAACGCCGAAACGGCCAGACTGGCGGCGATAAAGCGGGAAATCGAAGAATTGGAGAGGAGCAGACGGGAATACGAGAATGTCGTCGACACGGAGAAGAAACTAATCAAGGACATTAAACATTTACGTTATCAATGTAAAATACTGGAAATTGATAGTGAGTATTGTGATGTTAAAAGGACTGTTTAAACTGTTGATTAGAGTTAAAAAGGAGTGCTGGATATTTGCCATAAATAGTACTTTGTACCAATGGTTCTTCTCTAAAATTTGACATTTAGGTGTGGTTTAATTAATGATGGTTTTTGTTTGAAGGCGATGCATTTTACAACAACATTTACACCGGTCAAACGATCAACGAGTTCCCGACGCCGCCGGCGCGTCTGCGCCGCCAAAGCCGCGTCCACCAAACGGACGACGGTCCGAAATGGAACTGTCACGTATGCACATTCCTGAACCATCCGATACTGGACAAATGTGAGCAGTGCGATTTCCCCAGGATATTACACGGTACGAAAACAGAGGCAGTCAATGCCCGCCTAACCGTTGAGCGTTTGTGCATGCCTAACAACGGCCGCGCCGCCAGATCGCTCAGTTTGAATAGCCCAGCGCACGGGCAGGTCACGCGCCCCATCGGGTTCGTGCTGGGCGACCGGGAGGGCGCCGCGACGCCCGGACGCGCCGACGCCAGCCGCTCCGTGCCTAACATGCTCCAGAACTACTTCGATGGCAACATAGATAATTGATATTTTTCAGTGAATCGACTAGAAACTTAACGTTTGTCTCAACTAGTTTTATTGTTATACATATCTTAATCCTACGAGGGATAGGAATGGATTAAAACTATTGTGTTGCATCCGAAATGTGCCTTCGGGGTTGTCAGATCGCGAAACTTATGTATTGACAATAATCACTGCGAAATCTTACAACCTTTAAGTATATTTAGAAAAAAAAAGTTTGCCTGTGATGTGTTTTGTTTGCATTCTTAATGCTTTTATTGGTGTTGCAATTAACAAATAGAAAAGTGATCGATGAATATGGCTGTACAAACATTCCAATTGATATATTAGAAACTGGGATGTCGGTAATATTGTACTTAATTTCAATCAAATCTAATAAGTCGCGTGAAATATTGCTCGAGAATATTCGTATTGTATACTCCTGAATATTTATAGATTATCGCTGTATTTTGTAGAATTTTTATATAATTCGAACACGAAATTGATCGAAATGTACGTTTGTATTCTACTGTGAAATATACGTTTTTTTTTTTTAATTTCTGTAATATCTTTTTGTTTTAGTTTCAGCTTCACCTGGGGATAATATTCACATACATGTTAGGCCGAGAATGCCAAGACGTAAGGCTTTCGATTAAATGCATCATTAGCTAATCCTATAATATCTCAAATCAATATAATAGACTTCGTAGAAACTTTTATAGACATGGCTCGTGATACGTTTTTACCTACATTAACACCAACGTGTTATTTCCTCCGCTTTTTTATACTAAATTGGTGAATTAACTCGACGCTTAATCCCGCACGCAATTATTTTTCCTCGTATTAAACCGATACTTTTTGTTTTTCAGGAATTACGCATTCATGGGTATTGTAAGGATGATTTCAAATCTAACTAAACCGGAAGCTAATTTTATATTTTCAGTTATAATTTGTTTTTCATCCCTAAAATTGCTCACAAGATTTATTTTTTAAACGGATATTTAAGTTACTGTTATACTTCTGTAAATATATGTTATTTATTTTGATCATATTAAAAGCGATCGCTTATTTTGATACTCGAACAGTTTCATTACGAACAAAGCCTTTAATTATTTACAAAAAATTATAAAAATATTATTTCGCTTATCAAAAATATATCAAGTTTTCTGCGCCTGCTTGATGTAACCGCTCATAACATTGATAACTTGTGGTGATATAGCGTCGGAAGTCTCACCGTGGAATTCCTTTAAAATCCCTTGTTCTCGGTAGAACTCTATTACAGGCCTCGTCATTTCCTCATACACAGCCAATCGCTTTTTCACCACCTCCGGTTTATCGTCTTCTCTCTTCGTTAGCGGCTCTCCAGTCACATCATCGAAGCCCTTAAATCGAGACCATTAAAAATGAATACTTGTCATTTTGTAGATATTACTAACAGGATTTTTGGGTATGTTAAAAGTCGAGTTATAAGCTCTACCGCTGGGCAAGTGCACCATTCTGCCTTCGACTCGCTCTAAAATTACACTGAACGGAACTACTAAATTAATAGCGAGATCCAATGTTTCTCTTTTCCACAATTGTTGCGCTTGCTGGAGAGTCCTCGGGAAACCTTTAAACAACCGTTCTGAATTAAAAGATTTATCAATAAGATTGTAACATACCATCTAGTAACCAAGAATTTGATCTGACTTTACTAAGCTCTTCTGTGATAAACTTAATCATCAGATCATCGGGAAGTAATTTGCCATCGTTTATGTACTTTGTTGCTTCCAAACCGATAGCTGGAAATGAAGAGGATGATTGTACGAAGTGATTGTAGTAGTAATTAAAAGTATTTACCGGTTTTTTCTTTTATATTTTGTCTCAGCCGATCACCACTGGATATGTATTCCATGTTGAAAGCTTTGATAATTCTGTTCGAAATTGTACCTTTCCCTGAGCCGGGAGCCCCTAATATCACAGCTTTAAGTACAGTATTCATGTTTGCGATGTGAAATTTACACGAAATTTTAAAGTAAGTACATCTATTTTAGTTTATAAAAAATACAAAATTTAAAATGTACGTAAAATAACAGATTTAACTCATATCAATAGACTCTGACCTGTGACGTAGGAATCATAATTCCAATTGGTATTTGTTTTCCATATGATTTTTTCGAGGAGTGGGCATTTTATTTTTATTTGCATACCATTTTAATTTTTTTTAGGTTATTATTTACTGTCAACAATGTCAACGTCAGTTTACTGTCAGTTGATGACCGAATAACCTAAGTGGCCGAGAACTCAACAAAATAGTAGAAGAAGTTAATTTACATAACCTAGTTTGTTTTCGATAAATATTTGTTACATTTTATAGATTCGCCGTTAAATATCAGTTCTGGTATGCAGTGATTACAAATGCTTTATAATTGATTGCCTAAGCATGACGTTGGGGACACCTTCGGACGTTCCTGCGGAGCAAGTGCACTCTAAAAGCATCATCGTCATCCATCCGGGTTCGTTGAATTTGCGGATCGGCCGGGCTTCGGATTTGAACCCGTTGACGACGCTGCACGCCATAGCGCGCAGGAGACTAACCGGCGGTTTCCAATACAGGGACAGCTTCTTACCGGAACGGGTGGATCTCAGCCAACTTCCCGAATTGGAAGAGGCCCGATTGGCTGTTTCGCATACCCTACAATCCTGCTTGCAGTCCGACGGAAGGAGGAGGTGAGTTTTTTTATTATAAAATACTTGTTTTGTTATGTTTGTTTGATTTTAGGTATGCTACTCCACCGCAACAAATCGCTGCGTTCAATCGGCGGTCTCAGCCAGAACTGGTTAGTGACAGCGGAGGTGAATGGGTGAAACCCGAAGGGGATGTAGTTATAGGTAACGACATCTTGAGGCTGGATCCGAAGCAAGACTTTAACATCCATTTTCCATACAAACGTGGAGACCTCAACGTACATTCGGAAGCAGGTAAACGATGATTCAATTACTGTATTGTTTTGTTAAATGTATTTTTTAGGCGGTTCGTTAACGGCTATAATGGCAGACGTGGAGGCTATATGGACTTACGTATTAGAAATGAACTTGCATATAAACAAAAGCGAATTGAAGAATTACAAAGCAGTTCTGGTAATACCGGACGTGTACAATCGAACGTACCTCAGGGAACTGATGTATTTGTTGCTGAGCAAAATGGGATTCGGGCAGTGTTTTTTGGTACAAGATCACGTCGCTGCGACCTTCGGTTCCGGCCTAAGCTACGCCTGTGTAGTCGATGTCGGGGATCAGAAAACGTCCGTTTCCTGCGTCGAAGACGGAATATGCCATCCGAATACAAGGTTCGAACAATCCCATTCATTGTACACCTCGTATCACCCTCTATAATTATTTTGAAAGTAATCGTTCGATTTATTTTTAGAGTTCGGCTCGAGTACGGCGGAGGCGACATAACGCAAATATTCTTCTGGTTGTTGCAAAAGTGCGCGTTCCCTTACAAAGAGTGCAACGACAAGAACAAGCTGGACACCATGTTGCTCAGGAAATTGAAAGAGGACTTCTGCCACGTGAACTTGGACGTGTGCGGGTCGCAGGAGAAATCGTTCGTGCTGAAGCAACCCGACATGGCCGTCTACCATTTCACGATACAGGTCGGCGACGAGTGCATCATCGCCCCGTTGAGCCTGTTCAGTCCCGAATTGTTCGCCATAACGGGCGCCAAGTCGATTCAAACGCAGAAGATTTCGACGGGCGATCCGGGGGATCCGCACGACGACATCTACCTGCGGGACATACGTAAGAAAGGCATCAAGGAGAGCCTGGATACGGCTAACGCGGATCTATTGAGCGATACGTATCTGGATAACCAGCAAAATAATTCGAACGAGGATGATATAGTGGTGGATGCGATGGATCCGGTCGCTCCGGCGTCCGTTAGAGAATTCGTGACGAATCCAGGACAGATTCTGGGTTTGGACCAAGCGGTGCTTCAGAGCATCGATAGGTGTCCCAATGAGGAGATCAAGAGGAAGATGTACGGTTGTATTTTGGTCGTTGGTGGTGGAATGAAATTCTCAGGTAAATAATTATAAATTTTCGATAGCTTTGTACTTAGGTGGTTTGTTTTAGGTATCGGTACTTGGTTACAAAATAGGATATCGCTTCAAATACCGTATTTGTATCGAGCGGAACAACTGGATATAGTGACGAATCCTAGAGATATGGATCCGGCGATGGTGGCCTGGAAAGGTGCTTGCATCATGTCTTGCTTGGAAACGGCCCACGAGCTGTGGATTCAAGCGGAAGAATGGGAGAAATTCGGCGTTCGCGTTCTAAGAGAACGGGCTCCTTTTACTTGGTAATTTTTTCATATAGGGGGCGTTGCAGACTGATTAGATGTGTCAAGTACAGAGGTAAGTACTGGCTTGATTTACTTGAATAAGGAAATCTCGATATGAATTCCATATTTGAAGAAAACGTATTACTTCGGAGTTTTTGCTTTAAGTTGATTTTGGTAAACACACTTTCGATCTCAAAAAAATAAAGCATTGTGTTTAGTTTGTTTTTTTTTATTTAAATATTTACACAACATTAAGACAAGGTAATTTTATATATACAGTAAAGGGTTACCTTTTTTTTTCGATTACTATATAAAAAATATGATATTACTAAAAAATTATGTAACAAAAATGTGAATTTTGTGGTGAATGAATTTTCGGAAATATTGCTAAATCACGACTTTGGTAAACTTTATGAAGCGCCTTGTGTATTTTTTTTACGAATGAATTACAAAAGGATATTAAAATATTGTAATTTAGTTATCATAAGTTTACCAAAACCACTGCGGAGATGTTCTAACAATTCGGGAATTTACCTATTACTTAAAAATAATCTATTGGAAAATTGCGATATGAAAACACTCCTTCAACGTCCGCTTATTCGAAAAAAAAAATCTATATATTTAAATTATACGAATGAACATTAAAAGTAGCATAGGGTGCTTTAAAACACGATTGTTGTAAGTACAGCTCACGGAACGAGCCGTGATCGGGGACAACAAAGGAAACGCCCGGAGGAACAATTTTCATGGATTAAATTTAGTTCAATCGAAGGATTCAAGACTCGTTCTGTCACCTGCAACAATTTTACACTAGGTCAATTTTTTTATAATTGCAATCGTTTCCATTTCCTTTCTAATTTATATAGTTTTGATAGTTTCTTTTAGTTTACAATACTCTTTTACATTTACATTGTCGTATTCGCAAGTAGAAGTTTTAAATAGGATTAGGGGCAAGTAGGTATAGAAAAGTCGACCTAGGTTTTATAATCTATTGTCTTTAATATAATATAGAAAATTAAATTTCACCCTGTATTGAATTTTGGATGGCCTCGGAAGGCCTTCTAGCTCATAAGTTACATAGAAGCTTCTCGTTTATAGTAGTTTTCTACTAAACACACAGTATTTTTTTATCATCAATTCAAAGATAGCCTTGTTATGAAACAATTCCAAATGATTTTCAGATTTTTAAATCCTATTTAAGAGTATTTTAATTAAGTACTACCAATTGACGAATAAAATAAATGCAGAAAACTTAACATATTACAGTAATTTCGGCTTTCTCCTTTGAATCGACTTATAGTTTAAATCAAGTTTTATTACAAAAAATGGTAAACGCTATCTACCGATGGTATTATAAAAAATTTTTGAACAATCGAAATGAATTTTTTATACTTATTATACAACAAAATACACAAAGTCAGTCTAGATATGTACAATTAGTCATTCATTTTATCAACATTATTTTCAACGTTATTTTTAATTAGCTTAACTTTTTGAGTTGAGAAATTATTACCAGTACTGTTTATGTGAATAAAGGAACAAAATAAGGTAAACTATCTAAAAATAACGTCAACAAATAAAGCCAATTCGTTTAACACGAAATAGTCTTCTTATGTTTATATAATATTTATATATATTCAGTAAGGTTCTTTTTTCCTATTTTTTCATGTCACACATTAAAATTTTCTCGCGAATTTTGCCACGTCAAAATAGGAAATTCTTTAAGTTTACCTAAAAAAAACGATAAAAATATATAGTGACACCTGTATCCAAAATCATTACTATACAATCGTTGCTTCATCAGAAGTCACTTAAGTGGTATCATATTCACTAAAAACTATTTCCTCACATCAATTGCACGCATTTTTTTTCTTCAATGAGCAAGACGATTCCAATAAATCGAATCGTCGAACAAAGGAAAGTAGCTAATACAAAAGTTTCATTTTTCGATTTAAAACTAATAGTAAGTAAAATATAATAGAAACAAATTTTTTCCCTTTAAATTAGCGTACTTTCTATCCGCGACTAATTAATAAAAAAGTAATCATTTTCGATTCATCATACACGTCGAAATAAATTCGTATTACTTAAATAGTAACTATGTTACGAAAACTTTTGTGCTCATTCATCGAAATAAAGTTCTCTTTTTTTTTCCACAAAAAGGAAGTTGGCCCTTTTTCGCCAAAATAAAATATTACACAAAAATTTTGCGAAATGCAGGAAAACAGCTCAAAAAGGGGTGGAAAACTTAACAAAATCACATTTATGAAAAACACGGTTTTTATCACTTCTCTAATCAATTATAATCTAACTGTGATTCCTCGGTCGAAGAAGGTATCAGTTTGAGAATAATCCAATTGGAATATTGAGTTAAAAAAAATTAAAATTATTCTCGTATTGCAACTAATTAAATAAAAAAAATACTACTATCCTTTAATCGATTACTATCGTTTCTTTTACTCACAACTCGGACAGTTACAATGTACAATGCTTTAGGTATAACTACAACAGTGACGTACGTGCGCGATTTTCCCAAATAGTACATACTGCGCATAGTAACCTTACGTCCACAGCTATTCCTATCGCACTGTGCAAAGCATTTTCGCGAAACACCACATTTACTTATCCGAATGATCCTCCTCAAACTGAAGCCAACGATCAGCCGACTTCGATAATAAAAAAAAACGTATCTACCTAGCAAATTAAAAAATATGTCACTATTAAAAACGCATTTTATTCGGTGCAGTTTTCTCACTTTTTGAGCCGCGGCGCCGTCGGCGGATCTTTGGAAGCGCTACCTCGCCTAGGAAGCGGGCCCTGGGCACCCGTCTGCCCGCTTGGAGGTACCATTGCCGCTCTGGAGGCGCTTCCAAAACAAATAAAAAAATCCAATCTAGATAAAAGTCATTTCTCCCTATCGCCTCGAGTAGTCTTTGCGAAACGTCAAATCCACAAAAGCTACCTACGGGCGAGTCTAGTAAAAGGCTAAGCAACTCACTTGGCTTGTTGGGACGTGCTCAAATCGGACGTGGAAGCGTTCGGAGCTCCTTGACTGGCCCTAAGTCTCATGGAAACCCTCCGTTCGTGACTATCGTACATCCTAGGTGAATCTACGAAACGGACAATATAAAACGGATCGCTTTCGAAACACTCGGAATAGACTCACTGCTGGTGATGACTTCATCGAGCACATTTTGGGCGGTAGCGTTACCCGATGTCACCAATTCCATGCGAGCGTCGTGCGGCCTCCGCGTCCTCGACAGCGGCGCCGCCGGCGACGAATCGGCCGCGATGCCGGCCCCGTGACCGCCGTACCTGGTGCCCGATCGGCCGCCCCCGCCGCCGCCGTTCTCCTCGCAATGGCTGCCTCTCGAACCTCCTTAAACACAACAAACAATTCGTAAACGTGCCGTATATATCGAGCTCCAATTGTCTACCAGGAAACGGTACTAGAATGGACTCGTCGAGATATTACAGGGTGCTTCAAGTGGTTAGTGTGCTTACCGAATTTGAGCATATTCCAATCGAACACGTAGTCGTACGTGAAGCCTTGCCTATGAAACAGGGTCCTAAATAATTGTCTTAAATAACTGTAGTCCGGCCTCTCTTCGAACCTCAATTCCCGGCAATAATTCAGGTAAGTGGGAAATTCTATTGGATAGCCCTGTAACGGCAAACATTTCGAATTACAATCGAAATTTTCGATCAATACCATTCCGAAAAGGCGAAATTAGTTTTTATGAATCGCCACCTTACCTTACATAACTCTTCTATGGGAGTGGACATTTTCTTTTCCGATATTCTTTCGTATTTCTGCCGCTTATTGGCCGCCTTCAGGCCTTGCCACGGTAACGAGCCTCGATTGAAGTACATTAAAACATAACCTAACGATTCCAAATCATCGCGCCTAGATTGTTCGATACCTAAATGAGTATTTATACTCGCATACCTAGCAGTACCTGCAAATAAAATAATTATTAAGCCTCGCGCATTAAATAACGTAAACGCTCGAAACCTTACCAGTTAAATTCTTATTTTCTTTATAAGGTATGTGCTGGTGAGTCCTACCGTCCCTGTACTTTTTCGCCAGACCGAAATCGATTATATACACTAGATTCCCCTTTTTGCCCAAACCCATGAGGAAATTGTCCGGTTTGATGTCCCTGTGGATGAAGTTCCGCGAATGGATGAAGTCCGTGCGCGAGATCAATTGATCGGCCAACAGCAGGACCGTCTTCAGCGAGAAGCGACGCGAACAGAAATTGAACAGGTCCTCCAACGACGGGCCGAGCAGCTCCATCACCATCACGTTGTAATCGCCCTCCGAGCCGCACCATTTTATCTGCGGTATACCCACTGGAACAAACAAACGAAAGCTTCAAAATCGAGATACATTTCAAATCTACAGGGTGGTGTAAATTGTACGAATTAAAGAGCAATTGGACCCGCTTTAACCTTAAAGCCGCTCCAACTTGACAGATTTACATTGTTGTTATGGAGTAACTAAGGAGATTCTTTCATTTGACAGATTTACATGGTTGCTATGGAGTAACTAAGGAGATTTTTTCAAATTGACAGATTTACATTGTTGTTATGGAGTAACTAAGGAGATTCTTTCAAATTGACAGATTTACATTGTTGTTATGGAGTAACTAAGAAGATTCTTTCATTTGATTCGATGATTTAGATATTTTTTTTTCGTCTACAATCGAATTTATTTATGCAATAGTTCGATTAGCAACGAAAAGAGTAAATAACGTAATGGTAATGAAATGCGAACGCGCTAATCGGCATTTCAAATATCCACGAATTTTTTCCGTTTCTATTTCGCTAATAATTTTTATAAACGAGCGAGTTTTTATGTAAGCGCTTAAATATTTATTTATAATTTTTTTTCTCTCGATTCGTTTAGTTAATGCATTCGGGATATTAGTGGAGTGCGAGGTTTTTACAAAAACAAAACGTTTATTAATAGAATCGGCTTAAAATTAAACCATCTAGTATTCGTGAAAGAATCAAACTTCCACTTAAAAACGTAGTAGGCAATTATAAATAGAAATTCAAAAGTCGAAACGACATTCATTAATTTTATCGGCGACTTTTCCCCAACCCGTAAAAAGATCAAAACAATTTTATTACACCGCGCTCAAATTGATCAAAAATTGGGTACTTTTTTTTTCGAGTAGTTGGCAATGCGCACCAACGCCTACTCGATAAAATCAGCACAATACAATGAATGCATAACAAACAACACAATACTTGACGTCAACGGACAACTTTTCAAAAAATAAAAAAAAAAAACAAATCCGCAATTATTAATGAAATAAAACCACGATAAATGGTTTCCTTTATGATACAAATTACAACCGGTAATATCCGTTTAAAAGACGAATTACCAATCGCTCTAGAGCTTTTATAAAAACAAAAAAACGCGACCGTATTAAACTCGCTTCGATGAAACTCGCCTTTATTCCAAGAGAATCTTTGTTACTAGTTACTATATTTAATCGTTATAAAATATAAAGCATTACGATTAATTTTAGCCTCTTTGTTGCGAAGGATTCCACTCGAAAACGTGCATTTTAAAGGGCAAGCGTAGAGCAACGTGAAAAATTAATAAACAAAAATAAAACGCACTACAATTTTATTATCGTTACATTAATTAACTCCTGCTTATACGTAATTATATAGGAGTTACCTTCAAAACCAACAATTACTTATTTATAACAAACAAATATGCACCAAAGTTTTCATTTTGCATCATTGAGATGATTAATTTGTTTAAATAACTCATTCAAAATATAGTCTAAAGTTATCAAAACTCCCTGTTATTGGAACTGATTGATTTAGAGGAATACAACCTATAGAACGACCCCATTAGAGATTCCAAAACGAAGTACTAATAAAGATAGCGTCTCCGGCAGTTCCTACTTCTTTCCTCTTAGTTAATGGCTCATTAAAGTATCCAAAGAAATAGGAACGCTCGAGGAACGATCCGTTACCGCTTGCCCAAATATTACCCGCTATAAATACTCGATTCTACTTCGATACGAAACAACTGTAGCAAGGTACGAATATTAGAATCGAGCATGACCAGGCGCGCGTTTTAATGTTACCCATAGCGAACGTTCACTCTTAGGTCACAAATACCATCCGGCGACGGACCGTTAGACACCGAGGAAAATGATTGTCTAATTCATCATTGTTTTTCGCCCAGGAATTATTACTCGTCCCTGAATTTCCGAACGCACTTGAAAGACGCGATTTTATGCAATAATCGAGCCATTGTTCGGTGGTTTCTGCGATTATGTTTGGAATTATGTAGTGGCATATCGACCTACAGACTCTGTTGCGTAATTAAATTACGGCAAACATCTAGGCTCGTCTAATATTCCGAATTTATTCGAAGCAATCCAGCGGCGATAGGGATGAGGAGGGAAATACGAGCGAAAAAATGCCGTGTATTTTTTTTTGTCCCGTTCGATTTTCTACATAGACATTCCAACGGCCGATAAATATTTTATATTATACAATTGCCGAGCCGGGCCGGGCGAGTACCCACACGGCACAGGTAGTATTCTTGATATTTCTGAATGATTAGCGTGAAGTATCGAGGTAGAAAGGTACCTGTTTTACTGGTTTTAATTCGTTCATAAACGTATAACCCGAACGGGGATTTATCTGTGAACGCTATTACTAGGATCGATGGTTTTTTTTTACAACGAATTAAAGGGATTTTAACTAAATATGTGGTTTGATTCGTTATTTTTAACTGGCGTGTGGGTTTCACAAGCGAGTGTCGCTCATTCGCGGTGACATTGATGGACATAAATCAACATATGCAATAAAAAAGTGGTCGTTAATACACTCGTGCCTTCGAGTGAAAAATGAAAGTGTAATAATTTTAGAATTTTTCTCCATTATATTCAAATTTTACCGTATTAATTTATTGATGTATTCGAAGGGCTTTTTTTTGTGTACATCCACATCGAAATTCAAGGAAGAAATGAAGGTGTTCAAGTTCAACAATCATTTGACTTAATTAGATAAAAAATGTGAGAAATATTAAAAAAAACTAATCAATTCCGATTTTGCTACTAGCTAATGAATATTTATTTCTTTTTTTCTACACCGCTAGACAATTCACGAGACGCCTTGAATCAATACCTCATGAATAAATCATATTTTTATATACAAATTGTTTCAGACTTCCTTAAACTTCACACAAAAAAAATGTTTCGAAACTCTTAAGACAAAACTGCATCGATAACAAACTCAACAATCGAGCTAGTGAGAATATTATAACATAATTACACTTAAATTATTGTCATTAAGCTATCCCGATAAAAACCAGTATTAGGAGATAAATTTAAAACAGATCACGATGAAAATATTACTTCGATCCATTCCATCTATTTAAATGCAACTTAAAACTAAAATATACACGAATTAATGCCGTTTTGTGGCGCAATAGTGGAGTAGAATTATCCGTATCATTCTTTAATAGGTTTTGTACCTTCCTGCAACGTTCCCACAGGCATTATACAAGTTTATCATTGCATGTTCGGTGATATCCAACCATTAAGAATCAAACAGAATTTCCATAATCAATAATCTAAATAATGATCAACAGGTTAAATGAGGTGAACGAAGATACTGGCCCTTTTTTTAACGGCTTCCAGCCAACAAATATCTGTTCGAAGAGCCCGTTTAGCGAGGTTTTTTAATGAAACTGCCCCCGTTTCGGAATCGTCCAGAGGTTAAACGCTATAAAAGATTATTTGTTTACGTAAAACCAATTATAACAAAACATTGATAACGCTCCGTTATAAATTGATTTTTAAACTATTAACAATAATTGTTTTATGCCAATACGAATGGAATTGAAATAGGATAATGAACTCGATCGGTGATAAATCGGAATGCTCTAATCAAGGTAAACAATCGTTCGAGTATTAAATATTAATATGAAGTATTTTGTGGTTAATAATACTTACGGACTGGATGTTATCTAGTACTAATTAGTGGTTAAACATTGAAAATTTGAATGTGAATAAGTAGAAATAGCGCCAAGTACTCGATAAAAATTTATGTAACGTGTTTATTGTGAGATGCAAAGCATTCGGGTAAACAAAACGGTATTAGCAATATCGAATATCGATGAGCAAAGTTATGAGAAAAATCCTACATAAATAAGTACAACTATGCGTATTTTTTGCGAAAAAATGAAGGAAAAACAGTCACCTAGATGTAACAGATAGCAATTAAATTATTGTAAGTTACCTTGAATCGCAAGGAACTTGCGAAATAGAAAAATGATCGTTTAGAGGTTAATGTAAAATTTAATATTCATGGATTATTTCATAATTTGTGGTCTGTTGGGTGACGGAAAAAATTGCACTTACCTCCGCCCTGCATCATTTTGTAAAATTTTGATTCTATGTGAAGCTGTGGATGTCTCGTTTTTATACATTCTAATTTAATAGCTACTTCTTCGCCTGTAGAAATATTGGTTCCTGTAACAAGTAACAGTGGCATTTCAGTTACAAGCCCAGTTTAACTCGGTGCATCTATTGTTTACCACGAAAAGTCTGTTAGAAAACTGCGAAACTTACCTAAGTAAATGTCTCCAAACGAACCGGATCCTATTTTTCGGCCTAGCCTATATTTGTTGCCCACTCTCAACTCCATGTTTTAATAAAAAAAATATAATTTTACACAACAAAAGACATGTAATGTATAGTCGTCTTTAGGCGGCCATGTTATATTAGCCAACTATCATAGGAAATTTGACATAATCTAGCTGGCTTATTTGCACTTTTCACAAAAACCACGGCTTTAACGCAACAAAAGTTCAACGTATACTTTCTAAATCAAAATATATCACAGCTATGTCATTATTAAACTTTAAACACGACGAAGTTCACAATTTTCCCTTTCATAATAATCGGGATGACACATTCCAGAAAACTGAGAAATAGATGTGTCTAGTTTTAAACTAGGTGCAACAAGCGACAACCTACCGATGATTCGTCGTCTCTGTCTAACCCGCGTTGCCGGTTCACCGAACAGCGACCGGTTGGTCTTTGATTACTTCGTTGACGGTACTCTGGAGGCGAAATGCGGAACTAAATATCCAAAACACCAATCGAAGCACTCTTTCTTTTCGGCGCCTTAAAACCACCAGATTTTGAATTCGTCGAATTCGAAAACAGGTGCAATTTATTTATAAATGTTTTTCTCTTATTTTATATTTAAAATTGGAACAAAATACTCGTTATTTCAATGAAAATAGTTCTACAAAAGTTTCCATATTGCAGGTAAATATTGTATTACATTTTGACGTTTTAAATGGCACGATCGATTAGAAACATCTGTTTTTATATCTAATTATTAAAAAATAATGGCTTGTTGTTGCACAAAAATAACATTATTTCTTCTTTCTCTCTAGTTACTTGCCAAAAAAAGCTATTTGAAAAAAAAATTAAAACAGAAGAGGACACGTAAGAATTGGTTCGTTAGCTACCTTTGAAGATGTTATTCAGCTACATTTCTTCCAAAAGTTTGTATTTTTTTATAATTTCCATATGTCTTGTTATATTCATCCTCCATTTTTACTTCTTACCTTATTCCCTTTGGATCCATCGAGCTTAAAATAACAATTAAAAGTAACATTGAATTAGAATAAAACCAGGTGCTCGTAATAAAAAAATTTATTCACTGTAGTGATGCTTTGTCGGATGACCATCAATAATAAAATTCTAATAAAAGTGAATACACAATGAATAACACAAAATACTTAACAAAATTTTAACGCCGTAAGTTCAATGTTTGTTAAAATAATCATTGATTCTTCGATATACGGTTGCCTGTATAAAAATGACGAACAATTAAGTTATTAAACTTTGGAATATGATAATAATTAAATGGCAACCAGTATATCGAAGAATATCGCGTTCACAGTCACTCGAAAACCTCCACCAATTTATTTCTGAATAGAAAAGCTACTGCAATGAATCTCTCACCACAGTCTTCCATTTCAAATAGCAAGTATTTTAACAAATTATAAACATTCTGATTACTCAACTGATCAAACATTACACAACTGTGGCCAAAGATCTAATGAAATGTGTATATACGAAAAACATTCAAGCGAATACTGAATAATAAATCAATTCACTTCTGTATAGTAAAGAGAGAACTTCACAGGGCGAAATTTATAAATCGTGATCAAAATAGTTGCAACCCCATTATATTAATTTATTAATACAAAAATGTTAAATATAAGTATAAAATTTTTATTAAAATCTATCGTCTAGATTTCAAACCTAGACCAGTATTTCTTGTCAACACGCTGTCGTTTCGAAAGAATAATGGTCCCGGATTTCTGTCTTAAACGCTAACCTAAGTACAAAACACAATACTTCCATTTTTGACGAAAAAAAAAAACATATAAATATATCTGCGAAAATAATAAAAATACTATAAACAACTCGACAAAGAATATATAGTGTAAATGAAATATGAAGAAAGGAAATACTGATCCCGGTGATATGGCATGTTTATTGACCATTTTTATCTTTGAACCCTTTCGCGATTAAGAATCCTCTTCAGCCAACGCCAAAGGAGCTCGAAGTAACAAGTCGCTCACTTGAATCGCTTTAACCTGGAAAAAAATACATAATAATTAATAACTCAACTAATTTAATTGCATTACAATTAAAAGAATCATGCTCTTACACTATTACACGTATCTGATCAATTCATCAGTCTATTGGATAAGAGATTAAAATATTCTAATCATGTGTGATGTAGGAAGAACAGTACAGGAAAGGGTTAGAATAAAGTTAAAGGGAAGAATAATGTGAATAGAAATTTAAGGATATTGTAGCTAGTAATAAATACAAATACCAAAACCTTCTGTTAATAAATACTCAAAATCATTAGTTATTTGCTCGTAACGATGTAGTAATTTAAAGAAAGATCTAACCTCTAAACTTGCCGGTGTTCCATCCTCCTGACTTTCTATAACTACAAAAAGCAACAAAAAAAAAAACGAATTTAAAGCCATGAGAAACGGTGAGAAACATCACAATTATGTTTAAGAACTCAAAAATATTTAAAAACTGTTTTCCTTCATCAACCGAAACAGACAGTTTAAGTATTTAAAGTAGCAAATGAAGAGTAAAAGTGTGGTTAAAAATAAATTGTGATGTGAAAGTGAAACGGAAACAAAGCAACAGTCTTAAAATGCGCTCCCACAGAACCACAGAACGCAGAGTTTAAGCCACACACCACGCGCGTGCTCATAAACCCCGCGCGATCAATTTAAGACCATTACTTCGAAGTGAAAAATAAAATGAACCAGCACATCGAAAAAAAAAAAAAACATAAAACAAAGCAAACACTCACTAGCTTCCTGACCTGCCGACGTCGCCGTCGTGGTAATACTCGCAACGACGCCCTCTTGCGTCGCACTATCGCTTAAAACGCCGGTCACTGTTTTCGCGACGGTCATATTGGTAAGCTTTCTCGCGAGATCCTCACCTGAACCGAGATGATCCTTGACGCTGTCGATGGTGATGTCGCCCACGCTGCTCGACACCGTCACGTTGTGCAACGTTTCGTCCCCGTTCGTCTTGACATCATCAGACTGTATATAATAGAAAGTAATCGCCACAATACGTTAGATAGAAACAAACGGTGGAATTATTACCTTGTCCGCCACGCTGCCCTCTTTGCTCTCGGCGTTGCCGTTGACCAAGTGCGCGTGACCGTCGGCGGACGTTTCCAGCGGCTCGCGCTCCGGCGACGAGCCCGCCTCGGAGACGTTGTCGTCGCGGGCGCCGGCCGGCAGCGGCAGGTAGCACCTGGCCATCGTCACGCTGCTGGTGGACAGCGACAGCCTCTGCAGCTCCGAGGACGAGTGCAGGTAGAGCGCTTGCGCGTCCTTGGTGAACACCAGCGACGATATCCCGCTGGAAATTTGGAAATCGGTTAATCGGCGGCGGTTAGATTCGGAGGAACGTACTTGATGTCTTCCTTTTTGATGGCGGCCGCGTTGAGTTGTCTTTTGAGTTCCGGAATGTTGAGGACCAGGCAATCGCCGAGGTTCGTCAGGCAGAGTAGATCGACTTCGGAATGTTTCACATCGTCCGTTTGGCAGGAGAAGTTCGCGAACGCCATCCTCCTCACTCGCGCTCCTGCGAAGATATCGAGTTATTTACCATCGCGGTATTTACGGAAAATGCAATTTGCTTATATACCTTCGTGCGCGGTCAGCTTGTATTTACAGAAGGGCTTCAAGTTGGGCAACGTGAATATTTTGAATTGCTCCTCGGAGGCGATGACGACGCGGTGGGCCTGCGTGGTGTCGGGCAGCGGGGCGACGCCCTTTTCGACTTCGAGCGGTTCCGGCAGGGGTTTGCTCGATCCGTCCAGGACGGCGATGCCTATCACCGGCGCCCGGTGTTTCAATTGGATCTCTTTGGCTAGCTGACAGGTGATGTCGTCCGTGTCGCGCTTCGACGTCGACGGTACCATTATCGTGAAGGCGTAGACGGTGCCGTTGTTCGTAGCTGCCCAAAGCGTCGGATTCGTATTTTGTACTGCAACCGATTAATTCCATGTATGTGAAGATGGAACCGAGTTAGAGCGATTGATTGGCGACAGAAATTGTAAACGCTTTTCTGATTATGAAAATGACCTCTTTTCGCCAGCTTAATTTGCTTTTTTTGCCGTAAATCGAATTTAAAAGTAAACTTGACAGATGTCTTTGATTAATTATTGACAGATGACAGATATAACAAATTGTTTGATTAACGTTTCCCGTTCGTTTGGTTTGAACGGAACTACACCAAAATGAGAGACTTTTTCGTTATTTAGACAAATTCGTTGTTTTTAATGGACGATAATAAAGGAAATTGCAATAATTCGCATAATATACGTTTCTTGGTCATTTATACTTACCAAAAACGGAAAAACGATCAAATTATTTTTAAAAAAACCTGCACTAATGACAGCGGCGATGAACAAACTTCGAACTGTCAAAGTTGTCATTTCCGTTACATACGTTGACATTTAATTTGATATACAGGGCGTTTTTTCATTAAGAAAATCAGAAAAATTGATATGCGGTATAGTTTTTTTTTTATCTTAAATAAAAAATATGGTAAGTAGAGTACTCACCACTGACTAAAAACGTTCGCGCGAAATACAAACACCGCACGTAGGAGGCCATGGAATCGTCGCTGGCCCTCGCCTCGATTTGTCGTTCGACAGGTTTCGCGTCGAGCGGATTCACCGGATCGTCGGCGGGCGCGGTTCTCTTACCCGCCGGCGACGTGGCCGTTTTGTCGTCTTTGTTGGGGTTCCTGCGCTGCGAGCGGCCCTTCCTCAAGCGCCTGAACGATTCCCGCAGCGATTTCTTGAACGATTTCCTGCGGGAGATCGGCGCATCGCCGGCGCCCGTCAGATCTGCGAAAAAGCGCCGATTAAATACGAAAATACGTCGATTAAGCGGGCGCGTTACCGTTGGGATTTAGCGTGCATTTCACCATGATGGGTTTGTTCCGGATGTAGTCGAGCAAGGCGAGCCCGTGGGCCGTACCGACCGCTACTAAACCCCAATCGGCTTGGAGCACGCAGCATGTAATGGCGGCGGGCGGGTGCACTTGAAGAATCGAATTCGCTTGGAAGCCTCTGGATTGTGCGATCGTTCCTAAACGAAAAACGCTATTAAACATACTTTTGAACAATCGGGGTTGATAAATCACCTTGTTTTGGGGTGAGCTGGCCGTGTCCTTTCCACACGAAACCGTCTCTATCGCTGACGATGTTCATCGTGGAGACTTTGAGCGGCGCCTCGAGTAGCTCGGTGTCGAATTTCGCCACGATGGTTTGACCGGCAGTACCGCTGACGACGAGCGTGCCGGATAGAGGACACAGCGTGATTTTCTTAACGGCCAATCGCGGATCGTCCGAGTAGGGATCGAATATGCCGATCTTCCTGAACGGCGGCCATTCGTCCTCCAAATCTTCCGGGTCCGGATGGACTTCTACCAACAAATCATAATATAGCATTCGTTGTAGTGGTAGTAATCGCGGGTATACCTTCCAAATCGTCTCCGGAGAAGAACTGAGCTGTGTTGAATTTGTAGATTAACGTTAAAGTGACTCCTCCGGCGTCCCAGAATTTGACAGTACCGTCTTCGTGGCCGGTGAGGAGGAGCTCCCTCTTGGGCTGGGAGCCTTTCGAACACAACAAACCGCCCCCGTCGATGGGCCACGGGCGGTTCGAATAGAGATGGCCCGTCTGTACTTTCCCGGCATCTTTCAAGTGCTCCCACAATTCCTCAGGTATACCTAGAAAACTCGACGATTAACTACTGGTTGTTTATTTTGTATTTGGAGATTTACCTGATACGTATTGACTGCAAGTAACCGCCGAAGCGTGCAACGGCGCTAAATAGGGCAAATTCAGCATTTTCCAGTTCTCGTCTTTCAAATCTATAGCTACCAGTTCCTCTTCGGCCAGAACCACGACGGTTTCGGGTTCGCCTTTACTAGCTGCGCTATTTTCCGTAACGTCGTTACTATCTGTACCGTTCTCTTCGTGGCTTCTAGATTCTATCAAAATAAAATCAATCACCTACAAAATTTGATCGATTTAATACGAGTTCTTTCGATGGTTTTTATTTATTCGGGTACGTGCAACTACAAACTAGTAAAGACAAGTAACGGGTTAACAATAATTAACAAAGGGTAAATTCCAGTTGGTATGCAAGTATTGGAATGTTTATAATTCATTGCAAAACACCAAAACGATGATCGTAAGACAAGCAATCCGTTCACAGCATGCATTTTCGTAAAGCTCATTTTAGATGACACGACTATCATGAAATTAACTCGTAAATTATTTAAGAGTCGTCCAAAATGAGCTCGACACAAAACTAGTTCAGTAAATTTTTAATTCGTAGACGTATCAAAACGTTTCGTCGTACGTACAAATCCATGCAAAACCCAACTATATACCTTATTTCCGAATTGTTCGGCGTCACTTTCATTATCACTTTCAGACTTTCGTATTCCGATCTGACCCAAAACGAAAAAGCAATCAACAACGTTTAAATTTCGATTATACAAATCTGTTAGTTTCAACTAATCTCGTCAAAAAAAGATATCATATACACGCCAATTTCGTTGGATAATAGAAATCCACAAAAGCTACGAAGCGACTCGATCGGGCGGAATTTACCTTGCTCGTGAAGTCGAAGGCCACGTGCTTGTCGCCGTGCGCCACCGACACCGTGTATTTGTCGCTGTACGTTCTCGGTAAACCCCCGGAGAAGACCAACAGCTGATCGTCGCCCAATCGCCTCGTCAGTATTTTCGGAATGGCCTTACAGGCGTACGGGCCGTACGTGGTTATCGGCTCGCCCACGGGCTTCTCCGATTGATCGATATTCCACTCCATGTAGCTGCCTAAAATGATAGAACCGATGTTAATTGAACCCCAAAGCGGTGGCAGGTTTTAATCCTGTAGGTAAATCGGGCGCAAAGAATGATAGATTCTACCCTAATCTACTTTAATCCAACTCTGTTTCACTCTATTCTACTTCCCTGTCCTCTAGTTCTGCTTTACTCTACACTCCTGTCGTCTAATCCTACTCTATTCTACTCAATTTTCCTCTCCTCTACACCACTTTATCATACCCTGGCAACGATTATTATGAATCAAGTTCATCTGGCGCCCAATTCGCCTACACCTACAGGATTAAAACGGCCGGAAAATCGAGCAAATGATCGATACGAGCGCCATTTACCGTCGTTGTGGGCGCTGAGAAAATGCCGGCCGTCTTCTTTCCACGTCAACGCCTCCAATTGTTGATTGGCGATGAAGGTTTTCACCGCCGCATTATCGGCCTTGTTCCACAGGACGATCAGGCCCCTGTTGTAGCCGATCAGTATGTGATTGGGATGGTTCGGTTGCTCCAGCACGGATTCCACGGCTCCCGGATTCAATTTGTAATCTTGCGGAACGCTAAATCGAACGATTAGACGGATTAGAAGAGCGAATAAAGATGGAAATAATACGCACTTTTGCATGACGACGTCTTGATAGATGATGTCCGGGGTCATGGTGAAGGTGTTCAAGTCGAGCAAATAGATGTTGCCGCCTTCGGTGCCGAGCAGTAGGTGTTTGCACGCCGTCTCCAAGCACACCGTGGAGATTTTCTTCAGTTTCCCTTCCAACGCCTGCGATTTGACTTCGATCAAAGAGCTCTTGTTCACCTCCCACAGGTGCAGCGAGTTGTCGTCGCAAAGCGATACGATTCTACCTGTTAGAGCACATTCGGATTACTAAAACGCTTCGGTGGAACTGGGTGGAATCGGTTACCTTGGTCGGGTAGGAAGACGATTTTCGTGACGGGTATGGGGTTCTGGTGTTGCCCGTAGAATTCGACGCCCGGCTGGCCGAAGACCTTGATGGCGCCGGTGGCGGTGCCGATGCATATCAACCGCAACGACGGGTCCCAGGCCAAGGCGGTGGGTTTGTGCGGGAAACCGTGCTGGAGCGTCTGCAAACCAAGATGTTTTAAACTCGCTCTTTTACCATCTTTATACTAGAACTGTACTAGGATTCAGGGTGAGCGATACAACCGCCTTTTTAAGATATGAAATATTGTGTTGCGAGTTCGATTTCCAATAAACTAATATCGCTTTTGTAACGGCAAAAACCCGTTTTCCTGTATAACGTTCTATCTGCAGAGCAAATTCGTTGCGCCTTAGAAATCATTTCGAATCGATTGAATCTATTGATTCTTAATCAGTTTATCGTCCCAAGGTTGTTCTGTCAACACGGGAGAGTTACTAATATGATGTCATAGATGCTATTATGTATCACAATTTAAACAATAAACCATTATTTATGAAGTTAAAGATAAGCTAATAAACTTTTATATTAGTAGCGATGAAGCAATTATAGAATGCAGTGAAATGGCGAGAGATACCGCCTACACGCTATCAGGTCATCTTCGAAATTTCAGGTTAACAAGCCGTTTAAATGTACCATCCAAATCCTAAATCGAGGACGCTTAAATATATCTCGATAGTAGCGAATAAACATCGAGCTTCTTGAATCGTTTTAGTGCTAATTACCGGCATAATACATCAAAGTATCTAATTAAATCGCTTATCGCTTATTTTATCGCTCTATCTCCGACATTATTTGTTTCCCGAACGTTAGTCATCATTTATTATTTGCTCATCGATGATAAACCGATTATACGGCACAATTTTCACAAAAGAAACCATCAACTATATAGAATTTCGCAAGAGCTGAGCTGACTGATGAATTTTGCATTTCCTAAACTCAATCGAGAAAGTTATCATTTCTAATCCGATTTCGTTTCGATGCGCTGGTTATAGCGCGGAATTCTTAGCGAGAGTCGCGATGACAATGCGCGATTATTTCGTATTCCACAGGAACACTTTAATTAAATCTTGCGTAAGCTCGAATTTCAATAGGCGAGCCGAACAAAACGCCTATATCGTAATTATGGGAAAATATTGCATGTAATGCATCGCAGATGAAAGTTTTAACAAAACATCCTAAAGAAACAGATACTCTGCGATAAATTACTTAATTTTTTCGCATTGTACGTGAACAAGCAGGACTTTAAGATGCGTTCGATGATACATGAACAAAAATGGTCAAAATTGACATAAGTGACATTTCGCATGACAGAAGTTTAGAGGTGGAAATCCATTTTTTTTGTAGAGGTGCAGTAACGACTGTTACAAAATAAGCGTTATTTTTCAATTTTGTTCTAATTTTCAATTTCATAGATTGCGGAGCGCAATGATGGAATAGTACCGTATTTTCGGTACTACAAGATAATAATCTATTAAATAATTCAAAGACGATTTATCATATTAAATACACAGGTCTATTGCGTTTTGTTTATGGCGTTTTTATCTGTTAGGAGATTATTTATGGCGTTTGTATAAGATTACAGCGAATCGAGACACGAAAACCTGTGACTATCTAGCGAAAATTGAGATTATAACAGGTAGAATTTTAAGGACCGTACAATATCTGTAAATAGACTTCAAGGTGAAACGAAAGGAATTTCTTGGGCGAATTGTAAATCCTTTCCGTACCGAAAACGTTGCGAAATTATCAGTTATTGTTGGTAATTTTCTCCGTTGTAACGAGCCCTAGCTCGAGTATTTATTTTAAATAAATATCTAAACAAACAATGCGTCGTAAATTTGTTTAATGACTAGATGAACCGTCTAATAAACAAGGAGATTCCTGATAGTGCTTTATTTTCGACAAATAATTTATTCAAAGCGGAATTCGTAGGTACAATTTTTCGCAAATTACGAGTTAACTTTCTAACGCTAATTAGTCAAATGGATTTTCCACGATTCAGTTTTTACGACGACAATTAATTTCCAATTCCCGCTATTTTTATTATAACAGCACCAGGTCGATGTAACAAAAAAAATATATATTAATTGTCCCGACCTTAGTCCCGTTACGGTTAATCTAATTTTGCCCCGTAAGCTCGACATTACCGCGACCTGGGCGTGGAAAAGAATCTTTTATTATCACTAAATCGAACAGGTACTTTTATTATCGCAGATAAAACGATCAATTATACCTACACCAAACATTAATCTTTATTGCCTGTAATAAAAGATTCATTGGAAACGCGATTTTTGAAATGTTCCATTTGCCACAATAATGTGTGTCATTTGTAATAATATTCTTCCTGTAATATTTATGTACAAAATCTTTAGAATAGGAGCGTTGACGAGGAAATTAGGCGTAATTACCGTACAAGAAACGTTCTATTTCAGTTCTAATAACAGTTTTTCCTTCGCCAGCGGCAGGCCGGGTTATTTAAAATCGCTTTTAACGTTTTGAATACGGTTTCCATTCCGCAGAAGTCGATTTATGAAGGAAGAACCGTTATTCCAATTCCACCAGCGTTTATGACTCACGATCTACTCGTTCTCGCTCACCGATCGCGACTGTTCTAGTCATAAACCAGCATTGAACACATCTACTTGCATACAACACCTTCATGTTATATTCTCTCTAGTTTTTTATTGTACGATGGAAGTTGTTTACTATGCAATAATCGAATATTTCATATCCATACCAGACTGATATTGTTACAAAACGCATTGAATATTTTTCATATCCGTTGTATTTTTTATTTTGGAGCGTGAGAAATTGACATTTCTGGAGTTGTTGGTTACAAATCGAATTAATGCATTGAAATTTAATTCCTCATTATTATTAGATTTTCAGTGCGAAGCGAAAGGCCCTACGAGTAAGAGGCCAGATACTTCGAATTTCGAATACGAATCTCAGTAGGCTGGTGTCAAGAAGTTGGTAAAGCAAATAAAAACCGAAATCAATTTAGCCTGGATTTTTCATAGCGCAAACACGAAATTAGAACAACTAGTAATAAATCCAACAAATATTTTGTAATGATTTTTATCTCGAAACAACGAACTAAGCTCAATGTTTACACAATACAAAAATCGTAAGGTATTTTTCAAACACCTGTTAACCCATAATGGTGATAAGACGACTAGATAAAATCGAATTCATAGCCTCCGCTGTGACGAGAGATTAAATGTAACGAAAAACTCACCCTCCGGTAGGAGAACAATTCCTTCTGTAACTTTTGCCGTTCGGCCGTTTGGTGGGGCCCTTTCGCCTTAATGAACTTAAACATTCCGCCGAATCTGAAACGAAACGAATATTTTGAACGGAACGGCTCGACAATCCGATTACTCACGGGATATTTCTACCGTATCAAAACAAAAACCGAAAACAAAACCTCTCTTGCATATGTCAATCGCGAAAGTTAGACAACGCCTGCTGCGACGGGCATTTTTTACGACGAGAACTCTACGCTTCCCGGTAACGTGCCGTCGAATAAACAGTTTCAAAAATTACCTTGGTGTATTTTAATCGAACGAAAACAACAAACACTTCTCGTTAAGTATTGCACACTACACAGGAGCGTGCCCAAACGCTCAACTTCATTACACGTAGATTGGTCACTGACCGGCTGGATATGAAAAGTAGGCGGAGTTCGACAGATAGTTGTGTTTTGTTTTGGCAAGTTTTATTTACCGGCCGAGTCGCATATTTCGCGCCTTTCAGATTCTCTACTGAAGAGAGCGCCACTCTCGTCGCGATTGACGATAGTAATCACAGATGGCAACACATGTTTCAACTTTGTGGAATAACTGACTGCAGAAACAGGTCCAGACCAGCAAGCCGGAGGTTAGCGGACGAGGCCACAAGATCTACGGTTGACAGATGACAATTATCCGAAAAGAAGAAATGGTCGACCACTTATTTTTTTTGAATGTTCGAGAATCGCAATAAATAAAACTGTTTTTTCGTTTACCAATTTAAATAGCTTTGGGTTTATCTCAGTAGAAAAGAATCACAACTTTACGGGACAAACTTAATGGCCTCTACTAACTGCGTTGTGAGGATAATTCAAAATAAAAAATACCAAAAATTCAAAAACAAAAACTATAATTCAACAAATCTATTTATTTCTTCAACATATAAACAATTATTAAAAAAGAAAACTATATAGAGACTCTTATTATTGCTATATAAGTAAATATATAAAATAATCACCATTAAGAATCACCTGTGAATTCCATGAGCGCTTTATTAAAATAAAAATGATTATAAAATTTCCATATATTACAAATTATTGTGCGAATTAGCTCAACTAGTTAATTTTAGGGGAGATGCTGTTTGTAACGCGCCATTTTCTTAGAATAATTACTTTTGATTAATAACGTTTTGAGCAATCAACGATGCAAATCTAATTTTAATTTCATTCGTAATTTAATTATAACGGTGCATGTTTATTAAAGTATATCTGTCAGTAATATTAAACGAAATTAAAAGGATTAAACGTGTGCATTCGTGTATTGTATGGCAATATTACTGACAAAAGCGTGTGTTTTGAAAATTGCCGCCATCAACTGATCAAATTCAAATATCAGCTTTTTTCATTTCTAGTTTTAACCTAAAAAACAAATAAACACAGTTAACACGTTTGTAAAATAGTTGCATTTAAGTCAATTTCAATATTTTGAATGAATTTTGGCCGAATAGCCCTGGCAGCTGAGGCCAAGAATATGTGCAGAAGAATGGACGTGCTCAATGGGAAGCCCCGCGCAGCCAAATTTACATAAATAAACGCACTTATTTACAGCTAACCTTAGAACAACGGCACAATATTCGATATTTAACATAGCGCAATTGAAAAGGATAATATAAACAAACTTTAAGAGTAGATAAACCAAACGAAACGAATAAAAAGAGCAAAACAAAATCAAACAGCAAATATTCGCGTGAAACCTTACTTCGAGCTCTCTACCGCCGTTTTAATTAAACTGTAATCATCTGCTCTTATAGTTTTATCATCGCTTTCATCATCCGAATAATCTTCATCGTGATTATGGGTGACCGATTGCGGTGTCTCAGGTCGAACGTGAGGTATTTGACTCGGCGCCCGTTCTAGAGGCTAAACAAATAAGAGTTTTTAGCTATTACTCTCGCCGGTAAAACGATACGAAATTTTTAAATGTATAACTGTTCATCAAAATTGCCTATATAGTCCATTAGCTGAACTTACTCGAGTTTCACATTAAGTATTAAGATAATAACCTGCTCAATCCGAATCCTAGCAAGTTCAGCGAATAGACTATAACTACTACTTAAACGATCAACACAAAAACATTCTCTCGTTCAAAGGGGTGGTTCCCACCCTTAGAGTAAAGCGGGGATGATGCTACTTGGCGTAAGCCATAACAAAACACGAGGCTATCTCGGTTGAAAATTCCAAATCTCCAGCGCGACTACGGCCGATTTTACAAAGCTCCAAAGCCAATTTTGACGAACAGCCCTTCGAGCATTTCGCTACGTACCCGTTTCTCGTTTTTGGGTTCCGGCCGCGGCGGCTCCGGCTCGGGTATCTCGGTGGGAGCGTCCCGTTCGTTGCCGAATTCAACGAAATGCTGTTCGTGCGCCACCGTGGATTCGTGCGGCAGCAGCATCGCCGGCGCCCTGAACATATACGAAAACGGATAATAAAGTAGGTTCAAATACGACGCTGCATAGAGGTCGGCATATCTCACAACCTGCGGTCAAACAAACAGAAAAAAAGAAAATGTGGCGATTAGAGAGTCGTTCCGTACGGTGCGAAGCATTACACAAATTCGGACGGAATTTCAACGGATAGCTGATTAAATACACTTCCTCGCTAGGAAGGTTCTTTTGTTGTTCCTCTTGTTGTCCGACTATCCGTAAAAATCCGGTCCGATAGTGTACGGAGCACGAACTCACTTGAGAGGAGAAGAACGTTTGCCTGGAGCCGGACCTGAACAAACTGCCCATCATGCCGTAGGACATGTCCATTTTGTGCGTAACGTCCCGAATGGCCGCTCGAACTTTCGATATATCCGGTTTTACTTTCGCGCTACTATCTAGATGCCTACAAACAAAAAATTATTATGGATTTTTGTTCGAGTATTTTAGCGAATTGTTTACTTACTTATACATATCGCCCAATTGAACGTCTAATCCCTGTAATTCTTCGAATAATTGACATTTATCAGTCCAAACGTGCAATTCCCTCACTAATTCAGGCACTATAAGGAACGTCCTCCAACCTCTAATTTTTTTACTTTTTAAAATATCACCGAATATGTGATCTCCCACGTATAGGACGTCTTTACCCTATAAAAAAATCGATTTATCGAATATTGTTATACACAATGGAGAGAAATACGATTTTTAAATTTTTTTTTTCAAACTACGTATTCTTATGAAGTCATTAATAAAATTTTTAATTTTCTCCACAATTCTTCATTGTATTGTAAAAAGTGTTTATTTTTGGCCCAATAAACTTAAAACAAAGAAATTACAATATAACCCTAGATATGTCACCTGTCATTTAATGTTACATTTCACTTTCGTTCGATGACTTATGCCATTAATGACACAATGTAACTCGTTCGTTTTGTGATTGGTTAGTGACATTACACGTCACGTGTCAAAATTTTAAATTTAAAAGGGCTATATTTCCTAAAATATTCAATATTTTGAGCAACTGAAAACTGCTTCGAGTACTAAATTTATTTCTATTCATATATCTGGTTAAAAACCTTGGTACCTTTGCTCCTATGAATTGCGTAAAGACGTCGCAAGAGCCCCCTGAGTACACGTGATTCGACAACAACGGCCCCGTATGGACGCCCACCCGAAGGCCCCCGGTGGTGGTGTCCACCTGCCGGAGGATCGTGCCTTCGCCGAAGAACAGCGGCTTGCGCGCGTCGCACACCACCACGTCGAAGTAAGTCGTCCAATTCCGATGGGGATCTTCGGGCTGAAAATGTTTAAAATAAGAATCGCCATCGTCGAACAAATAAAATCGATCGTTTACCCGGGCGCCGTGCGGAAAATCGAACAAATACGACATGATCTTATCGGTGTAGGTGTAATCGCTGTTGGTCAACAGGAACGTTTTGGCGCCGCTTTCCTTCAACCGGGTCAGGAACATGGGAAGGCGCTCGTCCTTTTTCACGTACTTTTCCAAATTTTCGATCGTCCTGTTCTTCAAATCGCCTTGCAAATGAACGTAATCCACAGCGTTTCGCACGTCCTGCAAATCCAAAGAAACCTCAACTAAAACCACCTCGGTTATTAACTCGATAGTTACTTGAAAGATGGACTTGTAGGACATCAACAGCTCCCCGTATTTGATGCCGATGTCCGTTATCGTGTAGTCCCTGCAATTCGTGAAAAAGTCCACCAAGCACGCCAGCAAATACGTTTCCGGGAGATTAAACAGCGTATTTAATACGTAAACTCTCGATTCGTCCAACGTTATGAACTTGTTCGGATACAATTCGTACACTCTTGAACTACAAGAAGAATATTTATAACATTTACTCGTTATAAATCGATTAGTAAACTTACTGCTTTAAAAATTCGAAACCGTGAACGCATACCAATATGTTTCCGTAGGCGTCTACTTTTAAAAGATTCCCGTAAAGGGAATCGAACCAAAGACCTCTGCAAACAAATCGTGAAACTGTTGCCGATAAAATAAATCATTTAACAATACCTAACAGCGAACGTGGGATCGTATTCGAATTGCAAAATTTCCTGTGGATATCCAATCGAAACCATGTGTTTTTTAACCAAATCGAAACCCAATTTCTCGTATTCCGGCGACTTGTATTCTAGAAACAAACCAGGAGAGTTTTCTCTAACCTATTCTCTACACAATTGACGTTTCCTCGCTTACCTGCCAAAGTGTAATCCATATCGAATCCATAGAACTTGATATTTTCGAGGTGAAGACTGCGATTGACGAAGATTCTGCAACAGAAGAAAACGGAACGCGTATAATTCCAAAATTTCCAACTCACCGACAAAGCTACTACTTGTACGAGTCCGAGTTGAGGAACATCAGCATGTTGGTCGAATTAGAAATTTCGCGAAACGCCGAAACATTTCTCCAATCAAACACATCGGCCGTGTGTCAAAGTTAAACGCCAATTTACAAACGAATCGAAAGTGTTACGCGAGTTCCGCTCTTTTCCGTTCGCATTCGAACGGAATGCAGTCGCTGGACGATCGAGAAACGCCATCGAATTCGATTCTAAAAACCGATGGTTTACACGTTTCGAGCCGTTCGAATTTTCCTTTCCGAGCACGCAGCGTTATTATTGTTTTCCGCTTTCAATACGTGCGATTTTATCGAAAAACCGCATCGATTATTGCGGGTTCAAAGGTCCCAGCGGAATTTTTCCACATTTACAATCAACATTTATTTTTGTCAATTTCTGATTATAAATAAATTTCACAAGGTAACGCGTAATCGCTAATCGTTAGCGCTGATATCGGAATTGTTCAGCGCAACTGATTATTGCGTTTAACAAATACTGGATAAATTTAATCCGCAGATGCCTGTGCGATGATAAATCTGTATCGAAGCGCAAATATCGATCCAAAGATTGCATGCGATCTAAATTTACCTGTGTCCGAGTTCCCTTTTAAAACCCAACGGCGGTGGATTGTTGTAACGCGTTTCGATCTCCTCCAAATCGCTGCCGGAATTGTCCCGTTTCCTCCACAGAAACGGGTGTTCCACGGACAAATTATTATTATTCGTCCTGGCTCGCATCACTTCCGCCGTGAAGAGAGGATCCAGCGGATTCTTGGTCTCGAACCTGTCTTGGGACACCTCTGGCATTGTCTTCGATATGTCTCTTTTATGTTCTTCGATATGCTACTGTTTGCGCTGCTCGACTAACACTGATTTCGTCGAGTGGCCAGTTTATTGGGCAACCGAAGAGAGGGTCACAATTGCGATAAGAGATAGCTTAATACGCTTGTTTTTCAATTCAACGAGACGTGAAAATTACAACATTTATTTGTACAATTGGAACTATCATTGTTCGCTATACAGACTTTTTTTTTGATGAAGGAAATGCTTGAACAAACAAGTTGTAGCTCGTGTTTTTTTCGGTGTAATTGATAACATAAATTCATCTAATAAAAGTGCAATTAAACGTCTCGAAGAAGAGACAATGGAGTTGTATAAATCCTTTAATGAGTTTCATTATACGCCCACGACCTTCCTGTATTCGTTAAAAAAACTCGACTTAATCCCTTTTTTAAATAATAATCGTAAATGATAAATCTAATTCGCAAGTATCAAACTCCATAACACTCTTATCATCTGCGAGATCAAAGTTTATTAACAAAAACCAATTACTTAGGTAATGGAAAACATAAACCGACATGTTTTTTTAACTACTCAAGTATCAGGTATTAAAAATAAATTTAAACCATCCGAGTAATCGGAATAAACATGTTAAAGTAGGTCGTACATCCCACACATGGAAATGGTGTATTTATAAACTGCGATCGCGAAAAAACGATGGTCAACGACTTGAATGCGAAAATGGAGTTAATCGAAGAGATTTCTAAGATTATGGGGATATGTAAAGACTCACCTTTGCTTCGTGTTTCTGTACCATTTCTTCCCTATCGTATCGGCGTGCCTTTGCAATTCCGCGTAGTCCATTCTGTTGAAGTCTATTGCAGTACTAGCACTTCCTATAGAAGATGAGGATCTTCGAAGTACCGCGAAGCTTATGGGGGTATCTATTTTGATAGATTTGTATAAACTTTTAGCCGAAAAATAAAGGGAAGTGTTTCTGATAATATGGTAACCTATAGTTCTGCTTGTAATTTAATCACATTTTAGATTGCCACACAATCTTTTTGTTTTTCACAATCTCGCACTATTTGATTTGGTATTTGACGTTTATTTCTGACGTTTATCTTTGACGTTTTCGGAATAAGTCCAGGACCGGACTGAAATTTCTAATTTAGTATAAATCAAAAATAATGTTTCAGATTTAAACAGAATGCCTTTACTACGCTTTTATTGTAATATTTAAAAAGCTCAAATATATTTTAACAAAGTACAACGCGTTTGCAGCACGAATTAACTTGATTTTTTTTTAAATTTTTATACAAAAAAACGTATAGCGAAATTTCCATTCTAGTGTCCTTGAGAATGACATTTGACAATTGACATTGACTTAACACCTAACCTTGTTTATATCATTTACAAATTTAATTTACTAATAAATAGTGTAAATAATGGAATTTAATTTACGTTAATATTAGAAGCTCTTGTTTATAAAAACTTATTTAAAGTGAAACTTTAAATTCGTACAAGTAAGAAGTTTATGGCATTCGTTGATGTTTTTTTTACCAGGTTTTTATTTAAGGATAAAATGTCCGAAATAAAGGAGGAAGAAAACGAAACGAAACCATGTATACCCCTGAAATCGTCCACAGAGATACTATCGGAATTATTCAGCACATTCCATGCAAAACCACCGTTGATTATCAAAAAAGAGAAGCTCGAAAAATCCGAGGAATCCAGCAAGAAGCACAAGAAGAAGAAGAAGCACAAAAGCAAAGACAAGAAGCACAGGAAGAAGGAGAAAAAGAAAAAACGCTCGAGCAGCAGCTCCTCGTTCAGCGACGAAGCCGAGAAAATAGACTTGGCCCACATTCTGATAAAGCAAGAAAAAGAACTGGCCGAAAAGAAGATCAAGAACGAATTCAAAGAGTTAATTAAGACAGAAAAAGATTCACTCGATAGCGAAAAGTGCGATGATAAGCCCGAGGTGAAACCCAAAATCGAAGAATACGAAGAAGGAGAGGCCAGCAATTCCGATAGCTCCAAGAAAAAGAAGAAACACAAGCCTAAAAAACGTTCGAGGAGCAAAAGCACCGACGACAAAAGAAAGAAGATCAAAATCGAACTCAAATCGGACCCGTACGACAAATACGTGGGCTACGACAAAGAGAAATCCAAGGAGAAGGAAAAATACAGAAGGCACAGTAAAGAGAGACACCACGAACGTTGCGATCGAAGCAAAGACAGAGAAAGAAACAGCTTTTACACAGGAAAAAGCAAGGATCACGAAAGAGACAGGCACAAAGACAGGGAAAGGCACAGAGACAGATCGAGGGAGCGCTACCGGGATGAATACAACAAGGAACTCGAAGAATATCGTAGAACGAGAAATAAAACGCATAAAGACGATGATTTCTACAAAAATGGCGAATCCGAAGAGAAATGGTTTATGAGAGAAAGGTAAATAACACCTATTAACTACTATATACAATAAACTATTTAATCAATTCAGGTATCGAGGGCATAATGAACGAGACCGCCGAAGATCCCCGTCGAACGACAGAGACTCCAAGTTCGATAAGAAAAAACTGCTGGAAATAGCGCGGAAAAACGCCATTACAATGATGAAATCCGGCAGTTTACCCGGAGCCCTAACGTTAGGGCCTCAAGCCCAGGAGAAAGTCATAGCGGCCATTAAATCGGGCGGTAAAACTATCGAAGAACTGACCGATTTCTGCAAAACCCTCTCGAAGAAGGAGGAACTCGGAGAGCTCTCCAGTCTTTCGGAGAAAGATGATACAGATAGCGATACTGATAAGCCTTTTCATCATCCTTTCCAGTTGAAGGACCGTCCGACTTCTATTACGATGAATATTAAGGTAAGAAAGGAAACTTCTTAAATCGTTTTTATTAAAACATTACTAAAATACGCAACCTACGATATTAGTTTCTCGACGGACCGTTTCGAATTCGCCACCTACTCATCGACTTTAGTCTCTTCGGTAATATTCCCTAATAGTTTTTTGCCGATCGGACTGGGTAATTTGAAATCGTTGACGCTCCGATTGCTCCGCATATCACCGATGGCCAATTTGGGCACCGGCGTTTTGGGATAATCGTGCTCCTCCACCTCCGAGCTGTCCTCGTCGTCCGAATTTTCCGCCTTCTGAAGGAACATTTTCACCTAAAACATCACCTAAATTGTAATCGTACGCTTCCGATCGATGGGAAGACACCGGGCTATTCAGCTACAACTTTGTGATGTTTAGAAGCGAGCAATTACTTTTCTCATGCTTTTCAGCGACGACAAGCTGGACGATCTGGTGGGTTTCGTGGAGAAACTCGTGAATATGTCTTCGGGTACCGGCGGTAGATTGGTCACCGAATTGAGGTCTATGAGGGATTCTCTCGATATACTGCCCGGGTACTTTTCGTTTATGTCGCCTTTGGAACCCTTGCTGTTTACCGACCACGGTATATTATCGCACGATTTCTGTTTCGTTTCCAACATCCTAACCGAATCGTTTCTCTAGAAAAAAAAAACTAATCGTACGCTGCTCCGTAAAGTGCGGTTGTACATCTACCTGACAGTGATTGGTATCGATCGATTCCTTGTGCTCCAAATCGTCGAGTTGTTTCTTGATGATCGCTATCAGCTCCTCGCGCTCCTTGACGCGCTCGTTCGAATCGATCGTCGACACCATCTTGTAGGCCTGCTCGAGGGCGCACCGCGACGTCGCCTGCAGCGCCTTGATCGTCTTCTCGGTGCCGTTGACGATGCTCTTCAATTGGCCGACGCACCGGACGCCCGACACGTAGCACCCACGCAGATCGACGCCCACCTCGGTGAGGAGCAGGGCGCCGGCGAGCGCCCCTTCGACGTGATCGCATGCCGTCGATTTCGCGTTCATATTGTCCGGAGACATTACTGTCAGTTTCATCGAAATTGACTAATAATTTGGTGTGATCGGCCGCGCGGTTGGCCGTGTCATGTAACCAGGTTTCGATGCGTTTTGTTTTTTTTGTTTTTGGTAGAATTCGGTGCCGTTGCCTGTGAAATCGGCCTTAGAGCGTACCAGCGAGTTGAGGATACAGTTTCCGGTGAGCAGCGGACAGCATCACCGCAAAGGCGAGGAATGGCTGCCGGTGTCGCCTCCGGTCGAGAAGAAACCCGATCCGGCGCCTTCTACTGCGGTTCCTCTGGCCATAATGGAGGCGCCGGCGCCGGTTAAAGCGCCGGTTCCACCCGCTCCGCTACCGCCGGAGGATCCGCCGACGGTGCCGGCGCCGCCGAACGCTCCGCCGGGACCCCAAGTGTTCCCGACACCACTGAATCAGGTATTAATCACACGCTATTAATCAATTTAGTAGATATTTAATAGGTTTTTGTGTAGCCTTCGGTGGATATCGGTTCGATCGTGTCCCAGAGGCTGTCGGCTATGAGAAGATTGCAGGAGAATCCCAACGACGTGCAGGCTTTGACCCAAATGTACAAGTCCAACAAAGAGGTTCGAATTGAATAAGAGTTAATGTTGTTGTTTTTGTTTAATTTGCGGTTTGTTGTAGATGCAATCTTGGGCGACGAGCAAGCAACAGTTGGGCCAGTTTACGGGTTCGACGGGAGCGCAAATTTTGTCCCAAGCCGAATTGTCGTCGGGTTACCAAGCGTGGGCCAAAAAGGTATATTTTAGAGAAGTTTGTTGGATGTAATCGGGCGATAAACGAATGTTTGTAGATTGCGAAACGTTCGGTATCGCCTGGGTTCGAATTTTTTGGATTAAATCCAGCGTTTCTTTTTTGCCGGGCTAAATTCGTTAGTAAAAAACGTCTTGGTACTCGAATCCGCAGTACTAATGCGGCTTTCTAAAGTTTTTGGCCGGGCCCCTTAGGCAAATTTTCAGGTAGTGGATTTGTCGCAGAAGTCGCGAATTTCTACGGCTAATCCACTCGAGGCACGGACCATTTCCGCTCAGCCGGAAGTGGAATCCGTGCCTTAGCGATTCGCTCGTTTTCGCCGTTTCCGTTCGGCGAAAATAAGCGAACGAGCCTCGTCATAAGTCGGAAATACCTTAGCGTATTTCCAACGTATGAACAGTGCCACCTGAGAATTTGTTTTAGGCCGTTATTTTATACGAAGGTGCTTCGACCGGAGTCGGCGAGCCAGCCTTAATTGCAGTATGGTAAGTTTGAGAAAAAAAAAACAAACAAAAAAAATGCGAAACACAAACCTGAACAATCGGAAATGTAAGATTCTAATACTCTATCGCTATCCGAAATACTACTTGGATACTTGGAAAATTCATATTCTCGGATAATTTGTAGCTACAAGACGGATTATTTGTAACGTAGGTACAATTGGAAAGCTAAAATTTATAGCTCAAACGATTCAGAAACTTACTTAACTAACACTCAAAGTACACCTACCACAGGTGTTTCCAACTTATACTAATCTTTCGCTTTTTTTATACAATACAGGTTGTCCCAAATATAACTAATAACCACCAAGATCACCTGATTTAACACCATTATGGGGTTCTATCTAAAGTCAGTTATTTTTGGGACAGCCGCTACCCCGGATTGGAATCTCCCCGTAAATTTCTCGCGTATAACGCAAGCTGTTGAATCGGTTTAGGATCAACTGCAGACTGCGGCGCCGGTGTCGGGCGGCATGGGGATGCACCTGTTGCAGAAGATGGGCTGGAAGCCGGGCGAGGGACTGGGCAAGGACAGGACGGGCGCGCTGGAGCCGCTGCTGCTCGAAGTGAAGCTGGACAAGAAGGGCCTCGTGGCCAACGAGGAGCAGCGGAACAAGAAGAAGCAGAAGGCCGTCGCCAGCGTGAAGAACTTCCAAGGGAAGCATCCGGTGTCGTTGCTGGGCGAGTACGCTTCGAAGAAGAAGCTGGGCGCGCCGCAGTACGTGCTGGAGTTCGAGTGCGGGCCCGATCACAAGAAGAATTTCCTATTTAAGGTGATTTTTTTAATGAGTTTTAAATGAGTCTGTTGTTAATGGCATTGCGATTACTGGCAGGTTATCCTTAACGGTGTTGAATACAAGCCGAATGTGGCCTCGAACAATAAGAAGGAGGCCAAAGCAGCGGCCGCTACGATCTGCCTGCAACAAATTGGACTTTTACCAACTTGATTTTATTGTATCATATGAAAGTATATTTTGTAAGCCGTTTGTTTTTGTTTAAATAATTTTCAATTATATTTCTGTGATTCGATTCTTGCTTTATTTTTACGTTTAGTTCCTTCTGTCATCACCCGCAAACGTGCGTTGAGCATAGAGTAGAGTAGATTAGAATAATCAGTAGGACGATATTGAAAAATAACGCTTATTTTGTCACAGTCGTTACTGCACCTCTATGCCAAAAAAATGATTCCCACCTCAATTAAACTTCTGTCATTAATGTCATTTTTGACTTTTGACCATTTTTGTGCTTCATTTCATGCACAATTCGAAAAAAATTAAGTGATTTATCGTAGATTTTCTATTTCTTTGGGACATTTTTTAAGATTGCGTGGGTATAATAAAATATTATTGAAGTCGAGTAGAGTAAAAAATAACAAAATTATAATCATTTGAAGATAGACATTCTGTCAAACTCCGGATTACTAACACCATCTGGTTTGGCCAATGTAACTGCAAAAATGATACCAGATTCTGGGGTCTATTGGTACGATTGCTTAAGTGCTGAAGACCCCATTGGAGAAAGAAAATTGTCCGTATACCTTTAGTCGCTGAGGCCATAACATAGTAGAAGAAGAATGAAAATTGCCGAATGTTATCCCCCTTTTTTCAGTCACCTTTGGCCTTTACCCTAGAGGACTTTCATGTAGCAACATTTTTAACTCTTGCTCTCGCCTGTGAACCAGATGAAATATACCCATGAATTACATAAAGGTAAGCAATTTCATTTAAATGCGCGAACAGGGCGAGAAAAAACGCCGGGACGTTCTTCCGAACAAAAGAACGTGACGGGAAAGGTCGCGGCAATAACGGCCCCCCGTGCGCCCCTTACGCCGGGCCTTACGCTCGCTAACTATTCCATTAAATTTCATTTTCTCTTTTACCCTTGCGTCGGAATTGGTTGCATACCACGGCATTCATCCGGCTCCTCGAGTAGGCTACTGGGTCGACCTCAATATCGCGCCATCATCGACACGCTCCCGTCTATTAAACGAGCCCAGCGCTTAATACCCATCTTCCCGCCCCCCCGGGAGTAGTCGGTGGGGCGACTGCAATAAATCCGGCCGCATTCCTGCGCGACGAGCGCCCCTTATATTAAAATATAACGCGTACTTTATTATTCCACCAACGTGGAGTTTTTCCATGTTTCTATTAATTATATTTTCGGGGAAATTTGAACTCTGTACATGATATGTGGCCACTAAAGGACTCGAATAGAATTTTTCTCGCATTGTACATGAATAAGCGTGACTTGTCAAAATTGACATTAATGACAGAAGTCTAATAGAGGTGGGAATCAATTTTTTAGCATAGAGTTGTAGTAACGACTGTTACAAAATAAGCGTTATTTTTCAATTTCGTTTTACTGGGAAATAGGATTTTTTTTCTGCACCATGGGAGGGTTTATATCAGCAGATAACCATTATGATTGTTATACTAACTAGAATACAAACGATAGTGCTATAAAAATACCTCTTAAATTTAAACCGAACCTAATCTAGTCGACATTAACAGCGAAAATTCAATATCTATAAAACGTATAATATATTTGCGCCGTTAGCGCTAAACTTTTTATGAAAATTAACCGATAAAACGCGTCCGCATCGAACAAGGTGGAATTTCGAATTTTTTCGCCGCTTCCGGACTATCGCCGACCCTACAAGTGGTCGATAAGGAAATTTCCGCGATCCCAATTCACCCTCGAGCCTCTCGAGGTAATTAGAAATTACATTCGCCGAAATTGACCGAAGTTCGCGCGTCAAAATCACCCGTCGATTTTTCCCCTATCGTCAGAAAACCCCGAAACGAGCGAAGCCCTTCCCGGTTACCCCGTTGCACAATCCAATTCCACTCGATCGCTTCCCGAGCCCGAATATTTTCGTTAATTAATCGACTCGATTGCGAATTTTTCGCCCATTCAACGCTTAATAAAAATATATAATTTAATTGCATCATCTTTCACTTCCCCGTGCGGGAGTTATATTGTTTTTTGGTTTTTTTGGGGCGCCTTGTACGGCGGTAGGGGGGTGGATTTTTCGGAAGAAAAGAGGAAAATAATCGCAGTGCACCGATCCAGTTGATTTCACCCTTCCGTCAAGCGTAGTCGCCGCGGAAATCGAGTAGGGGGAAGACCTAGAGCCAGTGCGAACAATCAACAGGTAGGTTTTTATACCTATTAGCGGGGTTAATTTTTAATTCAGTTACCAGTTTTCTTATACACGCACGTATATACAGCGAATTCCGACGGAGGAATTATGTAATAATCGGGGTGCAATTAAGTGTTGTACATAAATTATCTAATTAAGTGGCAGGTATTACCGTTTACGATTGTATATAGGGGTTGTTTTTCGATTTTATTGCAGCGAATATAATCGAAAGTTCGTTTACGCTTCGTTAATTTCGTTTCGAACCGCATTTAATTGAAAGATTTCAAATTATATACCGCTCGTTAAACCAACTGCCGGGTCGATTTCCGCTCCGAAGAGGCCATGGACACCGACCAATTCCGCGACGTCGGCAAGGAGATGATCGACTACATCTGCAACTACCTGGAGAACATCGGCGAGCGCCGCGTGACGCCCAACATCGAGCCCGGCTACCTCAAGAAGCAGCTGCCGCTGGAGGCGCCCCACGACCCGGAGGACTGGGCCCAGATCATGGCGGACGTCGAGAGCAAGATCATGCCGGGCGTCACGCACTGGCAACACCCCCGGTTCCACGCGTACTTCCCCAGCGGGAACTCCTTCCCGTCCATACTCGGCGATTTGCTCTCCGCTGGCATCGGCTGCATCGGGTTCTCTTGGGTATGCACCTTAGCTTTAACCCTGACAGTGGGTCTTTAATCTCATTTTACAGGCGGCCAGTCCGGCTTTAACTGAACTCGAAACTATAGTCCTCGATTGGTTAGGTAAGTACTCACTTTTTACTAGCAGGTACCCAAACATTCTATCTACTACAACTTCGTATAGGCAAAGCCATCGGTCTACCGGACCAATTTCTGGCGTTCAAAGAGGGCAGTCGAGGCGGAGGCGTCATACAAGTAAGTACCATCCGTAGCTCGATTCAATGGATCATCTGCAAGAGTTGTTGTAGACTTCGGCTAGCGAATGCGTGCTGGTGTCGATGCTGGCTGCGAGGGCGCAGGCCATCAAGAGGCTGAAGCAGCAGCACCCCTTCGTCGAGGAGGGGCTGTTGTTGTCCAAGCTGATGGCCTACTGCTCCAGGGAGGCGCACTCCTGCGTCGAGAAGGCCGCCATGATATGCTTCGTGAAGCTGCGGATCCTCGAGCCCGACGAGAAGTCCTCGTTGAGGGGGAAGACTCTGTTGATGGTAATTATGTTGGAGGTTGTTGGAGGATTGTGTAAATGTTTTCGTTGGTTTTTATTGGGTTTTTTTTTTCATCTGATATTGCTGGAACAGAAAAAATATTGAGTGGAAATTAATAAAGTCGGTTTTGTGTATTTAGGGATGTAATAGAATTTCGGAAATCGATACGAAATTTTGTTGAGCGTAATGCCCGGTTGCACCAATATATCGTAGGTTGTATTTTATCTAATTCTGATTTAAATGTGTGGATCTACTTAAGATTGGAATATGTTGCGCTATGTTCTAAAAAGGTTATTTTACCTACGATCCATTTTAACCACGTTCTTATATTTCTAAGGTCTGGAAACTTAAGGCTAGAGTTTCTCCATATTCTCCTCGAAACGTCAAATAATAATTTTTCAAGTTTTGACAGCTCAAACTGTCGTCACAAAACCGCGATTTATATGTAGCGCGACGCTGATTGGCTGAGATAAGTTGGTTCTCCGATCGTTCGCCACGGTGCGGCGCAAAAGTGAAGCTCAAATAACGGGACACATTCTCTAATGCATAAGCATAGGAAGTTTCCAGACCTTAGAAATATAGGGCCGTGATTTTAACTTACGATAGCATCAAAACTTTATAAAAGAAGGAGATAATTCATTTGAACTTATCTCAGCCAATCAGGATCGCGCTACATATAAATCGCGGTTGTGTGAGACGACAGTTCAAGCTGTCAAAACTTGAAAAATTATTTTTTGACATTTCGTGGAGAAAATGGAGAAATACATTAACCGATTATACGTGAGGTATGATGTTAACAACAAAATCAACGCTGATTTAGGTATATTTTTATATTTTGTATATATTTTTAATTTGATTAAACCTTTCTTAATGCCAATTCTATATAATTCGTACGCAAAAAACCGTGGTCCTTTACAACATCGCCTCCTGGCGGCCGTTTTAGGAACCCTGTTTTATCCTCAAACGACGCCACACTGGGTCTGATTTAGGATTTAGGACAGAAATTCGTCCATTGGACGATGCTTTAGTGCAACTGGGCATATAAGATTCGTACAGACAACTTCGGTTTCCAGGCGATGGAGGAGGACGAAACGATGGGCCTGATCCCGTTCTTCGTATCGACCACGCTGGGCACGACCTCCTGCTGCGCCTTCGACAACCTGGAGGAGATCGGCCAGGTGTGCCGGAAGTTCCCGTGCGTGTGGCTGCACGTCGACGCCGCCTACGCCGGCGGCTCGTTCATCTGCCCCGAGCTCAAGTACCTGCTCAAGGGCATCGAGTACGCCGACTCGTTCAACACCAACCCCAACAAGTGGCTGTTGACCAACTTCGACTGTTCGACCTACTGGGTGCGCGACCGCATCCGGCTCACCTCGGCGCTGGTGGTCGATCCGCTCTACCTGCAGCACGGCTACTCGGACGCCACCATCGACTACAGGCACTGGGGCGTGCCGCTCAGCCGCCGCTTCAGATCGCTGAAGATCTGGTTCGTGCTGCGCACCTACGGGATATCCGGCCTGCAGAGGTACATCCGGAACCACATCAGCCTGGCGCACCGGTTCGAGGAGCACGTCGTTAGGGACAGGCGCTTCGAGATTTGCAACGAAGTCAAAGTAACGCCTGCGATTCGTCTCCCGGTGCACCTGCGATAGTTGAAAACGTTCCTTCGCGTTTCAGTTAGGGCTGGTCTGCTTCCGGCTGAAGGGCGGCGACAAGCTGAACGAGAAACTGCTGAGCAACATCAACGCTTCGGGGAAGCTGCACATGGTTCCTTCGAATGTCAATGATAAATATGTGATAAGGTTCTGCGTGGTCGCCACCGATGCCGATGAAGAAGATATAGGTGAGCCCAATACAACGTTTATTAGTTCATCACTAAGTCAGATAGTAACTCTTGCAGATTTATTGTTTTTATAGGGTTTATCAATATTTTGTGAAGCGGCGGCGTTGCCAAGTGTTGCGAAATTTCATGCAATTTAGAGAGTTTTTTGTATTAATACAATTTAGTCACTGAGTCAGTTAATACATCCTGCAAATTTATTGTTGTTGCACTTTTGTAGAGTTTATATCAAAGTTTGCGAAGATGCGCCGTTGCCAACTGTTGCAAAATTTCACGCAATTTAGGGATTTTTTATTGTCAATTAATTGATAACACTTTTTCTACTAATCAAAAGGTTTTCTCCAAGTCTATTTTTACCTATCATTCACTAGATATTTTCGTTCGAATCTCCTCCATCTGCTCCATCTCCTCGATTGGGAATTTTTAATTAAACCGCGCCGTTTTAATTACCAAACGTAATTTTGATTAACTCTATTGTTTCGGTAAGTATTTTCGAATGACCGCGTCGAGGTTTTTTTTTATGTGCAGACTACGCCTGGGAAGTCATAAAAGAATTCGCCGAGGAATTATTGGAGGCGCAATCGGCCGACAAGGAAAGGGTGAGTTGGTTTTAATACAATCGTTTCTATGAAGTAATTAACGTGTAATTAATTAAGATGCGACAATGGGAAGTACCGGTAAGGTGGATTCGATGAAAAACACGCGGTGAAAAAAAAAAACCGTCACGATGATGAGAGATGTTTTAAAAAGCAAACAATCCGCGATTCGCAAAAATTTCTTCGGTGATTAATTTCATAATTTACGATAAAAATGTGTGTAAAGATGTTTGTTTTGGTAATTTTTTGTACGAATTTTCGTTTCCCACAAGTGTACAATGTGTTAAGGAAATACTACGCAGTTATTTGATTGTAATTTCAATAAACTCAAAGATCTTTTTTTTCGGATATCTCGTTAAAAAACGCTTACCGTTTATCGCCCGTTTTGTACATACCTCGTAACAATTTCCTACGCATTTCGAATTCTTACATTAGATAAAACCCGTATACATCTTAATGAAATACGCCATTAAAAATTTCCCCACATTTGTACTAAATAATCCCGGGAAAACCGTCATTTCCTACGATATTCCATATACAATTTAACGCGCACTTTCTATACAATCTCGACTAATACCCGATTAATAAAATATTTCTGCAATTAAGCACACACCTGGAAAATTTCCATACGCAATTGTAATGTAATAAAACAACATTTAGCATCTTTATGAATAACAAGAAACGCATTAACGCGAGGTGTTAATTCGGCTATAAAACAAATTTCTTTTAGCGCGAATTTCTTTATAAATACGCGATGAAATAAGCACCCTTGTAACGAATGACGCAACGATCGAATCAACAAATCCCGCGGTTTTGCAGGAGTTCCAAGACGAGGTGTTCGACTTGCTCGAGAGGAAGAAGAAGGAAACGCTGGCCCACAAGCGCAGCTTCTTCGTGCGGATGGTGAGCGATCCGAAGATCTACAACCCTTCCATAGCCAAGTCGCTGCCGTCCACCAGGAGGCACCTGACGGAGCAGGCCGATTCGCCCCTTTCGCCCGACGGGAACATCACCGTGCAACCGCCTTCGTAAGTATATCTACCCGGAAGGTTTTTTTTTCTGTTTTGTTTCGATTTTATTCGCGTTCGATGTAGCTCGAAGAGCGATACGAGGATGTGGTTCTATGATTGTTTTGCTTCGTAGGTCACGTCCGAGAAACTTGCATTCGCTTCAAAGGTAAACTGATGATTCGAATTCGGTAGATTTGTCGAGTTGTATTGTTGAAAAATATCGTGTAGATTCTGTAGTTTATACGCGAGATTTGAATTTACTTACATTACATTGATTTTTTTTTTCATATAATTGTAGATAGAACGGAAATTGTTATTAGATTAGGTGTAATTTTGTAGAATAGGAAATGTTTAGATAAATTGGAGTTTTGTACCATGGTATTCTTTATTATTAGCTTGTAACTCCTATTTTGAAGCAGTAAATGCAACAAAAATTAAAAATTATGCACTATTGAGTTAATCATTTCGTAAACTAATTAGTTACTGTTGATAACAAGCTAATTCAGGTATTATGGAAGCGATTTTTAATTTCATTTTAAGTAATTTTTAATTTCATTATATTCTTTTAGTTTCTATTTAATATCGCAGAAGTACTACTAATTACTATTTCTAACGATAACTCAAATTTTATCCACAAATTTATAATAATTAAATAAAGGCGAAATGAATTATCGTTCTATATCTCATTGCACTAAAATAGTACAATTATTACCCATTAGATTTGACAAATTAGTAGAGAAATTTTCACTATTATATTCCATAAAATTTTCGAAAGCACTACATCTGTTTTCCAGAAGTTCATCCTGGATCAGCTGGCCTTTGGCTTTCCTATTTCAAGGCATAACCGACGACGGCGCCTCTGGAAACCTGCCAATTAGGTAAACTTCTACAATCCTAATCTTCCTACATCCGATTAAAACCTACTTTTCTATCCAGATTTAGGCATTTGGACACCAAAGTTCGCCTGAAGGCCACCGGGAAATCCGGCAACGCGGCGTCCCCGTCCGTTTCCCCCGACGGGGAGAACTCCCGCTCGCCCAAACGCTCTCCGGTTTCGTCCAGGAGATCTTCACCGTCGGGCACTTCTTAGATCCGCTTTGGAAATTGAATAACTCAATTACAGATGAATAAAATCCGTATATTCAAAACGAATCTTTGTATATTTCTTCCCGGTTTTCGAGGAAAAACGCCGCGACGTGGCAACGCCGCAATTCGCGACGTCATCGATACGTTAGAGTGAACGCTTTGTAGATTTGAGTAGGTACACAGCGAAAATAAACAATTAATAAACGAAGTATAGTAGGTATATTCAAAATTCATTTCATTTCGATTATTTGCATTCACACGAGCGTGAATTTTATTATCCGAATGTTTGTTTTGCTTTGGGAAACTGCCAATAATTCGAACCGTCTAAACACGCTAATCGAAGTAAATTAACTTTCGACTTGTTATTGAATAATTTTCGTAATAATTCGAGCTACAAGGAAAGAAGAAGTTCCGAGGACCAAATCAGGTCAACGCGAAGGGCTCTAGAAATTAAACGAAAACATCCATAGATATTCCAATAGAACCGGGTTCGAATTATTTTTTCAAGAGATCGGAGATTAATGCATGAAAAGATCCGCTCCGGAGAGCGCTCGCGTTTCAGTGTCAATGGGAGATGAAAGTTCCCGGTAATTGAACCTTCTCCGATGCTTAACGGCCGCTATATTAAAAACCCGACTATAATAGGGACGGGGGTCGTTTTATTTTCGAAAAATTGAAAAACTTTTTCATTGTTTACGACAATTTTCGCGCCGCCGACGGCCCAACAAAGCGGATTTATCCGAGGTAATTGCGTACGTAAGTTTTAATGAATTTTCGAACTCCAAGTACCGACGATTAGGGAGGGATATTTATCGTACAGTTATACCAAAATAGTTTATTCGAACGACAAAATTAAGTACCCAAAAATAAATACAAAATAACTTAATCCTAATAATACTGAAATCACGCGCGCGTGTAACAAATAAACAACACGCTAGAAACACTTCTGCACCTCCGTGGGGCTCTTCGGCGGGATCTTGTAATCGTCCTCGAACTCCCTCTCGCCCTTCAGCGGCTTGTACTCCTCCAGGTCCTTGGCGAACACGTCGTCGTCGTCCACGGCGCCCGTCAGCTGATCGAGGATCGCGTCCTGGCGGTTCTCGACCTCCTCGTCGGAGTCCACCACCAGGATGGGCGTCGCCCCGTCGGCCAGGTTCGACCGGCTCTTCGACCGCTGGTACATCTCCTTCGACACGCTCCTGGTGAACGACAAGCGCTTCGACTTCTGCCGGGTGAGCGGCGGCCTGACGAACACCTGGCTCCTGATCGACTTCCTGCTGAGCAACTCCGACGTGTGCTCGCAGATGACGCGCCACGCGTGCTCGACGTCCTCCTGCGCGGCGTTCTCCGCCGTCACGCAGAACCGGACGATGTACTTGCCTTTCACTATGGAAGGTATCATGTGGAGCTTGCCCGAGGCGTTGATGGTGGCCAGTAGAGTCTGATTGACGGTATCGGGCGCTACGAGCCTGAAGCACACCAGGCCTAGTTTGACGTCGTTGACGATTTCGAAGCGTTTGTCTTTCCGCACGAGCGATTCGAAGTGCTTGGCGAGGTTGATGTGGTTGCGGATGTACTTCTGCAGCCCGGACAATCCGTATTTTCTGATCACGAACCACAGCTTGAGCGATCTGAATCGCCTGCTCAACGGGATGCCCCAGTGCCTGTAGTCGATGGCTTCGTCGGAATTGGCGTGTTGGAGGTACAACGGATCCACCACCAAAGCGCTGGTCAGCCTATACCGGTTCTTCACCCACAAACAAGAGCAATCGAAGTTGGTCAACAGCCATTTGTTGGGGTTGGTGTTGAAGGAGTCCATGTACTCGGCTCCGTTGAGATAGGCTTTCAGTTCGGGGCAGATGAAGGCGTTGCCCGCGTAGGCGGCGTCCACGTGCAACCACGTGCAGGCCTGCTCCTTGCACACCGGCCCGATCTCCTCCAGGCTGTCGAACGAACAGCACCCCGTCGAGCCCAATATGGCGGACACGAAGAACGGTAACAACCCGTTGGCTTTGTCCTTCTCCATCGCGTCCTTCAAGGTGTCGCCGCGCATCGAGCCGTTCTCGTCGGTGTCGAGGATGCGGATCTGCACGAGCAGGATCTTGGCCGCCTTCTCCACGCACGAGTGCGCCTCCTGCGAGCAGTAGCAGATCAGCCTCGGCAGGAATTCGCTGTCGACGGTCGACGGGTTGTCTTTCTTGAGGTACTGGATGGCCTGGTTGCGCGCCGCCAGCATCGAGACCAGCACGCACTCGCTGGCGGAGGTCTGCAGGACGCCGCCGCCCGTGCTGTTCGGCTTGGAGGTGATGAAATCGTCCGGCAGGCCGATCGCCTTGCCCAGCCAATCCATCACTATCGTTTCGAGTTCCGTGCAAGCCGGACTGGCCGCCTGCAATCAAACCGAAATAATGCATTGGCAGTTATTGCAGAAGCAAAAATGGTAAAGGGTGTTCCAAAAATAACCGAGATTTTGAAATCAAATCGAAGTAATGCATCGGCATCTATTGAAGGAGCAAAAATGACCCAAAAATAACCGAGTTTTTACTATCGTTGATGTTTACTTTGATGTTTACTGAAACATCTAAGAGTCATGTTATCTTTAAAGGAGGTAATGTCAATTGGCCACCAAGATCATGTGATTTGACACCGTTAGACTTCTTTCGATGGGGAGGAATCTTAAGGAAAGAATGTATAAAAATAATACTGGTATGAATGAGAAATATTATGGAAAATTTAAAATATCAGTTTGGGACACCCGTTGTAATAAATTTTAAAATGATTGATGTGCTGCCATAAAATTAACATTTACTCGGGCTGTGATTAATAAATGGATGTCGTGTTAAAGATGGCAGTTAACAATTGAAATTTCTAGTCGACTGCTATTCCTTAATAGCATTTAAATTGACCAGGCGATTTATCTAATCTCGATTTATAGGAAAGCGAGTTGAAAAAACTTCGAATCACTTTAAAAGTCACTTTAATCCTCAAATGCTCAAGATTATGTACATTCATTAATCCAGCGTTTTGTTGAGTAATTTTTTTCTCGTTGATTCTAATCCTGACAAATTTTTATTTCAATAGATTATTGAAACGGAACCATTAATTCGACCTTGCGCCACAATTTATTCAAATAAATTACCGATCTTATCATTATATCACCGTTTCATAATAGATCTACTATACGAGGGATTACCCAGGTTATTTATTTCGCTCATTTTCATATCTATTGTAATTGTTCGCATCGTTTTTATTTACAAAACAGCTTAACGAACGATAGTTCCGTTAAGTCAGCTAATGCCTGGCATTTATGAAATGCGCATTTAACGTAAGAAAAATACGAAACCATTTCCCACGATTATATCCAGATCTAACTCACCCAAGAAAACCCGATGCATCCGATGGCATCGGACAGCATATCGGCCAAGATGGACGGGTAGCTGTTCCCGCTGGGGAAGTACGCGTGGAACCGGGGGTGCTGCCAGTGCGTCACGCCCGGCATGATCTTCTTGTCCACGTCCTTCATGATGTCCTCCCAGTCGTCGGGCGCGTCGGGCGCCTCCTGCGGCAGCAGCTCCTTCAGGTAGCCGGGCTCGATGTCGGGCGTGACGCGGTGGCTGCCGATGTTGTTCATGTACGAGCAGATGTAATCGACCATCTCCTTGCCGCGTATCCTGAACTCCTCGACGTCCATGGCGGCGCTTTGCTGTTTATTCGATTTTCGATTCACAATGCGTTTTGTACCGTTCGAAGTTTCTCGGCTCGCTGTAAGTAGTGAGGCCGGTGGAACGCGGTGAGGATCGGCTGGTGCACTGTGGCCGGCGGTCTTTGGAAGAAGTTTTTATACAGTCGCCGTTGATGCCGTCGAGCCGGTGTGGGAGAGCGCTCGGTTCGGTGGACGGGCGGGCGCGATTCATGAAAGTTCCTGTTTTAATGGTTTTTTTTTTGTTTCAACGGGGGACGCGGGATGGCTAAATATAGTGCACTCGGAGTTTCCCCGGAGTTCCCGGGAAATCTGAAGAGATGTTTTCGGATACCCTATAATTTTTCACTTCTTGATTGCTCGATTTGAAGAAGGTTCTTTGTTGCTTAAAGGCGTATTCGCGCTATTATGTAAGTGCGATAATTTGTCGAAAAAAATATCTATTTTCACGTGCAATGCCAATGTTCCATCGAGCTATTTGCATATAGAATGTTAATTGCTTGTATAGGCTGTGTGTTGTTTCCGTTCGTTAAAATAGCATTAATTTTAAAAAATACGAATTCCAGTCTAGTGTATGCCTTTACAAAAAAAAATCCCTATCGGTTATCCTTGCGTTCTAGGAAAGCAGCAGGACGTAGGACATAGTTTTTTACAAATCCAATTAGTATTTAATTTAAAAAAACTAGCGGATTTGAGTATAGGGAAGACCCGTATAAATCGAAATGAGGGCTTAAAAATACCCACTGCTCAATATCTAAATATACTGAGTGATCCATTTGAATTAACCAAATTAAGGCCAGATTTTCACAGACAATTTTAAGGGATCAGTAAATGTATCAGTAAATGTATCAATAAATGTATCAGTAAATGGATAAATAAATAACTTAAAAATGGTCAAAAAATACACTTTTCATTTGCATTATAATAGCTGGTGTAACTAGTATATAACTGGAAGTTAGATGTGGTTGAAAATATTCTAGAAAAACTCGAAATATTGACTCCTACGAACTCGCAGGAACTCCTAAGGAAAAGCCCTGTAAATTGGTACATTGTGGGCGGGTTACATAGGAAGCAATTCCTGCTTGTGCATGATAGGAAGCGTGTTAATTAATAATTTATGCTAGCAGGAGTGTAGGTATCAAGTGCAAGTGCAGCTGGAAGGAAATCCGGATTGTTTTTCTGAAAGTTTATTTATCTTGCGTAAATAAAGCGTAAAATATGATGGGAAAATGGTGGAATTTTTGAACTCGAAATAAACTAGGAAATGTACTATTTTTAATCCGCGCTCGTCAGCGAATGGTTTAATTATTTTGTCTATTGTGCCCGGCGATCGTTTCGAAACTATTTGTTGCGTTTATTTTTACTAATTACTACTAATGTTTGGGATGTAGTTGAAGAATTTGTCGAGAAAAATCCCCGTTTACGGGCGATATTTGAATAATTTAACTCATTGGCATATTGTAATTTAATCGATTATTTCATAAATTATTATCTATCTAACAAAACGATATTACCCAATATATAATAATTTATCGCAAGGTGCCAAATATAATAAAATAATTTATGTACGGTAATTACACGATTATCGCGTTTTTTGCAAGGTATTCGGTGGAAAATTCGGCGAAATAATTTGTATAAATAAATTTCTTACGTGAATTAACGTTTGATATTGTCGATATATATTTTTTTGAATATTTCCAATTTTTTCGAATTACGCGTTTCCTAGAATTTTTTCAAATATTTATTCACCAGCGCCTATAAATTTTCGATTAGAAGTATGTAAGCTATGCGTGTTATAAACTGCTCCACAAAAGTTAAGGAAGTTCGAAAATTTTGCGATTATTTTAAAAGTTAGAGACTTTTTGATCACCAAATTTTCAAATATGCGAAATTAAATGTTTCATCTCATATCTGAGTGGATTTTTTGCCCCTACCTCTATAACTCATACTAAATTTGGCGATCAAAAAACCTGCAACTTTTAAATTAATCTCAATATTTGTGAACTTCCTTAACTTTTGTGGAGCAGTATATTATTTATCAAAGGCTCTTATAGAGAATCCATTGACTCGATTCGATACAGTATAACGTGGATAAATCGAAGTTGTACTAATTGTTTGTACTATATTTTAGAAAATTCCCGATTCCCATAAACACAGAAAATTCCCGATTCCCATAAACACTCGCCCATGCAATATGCGGTAGACAATGTTTAAAAAAAAGCCGTGGCTAACTCAAACATTGACGTGAGAATTCTGTTTGTTTTCAAATGACGTCTATTTCGGAATGACGATTTTTGTTGGAGCCAACGGTGACTCAGCTTGTATAAAGTTAAATAAGAAATTCTAATGCCGTTTATAAGCGTGATTTAAAGTATAAAAATGTTTTTAGATAAAACCGAATTGGACAGGCACCGAAAGTAATCCCACGCGCATTAACATTGTCTCTTTCTAACATACGTTTATTGCTATTTTTCATTACTCTGTTAGATGCGCAAAAATCAGGTATTTCGATCTGTTTGTTTATAATGAAGATATTTCAATTACTTAATCACTCTCTTAAACAATTAACTCCTTAGGTATATTTATATTTTTTACGATAATTTAATTACTTAATCGCTGTTTTTTTAGCTAATTCATTGTATATTTACTCTTTTAAATCCATAAATATATTCATGAGGATTGTACACCGTAATTCCGGTAATTATTTCGCAATAATTGTTACTAATTTTTGAAATTTCTAAACGTTTTTCGAAATTAACTTGTCTTCGACAACTCCTAGTAATTGATTAATATTTAATGTAGGTAATGTCTGTCCGCTGTTCGAAGTGAAATGTTTTTTAAATGGCATACTAATTAACAATTAATAATCTTTGTATTAAACGGTAAATACGAAAACTTACTGTAAATATTCTATTAATAAATTTCGTACATCTTCCGATGGACCGGCTTGGAGAGTGCATTTATAGAGCCTAAAACGGAATTTATTGGAAATCCCCGTTGTTTTTGTGCCTATTATAGCTACCTGCTCTCACGGCATTCAACCATGCAGGTATTCCGTAAACGTTTTTTTCGCGATTACACTGAGCAATTAAAATAAACCGGCCGGGGAAGCCCCAATCGATTTTTACGAAAACTCCCAGTGAAGAAATAGAAAAAAAATGCTAATTGTAAAAATGGGTTTTATTGTGACCGGAAAGTTGTACGATTTTATTAATTAGGAGTTTCTAAAGTGGCTTTCGTTTTTTTATTAAAGAATTAATCAAAATGTACAAAAGATTTTTTGTAGAATTGTGAAAGTTTGAAGGAGACAAACGAAATTTTGCAAAATAATATAAGCAAAATAATACCTACGGATCTGTATATTACAATAAATGGAAACCTTCCAATTTTCAATAGTTATTTAGAAAATTTATAATAATTTAATTATACGGCGCCATTAATTAGAGGATACAGGTAAATATTTAATTGTAAATATAGAATTACCGACAAATTAAGGAAAAATATTAAAAAAAATTTCATTCAAGGAGAATTCCTCTCCACTTGATTTATTCAGTCAATGGAAAACCGGTCTTTTCCTATGTGTACCTAATTACATTGTTAATAAATAATGAGCATAATGAAAAATAAAAAAACTGACCTGTATGCATTAAAATGTTGTTTTTTTTATGAAATTTGTTGCTATTTTTAACGCCTTAAATAAATCACGCAATCTATTTTTAATCGTCACAACTTATTTAATTTACTAGAGAAATTCCCCGAAATGTTACCTAATAAAAAAGCTATTTTAAAAGGATGTACCCCACCCAAAAATCTATATCCTATCGATACCGATACAGGTAAAATTTTCAACTAAAATGACGCATATTCATCGACTTGTTACTGTTCCTTTTCGCGCATTTGTCTAGCAATAATTATCGGAATTTTTCATTGTCTATACATTATGTAATAAGTCCAAGGTAACAATCATATCGTTTTGTTTGCCTTTAAAAAATTATTAGGTGTTAGTTCCTGTTTCCGCGTAACGATCAAGATGTACGCTCTGCCGAACATTCATCACTAATATACATGTATTAAAAAAATCACATAATCAATTATTCTCGGATTCTGTATAATTAGTATTTTTTTGAATAAATTGGAAGAGTTAATGAACTATGTTTTATATAAGTAAACATCTTAAATTGCCCTCAAATCAAATTTAAAACCACGATTTTCAGTTCTAGAGACAGTTCTAAATGATTCTGGAGCGTTCTAAATGGTAATAGCAGCCTAGCATTATTGGTAATTAATAAACTATAGATTTGATATCTTCTAACTGTAATCTGGTGAAAATAATGAAGAGTTTTTGGTTTGAAGCGATTGTTTAAAGTGCAGGTTGTAAAAGGGTTTCGCTCGAATTGTTTTATTTAAATTGTGTAACAAAATTAAACTTAGTTTTTAGTTTAAACGGATGATAACAAAACTCATTCATGTCTCCGCAAAGCTGAATAAATAGAGCTTTTCGTTCGAGCGAATTTCCGCTCAACTTTATGGACTCGCAATTTTTATTTTAAAATATCAATATAAATTGTTTCAAAATAAATAAAAAGTTTTGATGTGGTTTTGCAAAAACAAAAATATATTATTTACATTATTATCTAGTCCGTATTAAAAAAAATCCCACACATTTCTGAAAATAGTACCTGTTATTATCATCAATAAGGTAAGTGCAAATGTGTTTGCAATATAATCAATTCTATGAGTTGAACAAAGTAAAATAAATAAAATAACAGTGGTTAGAGTGAAATAGTTGCAATACTCCCACAGTATTACTCCTTCTTTTTCTTTTATATGAGACTAATGGAAGTTATCTTTGTTGCACACATAAACTATATTGCGTACAACTTTGCAGTATCCGTTTACTACAAATTACATATTATAGATAATGTCAAGTCACTGCAAACGCAAAAATATTTACATAATCTACGTATAAGTAATCATTTATTTATTTTGTCTAAACTATTCTCTCATAATCTCTCCCATGACATGACTAGCAAATAAATGTGTTAAGTGAATTTATGATGTGAATTAATCTAGTCGCCCGAGATATTTTACATAGACACGATTATTACATGAACGCATTGTTGTGCAAAATTTTGCAATTTTGCGACGGAAAAACTGGAAAATTAATTGATCCTGCAACGCGTTTTTTACCGGTTGCATCACAGACAATTTGTTAAATAATACACAAATGGGTAATTTACCTGAAGGATTTTCTAAACTTTCCGCTTCTCCGGCATTTTCACTATGATGGTACTACACAGGCTACTACATTAAAGACCAGCAAATATTAACTAAAAAAAAGAAGATTGTGGCTTGACTTTTGACAGGTGGCATTATTGTAAAAACGAGGTTAAGTTTACAGTTTACTACGAAACATAAACAAATGTTTAAATTTAATTTTTTATGTGAAAAGGAGAATGAACATTCTACCGGTACGTTAAAATACTTAATACTAACAATAATTAATCTTCGAATGTAATTAGAACCAGATTTGGACCGGCAAGAAGTATTCCAGCACAGTGAAGAAATATGCCCCGAACCTAATCCACAAGAACTAAATGATATTCCGAAAAACACGATAGAATGTAACGATGTAGTGATAAATTACTTGTGCCCCAATTCCCTATTAGACACTCTAAAGGACAAGAAACTAAACGAATCGATCCTTCAAGCAGAAGAAAACCATTCGGATCTACTACCAGCAGTATACGAAGGTGGATAAGATTGTTTATTTAAAGTTTTCCCTTTTTAATTATGTTCATTTTAGGCGGTTTAAAAGTGTGGGAATGTACTTACGACGTGCTGCAGTATTTCGAAGAAGCCCAAATCGATTTTAACAATAAGTTAGTGCTAGATTTGGGTTGTGGTTCCGGAATTCTTGGCATATACGCACTGTTAAAGAATGCTACGTGTTGGTTTCAAGACTATGTATGTTTCAGATTCAATTATTAAACCACATCTTTATTGATTTATACTTTTTTAGAACGTTGATGTTATTAATAACATCACCATTCCAAACGTTTCTCTTAATTCGGAGGACCTGATGGATCGTTCAAAGTTTTTTTCGGGCGATTGGAAGTATTTCGTAGATTTAATGAAGGAGAAGTATTCCGATCGGAAATTCGACTGCATTATTACCTCGGAGACGATTTACAATACAAACTACTACACAAAACTCCATCGAGTTTTCGAAAATCTATTAAAAAAAGACGGCGTAATGTATCCTTTTCGATGTAAATTTCTAGTATCCTAGCATAACACGACTTAGCTATATTTTTCTTGACGAAATACTAGATATTTGGCGGCGAAATCTTTTTACTTCGGAGTAGGTGGAGGCGTGCATTTATTCGAGAATTACATGGACAACAAAAAGGTCTTTAGGCACACGTGTTGCTGGAGCACCACGGACGGAGTGCAGAGGGACATATTAAAGATTAATTTTTTATAAAACCCTATTTTACTTCGACTGACGTGTTAATAAAAATCTAATTATTGCCATGAATTTCCATTTGGCATATTATTGTCTAAGGACTTAGCCTTTCGTATATCCATCCATCTTCTCCTTCGTGAGTTAATACTCCATCCGGTTCACCGGGTCCTGGTTTCCTGAATACGATTCTATCGTGTATCCTGTCGGACTGGCCCTGCCAGAATTCGAAATAACTAGGCTTCACGATATAGCCTCCCCTGGAAGTAAGCGATAATTAAGAGAATTGCTAATTATGCTGTATTATTCACCATTTAGGCGGTCTCGGAACTTCGCCTTCCTTGTACTGAGATCTCAGTTCTTCCGCTTTCTTTTCTAGTACTTCTCGACTGGCGACTTGTTTGCTCTGGTCGCTGCAAAGGGCTCCAATTTGGCTTCCGTAAGGCCTTTTACTGAAGTAATCGTCTGCTAGCGACAGCGGTAATTTTTCTACTTTACCTTCGATTCTCACCTAAAACATATCTTAGTGTAAAATATGTTTGAAGTGTTACGAAACGAGCTTACGCATCTACTGTAGTGATCCCAGTAAAAAGTTAGAGCTGCTTGTGGGTTTTCTTCCTGAGAAAAAAATTATACTGGTAAGTCCATTGGGAGAAATTTTGAAAATAAAACTTACTAATTGTTCGCCTTTTTTGCTCGTATAGTGGGTGAAAAAAGTGAAGCCTTCTTTGCTGTAACCTTTGAGTAAAACGTACCGTCCCGAGGGCAGGCCATCTCTGTAGCGAAGCATTGTTAATAATTAATAATCAATTAATTTTAATAATAACAACGTAAATAGTTAATGAAAAAGAATATACGTACTTGGTAGCTGTGGAAAGACACATAGCATTAGCTTCAACGGTTCTAGGGTCATCTTTAACTACCTGAAACCAATCGTTGAAAATGGCAATGGGTTCTTTGGCTTTGATGTTCTCCTCCAGGAAAACTGTGCTCTTGCTGTTGTAGCTTTTCCTCATTCCTAAGAAAATACATTTGAATTCGGAGTGTTTTTTTAAATATTTTGCGAGCTGTCAATGTCATCTGTCAGTGTCAGGTCAGCATTACCACGTCAGTCAATGTCAAGTCAATAATTGTAAATAACAAACAACATAAATAAATGAGATAAAATATTGTTGATATGTAATTAAATACGTTTTAATTAACACTTCAGGGTTTTTAATTTGTTACATTTACGCTTTAGCAAGACAAGTAGTTCATTTGTATCATATTTGAGTCAGCAATTTATAAAGGTAAAAATAAGTAATTTACGCTGTAAAATGTGTTATTATCAAACCTTCGATAGAGAAATTCCTCCGAACAACTTTATCCAACAATTTACGAAGCATTTTAGTGTTTTTGAATGTAAATTAAAACGGAAAATCTATATCTACTATGATTACGTTAAGGAATAATTTACCACTAATGTCCATGATTATTGCGCGTTTTACAAATTGTTATATCTCGTCTTATTGAAACGTAAACAATTTATTCACTTCTAAACTGATCTGATTGCATATTTGCTAAGCATTGTGGCCTCGCTTTTATCTTGTCTTATCCTACTCCTGCAGTTCTCCTGTAAATACGAAGTCCTGCGTACAAAAAATAATAGAATAGAATGCATTTGCATAAGAAATGAAGTTAGCTACACATAAAATTGGCCTTTAACAATACGTCTAACAAGTCAATATCGAACGTCTCTCTTCTTTTACGTGCCTAACTTCTCTTCCCTAAACACGTTATTTAGTGGTCACTTCGATTTTTTAGGTTAAGTTTGTGTAATTTATTCGTTGGTAAAGGATTTAAACAGAATTAAACTGTTTAATTCTCATAAATCAGTTTATAATGGCCGATACTGCAAAGGTAAATGGATAAGTTGTAAATAGTCGCCTTTTAATCGAATCAATTAAGCCGAAAGTTCGAAAGAATATCAACAATGCCGCACTTGTCACTGTAGTGTCCAAAATGTCGCACTAAATTGTTCATCAGTTATATTATTCTCATTAAAAAAATCATCATAAGAAATGGCTGTCTCCACGCAAACCTCCAATTTCAGGCTGATGCTATTGGAAATTCCTTTTGTACAAGAGGTTGTAACCGAGTACATAAGGGATATTTAACGCGCATTCGTTCTCTTTTAGGTACAGCAGTACAAGGAGGATGTCAAGAAACAGGCCGAGACTTTAGTGCTGAAGGGCTTCCCGGAGACGATCGTTAAGCTGAACACCATTTTGGAGACGCCGCAGTTCAAGAACAGGGACTTCCTCGACGTGCACCAGGAACTCAACATTCCCGTACCGGATCCGATCATCCTCAACAGCCACACCGACCTGCCGGCCGCCAAGAAGCCCAAGCTCGACCAGGACGGCACCAAAGTGATGATTTTGCCCACGGGGGCCGTGCCCGTCAATCGAAACCTGGCCGATTTGATCGAGAACGTCAAGCCCCACATTAGGAAGTTAGTGGAAGATTCCAATTTGGTACGACCCTCGCTTACGCCTCGTATTTAATAACTATAATCAAATTACTGTCTTTTTGTAGATTAAAATGTGGATTTCGTTTATGATTCCGAAGATCGAAGACGGCAACAATTTCGGGGTGTCCATTCAAGAAGATACGCTAGCTGAAGTGCAATCGGTCGAGTCCGAAGCCGCCGCCTTCTTTGATCAAATTTCTCGATACTACATATCTAGAGGTTTGTTATTAAGGTCTACGAGGGTAAGGCGAAAAGTTCTAGCCCTGAATTATCTAGAATGCCCCAGAATCATTTAGAACGCTCCAGAATCATTTAGAACTCTCTACGACCATTTAGAACGTTCCGGATTCATTTAGAACTGTCTAGAACCATATAGAACGCTTAGAACCACTTAGAACGTTCTATAGTCATTTAGAACTCGCCAGAATCATTTAGAACTGTCTTGAATTACAGATTTCGCCTTAATAAGAAGAATTAATGTAATTTTTCAACTGAAAATCGCGATTTTTCGTCGCCAGGCCTAGAACTGTTCACCTTACCCTCGTATTTACGAATTGTACGTTTAAATAGAATCGTTTTTTTAGGTAAATTAATATCGAAAGTAGCGAAATATCCACACATAGACGACTACCGAAGATCGGTACAGGAATTGGACGAGAAGGAATACCTGAGCCTGTGGCTTGTTATGTCAGAAATAAGGAACAGATATTGCGCTCTGCACGACATCGTGCTCAAAAATCTCGATAAAATCAAAAAGCCTCGACCATCGAACGCCACGGAATCGTTGTATTAGTTCGAAACGGATTGTGCACGACGGATCAATTATTCTCTTACGGTTACTTATTTTCGACATAACAATTTAAGATTAAAAAAAGAAACATTGCGATACATTGCTTTAATCGGATTAATATAATTAATAAAAAGATGAGGAGTACTTTTATGTGGATTTTATGTTAGAAATTTAGCTTTAGTAAGACGATACTTTGATCCTCTTTGTACATGAGTTGTTTCGGTTAAATTTATTATTATTAGGTTCAATGCAAGTTCTACAAAAATAAATATTTTCTTAATCGTTTGACTATATTAGTGTGTACCGACTTTTTTTTCTAGAATAATTTTATTATAACTTTGTCAATAAAATTCTGGGAAAGTTCATATTCTTATGCTTACCACACTTTCTCTATTGCTTGGATTTCGATTATTTATTATTATTTAACAACTGGATATACCAAAAATCGTGAAAGATCATTGAAAAGCTTTGTATCTAGTTTATTTTGAGCAGAAATTATACTATTACAATCTTTATACCTCATCCTATGTAGCGAGATTTTGCGACATTTGTTGACAACTGCCAATCTACATCGGACGAGGTGTAGCAAAGTAACATATCGCAAACGCCTCGTATACACCTAACCAGGAGCGGTAACCAGGGTTCTGTCGTTGTCAAATAAAATTATTTGGCAACGTTTTTTCCCATACGGCGTTTTCGTCCCCGCAGAGCGTTTGATGCCCGACGACAGCCAGCGAGCAGTTAATGTTGGAAAGCACCGACCGTTGTCCGAGCGGGTCACCGACTAGCGACAAGATAGTCGTCAGGCGGTTCATAAATTCGGCGATTTATGTCGAAAAGGAGATGTCGCCGTCGAGGAAGACCAGCGCCCTGTCGCTAGCCGGCACCGACGAGGGCTACCAGACCGAGAAGAGCGTGTCGAGCGAGTCGCTGAAGCGCGCCCCGCTCGGCCACCTCACGCCCAAGATCAAGCCGGCGAAAGCGAAGTCGGTGAGGAAGTGCACCTGCATCTTGGGCGCGACCCAATGCCAGTGTCACCAGCAGCCGGCGGAGCCGGCCAGGCGGAAGAAAACCGTCGATTTTAGCGATAAAAACTCCACCACGAGCTCGTCGAGCGTGGACACCCAAATCACCATTATAAACAAGAGTCCCAAATCGAAGATGAGCACCGAGAGCTTGCTGTCCTCCACCTCCCTTTTGTCCTCTGCGATGGACAGCAGCCTGTTCATCGACCAAGACCCGAAAGAGAAGGAGGAGCAGTTCAAAAAGTGGCTCAAGAACAAGGAGCAGCAGAAGAAGGCGAAGAAACTCGAAGAGCAGCGCCAGCAGAAGCTGAACAAAGAGAAGGAGGCGATGCTGTTGGAGCAAAAGGAAGCCGTGTACAAAGATTGGCTGGAGAGGAAGAAGCAACAAGAGGAGAATCTAAAGAAGCAAAAGGAGAGGGAGAAGAAGAAATCGAAAAAGATGGAAGAGGAAAAGAAAAGGAAGCTGGTTAACAACAAGGAAATATTCGACGCTTGGTTGAAGATTAAAGCGGAGAAGCAAACAGGTTAACTTCGCGATATAACTCACATAACGCTGGGTTAAATCTGTTGAATTTTTAGAAGCGAAAATGAAGGCGAAAAAGAAGGAAGATGAGAAGGCAGAGTTGAAGAAGGGCCGGCTGGAGCAGAGCCAACGCGCTTTCTCCGATTGGTTGAAACATTCCAAAGACAAGCCCAAACCGGTGCCCTCCAACCAAGGACTGTCGAGTAAGTCCCTTGTTATAAACAGGTAATCTTAGATATTTTCACTTGGTCCTTTTTTTTTAGGTTTATATTTGACGGATTTGGTGGCCTACGTTAATCCAGAACCTTGGGTTGGGAATTGAAAGCAATACATTAACGGTCTACGTATAATATTAGAAAATTTATAGTCTATTTTTACGCATTTTTTTAAGTAAATTATACGATATACTAAACGGTTCGTTTATATAAGATTCGCTTCGTCGGCTCGCGAAGTGCAAGTATTAAAAGACATTGATTAACACACAAAATAATTTTTATGTTACAACGAAACAGTAATAGAGTATTTACAAATGACTCTGAATTGAAATTAAACATTTATAAAATCTATTTAAACTCTTCATATAACTACTAATTTGTTTAGAAATTGTTAAATTGCCTATATGAATTTATTTGCTACTTTCACTCTAACATAAAATTGCAATTAAACTCGTACTTGTGTCAATGCTAAGTGCTATTAATGAAAAAAAAACCTACAAAATATCAAGCAATCGAGAAAAGCTTCCTACGAAATACGAAACAAAAAGGAAGTCAACTTCACAGGAACTCAAACAAACGCTTTAACAGAAAGGCTAAATAACAACAACAACAACACCGAAAATTACGACTACCCTTACACTAAATCAATTCACCAATTTATTCGCTCTAACCCGCCTAGCGTACTGTCTGTATCTGCTCCTCGCGTCGTCGCGGTTCTCCCTCTTCTTGCGCTCGAACACGGCGTTGAAGACGACGTCGACGAACCGATTGGCGTCGATCATCCGGCGCACCGACGCTCAGAACGTCTCCTCCTCCTCCTGCAGCCGCAGCACGTCCGACTTGTTCAAGAAGTAGTAGGTCGGCTGGCGGCCCTTCAGGTCCTTCACCACGCGCACCGCCCCCGCCTTGATCAGCACCCGGCTGATGGACTCCATCTTGTCCACGCCCATGGCGTAGTGCAGCGCCGTCCTCTCCAGCTAAACCGAACCGAAAACTCACCAGATAGTAGCACTATTTGGCGCCGGATGTACTTACGTTATCGCCCAGTTTTAGCGTCTCCGAGAAGGTGCTGGCCAAGTAGTCGACGATTTCCTCCTGCTGGCAGAGCACGGCGATGTGCAGCGAGCACCGGCCGTAGCTGTTCTTGCCGATGGCCAGCAGCTTGCCGCTGCCCGTCTCGTTTTCGTCGGCTAGCAGAGCGGCGACGTCGCTGAGGGAGCCCTGGCGGATGGCGTGGTGGACGCGTTCCCTCTTTTCCTGCAACACCGAGCGATCAATCGCGACGAATCGGGCAGTTTCGAGCCTCTACCGTACCTCGAACGCGAGAATCGATTGCAGGAACGACACCGTGTCGGGCTGGTCGGCTTTGGAAACCGCCTCGACGATGGGCACGCCGTCTTTGTCCGCCACGTCGGTGATGTGGTCGTAGCCGTCGAGCAGCAGCTCGACGAGTTTGTCGGTGTCGCCTGCTCAAAACGTGCTTAGATCTAGTTGAATTCGAGCGGAACGAGTTTACCTTGCGTGGCGATGTGGAGGACGTATCTGTCGATCTCCTCGGTGTTGTCGGGCAAATTGGCCTGGATGCTGATGTCTCGGGCCGTCCGGTACAATTCGTCTCTGTAGGCTATGTTGATGTCGGTTTCTTGGAGCAGCTGGAACAAGGCGTTGCGTCCGTGGGATCTCGCCGCGGCGAAATGCAGCATACTTTGACCGTGTTCGTCCTTTAATTGTTCAAAAAATTATACCAGAAATTATGCTGGAAATTATGATAAATACTCACCCTGCTGGTGGGGCTGAACGCGGTTTCGTCGTCTTTGTCATCGTCGTTCGGCTCCAACGTTACCACGTCGATGTTGGCCGGTACCGCGTTGTTGTTGTTCCCGTCCGATGGGGAACCGGTCACGATCTGCTGGTGGCTGGTTTCCTGAAAAATCCGAGATGCATCGCTCGTATTTCGCTCGAATCCAGTGCGACCAACCTGAGTCTTTCCCCTCGACCTGACGTTGTTCCTGTTGTTGGCGAAATTGTACAGATACTGCGCTAGGTAGGCTATGGGGTCTTCGGGTCTCTTGTTGGCGACTTCCGTGAGTCCTTTGATGAGAGGATCTCCTAACGCTGCGATAATAAAATAATTAGTCTATCGAGAGGAGGAGGGAATGTACTTACAAGAGGCCAAGTAGCGTCCTTCTTCGGTGGCGAAAAAAGGCATGTCTGCTTGTCCGTTCTCCGTCAGCATTTTATCTGAAACCAAAAGAGATGGTGCTGTGAAAACGGGCGCTTTGGTCGCCCCCCTGCGAGCGTTCGGTGATAGAAATGCTGCGGTGATAGATTAGTAAAGTTTTGCCTTCACTGAAGCTAGCGAAACGAGCACAGAACACGAATAGTCAAGTCGTATTTGTAATAAGTAAATAACACTCAGTCGTGCTGCTAATCTGGTGCTGTCTTATACACTGTACAAACACTCTGCTGTAAAAGATAAATTGGTTGAAAGAAAGTAAAAGTGATGGTTTTGTTTGGTTGTTAATCAGATTACTGACCTATTTAAATTTCCATCCTTATTAGTGTCCTTACGATATATAGAGAAAAAACAACGTGAAATTTTTTTTTGGCGTTATATACAACAATCGCATAAAGTATATAATACAGTTTACTGTTTATTAACAAAGCTAATTACTTACAAACGATTTTAGGCACTTTCGGCGAGTTTCTTTTTCTTAAATATGTTCAGAAACAACGCCGCTATGTGCATAGAATTCGACATGGCCAGGTCTTTCTCTAATTGCAAGATATTAACCACGGCCGTGGTGAAATCTTCGTAAGACCGCAGCTCGGTAACGCCGAGACACTGCTGGTTCCCGATGCGAATCACGTCCGTCGTGCTGGTGTTCCTGTGGTAAGTCAACCCCCTCACCAAGCACAGGTGTCTCAGGTTATCCGGCTCTTTGATCAGCTTCGGAAATCGCAAGGTCAACGAGAAATTCAACGTGTTACCGACGGCCGATGGTCTCGACGATAGATATCCCAGTTTCCGGTCGAACGTGAACTCCAGCTTGTCGTTCAAGGCTTTGATGATGCGCGATATTCGCGAGAAAATCTGCCCGACGTCGCCGGGATGGCTGTGGTCAGTGCAGGTGATAATCCTGATGTGATCCAGCACGTTTATCCACACCGCCAAATTGGCGCTGTTGCTTACAAACACGCCCCTGCCGTAGGGCCAGTACTTCCCGTGCAACCGGTCCGAGTCCGGCAGGGTCCACAGAGGCACCAGCAATCCGTTACTAGCCAGCGTTATTCGAGCCTCGGACGGGTCCTCCAGGACCTCGTTCATCGTATAGTATGTCCCGTTTCCCTTCTCTTCGATGTCCTTATCGGAGGTGTGCGGGTACAAAGCTTTAGCTACTTCTTTACTCATTAAAACCCCCGTTACAATCCGCTCGACCGCCTCCAATTGAGCGTGGTTCAACGATTTGGGCAGCTCGAACCCGCGCAAATTCCTAGTGGCCTCCAACGACCCGGATATAACGTAGCTCCCGGCTGGATCCACGTCCTTGTCGACGTCGCCGTCGAAGAACTGGCTCTCCGGCTGGTCGGGGATGTCGTGGTGCGGGTCCAAATAATTGTAGTCCTTGAGCACGGGCTCGAGGAACTCCTTGAACACTTTGTAGGAGTAGACGTCGGGCGCGACCAGGCCCATGGGCAGGTCCTGCTCGAGGCCGGCGCGGAAGCCCGGCTCGACCGGCAGCTTCTTCACGCTGGGCCAGACGACGTCGTAGAGGTTGTGGTCGAGCCGGGTGAGGCGGCGCTTGACGGCGTCGAAGGTGCTCTTCCTCACGTGCTTGGTGAGCAGGAAGCCGGCGCCGGGCGCCGAAGAGACCAGCGTTTTGGTCGAGGCGTTCGAGGCGGTGGAGCCGCGACGGCCGTGCAACACGCCGTAGCAACGGTCGAGCACTTCGATCATGTCCGGATCGTCTAAGTTTTTTCTCGCCGATTCTCTATCGCCTGGCACTGGAGGCAAAACGGCAATTTATGTACGGTTCGGCTAAAGGGAATGCTAAAAGGACGGTCGCGTTCGTTGTACGTTTAGTTTGTTAGATGTTGATAGGCTTTTAATGAGTATTCCGTTTAGTTTCTAAAACATGCAGAATCTATGACACACGCATTTTAAAGAGTTGGTGTCGATAGGAATTTATGGATTCGTCGGAGGTTTCGTTGTGAATACAGGAGATGCATCTTGGAATCGATAAATTCCTATGGAAATGAAAGTTTCGGGTTTCTCAAATTGGATCAATTTAAAGAGTATTATCAAGTAGCCACCCAAAACCTTCCACCGTTCCTCCTCTAACAATAAAATAAACCAACGACTTGTTTATGTACAAAAACCGCCTACCTTTATCGGCCAAAATCCCATCGGCCTCGTCCCCTTCGGCGCCGAAGTCCCTCAGCAAGCCCCTGTGATTGAAATCCTCCTGGTTCTTCCTGTAGTACTCCGGATTGAAGCCCAACTGAAATCACCTCTTAATTCAACACGAACCGACGGATCCGCCGATCGCCTCACCTTATCCTCCGCCCGCATGTCGGCCCCCAAGTGGATCAGCAGGTTGTAGTAGTGGCCGTTGTCGTTCAGCACCGCGGCGTAATGCAACGGCGTCCGCTCGTCGTCGTCGGTCATCTGCACCGTCTCCGGAAACCGCCCCGCCAGGTACCTGACTATGCTGGTGTTGCCGAATATCACCGCCACGTGCAGCGGAGAAGCGCCTACAAAATTATCGACTGTTAAAAACATAATAGCAGGAATGCATGGATGGGCTGTAGGCGATGAAAAATGCCAGGTTCTTGTCTAGAAGAGTAGAGCTGAACTAGTAATGGTTGATGCATGATGGAGTTACCAATGGTTGGTTTGTGTGGAGAATTTAATTTAGTCTTGAGTTAATCACCTTTGGGAGATATCGAGTCCTTGGCGATGGCGAACTTGCGCCTATCCAAAGCGGCCTGGAGGTCTCTGAGGTTCCCGTTTCTGGCCGCTTCGTGTATCCTGTGGATCTTCGACTGGAACAAACAATTCAGTAATTAATATGCAATAAAATACCGAGCATATGACGAACCATATAAGTGGGTACGTTGTCCAAAAACGTCTGCAAATCCGGATTGTCGCTGGACAATCCGACGAGCCTATCGCCTTCGCCGTTCAACACCATAGCGGCGAGTTGCTCCATGTTGCCCGTTTCGACTAAAACTTTCACATCGTCATCGGTATCAGAGGCCCTAGGTTCATTCATACCTTCGTTGTTCATCGCTTCTACCTCGTTTTCGCCGTTAACGACGCCTTCAATGACGCCCTCGTCGTCGTCGACGAGGCCCTTGGCCTCGCTCGAGGCGGTTCTCCTAGCGCTAGCCGGTCGAGAATCGTTCGGCTCTTTCGTTCTGCTAGCGCTAGTACTAGTAGGTCTAGTGCTATTAGGTCTGGTGCGGTTTAGTCGAGCGCTATTCGGCGGCGAATCGGCAGTTTCTTCGGGCTCGTTTTGCTTCTCTTGGTCTTCGGTGTCGTTGTTGTTGTTGTTGTCTGTTATTTCGGCGATTTCTAGTGATTCTTTGGGTTCCTCTGGCGGGTCTTTAGGTTCGTTTTCGGGCGGCGTTTCGGGTTTTTCGGGTGGCGTTTCGGGTTTTTCGGGCGATTCCGTTTCGTTTGTTGAAGTTTCGGTGGGTTCGAGCGATTGATTCGCTTCGATTACAGGTGATTGATTATCGGTGTTTTGTTCTAAATTTTCTTCATCGTGCGGTGGTGGTTTGTCGTCGCCATTTTCGACTATTTGAAGAAAATTAGATTAGTTAAATAAGCGATTAGTGGTGAATAAAAAAATTTACCTGGCTCTTCTTCGTTCTCTTTATTAGAATCTTTGCTTTCTTCAGTCTCTTCGTTAGTGTCTTTGCCGGCGTCTAGCAGTAGATGTTCGGCCTTTTTGGCGCCGTTCTGCAGCCAATTCGATGAAGGCGACGATGTTAACAGGTTCCAATCGAACGCTGCCGCTAGATTTTCTTTAGCCGATCTCGGACAATCCGGTACCACAGTCAGCAGCTTGGCGTCGATCTCCGAGTGCCTGGTTCTGTAATAGCCGGCCGTTTTTTGCTTCTGCAAAAGATTTTTTACAAGGCGATTGTTGTAGCAGTGGTGACGGAGACTCACGTTGTCCAAGGCCGATTCGTCGGCGCCGTTTTCTATCAGAAAACTCATCATTTTCCCGTCGTCTTTGAGCAAAGCGGCGTAGTGCAGCGGCGTGCGCCCCTCGTTGTCGACGCTGTTGACTCCATCCGGGTACTCTTTTATTATGAACTCGGCTATTTCTCGTTTGTCCAAACCGGCCGCCTGGAAAACTCCTTATTACGATCGCTCGTCTGGTTGATCGGGGTGGTAATGAATGCGTTTACGTGAAGCGGTGTGGGAGGAAATATTTTTAATAAAGCGCGAATGCTCAGTCGGAAATTCGAGTTATTTTTATTGATAAATCGATGTGTAATTAGGTCACGTCGTTCATCTAACGTTTAAATCGCAATTGTAAACCGTTTTGAGCGGTTTACGTGTGTAGAAAAATGGCTGGTCAGGTTCGATTAGTATTTTTAACAAGTAAATTATTAACTTACTTTGTGCAACGGGGAAAGTCCGTTGATATCCTTTGCTGCTAGCACTACAGGAGGTATGGGTGGACTGGCGTGTTCCTTCAGTTTGTCCAAATCGTCGTTTTGAACGTCCATGTGGATTTCCTTCACCAGCCCCTGGAAACGAAGCGAAACCTTAATAACCTCGCGAAATTCGTAAAAAATTCATTGAAATATTCCTTCGCAAACGGGTACTTAGAGCCGGAAATCAATACGATTTCACCGGCTAATCGAAATTTGTTAACCTACATAGAGAAGTCCTGGACACGTTTTAGATTGGTATCGAAAACGCGTACATAAAAAGCTAATTAAAGCTAAATATTTAAACGCTTTTACGACGAAATGGTGTCTCTCGCACGCACCAATACCACAATTCACCACTCTAAATAAATAAGATAAAAAAATCGCTCACCATAACATGCGGTACGACCTCCAAGAACCTCTTGATCTTGGGGTTGTTGCTGTGCTCGACCAGCAGCATCCCGCCGTGGCCTTCCCACACGACCTGCTGCAGATTGGCCATGTTCCTCTGGTGGATCCAGATCCGGATGTTGGACTTCTTGAAGTGCAAACCTGCGGGGTTCATGGTGAGTACCGAGCGAAAGGCGTGCCGAAGGGAGAGCGCTCGTCGAACGCCCGGCGAAAATAAAACGCTATCCGGCGCGACCGGCGTTGTAATAGGTTTCCTCCGTCGGCGCTCAAAAATTCTAGTTCAATTCCATACAAACAAAGCCACGTGATCGGCATGAGGAGCTCTTAATAATTCAGTTTTCTGTATCGATTGTTCGATGAACGGGATACATTTTTTTTTCTGTTGCTTATGTTGGTTGTCCTGCGAATTTTTGTACCTGCAGGATGCCTATAATGCGAATCTCGAGCGACTACTCGAGGATTGGAAGAGGACGATTTTTGAAATAAATTGAGTACCTGCTCCTTGAATTTTTCTTGTAATGGAAAAAATTGTTTCGTTGGAATTTTCATTACGTGGAAAAGATAGGGAGAATCGGCATTTAATATTCCTGAATAATTAATCATAACCTCTTTTAGTCCACGTCGAAATTATTGAGTATAGGACGAATACTTTGAAATGTTATTTAGAAACTTGGGACCGGCATTTTGTATCGATTGTTTATTATCGTGAATTTATTATTAAATTTTAATACATATCTCGAAAAAAGAGAAATAGCAGGTAGATCAAGAAGAAACACCCACTATAGTAGGGTATATAAAAAAAATAGATAGAATTTACAGTAACTCATTGAATCGATTAATAAACCAATACTTAAAAAGACATAATAATAACAGTGTATACACATCACGCTATCCCCTAATCATTTTTAATGAATATTTTATAAGTGCAAGATAGTTTGATCTGCTGGTACGTAAAAAATGGCATAGCCTTCCACCTGTGACGGATATATTAAATATAATGGATGTTTTGCGCCCACATTACGTGCATTTTTTTATCACTTTCATTAGAAACACAAATTACTACAATAAAACGTTATCGTCTGTCGCCGGGACATATACGGGGCGGAGTCTGGACTAACACCGTTTAAATGAATTTATTAAATGTTGATAACAAGAAATTATAGACATTTATGTACCATAAAATGGTTCAAAAGGAGACGGAGTTGGCTTTGAGGTAAATTTAAATTTGATATTGATAAAACTGACAAGTGACGTGTTCAATTCGCAACGAAATCAAATAGGCTATTAATTAGTACTAATAAAGTCTTTCCTATTACTTCAGATTATACGAGTAATTAAAGAGCCCCTTTTGGCATTTAAAAATAGAAATGTTTGCACAATGACAGTGAAAAGCCCTTATCACAAAATAGTTGGATTAACATAGTTGACTATGGGTTTAATTTCATATTAACAACTGACAATTTGACATAATAAAATTGTTTGTTCTCAATTCGCAACGAAATCATAAGCAAATAATAAGTACTAATAAAGTCTCTCCCATTACCTCAGATTAAACGAGTAATTAAAGTGCCCCTTGTGGCATATTAAATACAAAATGTTTGTCCAATGTCAGTAAAAACCCTTATCATAACGTAGTTGACTCTGAGTTAATTTTCACATTGACAACTGACAATTTGTCATAATAAAATTATTAGTCTTCAATTCGCAACATAATCAAATAGGCAGTTAATTAGTACCGACAAAGTCCGCGCTTGCCTCAAACGAAAGAGCCCCTCTTGCGGCGTATGGAAGTTAAAAACGGGTTGCACAATGCCGGTGAAACGAAAAACCAGATAGCATTTCATCGCTATCGCGCGGTGAATATGTTAAAAGGCGACGGTCCGTTTAGGAAACTATTAAATCATAGATAAGGCGCGATCGATCGCCGGGTAGGAAATAGAGCGCTAATGACCGTTTCCGGTTAACACAGCACAATTTACTTAGGACTCGCCGGCCTCTGGTCAGTTCTTTCTCCAACCAGGAACTGGTCACGGCACGAAACGGAAACATTTTTATATCAATACATTCATACTTTGATGGAAGATAAACAGATTTTCAAACAGATAATTGATTTTTTTAATGCAAGCGTTTAGAGAATTCACCGAAAAATACAGCTTATTGTTCATAAAGTAGGTTTTTTTGGACGTTTTGATATCATTAATAGTGGGTTAGTAGGCGCTTTGTTCTTATAGTTATGCAGAATTAGAAAAAAAACTGGTACCTGTAAAATTACGATACCCTACTAAATTATTATTAGTGGGCGCGAACTAATTATAAAGACACTCGTCCTAATTAAAGTTTGTTTAAAGACAAGACACGCAACAGATAGCTCTAATGATATAAATAATTTATCCTCAACTGACCCAATTAAAGTAACCGATTTCGATCAAAACAAACTAAACGTTCCTTGCGATTCTTTCCGCGAGATACTCCAACGAAACTTACTGTCTTTGTGAGCGGTGGCTTTTCTCGAAACGGTGGTGGATTTTTGGGAACTGGGCAGCTCCAGTTCGTTCTTGTGATCCATGTAATACTTGGCGGAATGATGGTGATTGTCCAGAGCCGCGGGGTCCGCTCCGGCGTTGACGAGCATCTTCTGAACGACGCCCGGATCCTTGCACATGGCCGTGTAATGATAAGCTGTCCTTCCCTCCTAAAGCGACAATAAAATTGAGCAATCCTCGATAATATAGCCACCTTGACAGATGTCGCTAATAAATGACAAGTCGACGTCGGGTTTGACGTTCACGGCCAACTCAATTCTATTCGCGAATAAAAATCACGGTCGTATATTTATAAGGTCTGGAAACTTCAAACTATTAGATTATCTAATTTATGGCTGCATCTCCAGCAACCTAAATGTTGAATTAAAAAATATCCTTTATAACATCACCGCATACCGGTCGTTTTATGAACTACGCATTTTTACACCTCAGTTTCCAGACCTTATAGGGCGATCACAGCTAATCGAAATGAACAATCCTCGATAATATAGTCACCTTGACAGATGTCACTAATAAATGACAAGTCGAGTTTGACGTTCACGGCCAACTCATTTCTATTCGCGAACAAAAATGAACGCGGTAAATGCACAGGCGATTAATTTTACATCTTTCACGGCGAGAATTTACAACTTCGCACAGCAATTAACGCGGAAAGATAGGCGAAAAACATTAACATGAATGTTCGCTAAACGAGCCCCTATTTGCATACGAGTTGCATATCGACACCTTGACCCCGGAAGACATTTTGAATTTCTGATACGCGGCCAAGAAAAGGTGTTCTCCGGTAATTTGGATAAGGTAAATTTAAATTTCACAATTTGGAGAACTCCTCCTTTATCGTTCAAGGGCTAGTTCCACGTATTAAATTAAAAACTTTTCGCTTTATTGTTCTATAGTAGGTGCATGTTAATCCAGCGATGACGTCACGAGCTACAACAAACCAAACGTGACGTCATCACTGGATTAGTGTGAATGTGTTGTATACCGAATCTCTTATAGAGACTATGTAGGGATATTTCTCGATGAGCCATTTGTAAATGTCCTTTAAATCGTAGTAAACGGCTTTGTGGAGTAATCCTACGCCGGTTTCGTCCTTGGCGGTCGCCATTTTGCGCTTCTTGGTGTCCCGTTCGGCGTCGAGGAGGCTCTGGAGCTCCTCCAGGCGGTCGCTGTTCACGGCGTCGTGCAGGAGGGAAATCTTCGACTGGAAAAAAAACGCTAAGTTAATCCGGAAAATCACTTTCCCATACGTTCGGGTAATTACACAGTGCGAATTCAATGCGAAGGTCGCTTTCGTGTAAAGCGATTGCGTTTAGCGAGCCCCGCGAAAATTACAAGTTATTGGCATGCAAGTGACTGCGAAACGGGGGGTTGAAAAGTTTTAATCGTCACTTGGCTTCGTACAATTTAATTTACACGAACCGTATAAGTCTAGGTCGTGGAATAAATTTGAAACTAAATGATCAACAGCTTTCATGTTTTTCCAAGAGCGCGCCTCTCGGCGTTTTTGCGGACTTTCATGTCGATTTGTAACGACTGATTATATATTTTTTTGCGTCGTTTGGGAAGAAAAATTAGCTTTTTTTCTGCTTATATTTCAATAGTTATACTAATTTTATTTGTTCGTTGTTTAAGGACAAAATCCTTGCGAATCCTACGATATTTCTAATAAAAATTCCGTACCTATTCAAATTTTTCTACTACATTTTTATACTTATGGATTTTTTGTTATTGTGTAGGCGAGACGGCCAGTCTATCCAATATTGAACAAGCTGATTTATTATTTACATTTCCAATATTAAGAGGTTTTTAGGTCAATTTTCATTTAATCCCCTCGCAAGCTAGTAACTTTTATAGCACGAGCGTTAGTTTACAACACGAGGTACACGTTAAATTCGCAGTGTGTATAACAAATTGAATGTATAATGTTACTTATGATAAATGTAAATACAAAGCCTTATTACCATTAGAGCGGGTATCGATTTGAGGAAAGTCCTCGTCTTGTAGTCCGCCGAATATTCTCCCACCAATTTCTTCCCTTGTCCTTCGAACACGGCCTGCTCCAATTTATCCACGTCCCCATTGCGGATCAGCTGCTTTATGTAGGCCGAATTCAGCTGAAGAACTGCAAGAGAAACCCTCTCATTCATCAGCATTAACTCGAAACGAAAATTTCAGCCGCCCCCCAGCGCAATAAGAGACATTAGTCCTGCTAATGAGCGGGTAAATTAGCGCACCTGTGGAATAAATTCGCAGTAAAAGCGATTTTAATAAAGCACCGGCAGGAGACAAAGCAAACAAGGCGACAGCTCGAGTCCTTACATCGCTCGATTGTTTTTCTACATCGCCTTCGAAACGTTTTCCTGCGATGGCAGGACGTCACGCGAACAGTCGATAAAACTTGTCGTCTTCTATTCACGTTTAATCGCCCGGAGGAGTTTGTTGTTATTAATTTTTTCGTAATCGACGCGAGGTAATTAAGAAGGTATTTTAATGGGCTCTTACTGTGCAAGAAAGGGTCGATAGAATTGTTGTAAATGAAGCAGGGGCTAGTACGAATGTTGCCTAAAATTCGGTGTCCCTAATTAAATAGGGTGCTTGACCCTAATGGATTAAAATGGTACATTGTTTGTGACAAATTACATATTTTATTTGGGATTTTTCGGGCGCGCCTGGCTCGAATTACGCGAACACATGCATATTTTTTACAACTATCCGACACGGGTGCTTTTACAACGTACCCAGCGTATTTACTAGCGTGATTCTTTAGAACTACACTTTGATAAATATGCGACAAACATTTTATTTTCCGTTGTCGTCGACACGCCTTTGTTGAATTATTTACCGAAAGTCGTTAAAAATGCTACCATTAAACGCCAATCGGTTTTAGATCAACAGTTTTTCAAAACTAAATTTTAAACGTATGGAATTTTTGGTGTATAGTTCCGCCAAAATTTCGAATGTAGTACACGGCAAAGTTGTGTTGTAGCGAATATTCCACATTATCGCACAGTCATTATTCCAAAAATCGCTTCATTATCGATTTATTACATGTCTTTTATTATCTATTCAAAAGGCAGTCCAATCGAAACGGATTCCACGGCAGGTAAGCAGGCCCCACTTTGCGCCCTTTGTGAAATCTAGACAAAAATCGATTCGGAATTATTTTAAAACATTGAATCAATTTTTGAATACAAAGTGAAATACAACCCCTTCATTTGGCCGATCCCCAGTTTTTAATTCTACAAAAACTTTTTCTTGAAAATTAAAAATAACCTCTTCAACTTCAACACCATCCAGGGACACACTGTATATTTTTGTTATGTATTATAGTCTCTTGGATTAAGTGAGAATTGATAATTCAACCACGTAAATGTATCATTATTGACGGGATGTTATTATTTGTCTTTCTATTTGTATCGATTTATATTAGAAAAACAACAAAGATAGGAATGCGTGTTAATTAGATAAAGGCAGGTATATACATAAGTAAATAAGTACAATATTCGCTGGCATAAATCAATAATATCTTATTAACTAATAGTAATTTTGTATTCTATTTAACTTTCAAGAAATGGTGTATTTTATAACTGTTAAGTTCAACAAGTTAAGAAAATTTCTCGATTATTTTTGAGTAATTATCTAGTAAATAATCATATTTAAAACTTACTTCTGGGTGGATTGGAATGTATAAATAGCCCGTTAACGATTTTATTGTCTCCCTGCGCCCGTTTTCTCAACACCGGCATCTTCGGGCGGGGATTTACGCAATTCTAACGGGAAAATCAGGTAACGCGATCATCGACGTCAATCTTCATCCGCACCCGTCAGATTGAAACCCGATTGCACGGCGAAAATAGAAACAAACCGGCGGATAAAATCGTTCGAAATTTACATTTAAAAATATCAACAATCGCCACACAATTACTTCGATATGTCGAACGCAATACTCGCGCGAAAACCCGACCGAAAGTGAACTAAATTAGCGACTTAGAGTGGTCGATTCGATTGAAATTGAAATTTCCGATCGATGAGGAATATTTATTTAAAAAGTCCGGCATATCCGCCGGAGCGCTTCGACCGATTGTTTACCGGCAATTTATCATCGGCATCGGAGACCGGCCGAACGCCGGACGGGGCCGGCGCGCCCGGAGCGGAGTTCGCGCCACCGGAGTTCAATTACCGTCCGGGTAATTGAAGAAAGCCGAAACCGATGAATTTGTAATCATAAAAATAGTCGATAAAAAGCCATATATTGCCTAACAATGCGCCCACTGCAGCCTAATGATGAGCCTAAACGAATTGCTGGTATATTTTTGAAGTACTCGCCACTAAAATTAGGCTGGATTTTCCCAATTTTCTGTTAAAAATAAATTTAAATTTACCGCGCATTTTTAATTTGAAATATAAAAGAAATCTACATTATCGACATGTCTTCGTAGTTCAAGTTTAGTGAAGCAGCACCATCAACTTTCTGCATGTGCATGTTCCGTGACGATATGTCAATTTTTATTAAAAAAAGAAGAAGAGAGGTCTTGAACACTTCTGCAGTCGTACCAATTGACTCTAGAATCTAGTATTTTTTATAGTTGTATATTGGTCAAACCAGATGGCGAGAAAAAAACATGGATAATCATGCATATGAAATATGAACACATCAAGTTGACTCGACTGTCCTGACATGTCCTTATATTATCAAGTATGCTTGAATTTCGAAACAATATCTGGTGCTCTAGTTACAAAATGTATATTATACGAAGGAAAAAAATGAATAAATAAATAAATAACCTATTTATTGAGAAAAGTACAAATAACCAAGGAGTCTACGATTACTTAACCACCAATTAATCGATAAAAATTAACAAGATTCAACAAATAATACCTGTAAGTGTTTCGCGGATTTGAACAATTTTCTCAAGGATAATCGCGAAACACTTTTGTACAACTAATATCTAATTAATTTTGGGCTAAACTAAAATATGTGGATGTTTTTACTTTTTTGATCTGTGTTTCGGTATTGATCTTTATTATTCTTACAGTAAATAAATATTTGTTAGATACATACAATAGTGAACTTTTGATTACAGCCATAAACTTAAGTATAAAATTAAAAGTAAATGAAACATGAAGACCGAGTTTTTGGGACATTTTGAACACTCCCAAAAACTTCGGTGTTTAATGAAGTTTATATAAAAATAATTTTCATGTTGTAAGTGATTTCATGGAAAGTGCTTTGCTTTAAAATTACGATAAATCTAATTAAAAATATTTTCTAAATACGAAACATGTACGTATTTTTTTGAGATAAATTAAAATTGTCCTTCGGACTTTATATATATTTGGTAGTCATATTGAATTTAATTAACAGCCTTTCTGAATATCTATTCAATTTCAAACATTATATACAATTCACATTATATTAGTAGTCGAGAAAACACTGAATTTTGCTTTAAATCGTTATTCCTGAGGCAAATGGAAAAATATTCCTGAGATATTCTTGTTTTATTATTACATTTTTAATTTGATATACGATATTATTTAATAACTAGAGATAAAACTCAAAAGTATCCAAAACGATAATTATTTCGCATGACCCCAGTATATGTTATCTAGTTGTTAAATAAAAAAACTTTATAACACAAATAGCATTGTTGTCACGACTACTAATCAAACTCGCGTCCTATTAGAATTACCTCCCCATCGAAATTATCGCATCTCCTTGTATTTTATAACGGCTTCCTGATAGTCCTCCTTGGGCTGGTCCTTGTCGCCCCAGCCCCAGATCTCGTGCGTTCCGTCGCCGGTCCTCTTCACCCTCTTCTGGATCATGTCCTGCGACACCGTCTTCAGATCGTACGCCCAGCCGATCTTGGCGAAGAAATCGATGAACATCGACGAGAAATTGGTGCTGTACTTGCCGAATTCGGCCGCTTTGTAGTCCCATGGGAACGTGTGATGGTAGTTGTGCCAGCCCTCGCCCAACGCGAATACCGATACCGATACATTCTCGGCCGGATTGATGAACCTGCAATTCGAAAATTGATGTAATTAACAGTTAAATTGTAACAACAATTACAGCATATCTACACTCGATAATCGGTTGCCACCTTTATACTAAACGTCAACGATTTTATTGACGTATTTGACAGTATTTGTAACGAATATTATTGCTCAGTTAGAGTGAGTAGGTTGTTGAAATGTCATTCTATCTTTTTTCCTTTATATGAGAATAACGGAAGTTGTATTTGTTGCAACCATATTGCAAACAATGTTGCAATATTCGCTATCGTTTTTAAGGAACGATTTGTTGAATATTTCGTAACAAGTAACAGTTAAATTGTAACAACAGTTACAGCATCTCTACACTCGACAATCGGCTGCCACCTTTATACTAAACGTCAACAACTTTGACATATTTGACAGTATTTGGATGTCATAGTAGTTCGGAAGTATGATGTATATTCGACCAAATTATCGGGTATAAATTACTACATTACTAAGAAAAACGTGATTCTTACCTATCATAAGGTTTGTGTCCGTATATGTGCGCTGCCGAATTGACCAACCAGGTGGCGTTCAACGTGAAAACATACCTAAATATGTTTGCACTGAAGGAGTTCACGAACGTTTCGTTCCAATAGTACATGGGAATGAAGGTCGGGATGATGAAGCAGGCGAAAGGCATCAGAGCCAGGTAGTATTTGTGCTGGAAAGCCAGGATGGGATCTTCTTCCAAATCCGCCATGTCGATGCTCTTGCCCTTGACTTTTACCTCGGGGTGTTTGCGACACAACAGCCAACCGACGTGGGAGAAGAAGAAACCGCGCTTGGCGTTGTGCGGATCGGCGTCGGTTTCGCTGAACTTGTGATGGACTCGGTGATCCCTCGACCATTCAATCACCGAATTCTGAAAGCGACTATTATTTATTTTTGCTCGTTATACACCTTGCTCTATTTCTGATTGCAACATGGTCATTTCTATGAGTAAAACAAAGAAAGTTTATTAAAATGACAGTTGTCAGAGTGAAAAGTTGCAATGACACAAATGTCACTTTTTCTTTTATAAGTGTCTAATGGATGTTGTCTTTATCGCACCCATGGTCTATATAACCTATGTTGCAATCAAAAATGGATCAACCTGTATACTCGTATTGATTGTCGAATTACCTCGAATGCTAAGGTGTTGAAAATTGTGAGGATCACTTTGAGCGGCCATTTTGCTTTGTAAGCCCTGTGGGCCCACAATCTGTGCGCTCCTGCTGTGATTCCCAGCCCGCCGCAAATGTACAAAAATATAGCTGCAAATAAAATAAAATCGTTATAGCCTTGTCAATAGTACTGGAAATTTGGAAAAGAAATTAACGAAATCTTGAATGAAAAATTATTGCAAAAAACCCAGTACTGTATTACGACAGAATTAGGAATTCGAATCGAAACGTTCATTGTCAAGTTCGAGCGTAGTTCCAACGGCAAGGTTAAAAAAAAGTCCGAATGTCTATACGTGCTCATTGAGGTCACTCGACGAGAGGTCGTAATTTGTCCGCTGATAACTCGACGAAATTTCGCAATAAAAAGTCGCGATTTTTCATTAACAACACGTGATTAGGTAGCTTATCGGTTGCAAATGCATGGGCAAGGCGTGAGCGGTGAGAACCTTACGCAATACGTCGGATTTATAATTTATATCGCGATAAATACGCGAAATCTGCCAGGAGGTCGGAGGGTTATGGAAGTTGCAATTTTCAATCGAATTGACGCCGATGTTTGATTTATTTTTTTTTTGAATTTAGATTAGGTTATTACGTAGGTAATGGTCGATGCATAGTGTCACTATTTTTCTGTATTAGTTTGCTTGTTTATCAAATATTAAATTGAAAAAAAATTAAACTACAGTGTTATAATTAAATGAGTGCCGATATTTCAGGATGTAAATATTTGGGTGATTTAAGAAGAAAAGTTTATATCAATATATGTCCTAAACCTCTTAGTTTTTGAGCTACAAAGGCTGATTATTATAGGCTGATTAAACGGGCTACTTTTCATTGGGACGCTCTGTATATTAAATATAAAAAAATTATCTTTTCATCAAGAATAAATTATTAGAGACTTTGCATAAAGAAGTCACGCGCAATTGTAATAAAAAACGATTGATGACTTGAATCGAGTTATTTCTATTATAGTATTATAAATGTTCATTCAAAGTATGACAGTCTTCTTCAACATAAAATTTTTATTAAAATATTAATGGGTATGCATTACTACTATACGATATTGTAATCAATAATTCCTGTTTATCAACGCATAAAAATTAAGTATCTAGTATTTAAAACTGATAGATGATAATCAGGCAAGATCAAATTACCTAGTTTTTTGAACTCGACTGAATAACCATCAATCATTACCTATAAAGGTACCCAAATTGCAAACGTATTTTTAATCAAATTTCATTAACTACACCGAAAGTTAATTCCTATTAGTCGATTGTATGCTTATTAAGTCGTTTGTATGCAAACACGAATCATTGTAAACGGTATAAATTTGCAAACATTTACAATTAACAAATGCCTAATGTTTGTTAATTTTTTCTGTAACACATTAATAAGCCTAATTCTATGTTATTATCGTTACACGGCCGCTTACCGAAAAACGTCGTCAGAAGTTTGGCCGATGTCAAAATAATGTATAAACCATAAAGGGCTACCATGTGAAGATAAACGAAGAGAATGATATTTCTCCAGACCAATTCCAGCTTGCGATTGCTCGGCTTCGAAACTTCCGGGGGAATTATTTGAGCTTGAATCTCATCGTCGCATTCGTGAAGCACGCCCGTTGCCATTGTCGTGTTTGGAGCCATTGTATCGGATCTGTAAAGAAATTCTCAAATCAGACCTAAACCGAGACATTGCAAATCCATGCAAAGAGAATTGGAGTGCATCGTCGGAATTAAATTAGCAAATTCCTATGGTGATATACGCACCTATAATCGACCGTAGCCAATACAATGGGCCACTATTATCGATATTTCTCAACACATTGCAACACCTATCAGCAAAACAGCTGATTAAAATGGTAATTTTATTCGAATCGGCATCAGCAAAATTATTTTTTTGTAACGAAATTACGACGAGCAATTAAGATAAACTCGTGTTTAATTTACGTATTTGAATTGTAAAAAAAATCGCACACAAAACAATAGCCGACGATGAAACACACGAAATTTTAAGTGCTTATCGTTTGCAAATCAATGTCCTCAACATGAATTTATTTCCTGCGCGATTATTCCGATTTTAATTATTTTAAAACCCCATTACAAACCTTTCACCGAGAATTCATTGCTCTTACGTCACAATCGTAAAAGAAAGTACTTTTATGAATTAAATTTATCCTAAAAACTACAGCGGATTTTCAATTAAACTCTTTTGCTTCAAACAAATAGATAATTCTTGTTACTCGTATTTTAAAGATTTAGGCTAACTCGAATTCGATTTCGAAAAATATCCAGCGAATCGATTACATTTATTTGAAGCCTACTTCACATCGATTTACACACAAACATCGAAACATTAACAATAAAAGAAATAGCATAGAAGATTTTCGTATATAAATATCAAGGCACAACATCAAATCCAAACCTATAAAAATTTTCATCCTTTGTGGTTTCCATGGCAGTGAAATGGAGCACATGACTCTGGAACGCTCGACGAATATCGACTGATAAATCCGGCGTCGCGACGGTGCCCGTGTAAAGGTCAAAAGGGTTGTGAGGATGCCCAGAATCTCGGCCATCCGAGCATCACCCGGTAATTATTTTTTGAATCATTAAACGATTATATATCCTCGAAATTGTCTATAAAATATTTCGGGTTGTAAATAATTTTCGATTAGCTCAAATCAGAAACGTTTCGTAGTTATAATCTAATCGAATTCGCTGTTTGAAAGAAATAATTTGCTGTAAGAATTTTTTTATCGGCGTGTAAAGCACGATTTATGAATGCTTTTGAACTTCTCCACATAACGACATAAAATTATTTATTGATATAAATATGTATGTAGTAAAAGTAAAATAACGAGTAGCAGGAACGTGAAAATTCGGTTAAACAATAGTCGAATATTTTAATAAGGAATATATTTGTGATTCTAAGTAATTTTTGATAGTTTTTTAACCCCGGAATCGTCAAATTGAATAGGATATCTAACAATAGGAATCAGCACATACATTATCATTTTTTAATGACCGGAATGAATGTTGGTCAATTTCATTCAATTGCAATAGTTCTTGCAAAATCCGGCATAATTTTTCTGATGGTATTTGAAAATTTTAGATTCAACAATATAGGAAAAATCCCTAACGAGCAATTTTCCAACACCTATATGAACGAATTAGAAACAAATTGATTTAATTGATTTTTCTATTTCTTCTATCGAACTTTACCCTTTCAATTTTAATCAAATAAAAATTGTACGATTGTACCTATTGATATTAATTAACTATACGATATAGGCAAGTGTGTTAATTATTCAATTAAAATTCCAAATATGTAAATCGCGAATTTTTTTAACATTGAATTGTTCAAATTTGAGTATAGGTTAAGTAGTCGCCTTATTTGTATATGTTAAGTCATTTTTATTAATATTCAAACGGGTAATTAAAGGTAGGTAGTACACAGAAGTAATGGCTAATTAGATTAGATGCGATTCGATAATTTACCTCGTAAAAATCAAAAAAAAATGTTGGTTGGAAGGAATTGCTTCATTTTCGAATTTAAACTGTCACGACATCCAATTAGGTACACTCCAATTTTAATGTTTGCAATAACTTAAGTGAGCCCATTAAACTTATTATAAAGCAAAGAAAACAGTATACGTCATAAATGTTTATCTACGATTTTGAATAAAAAAATTATATTTTTCTCAATTACTTCTATTCGAGATAGACGGAGTAATTTACTATTAAAAGTAATCGAATTCATCACATAAATTAGAATAGTAATGAATAGAAAACAAGCTGGGCAGATCTAGTGCAGATGAGCATTATTATCTTACAACCGTTTATTGCAATACTTTATACTCTCTTTGATACTGTGTAATACTTTGCAAATTTTTTACATCTTATTACATAAATTTAAAAAAATGTGTAAGTGAGAAATATTTTAAGTATAGGTGTTTGTAAAAAAACAATTTTCTATTAGAAGCAATTTTTAGCGAGTGTTTTTTAAATAAAAAAAAATGTAATCGAGTTTTTACTTGTAATTATCCCAGCACGTTTATTTAATTAACTGATTAAAGTTGTTTATTTGATTTAATATTCCTATTTTTTTGCTTTAAAAATTACTGGGTATCAATGCAAAAATTTAAAATTGAAAAGTAAATTATTCTAACGAGTTTTTCGTTTTAGCAGATAATAAAATTATGAATTGCTTATCGTTGCAAATAATGTGAATTTATGTAAATGCAGAAAATTTTTATTTCAGTAAAACTTCAGTGCAACGAATTTTACTCTAACAGTATTAGCAGTTTCATGAATTAAAATTGCATAATATTAGGCAAACAAGTGGCGAAAAAAATTTCCAAGGCTGGATAAAAATAAATTTTCGGGCAAATACATCTAATGGAGGTGCTATTTTTATCGCGGCATACTTTTTATTGGAGAATTAATTTTTCCATTGGGAATAACACTTTTTCTAATCAATGGTTATTTGCATCGAAATTTTATTCACCCACCGTGAAAGGCTAATTACAATAATTTTCAGAAATATTTATCGCACGAGGAAAACGAAAAAAACGAAATTGATAAATTAGCCGATAATTCGCTCATATTATCGTGGAATAATTAAAAATAACCTTTTAAAACAGCGCCTCAATGAATTCGCTTATTTCAAATACTTTGTTATACCCGGGGTAAACAATCGGTATAGGAAAAGCCTTAAAAACATTTTTTAAATTACCTATAATTAACTACCTCGATTAGAAAGGCAAATAATGCTAGAAAATAATACTTAAAAGTACTTGTAAATAGAACATTTTTTATAAGGGAAACTTTTCTCATTATATTCTTGCAATTATTTCTTATTACAGGCAAGACAAATATTGATCGATTGTTTTATTTCCACCAAAGCAGAAAAGTGATAAATAATGTATCTACAGTAGGTAGGTTATTTTAATTGATTTTCAATATTGGACATAATTAATACAGTTTTACTATGAATTTTCTGATTAGGTGTTAAAATTTTAATGACAATTCAGACGCTTCTACCTCATTTTATTCCTTTTGGAATTGATTTTTTTTGTAGGTGTATATGATTATTTCTTAACCTATTTTTGTTTAATAGAAATTTATGTACTAATACAATGATAAATAGTACATGTAATTTTATAGGCGATTAATTTATTAAAAATAATAGAAAATTCGCGAAACTTTCACGCGTAAAGTCATTAAAAATAATTAAATGCATATCAAATTAGAATTTCCTTCCTTAATCTCTACAATCGAGTGTACAGATAAAACGAATAGAACAATTTTATTATCTCGAATTAAAAATAAAAAACACCCATCGTAAAATCTTTAATTTTTCACAATAAATGTAGGCAAACTTTATCGAATTTTCTTTGAAGCCAATAATACATGTTATCTTTATTTCGGGTTAATAACAAATATAATTTTATGTACACAAATTACTGTAATAAACGAATTTTATGTACGCAGACATATGATTAAGTTAGAAACTTTAATAAGTATGAAAAAAAAAGCCAATTGAATATTTTATGGTAAACTGTAAATTTATACAAGGGGATCCAAATTTTAAGAAATATAAACTTAAAAAAAGGGCATTTTAAATGGATTAAATGGAATACAAAAAATGATAAAAATAAAATAATCGAAAAAAATTCCCCAAAAAAATAAGCAAACAAAAAAACAATTCTTACCCGGTAAATCAAAAACCAACGAAGCACAAAATGTTCAAACGAAGTTCGTCGAACGCATCAAAAAAAAATATATAAAATAAAAAAGCGCACGAAAACGCCGGCTCTTCGAATCAAAAAAATTACCGAAAAAACCGATTGAATTAAAAACGACGCGTTTCCTACGATTAATTTACCCGAACCGTATACAAAGCGACTCGATAACTGACCAGCCGATTTCCTTCGAGAATTTATATATAGGTCAAAACATCCCGATCGTATGACTCCTATCAAACAACAGCCGGCAAAGAAAAGAAAAGATATTGAAAAATCCACGTGTTCCTGCCGAGAATGAGAATGGCCTAGACCGTGGCCGGGAGTTCCTCGCGCCACCGACGTTGCCACATCTTCCATTTTACCATCGCATTTACTGATTTACTAACAAACCAGAAACATAAAGCATAGAGAGGGATATCGAATATTAAAGTAAGTTTCCAAAGCTTATTAGATAAGCCTTATTCAGAAGTTCTCTACAGCTCAAAGTTAGAGCCCCATGCAAGGAAAATTATTCGACCCTACTGACCTCGTGAAACTCTAAACTTTCTAAACAGAAAAAAAAAACAACTCAAAGCCCCAGAATCACTTAGAACCTGTCTAGAACCATTCAGAACGCTTCAGAATAATTTAGAACACTGCAGAATCACTTAGAACGCTACAGAACTCTCTCTAGAATCATTTAGAACCCCTTCAGAAGCATTTAGAATGCTCCAAAATCATTTAGAACGCTCCAGAACCGTTCACAAAAACAACTCAAAAGTTGAAGGAGTGATGTATTGCAGGAGTAAAGAAGCGAAAAAACGAAGGAGTGAAGAGAATGAATGAGTGAATGAGTAAAGGAAGGAGTGAAGAAGTGAAGGTGTAAAGGAGTTAAGGAGTGAATGAGTGAAGGAGTTAAAAAGTGAAGGAGCGAAGCAGTAAAGAGAATGAAGGAGTGAATGAGTGAAGGAAGGAGTGAAGAAGTGAAGGTGTAAAGGAGTTAAAAAGGGAATCAGTGAAGGAGTGAAGAAAATGAAGAAGCGAATGAGTGAAGGAAGGAGTAAATGAGCGAAAGTGTAGAGGAGTGAAAAAGTGAAGTATCGAAAGATATCAAAAGGTACTGAAACATATTGAATGGTATTGAACGGTAGTGGAAGATATTGTATGGTATTGAACGGTAATGGAAGATACTGAAGCATATTGGAGGGTACTGGAAGGTTCAAGGATTCGGTTAGATGTAGGTTTGGCAACGTGGCGAGGGAATCCGTGGATTCGCGCAGCTCTGTCGACTCGGCGTTGCATCACACCATTCGGCGTTGCGAAGGTAGGTGAAGGCACAGGCTTTCATTTGCTAAGTCGATGGCGTGATCCGGCGGGCTCTCAACCCCACCATGAGGAGACGGTTTTGTGCGTTTATCCACGTTCGCTTTTGTTGTTGTTTGAGCCCGATGCGGTGGTTCGCGACTCTTATCTACGAGGACGGGAATTTCGCAATCAATTCGGACTCGACCGCTAAACAACAACACCGTTTTATTTTATTATTATTTGGTAATAATCATTCGATGAGCTGCTAGATGTGTAACCCCACTCGCTATTACGAATAATGTAGAAATAGTCTTTCTAAAGTCAATTGAACATATAGGGGAGAATAGGGTATCTTTAAATTGTAGCTATTATATTTTTTTTCATACTGGTAACAGAAAAAAGATGCGAATACAGTCCCAGTAACTTTCCGTATCGACTTTTGATAAATATTACGACTGTGATAAAAAATGTTTTCGAGTTGTATTACATCATAACATTATAAATAACATCATTACATTTATGCGATTATTTTAGGTTACATTTAAAAAATAAATATGGATGATATAATGATCGTAAAAAGTGTGCATTTTACTGTTTATTACCACATACATGTTTTATTTAACGTGTTCAATTTAATTAACATTTCCAAGTTGCAACAATTTGACTAGATTTAATTAAATTATCTAGCTAACCTAATCCTTACACTTCTCTCCCCTATTTTTTACATTTTAATTGATCATAATTCTGCATAAATAAAAAAAAATTACTGCAACTTTACTCTATAACAATGTTGAATTGGCTCTATTATAATGTATAAAATTGTCCGCATAAATTGGCCTGAATGAACCCTGTTGCTTATTGGCGAATTAACTAAGATTAGCTAGGTGAGTTCTCGTTGATCAAAGTCCGGGAGTCCACGTTGAATTGCTATTTATAATTGAACACTTATGTACATACTATTTATGCGTGGATGTGTAAACTGTTCGCCTCTATAGATTAATTATTAAAAATATATAAGTACTGGATTTTTTTATTGAAGTGTGATTGATAGACGGGCGAAAATATTTCCACCACGTAAACAACTAATGCACTCGTAATAAATCGATGGATCTCGAAAAAAATGCTCCATTTGGAGTATTTTTTTGAGTGCTGGTTTTATTTCGATTATTTCATAGAAATTGAATGAGTGTAATGATATTCCAATTTTGTAATCGATGTGCTTTTTATATATTTAATGAGTTTTATGAATATTATATTAATTAAGCTAATGAATTTTTGTTGAAAAAAACGTTGGGTAAAATTACGTAAATTATACCGGCGAGTTTTGCAAATTTTTGTTATTAATTCGATTATCTCGCTTAATGATGGTTTGTTTTTATGTTCAAAAATATAAATTTTGATGATTTTTATCATATATGTACTGAATCTTGATTATCTACTATGTGCGTAATTACACAAGTAATACAATAATGCGTAATAATCTCTATTTATTATATTATTGTTTAAAATATTTAAAAAGTTCGATAAGAAAATAGAATAGGTTTATTTATTAAAAACAACTTTAAATAAACGAGTAGGTACACATTTGTTTTGACAAAAAAATAAATAATAGTTCCCTTGCAAGTGAATCTTGGGCCACCCTGTAAATTTTTCCAGAGCCTATTATAGAAATGATTTAGTTGATGATGATTGAGTTTTTTTATTTGGGTAATTCCTCCTACTTTTGCCCTTTGAAACATTGTACACGTTCTTAGAAAACACGCTGTACAGTCATTTCTGTTCACATGTAACACGCAAAGTACACATACGGTACAAAGGTCGATATGCAAATCAATTTTCATCAATTTCATTACAATATAATGAATATAAAGATTCTATTTAAATGATTAGCTTACGTAAATTTTAAAATAATAAAATCGTACAAACACCATTAGCGAATCCTATTGTTTAAAAATTATTTAAATTGTAACAATGTGGCGGTTAAGGACAAGTTATTTCAATGTCAAGGTCGCGGAATAAATGATTGCAGAATTAGAAAGGAACAATTTAATTCTTATTAGAAACAAGTTCATTTTTTACGATCACCGTTTGTTAAATAATTGAATTATATCAACATAAAAAAGTCGTTGAAAAATTGCAGATGTATAAAGTGTTGCCTAACTTCTAGGAAAATTATAATTCAAATGAATCAATTATTTTTAACAATGTTTTGTTAAATACGAGGAAAATAAGAGAAACTTGTAAATAACAAAAAGTCGCAAATTTCCACAGGACAATTATAATTGCAATACTTGCAAAAACCAATTAATTCGTTCAGTTTATAGCCTCCATATTTCACACTGTCATCATATTATACAGCACATGATAATAAATAATCTAAATTCTTCTAAACCATAATATATAGGCAGGTAAGTAGTACCTAATTCCGATTATTTTAAATGATCGCAATTCGACATAACAAATTCCCAGAGTTCATTTCATTCACGTTAAACTAGCCAAGTAAGTAAAATTTTTACTGGCATAGAATAGAATCATTTAGAACGCTCCAGAATCATTTAGAACTGTGTAGAACTATTTAGAACACTGCAGAATCACTTAGAACGCTACAGAATCATTTAGAACTGTTCAGAATCATTTAGAACCCCTTCAGTACCATTCAGAATGCTCCAAAATCATTTAGAACCGTCTGAAACCATTTAGAACGCCCCAGAACCGATCGGAAAACTATATTTAGGAGTTCTCATAAGCAATATACCCCGGATCACCCCCATATTCCCCATATATCCCCGCGGGACATCCCCCTTGCGGGTCCTTGCATTAAATCAGTGTGTACAGGTGCACCGGCGTCGCTGGTACGTTCTAATTTCGGCGCGTTTCGACGTCACGACGTCACGACGCTGCCTCTCCCATTAGAAAAGACGCTCGGGAATTCAGTTTACGAATTCTGTGCGAAGTATTATGTCGTCGATTGGCGGCGATTTGAAAATCCCATCGTAGATAATAATAAATATAATCCCTGTGATATCGGGAGAAAATTTTTGGACGATCGGCTAAAGGTAAATTATAAAAAAAACAGTGTGTATTATAAACGAACAATTAATTGGAAAATAGTGATTGATAAATGTTAGTGCACCTGTCTAAATAGTGCAGGTTTTTATTAGTGTTAAATATCAGAAGTTCTGTTGAATAAAGTTCTGTTGAATTTCGCCTGTTGGAAAGTTTTGGAACGATTATTTTTAGACTATAACTATACAATTAATTTTTACCAATCGACTTTAACATCTCCAGAGTTTGCTTAAACGAAATGAATATAACCAAATACAAAAAAAATATCGCCCGGAGGAAATTTTAATTGCTAAATATAAACCGATTGCGCGTATTTTGATAGCTCGACTCTCCATATGCCTCCATGGCGTCTCTGTATTTGTTTGAGATGATATTTTTATCAAGACTGGAATAGTCGATGGGCCAGTTCCTTCGACTTATTTAATACCGTCCTCTAGTGTTTATCCTTGCGGAGGATTTTACGATTTTTCCAGTGTAAACATTTCGAATTACACCCGTTTCCTGGTTTCACACTAATTTTTTGTACTCGAATATGTAAGGGAATATTTGTTATGTATAGCATCGGAATGAAACTATTTTTAACGTTTGTGTATGTACTGGGATTTAGATCGGGAATGGCTGGATAAGCGGTAGTTTGAGATAAGATATTACATAAAGGAAATCAAGTTTAAGGTTGTTGTGTATGTGCCAAAATGACAATGAACTTTATTTACATGTTATTTAGGCGCAATTTTCTATTCAATTCCGTTCGAATTTAACTGGAAGTAATTTTTGTTTCAGGAGTGACAAGATGATAAAAGTCGATGAGGATGATCCCGTAGGTGGTGAGTTTTGTTTTTTTTTGTAATATATGTGTATTTTTCGACGGTTTTATTTAAATTTTCGGCATAAATTTTGGCAATTTAACAGGTGTTTATCGCGTTGTTCTATTCTATCAATTTATTTATTATGTTTAAACATCGGTTGAAACAAATTGCGTTGTAAACTCGAATAAAAATAGAAGTTTTTGAATGGGCGACCTAGAACTGTGATTTTTATTTTTATTTTTATTTTTATTTTTAATCGCGTTAATATTTTTTTGCGAAAATGATTCGCGTGGATTTGCTCTGTTTAAAAACGTTTCGAGCCCAATTTTATTTATCCGTTGTGAAAATATTATCTCGCGAAAATACCATCTCTCACAATATTAATTACTTTTATCGGTTTAGTGCATTTTTTATACTAATTGTTTCGAAAATCTAAACAATAATAACTGTACGTGCAAACATTTTAACGAGTAAAACATCAAAGTTTGTTAACGTTAATTTTTCCCTTAGGACACTTGCCAACTGGAACACGTTCAATTACACAGCTTTTAAAAACATGCACTTTACATCTAACGTACGTTATAATTTCGAGAGAATCTCATTACTTATGCACCGCATAAGGTTCATATGATACTTTTTTTATTATCACACCGTTGCGAATATTTATTGTATACACAACGCAAAGACTAATTGTACACATTTTCCTCGAATTCCTCCGGTTTTTTTGGACGATGATCGCATTCCAGCCGAATTCAATTTGATGCCAAAAAAATTGCAAAAAATCAAATAACTCATTTCTCATCGGTCGATCCAAGGTTTCCATCAATAGCAAATATTTAGACTGCAAATACTTAGGCTCAATTTTAAATTGCTTTTGCAGAAATCGAACTCAGTTTCCCCTATAGAGAAGTCCAAATCAAAAGGGGCGTGGATCCCAAGGATTTATACACTTTGGAAGAAGAAATAGGAAGGTAATTTACCCCGAATCGGTGTATATGTATCCCCTAATAACCAACATTTTTCCAGGGGGAAATTCGGTACGGTATACAAATGCACGGAAAAATCCACCGGTTTATCTCTAGCAGCGAAATTCATAGCATGCCCCAAAAAAGAAGATCGAAGAAATGTCGAAAGGGAAATCGACATAATGCGATCCCTCCAACACCCTAGACTCATACAAATATACGAAGCGTTCGAAAACGGCAAAGTAATGACGGTCATTTTGGAACTGTAAGTGAAGAAAATTCCAGTCAAATTCCCAAATCTAAACACAACATTTCTTCGCCATTTCCAGAATCCAAGGCGGCGAATTATTCGAGCGCGTCATCGACGACGATTTCATTTTAACCGAGAAAAGCTGCACGGTGTTCATGAGGCAAATTTGCGAAGGGATCGATTTCATACACAAACAGAGGATACTACATTTAGACATGAAGGTACTTTTACCGAACAAAAATTAAAATAGTAAACGAGTGTGTACGTTTTAGCCGGAGAATATACTTTGTCTGACGAAGACGGGCAACAGGATAAAAATCATCGATTTCGGGCTGGCGAGGAAGTTCGATCCCAGCAAGAAGCTGCAAGTGCTGTTCGGTACGCCGGAATTCGTGGCGCCCGAGGTGGTGAATTTCGAAGAGATCGGCTACGGGACCGACATGTGGTCGGTCGGAGTCATCTGCTACGTGCTGTAAGTGCGAAAAAATCGAATGGACGATTTCGAGTAGTAGTAGAAACGGTTGTTTGGATTGGAACATCCTGGATATTAGCCGGGATTTCGCGATATTTTTCCGAATCGGATATTGTCGGCGGCCGTCGCGTTTTCCAAATAAAAAGAGAAAAACCGTACACAAACAGCTCAATCGGACGAAAATAGCTTTCCTTTCGGATTCGATCGGTCTTTGCGACATCCGGAAAAAGAGCGCTTTCTCATCGCAGATCTCTGCTATTTATACATTAAATAATTATTTTTTTTTTCTATATAGATTGTCCGGTCTTTCGCCTTTCATGGGCCACACAGATGTAGAAACCATGGCGAATGTCACCATAGCAAAATACGATTTCGAAGACGAAGCGTTCGAGGAAATATCGGAGAACGCGAAAGACTTCATCAGAAAGCTGCTCGTCAAAGACATGAGGTAACAATCTGTTAAAATTAGCACCTAATTAAATAATACCACGGTCGAAAGAATGAACAATATTCACCGTTTATTTACACTAAATCACCCCGCCCACTCATTGGCAATGCACTATTGTTATGTATGCGAAAATAAAAATATAAATTCCCGGCTTTGATGAACTTGGCTAATTGATCGGATTCGCCATTGACACTGAGACAGTCCATCGATGGGGAGACAAATCGAAATTCCGATCGCGCTAAAATTATTCGCCAGGTAAATATAATAAACCGGTGGAAATTCCTGCGGAATATTTCGAGAGCCTGTCGACGGAAAATGATTATTTTCGTACGTTTTTCGATGATGCACCGCCTCGAACCCGTCCTATCTCAACAATACATCGCGAATTCATGCACCGGTGCAATTAGAGCGTATGATGGATGGTGCAAAATGCCAAGTTTTGATTCTTTAAAACGAGGTCACGTCGAGTGTATGAAATTTAATTTAATTTGCACTGTTTTGGTGCGATTGGGAGTTTACTTAGACTGGTGTATTTTTTCATCAATTCGGCAACACGGTCGAAAATTCCAAAAGATATTACAATATATTGTTCGCTCTTTGGCCGTGAATACGAATTTAACTTTGGCATGGGCGCTGCATTTCGAAAAGTAACAAGATGTTATGCAATGAAATATTTCGAAATATTTTATATTAAATCGCTTTTACATTCTACACTTAACCGGAGTATCGGTAGCACCAAAAAGCAACGAAAGAGACCAGACAAAGACCCAAATTAGTCCACGCAAAAACTAACCCGTATTCTACTCTATTTCCAAAATAGTAGGCACTAAATTCTCGGAAATACCGTCGCTTTTCTTATTTATTACATAATCCTTGCTCTTCTAATTATTAGTCTCCTGCTGATTTTCCCGTCAAACACACTTGTACGCCACTGTGAGAGACCCATTATCTCAATCATTTCCGAGAATTTAGTGCCTACTATTTTGGAATTATAGTGTATACCTGTATTTCGTACCGTTCCCTTTCCGTACTAATTTGGGTTCTTTTCGCATGCTCTCGCGTCCGCCCACCATTAATCCGTACTAACAGGGTCTTTGTCTAAACATTTTCAGCAAGCGCCTATCGGCCGCCGAGTGCCTAAACCACGCGTGGCTCGTCGCCAAGAAGAAGCCCTCCTCGAAGGCGCCGCTCGCGAAGGCCCCCAGCATGGACGTCACCAAAGACAATCTCAAGCAGTTCGTGGAGCGCTGGAACGACCACCCGAACTCGCCCTACATATTCGAGATCGGCCATCGCGCCGTCTCGCCGTCGATGCTGCCCGCCGGCGGCCGCAGCCTCTCCGGCTCCAGCCAGAGTCTAATCGGTGAGTCGCCGTCCCCGTGCGGATCTCTCGCCTCGTCGGGTTCGGACGGGGCGTTCGCGTCCGACGACCACGAAGCGCGTGTGGATTCGATCGCTCCGGTGGAGCACGCGAGAAGGGCCTCGGATAGCACGTGCATCGTGAAATCCAACGACATCGCCGAGCGCATCAACCTAGCCGAGGAGATCAGGAAGCTGTCCGATAAGCTGTTGCAGCTCTCCAATCTGAACGTCAACGGTGAACCGATGAAAGCGGAAATCGCTAAAGAGGAGAACGTCGTGAGGAGCGTTCCTATCACGATAACGGGCGCTAGGCACCGCGGAAGCGATAATTCGGGGGTGCCTTGGAGGAAGCCCAAGTTCAGAGTGACCAACATGTCCAGGGATGTGCCTAGTATACAGAAATTTCCCGGTAAAAGCGGGTCGTTGAGCAGCCCGAACGGCACGAAGGACTTGCTGTTGCAGCTGCTGGAGCAATGGGACGGGCACAAGAGTCGCACGAAGCACTTCATGCGGAACGGGTCGTTCTCCACGGAGACGGAGAACGAGAATTCGGGCCAGAGGACGGCGATCAGTTCGTTGAATAATTTTTTCCAGTCGAGAGCGACTAGCAAACTGGCGCCGTTGAAATTAGATAAGAAATAAATCGGTCCGGGGCGTTCCTGTTGGTCGGATGGACGGAATTTTTGTATTTATCTCGTCTTAAAATATTTTAGTATTTAGTTTATTTATATCGCGCATTTTTTACTGTTGTATTTTTACGTGCATATGGGACCATTTTTAGCTTTGAGAGGGTACATTTATGTTTGTGAAACCGTTAATAAAGTAAATTATTCGACGTTTTAGCGCGTATATTTTGGTTTTCCTGTGGAAAAAGGCGAGTTGCGAAACGGAGTGAATTATTCGCGACGTTAAACCCGTTGTAAATAGGCGATAATTTACGAAAACAAGACAAATCTTTGTCGTTTATTAAAATTTTTCGAAAAGCCTCTCCCTGGCAACCGGCGTTTTCTATTTAAATTGCCACAAATTTTTGGAACGCTTAATTTCGTATTGTTGGAACCGTGACAAAAAAGTGTTTAATATAACAATAAAAATAAACAAAAAGAAAAGCGAGACAACCGAGGGAAAATTGATGAGCAATATACTGCAATAAAATGAACGATTTAAGTGAATCCGGGCAATGAATAAGGTATGTCAGTTTATTGCAATTTTACTTTGCTTCAGCTTCGCTGGCATTTAAAATGGCCGAACGTTGGAGTTATGCAGCCACTCTGAAACCGCTTTACTCACGATGCTTCCTAACAAAATGCGCTTTTGTATTAAAAATATGTTACCGATAAAATTAGATAAACGACTAAATCCGGGTAAAATCAGAAATACTGTGTAGGGTAGGTTTTTGGGTTCCTTGGGGTCCTGTTATGTCACGAGAAATCTACTCTATCCTACCCTCATTCCACCCTTTACCCGAGTAAACCCAGGTTTAGTAGTTCATCCAACTTTACCCGTAACATCTACATCTTTTTCCCGAATTTTTTCATAAGTTTCGTTATGTTCCAGATCGAGATCATCGGCTGAAGAAACAATGAACCATCCGTGGCTGGGCATGGACACAATTCATCCTGAATCGAAGATCGACACGTCCAAATTGAAGAGATACGTCATCAAAAAGCGTTGGATAAAGGCCGTTAACACGATAATAGCCTTGAAGAGAATGGGCGCCAAGATCGATACGGATCTCATACACAACGATCTTCTAACAACCTTGTAAAGTCGCTTGTACATTGCGAATTTTTATGTTACACCGATAAAAAAATGTGTGCTTTCTTTGGCGGGTTGATAACTTGTACAATATTTGTACTCTACACTCAACCGGTAATTGTTGATAGTGGGGTCACTGAATCTAGTGCTAAACGTATTACAAGAAAAATTATACAGTTTGATGCATTTTAGTCTATGGGTGCAACAAAAGAAAGGGTGATATTGTGTCATTGCCACTTTCTCACTCTAGCAACTGTTATTTTAATGATCTAAAACAATCTTTCTTTGTTCAACTCATAGCAGTGACGTTACTGGAAACAATTATTGGTATTACAACATTATATTGCATCATTAATAAAACATTCTAGTCACCTCTGTTCCTATTCCATTTTGTTAAATCGTATTAACATTGTTGTAAATAAAACTTAATGATAATAGCCGATTTTTTTACTATAAAAAACACGCCATTTACTTAGCAAAAATCGTGTTTATTGTAATCAATTGTACACAACAAACACCCGAACAAACCTAATTAAAAACCTAACGGTACGATTTCTGGTATCGAGCACGGGCTCCTGGACCACCGAACTTCTTGGGCTCGCAACGACGCGGATCCGCTACCAGTAAAGTACGATCGTATTGGATGAGAATGTCCTTCAACTCCTTCTTAGAAGCTTCGTCAACATCTAAAACAACAATCGTAAACTCATTAAACTCAAAAATCTTTCATTTTTTATGTATGAAACTTACATTTTTGATAGTAAGCTACCAGAGCTTTGGAAATAGCCTGGCGAATGGCGTATATTTGCGACACGTGCCCACCTCCGTTTACTCTAACTCGAATATCGACTGCGGAGAATTTGTCCTAAAAAATTAAGAATTTGAGGGGTATTTATGTGGGTGCGACCTGTATAATGTAAACTATAATATAATAACAAATAGTGTTGTTTAATTACCTTTCCTAAGAGAAAAATGGGCTCGTGGAGCTTGTCTTGGAGCATTTTGGGCTCGACTTGGCTGAGCGGCCTGCCATTTACTCGGAGGACTCCGTGGCCTCTTTTACAGTAAGCGACGGCTGTGGCCGATTTCTAAAACGGTTAAATGATTAATAAATTGCCGGTTTTGAAACGGCTGGCGTCGAGTTTCGTCGAAACACGTGCCAGTATGTTAGGGATATAGGTTAAATTCGACGAACTCACCTTTCTGCCAAAAACTTGGACAGAGTGAATGGGCTCTCTTTTCGGCTGAAAATTAAAAGTGGTATTTAGTATATTTGGGCTATTTAAGCGATAATTTGCGTTAGAATTTAGTAAATTTACCTTTTGCGGTTGACTCTGCATTGTGGATGACAGAAAAAGGAAGTTTGATTTTACAAATGACAGTTGACTTGACGTCGCGTCAATTGAATATCCGTTTCTTGAATGGCCTTTACCTTTATACCATTTTAGCTCACAAATTTCAAATTAAACAACCATTCAAAAAAAATATATTTGTAAGGAAAACGATTCAGTAAAAATCACTTCGATTGTTCATTATATTGAAATAATTTTATTTGTTTAAAACAAAATAATCTCCATAAAACTAAATTTATAAAATTGTAAGGCTACCTATAGGTATACAACATGTTGACATGTTCGATTAAAATTAAATAAAAGAAACATAAAATTAGCATAAAATAAAACCTAAACATTTCAACAAACTAAAACAATTATCCAATCCCGATTATCTCATCGACATATCTCACAATCTTCCCTCGTAGACAATTTAATTCCCGCGACAGACAAATGGTGCTTACGAAAACCATAAGAAAAAAAATATAATTGAATCTTCATAGCACCCGCCACGCATTTAATCGATTTACCATCAAATTTCACAATTAACCACAAACCTTCCAGCACCGACCCAATCCTAATCGATCCCGAACGCTCTATTCAATTCACTCAAATCCCTCTTATCGATAAACACTTTCAAATCGCCCCTGTTCATTAAAGACACGCACATCCGCAGAGTAGACCAAATAGTATCGGACATCTGAGACACCGATCCAGCGTTCGCGGCATCCTTCCCTCTAGCCTGCTGATTGAGGGCCGTGAGAAAATGCTCGGCGGCCTCTTTGTACGCGTGCAAATTGATACAAGTGATCCCCACGTTATACCGAGCCCTTATGAAACCCGGCGATATGTTCAAAGCGCGGTGGTAAGCTTCGACGGCCTCCTCCGGCCTCGAACCGTTGGCCAAAGTAGCCCCTAATCTGTTCCATAGCCTCGCATCGTCCGGCTGCACCGAAAGGGCCGCCGTGAAACAATCGGCCGCCTTGTTGTATTCACCGGTTAAATTGAACAGCACGCCTAGACCGCATTGCACTTCGTAATCTACATCCTGCGGGTTCTTTTGAGCCGCCTTGATGAACAAATCTTGGATGATCTGGTGATCGCTGTCCACCAGCAGGCTCGTAACTTGCCCCGAGAGCTTGATGTTGGGAGTAGCGATGTCTTGGTATTTGGGGTTGTGCTGCAGCCAGCTGAGCAGCATCTGGCAGGCCTGGTTGTAGTAGTTTTCGTTGGTGTAGCTGACGGCCAGGGCCATGAGACCTTTGAGGTTGGCGGGGTCGAGTTGGAGGCATTTATTGAGGGCCGGTATGGCTTTGGGGTCTTGCTCGTTTTCGGCCTGGGTGGTGCCCAGCAACAGCCAGGCCTCCGAGTTGTCCGGGTCTTGTTTGACGGCCGCTTCGAAGCACAACACGGCGCTGGGGAAGTCGCCTTGTTCGAGGTACTTCCGGCCTCTTTCCAGCGGATTCGGCACGTCTAACATCGGATTGTCTTCGCTGTATTCGTATTCTTTAGTGGTGATGTTGTAGTACGAGTTGAATTCGTCTATCCAAGGGTGCGAGGGATCGACGTCGCCTTCGGAGACTTTCTTCATTTCCTCCTGCAGGTTGTCCCAGAACTCGGAGTTGAATTCGTTGTCTTTCGACTGGGCCTCGACGTGCTCTTTCGCCCATTTATCGCCCACTATCCCGCTGGTTTTCGAGGGATCTCCTTCGTTGTCGAAGTACTCCCTGCTCCAGCTCTCCACCACATCGCTGGCGCCTTCGTTCAGTTTGAGGAAATCCTCGTGCGATAGAACATCGGGTTCTTGTTTGTCGTTTAGTATTTCATTGGTCCAAATGTCGGCGAAGTCGTGGAAATCGCGGCCCTTTTGCTCCTGCGAAATGATCTCGGCCCAAATGTTCTCGTTGTTGTAGATCGTCTCGTTGAATCTCTTGCCGTCTTCGATGTACTGAAGGGCCCAGGCGTTGTCGTGCAATTGATCTTTCACGGTCGAGGCGGGAATGGGCGGCAGGGCCGATCTTTGAGATTCGATGTCGTGCATTTCCCGCAGCAGATCGTCCATTCGGAAGGTCTGCGGAATGGCCCGGGTTTCCTGGAGGAATTGCTCCACCAATTGATCGGAGCTGCTCTGGAAGGCTTGGCCATGATTGTCGGAGAACGTGTGGTCTCTGGTTACGTGAGACGTTAATTTCGAAACGGGGTTTATCTGTCCGCATTCGGCTTCGGTTAGGGGTCTGAACGCCATGTCGTATAAAAAACTACTTAAGATTGAAATATAAATAAACACTTAAATCGTAATTGTTGCGTTTTAACTTCTCTAATTGCACATGTTTCCCTTAACTTTAACTTGGATTCGTTCGAACGAATGAAAAAAACGATGATAACCAAAAGTAAAACGATAACATTGGATTTTGGATTCGTGTGACATTGACACTTTAAATTCCGGTTTAAAGATTAAAGTTCCACATCCGATTATCTTTTTATCTCGCTCTAACACGTGTTTGTTATTTTTTTGGATAGCGATAGAGAATGGTTCGATGAGTGGCGAAGTTAGCCACACACGTGACACGTGATCCGCATAACTGTCACTGTCATTCTCAAGTTACAATATGGCCTTTTATATTAGAGTTTATGCGGTTACTTGAGAAATAGATAGTATATTTTTATTGTAATTTTTTTAAATAAAAAGTACATATGTACAATTGCAACTGCTAAAATCGTGACGTAGATAGAGAATAATTCGATGAATACTATGAATAGTGAAGTTAGCTACGTGTGATTGACGTTGAAGTTGTCACTGTCACTTTCAAGTTTGAATATGGCCTTTTATGTAAGTAGCAAATACAAATGTAAATAAAAATGGAGATGAGATCTCTGTGATTTTAGGGCAAAATATTCTTCTTTCATTGTTTTAGAACCAAAGAAACCTTATTTGTATGACTTCAATTCTCAAAGCATTAATTAACTCGTATCTATACCCGTTTTTATCGAGTAATAATGAAGGTACATGTTTAATGAAACTGGTGCAATTACAGCAAATTTCGTCTATCTATTGTTAACAATTCCAATTGTAAGTCGATATCGCTAAAAGATACGAAATAAAATAAAACGACGACTAAGCGCGTTCGCTGAGCGTGAGAAGTTTAAAAAAAATGTTTCCCGGTTCGTGTTTCATTTGCGACTACATCTGTAAACACATTTATTAAAAAGGTAGAAGGTATACTGTGCAATAATTAAATACATACGCGTTTTTGCGAAACAAGAAACTAGATATAATTAAACTAAACAAATCGTTTAGTACACAGATTAGTTGACCTTTAATAAATAATCGCCTTGTTTATCGTATACGCTTAAAAAAACCTTGCATGTAGGTATTTAAATTTATGTAACACAAACACAGATGCACCTATAATAATTGCTAATTTAATCGATACAATGCTTACGGAAATCGAAACGATTCCTATATATAATGCATCCATAAAATTCCTTTTTCCTTTTCAATAATTAATCGATCTGAAAAATACCTTATTTCCTATTAAACAACAGTTCGGGTAGCCGTTAGACGGGAATAAACGCATATAAGAGCATTTTATTTTCCTCCATATCCCGCTGTTTTCCGATTTAATTTTTACTCTAACGATTGGAAAAAAAATCGCACGAATTAGATTTAATGGCGCTGAACTGTACAAATAAAAACCTAACTGTTCATCGAATTTTGATTCCCAACGCGTTCGAATACATAAAAATTGATAGTGCACTATAAAAGAACAGCTGGATTTCGATTTATTCGCCGAGAAACGGTGAATTTTTCAATTAAATTCGCTTCATCTAAGTCGATAAGATGCGCGTTGATAAAGAAACACCCCGCGAACATTGAAAAAATAAGAGGACAATAATATTTTAATAGACCATTTTATGTCATAATCCAGCGTAAAATGACTGACATAGAGGGTCACCAGCTCGTAATAATGGCCTATCATTTTGATACCCATTACCATATTTTTATATTTAATACAGAGATGAATTGAGCAAAATATTTTATAATGAAACACACAAGTATAGCGGGTTTTAAATAATATAATCTTCCATACGATATCATAATATAGCTGATAATGTAGCTTCTTTTGCATCACCTAATAGCATCTAAAGGTATTATTATACAAGGTATTTTTATTTTCTCAATACGGATCTGCGAAAGATACATCTTCTCACAATATACGAGAGCTATAGGTACATCAATTTTCCACGTAAATCTCTCTAGTACCCCGGCAAAAATAACTGCATCTGATAGACGATAATGCACTCCTCGAATCCAAATTGATATAATTGTAACAATTAAACGGTAATGACATGGGAAACGAGCAGGAAACGAAAGCGAAAACTCTTCGTTTAATTGCGAACATTATTCGCTGGATATATAAAAGTTTATATTCATTCCACCAGAAGAATGCTAGAGTAATAGTTGCTCTGCTATATGGTAAAACCGGAGGATTTCGAACTCTGAATTTAATTAGCGTTTGAGAAGCGATGAAAGTGAATTGATTATTATTCAAATTCGCGCGATTCGCTTTTGTGAAATTCCAATTTCCTAATCCGATTAAATCATGTTAACAATTCCCCGCGATTGCGGTTATTATAATATTAATTTGGTATAATTAAAACGTGAGCTATTCGTTTATGTTAATTGTTAAAGTAATTGCGTTGTTTTATCTAAAAAAATTAATGGCTAATTAAATTAATGGAAACCGTTAGCGCTTGTGTTTTGTGTATAGCGAGTTGTAAAAATTTTCCCATAAATTTCCCTATAAAAGTATATTATTCCGAAAGCCCGTAAAACGGTACTAAATTTAATGAATGGATTCCTGATATTTACGATGGTAAATAAAAAAAAAATAATACACCGCTCGAGCATCCTTGAATAGAAAAAATCCAGTTGCGGATTAATCAGCGGGTTTCGAAGAAACTTTTTACGTTGAATCAGAGTTACTACAAAACTGACGTCATACTACTAGAGAATTCATTCTTTAAAATTTCGAAGATGATCTTTACTCAATACTTATATGAGGTATAAATTTAAAGTTTTTTGAACTCATCTTCAGGCGACACTCGAGCGGGTAATTGCATTTGACATTGAATTAACAATAATACAATTAGCTTAACAGTTCAACAAAGAACTCGACATCACAATAAGGTATTTTTTTCGAATAAACCAGCGTGAGTAATCCAGCCGTTTTCTATCCATTTTTTGCAATCCTTGTTAGGGATACAGGCCTTTATCCTAACGTAAAATAGATACACACATATTGTTCTCATCGTTAGTCACTATTTCGCTATTTGCGTTTCGAAATGTACAGTCAAAGTTTATGGATAGTCACGATTTCGATGCGAAAATATAGTCGGGAATATCTCGCATATTCGTTTGTGATCTTATGGCGGAGCAATTTCGATGTATAAATTTCCTGTTTTTCACGCTCTTCGAACAATCCAAAAACCGCCGGTAAACCGATCATCGAACCGCAACTGTGCGGGTGCATCGCTAAATATCCAGCACGCGACTCGCCCTACGCCAATATACAGGGTAAACTATAAAGGTAAGCCTAAATTTGTACACAAACAAACCGTTTTTCATACTCTGTTCACAGCACTTTCACGACGCGCATTTGAGGTTTTAAAACCGATTTTATATACTCCGAATACAGCAAAATTATTAAACAATGCATTAAAATACTTTCTGCGACACTCCATCTCCCAAAATCGAGACGTATTCCGAAGGAAACGAGGTTACTACACTCGAATAGAAATTCGAGTATCACCCCATTTCTGAGACTTCCCTTCGCTTATACACGGTGTTGTGAACACACCGGAAGGATATCACAGAAATGCACTTACATATTGTTCCCTGTTAGACCTACTAACCCAGCAATTAGCGCTCGGTGTTCTTCATTCATTAGATTAACTGAAAAATCTCTTTAACGACAATGCAATGAGCGATAATAAATGTTCTTCTAATGGATCGAAACGTGAAAGCTTGAATTTTCATCTAGATCTGTCCGGTTAAGTGTTCTTTGAAATTTAAACAATTATAATATGAGTTATATTTAGTAGATTTGTTTAAATTCGAAGGACGTTTCGAGATTTACCCCGGATAGATCCAGATGAAAATTCAAGCTCTCGAAGTAATTGTTGAAAGTATATCAATAGAGCTTTGATGTGGTTTATGAGAATGTAAAAGCGACCGTTTCCACCAGGTGTGCACGTGCCAAGTCACGTGTCCATTTACCACCCTCATGTATATGGAATTTAAATTACAAGAAACAGTGGTGTAACTTTATAAACGTATTTTTAGTACAGGATGTTATTTCTTATGTATGAATAAAACATTACACTGTTTTGTTTTGAATTAACTTCGAGTAGATATACTTTTCGATATGCAATTAAATATCTCCTTCTCTTTAAAAATCGATATATATTAAGGGAGGTATATGCTTCTGGTTTTGTTTTGTTAGAGTTTTATTCCACACACATAGGTACCCCATTGGTGGTGTGAATGGGATTGCGAATGTGAACCGGGTTCACCCTAACTTTATGCGAGGGTTGCAGCTGGTCCTCACGACCCTACCCATATGGTACAGTAACGGTTGGATGGGCGATGAATATTACGGAATTTCTATCTCCGGAAATTTGATGATATTTTATGGGATGTTCTGATATATTAAATGTTGTAATTAAAGCTCAGAAACACTCATAAAAACACTTATATTTACCACTTGTATTTCAACATTTTTGCATTCATTTTTTGCTATTTTAGCGATTAAATTTGCATCACCCTTTGCTCACATTTCTTTCCTATTTACATTCTTATTCTTCTGAAAATCTTCTCCTTCTTGCAATCATAACTGTTTAATCCATGTATTAAATAATATACAGGTTGTACCGTACAATATATACTTCAATTCATCCAATCAATCAACTATTCACATAATACCAAACATTCCCACAATTATTTAAAAATTACCATTTTACAATAACAAAAATACATTTTTATACAATCTACAGTACGGCACATTTCGATTAAATCCATCCGAATAAATCCAAATCGCCCCACCAATCTCGATTCCCTATTTGGATTTCTGATAGTATACAGGATGTCCCCGCGTTCGTGCGCCTCCGTACAACTTCATTCAATACCGACTTCGGAGCGTTATTTTCATTCTAGTTTGCGACTCGCACGGAGACGGATGTATGCCTAGTACACGATCAAAAATTCATCGCGGAGCTATGTTAACTCTAGCGCTAGTAGTATAGTATACTAGAATATCGTGCGCGTGTGTATGTGTGTGATGGATTAGAATAAAGTGAATTGGAGTATGATTAATTTTGTGTTAATAGTGAATATATCGTTTTAAATACTATGGTGAGTTACTAGTATTTTGTAGAATTTTTATTTTAAATATTATGGTGAGTGATATCTAGCTACTAGTAGGTGTTTTGTACAATTATTATAAGATTTATTAATTGTAAAATTGTATTTCATTGTAGGTGATTCACAGAAGATTAATTAGTAATTTTCTATCGCTTATTACTTATTACTTTATTCCGAGTTGTTGGAATAATAAACAAGAATGATTAATACCGAAACCTCAGTGAATAAAATCACAATTTATTGCAATTATTAATCATCCCAGGGACTATAATAGTCATTATCGCGAATAATTGTTTACTGATAAATGTGAGAATCTCTACACGTTACATTCTTTATTGTGTTAACGTTTGATATGAAGATTCGGAAGATTATTTACACTGTTATAGAGGAAAATATGCTAATTTACTACTTTATGTTTGTATAGCGCATCTCTTCCTGATGGGGCGTGCATTTTATACTCAAATAAAACATTTTTATACGAGCGTATAGCAAATAAAAATACCCCTGTAATTGAACTTGTAATTGAAAAAAACTATAGGTGTGCAAAAGTGCAATTTCCTGGTACATTTTCGAATTGCTGTCGCTGCGGTTTGCACGATTCACGGGAAAAATGGTGAAAATCATTCGATAAAAATCGAGTACCGATTAACCGCTAAATCGCGAGTTTGTGTAACATATACAGGACGTCGCTAAAAACACCTCAACCGCCTTATTTTCGTCTCGGTTAAGCCACGTCCCAGCCTATTTGCGACGCCCTGTATACACGTTAAAAAAATCTGGCTTGATTGGAACCGTTGCGGAATAAATACAGCTGTCTTCACAATTATTCAAATAAGGCCTTTGATGCGATTCGCGCCGATAAAAGCTCCGGTTTCGTATCGCGAGATTTCCCAGCCAATTTTCGGATTAGAGCGCGAATGTCGCTTAGGAAATGAGCTAATTGATCGATTAAATTTCTGTCTTCCGATAAACAAACACGAGTCGAAATTAATCAGGTGTATTATTTTCGTTAACTCGTCGAGTCATCGGATTCCTAATTGTTTAACGAGCCAATTTGGTACTCCTTTAGGTTACAGGAAAATTAGTTAATTTAATATTCATTAAGTGTGCACACTCTACTGTTAAATAACAGTTATAATTATTGTGGTGTAATTATTTTTATTTTGTTATCCTGTAATTATGCAATGAGTCTAAACTTTTAGCATTCCTGGCAGGTAAATCATATTAGATCTTTATCATTACGAAAACAAATTTTGTTTATCTAATATAAACTGAGAATGGATTGGAAGCGTTAATACACAGAGTGTTTTCAAATTTTGACCTAAAATGATAAGATTACGTCGTTTATTTTCAACTGGATTTCTTCTTTTCTACATTAATGCTCGATTTACTATAGAAATTTTATAAAAAAGCGGAGGTAATACGATTTTGTAGAATAGATTCGCTTTTTTCTGATAATTACCACTCACTTTTGTAACAAGATCTTTTGTGGGCGAAGGAACCACATAAAATTCTAATATCTTTTTGTGGTTTTTTAATTAAGAGCATTCTACAACTACATTTCATCTTATATCCCTTTATTAGGAATAATTTCTACAACGGGAAAGCATCTAAACAACTCTATCAATTTCCAAAAGTTTTTTCGGCTATATTCGTAAAACTAACCCACTATTATTATCTTGAATTATTTAAGAAAATTATTTTTGATGAACGTTTATATCAAATTATTTTGATTGTGTTCGACCCAATTCCGATAAAAAATATGTACAATATACACAAAATAAAACCGTTAAAATTCTTAGGTCACGATCCTCCATCACGTATGTAGCATGTAAAATTCTATTATTATATTTTAATTCAATAAATTATAATTGACGGTACCCGAATGTTTGCGCAACAACTTCATACTAATCGAGGCTTGTTTGAAATTGCATAGTCAAAATAATCGAAATCGTTCGTAAACCAACAATATTTTGTGTTTGCTTTATCGCTTCGAAAATTCGCCTAACGAATTTATCAAAAAAATAAAATAATCTACTGCAAGTGCAGTGATGGTTTAAAAAAAATCGATTATATGATTCACTGTGTGTTAATTGCAAATATTTGAAATTAACGCGTGTGATTTTACTGCCTGTATACTTCTTTGTCCCGATTACAAAACAAACATTGTAAAGATTATGAATTTGTGTAAAAATATTAAATATGTAGCAATAAAATCGATGATTCAAAGATTCATAATGGAGAGGACCACTATGAAAAAGGCGATTGATGAAATTTTTATTTTTTTCTGTGCCCAAATAAGACCGCAATGAATTTTTAAAGTTTGAAAAATGTCATAGCGTGTACGCCAATCAGAGCGAGAGATCTGACAAATGACAGATTTTTGTTCGTTTGTTGTATTCTTCATTAGGTGTGTTCGAAACTTCATACTATTTACCATACAACACGACGAGAGTGATTTATGATTGGTCAACTCGCATCTACTCGAAAATTTGAAATTTCGAAGGGCTTTATATTTTTAATTATTGCGCATTTTGAGCAACTGAAAACTGTTTTGAGCTCTAACGAATCAATCAATCAATACGAATCATATCAAGGTCTTCTCAATTCCAGACCGCCGCCTTCAAGATGCCCTCAGAATTCAAGCGGAGCCCCAGCAAAGTGTGGTGGGGCAACGACACCGAATGGCGCGAGATCTCCACCAGCCCCGGCAGCCAGGACTCCGGCTTCTCGGACACCGAAACCTCCCCCCATCAGCGCCCCGACGCCGCCGCCGCGCCCGCCGCCCCGCCCGCCATCCCCCGCGACATATTCAAAGAGCTCGCCTCGGAGCGCGCGAAGCGCAACTTCAGCGCCAACTTCCGCGAGAAGTCCACGCCGGAGAAGCAGAACCTGCACGGGGCCCGGCCCGCCAAGCCGTCGCCGCGGGCCAGCCGGAATCTGTTCGGCCCCGGCGCGGCCGCAAACCCGTGCACTGATCGGTATTCGGCGCGCGTTCGGGACGCCGGCGCGCATCTCAATGGGCCCCGCGGGGCCGATGGCCCGTCGGTCGGGCCGGGGACGCGCTCGCTGGCGGCGCTCTCGGACGGTGCCTGCTCGGAGGAGATCAGCAAATCGGCGCCGGCCGTTCTGGTGGGCCGACCGGCCGCGGAGCACGAGGCGACGACCAGCTTCATCGACGGCAGCTTCGAGGGGTCCCTGTCGAGCGATTGCGACAGCGAGTTGGAGTCGCTGTTCGCCGGGAGATTGGAGTCGCCCCGGCACACGTCCACCCCCAAGGCGGATGGGACGCGGCAGATCGACGAGAAATTGTCGCTGAAGTTTGGGCTCGATTACCAGCAGGATAGGTGAGGATTTGTTTTTTTTTAAATCCACTTAAGTGCAATGTATCGGTGCGAGAAAGATAACTTATTAGTTTCATATAAAGGAAGAAGAAAGAGTGATATTGTGGGATTGCAACTTTCTTACTCTAAACACTGTTACTTTCTTTGTTTTACTCATAGAATTGATCATGTTGCAAACATATTTGTACTTTATAGGTAATTAAAGCATTATCGGAGTGATTCATTCGAGTTGCAGTTTATATGCTGACACATTATCGCTTAGCTAAGATTGAAATTATTACTTAGTAATAATAAATATGCATCAGTCATTCGGTTTTATGCAAATTTGAATTCAATTATAAGTCACTTCTTTTCCCAGCTAATTCTCTAACTCCAAGAACCAATAATCCACAACAAAAGTATTAACTATTCACCCTCAAATTACATAATTCCTCTACCTACTGTATTTATACACTTTTAATCCCCAAAAATTGACCGTCCCCTCATAATAAAATTCCCAAAATCGGGACAATAATCTCGACCTTCACCCTACTAGAAACGCACCACCCCGGATTTCTCGCGAGTTACGAAGTTAACAGGTTTCTCCCGTGTGCTCGCAGGGTGCCCCCGATTCCCACCGAAGGCTACACCGACCTGGACAACAAAGCCGTAGAAATGTGGATGAAAGAGGCGCGCCGGAGCTACGAGCAGGAGTGCATGACCACCCTTCAATGCAAATCGATAGTCGGGGAGCTCAATCGAAAGGTGCTGCAGCTCGCCGCCTGCGCCACCACTATATTCAGGGGCGTCGTTTCCCACGCGAGATGCATCGAGATGGAGTACAATTATCTCAACAACAGGTAGGGAAATGGGATAGTTTGTTTCACGGTACTATATTTCTATATAAGGTCTGGCATCTCCCTAGCTTATATGCATTAGAGAATGTGTCCCCCGTTATTTGGGGACTTTTTGAGCTTCACTTTTTCGCCGCACCGTGGCTAACGATCGGAGGACCAACTTATCTCAGCCAATCAGCGTCGCGCTACATACTAAATCGCGGTTGTGTGAAACGACAGTTCAAGCTGTCAAAACTTCAAAAATAATTTTTTGACATTTCGAAGAGAAAATGGAGATATACATTAACCGAAGATACGTGAGGCATGATGTTTACAACAAAATCATCGCTGATTTAAGTATATTTTTATATTTTCTATATATTTTTAGTTTGAATATTAACTTTCTACATAATTCATACGCAAAAAATCGGGGTCCTTTACAACATCGCCTCCTAGCGGACGTTTTAGGAACCCTGTTTTATCCTCAAATAACGAGACACTTTTTCGACCCATGATTCCAGACCTTAGAAATATAGCACCGTGGTTTGTAAATCTATATAAAAGAAGAACTAAGGTCTAAATCCGGCAACGTCGTTTCGAATTTCCAGCGACGCCAAGACCGTCCAGCCGCTCGTCCAGAGCCTCACCGGCAACATAGCGGAGTTCCTCGGCGCGCACGGCGGCCCGCTCGGCGCGGAGGCGCTGCGCTCGTGCGAGCAAATCCGCTCGGCCGCGTCCGCCGACGAGGCGCTCCGGCTGGTGCCGGGGCTGTTCGCCCGCTGGCAGGAGGCGCGCGACCGGGCGCTCGCCGACGAGATCAAGAAGCTGGTCAACAAGCTGGAGTGCCCGGCGTCCGAGCTCGACCTGCGCGCCACCGTCACCGGCGTCACCTCGATGGCGCTGCGCCACCAGGAGGCCGTCGAGCTGCTCGCCAAAGCCGACGCGGTGCCCGTGTTGCTCATACTGTGCGAGAAATGCGAGGGGTCCTCGATGAGGAGCTTGCTGTTGAGGGCTTTAACTACCGTGTGCAGCGGCTCGTCGGCCGTGAGGCAGTTCGAGAAGTTCTCTGGAGTGCAAATCGTGGCTGATATTTTGGAGGAGCACTCCCGACCCGAGCCGGAGAGGTCCGAAGCGGTGGCTCTCTTGGCTCAAATTACAGCTCCTTGGCTCGAAGACAACCATTCTGTCAAAGGTAACACAAATTCTGCATACCACTTACCTAGTGCATCATACAAATCGAGTAATTTCAATGCAGGTTTGCAAGAGTACTCTTCGAAGCTGGTGCGAGCGTTGACGAGGTTCGCGTCTTCCACGAGATGCTGTCAGAACCTGCTCCTTTGCGCGGCCGCTCTGGCGAACCTGAGCTCGATGGACTCGAAATCGGCGAGGTGTATGGTGGAGTGGGGCACGGCCGAGGCGCTGCTGGGCAGCGTCGAAGCCCGAGGGCCCGCCGCTTCGGTCTATCTGCTCGAGCAGATGGCCGCTCTGCTGGCGAATTTGTCCGCCCTGGACGTGGCGCGGAAGCAGCTGACTGAGATCAGGGCGCCCGGGGCTCTGCTGTGCTTCCTCAGGATGAATTTCGCTACGGTAGGTCGGGGGATTGCGGTAAGGGGGACGTGGGATTGAGCTGGGTTTTTTTTTGTTGTAGGATTTCGGTAGCGAGGACGTGGTGAAAAGGTTGCAGCAGAAGAGCATTATAGCGTTGTCGAGGCTGTGCGGAGAGAAGGAGGCTGCGAGGCAGGTCGTCGAGCTGGGCGGAGTGGAGAAGCTAGTCAAAATGTGCAGGGAAAAAGACGAGAGGTTCGATAGCGATGCTGTTTTAGTGGCGGCTTTGGTACGTTGAATTGCTCCCTAGCGTTCGAAATTTGAATTCGCATTATACGCGAATAAGTGGGACTTTAAGATGCGTTCGATGATACATTAATGTCAAAATTGAATCATAAATCAAGGCATTTTTTGTCAAAATTGACATTAATGACAGAAGTTTAATAGAGGTGGGAATGGACTTTTTGCATAGAGGTGGAGTAACGACTGTTACAAAATAACCTTCTGCTCTATTCTATTTCAAATTTATTTACTATTCATATGCTGTGCTGGTAAATTCTAAGTACAAATTATACTTGAGGCCCTCGAAATTGATTAGATATTATAATTTTATTTCAGGCAACACTCAGGAAAATCGTCGATGCGTGCGGAAGTGACGTGTTGAGTGCTCAAGATGCTCAAGAGCTCGTCGAGCCGAAATTGCTCGATTCATTTTTAGCCTACTCGTCTCAGAACGAGAGTTACGTTTGAATTAAATCGAGTTAATTTTAGGATATTTATTACGATAAGCCATTATTTTAATTTGTTTTTTTTTTATTATTTTTTAAAATATTCTATATTTGTTGACATTAAATAAAATGGATATTACCAGTACGTGCTTAGTGTACGCCCTTCGATGACAGTTTATATTACTCGGATTTTATTGTATAAACGTTACCAAATATTAATGTAATAAACTAAACTGTATTGTAATTAAATTTCGTATTTTATTCAACTCGCCAATCAACTTAAAAAAAACAATAATCAAACGACGGAATACATTTTAGTACATTTAAATAATGATCGTAAAATATTTACAACTAATCGAAGTACACTGAAAATGAAAAATATTGACTAGGAATGTTTTTAGTTTCACTTGCTGTTTATTACAACCCTACGTTAACAGTAGCCTTTTCAGTCTCTTCGAATTCTACATGTTCCGTTTCCACCAACCCATCTTCGTTAGCCCTGGATAATATGTCGCATATCAAAGGCGACTCTACGCCTAAAATGTACTGGCACAATTTAGGTTCGAGTAAATATAAAGACACCGCGTTGGGACTGCTAGCGTTCTGCAGGCACTTTAATTTCACCTCCGTTTGCCTCGGTTTGCCCGTCTTCTCGCAAATCGAACCGCTCGAATACAAATGGGACAGTTGCTTGCGTTGCCCTAACGGCTTAGGCCGCTTCTGCGGGTTCTCCTTCATCCAATCCAAATGCGCCTGTCTATCGAATATCCCCAAATTTATCGATACCTTCTTCCCGTTCTTTTCCACGTGATACTGCTCCACGGACTTCCCGTAGCAAAACTCGAACTTCCACCAGCCGGTGCCTCCGTTCAAGCAATTCTTCCCTCGCAGGAAATTCTCCACGGGCGCGCTGTCTACCAACTGGTGCTCGCTCGGATCGGGAATGGCGTCTTCCTTCTCGAACTTCAACAGCTCCACTTTGAACTTGTTCAAATCGGACTTTTTCCTCAGCAGGGCCGATTCGTACTGCTGCTTGGCCAGGCCGTAGGGCATCTTGTAGCTGCCGTCTACCGGCGCGCAGTTTATCTTGTTCTCGCCCGATTCCTTCGGTTTGTATTTGGGGTGGGCGCACAGGAGGGGCGAGAGAATGATGATTTCGTAGACGCAGCTCTGGGGCTCGTCCACCGAGTAGATTTCGTGCTTGCCGTGTATGTAGCACACGTAGAGCACTTTGGTCGTGCGGGGTTTGTTGTTGTTTTTTAAGGAGCACTGGGTACCGTTTTCCATTACAATTTCGTAGTACGGTAGATTTATGCTCTCTATTTTCTTAACGGGCGGAGGAAGGGTTCTATCTTTCTCGCGCTCCTTAGTTTTCTCTAATAAGGTTTCGTAATAATCGGAGTCCCATTTGCCTATGACGTATTCGTGCAATCTCATCGTTTTACCTTCCCTGTCTTCGTGGTACTGGCGGACTTTTCTGCCGTGGCACACTTGATAGGTCCAGTACGATTCTAATCTGAAAGAACACGGTTGGTTTGGGGAAAACAACGGGGAGAGGAGCTCCAAAGCTGTGGGGCCATCGTAGGAGTCTTCTTGCTGGGCTTTCTCCTCGGCTGTGGTGGGCAACGAGCATTTGTATTTCTCTTGATGGGCCGACGTTATTAACATGGATTCTTCGGTGGTCGTTTCGTCCAGGGGCAATTCGCCTGGCCAATTTATGCTGTACAATATAGTGTCATCGAATCCGCTGATATCGTTCTGTACGGACCATCGGCACATTAAAAGACAAAGTAAATACGTGGCCCCCTTCATTTTTGCTTCATATTCACTATTATTTATTGGGTACTTGTTAGAACATCTTGATAAATTCAAAATTTTCAACGTGAACGATTTTCATTCGCGTTTACGTTTATTTGTCACTGTCAAGACGGTCAAATGTCAAGTTTACGACAGGAATTCTTCTTTTTATTCTATAAAAATTGATCTAAGCTATTGTGGCTAGTCGATTATTTTATTTTTCAAAAAAGATTAGCAATTATCACTAATCTCATCATTTATCCCTTATCTAAACGCAATTATTTATATGCTAATAACCTTTTAGCAAGTACAGAAGTTTATTTTACAACCACGGAAATGTCTGAATAACCCCACAAAAAGGCTCAAATTTCCACATTTAGATGACGTTTGACATAACATCATAACCTCAAAAAACTAAAGGAGCAAAGCAGCAACAAGTTCATAATTCGCAATTTTAACAGTTTTATTAGTGAGAAATGTCGAAAAACATACAAATTCGACTAGCCTCGCAACGTATCAACACATCGGTGCCGGGCAATCAACGTTACCCCAAGATATTCACGCCCGGGCAAGTGATAACGGCTCAAAATGAATTCATGAGGTTCGTATTTATTTGCTGAAATTACTGAGAGTACTTAGAGTTTTGTGCTTTTCAGAGGACACGGTACTTACGAGGAAAACGGGGAATTGAAAGCGTCAGTAGCTGGTGTAAGAGAACAAGTCAACAACCTGATTTCGATAAGGCCTCTTAAGAGTAGGTACAACGGTGAAATTGGAGATGTGGTGGTTGGTAGGATTACAGAAGTGCAACAGAAACGGTGGAAAGTCGATACGAATTCGAGATTGGATTCTGCTTTATTATTATCTTCAGTAAATTTACCGGGTGGGGAATTGGTATGTAAAGAATAATTTTTTGAAATTATTGTTGATTATAGTGCGTTTTAGAGAAGAAGATCTGTTGAGGATGAGCATATGATGAGGCAGTTTCTGCAGGAAGGAGATTTGATTAGTGCTGAAGTACAAAATGTTTATTCGGATGGTTCTTTATCGTTACACACTAGAAGTTTGAGATACGGAAAGGTGAGAGGGTAATGCAATAAAATTACATTTTTGTATTGTAATAATTTTAGTTGGGGCAAGGCGTTTTGGTTAAAGTATTCCCATCTCTAATAAAAAGGAGCAAAACACATTTCCACAATTTACCAGTAGGGGCTAGCATAATTTTAGGAAACAACGGCTTGATATGGATTTGCACGTCGATAAACAATTCCGAAGAAAGTGTCGGAGGTTTCGTACAGAATTTAGAAGAAGTAAATGTTTCGATAAAATACACACGATCCGATCTCATTCGATTAATTTACTTCTAGGTGGTTCCCAGGCAAGAAAGAGAAACGATATGCAGGATAAGAAATTGCATTTTGGCTCTGACGCAAAGCAAGATGATGTTGTACGATACCAGCATCTTGTACGCCTACGAGGAGTCTCTTAAATACAGCGTAGCTGAATTATTAATACCCGAAGCGATGTTAGATATCGCAATTCTCACCCAACAGAGACTGACCATGTTGGAAAACGCTTGAATTTTTATGCGAGTAATGGGGTTTTCCACACAAAAAATCGATAATTCTTGGTATAAAATAATATATTTATAGTTTTTATACAAAACGTTATAATTTGGCATCTGCTCGTTTCAAAAAAGCGCATATCACAGGCACGTGTATATCGAAAATACTGCGTTACGGTAAAACGAATAAACGTACAAAATTCTAATCCATTTTATTTTTTTTACCGAATATTTTCATCAAATTCTTCGACATGTAATAGGGCTTCTCCGGCGATCCGTCGTTTCTCTCGCAATCTTCCACTAAAAACATTTATCTGATTATAGATCGCAGGGTCCCACCCGAGACATGGTACTTACGAAAACACAAAAATAGCGTATCCACGGCGGTCGTGTACACGCTGAAAAACAGCGAAGATATCAAATAGGTGCAAATCATAATGATAACGACCGGCACGACGCCGTAGTGAAGATTCGAATTATCGATAATCTTCGATGGAAGCAAATCGGACACGAAGAAAACGTACGAAACGGCGCCCACTCCCAGCGTGAGCGTCACTTTGCTGAGGAAAAACAGGAAATCCGTCACCTTCAACGTAAATCAATCATTAATTTTCCAAACGATGCATCCTCGAGAGATAAACTCCTCACCTTGTCCAACACCCACACTCTCAATATGTTCCTCATCAGCAGCATGAAGGCGCTTTTGGCGCTCGCGCAGAAATTCTTGCCGTGCACGGCGCACATGATGTAGGCGTTCTTGTTGAGGAACTTCAGGAACTTCTCCAGGCAGTAGAAGAAGCACTTGAAGATGCACATGATGGCCCTCGTCAATTCGTTATCGTACTGCTTCAGCTTGTGATCCAAATACTCGAGCGCCACTCGTATCATTCGGCACACGGCTATTATTAGGGATCCGAAGGCTAACGTCCCGATGTGGTATCTGGAATTCAGAAAGTATCGATTAAGATGGAGAAGAGGTCTCAGAAAACCTGGGAAGATCCAGGACCATCTAGGAAGACTTGGGAAGATCTAGGATGACCTGGGAAGATCTAGGAAGACGTGAGAAGAAGACCGAGGAAAAGATTGGAATGGATGGATGGGATAGATTACCTTAACGTTCTCAAGAAAGCCGATGTAACGGCGAAAAACGGCAATGTAGCTTTGTTGAATGTCCAATACCATTGGGCAAATATCGCGGCGAGCACCATTTGTCCCAAAGCCGATACGAAGAAGGCCAGCCAGAAGAATCCGAATATGTTGTAAGCTGTAATCGAAACCGTTTAGAATGATTATTTTGTATTAGAGCGCCCCGAGTACCTTGTAAATACGGATAGAGTAGGTCGTTGTTCATTCTGATAAATTTGCAATTCGCTTTGGGGCAATATGTAGCGAAATCCGTATGGCTTTGAACCATTTGTTGCCACGATTTCGGATCGCATTCAACATTGTCCTGAAAAGTAATTAAGCCTCCTTGTTAACTATTTTTTTTTAAGTAAATTAACTACTTACAGCTATATTGATTCGAGCTGAACACAGATCATCTACGTATCTAGTTTTGTACATTGGACGCCCGGAACTAGCCAAATAAATTCCTACTGCTATAGCATACGCTATTACCCCGAATTGTAATATCCAAGGTACTATAGGAAAGCACAGAGACGCTGTAACCGAACTCACAGCCCTAAAACATTTACATTATTAATACAATAATTACAGGCCATTGAAATCGACTGACTTGCTCCCTTCCTTTATCAAAGCGATGGCCAAACTGATACGACTCCTGAGGAAAATCATCACCAAGAGGATAATTCCCAGTACGATCGATATAATTATCAAACCGCCCAGCCACAAATCCCGCTTGGTCTTCAAACTGGTCCCTTCGTATCCGTATTTATCCTCCTCGTATTGTTTGCCGATATCGTTGTAGGCCTTCCGGGCGCTTATGTACTCGATGACCGTGAAGTACAAGGCCGCTCCCAGGCCCACGATGACGCCCACGATGGATAACCACACCATGGGGGCCGCCAGCCATCTCAATATAGTGATGTACAACAGGCAAATCACCAGGGCCACTCCGACGCCTATTAGAATCTTCCACCAGGACACTATTATGTCCTCGACGATGTTCTGGCCCGTCTGAAAATTCCGCAACTCTTGTATATCGAGAACATTATAATATTCGAAATGTTATTAGTGGTTTTAGTGAGTAGTGAGATATCAAAAGCGAAAGCGTTGCAATTTTTTTGTAAGAATTCATTAGTAAGGATTCTCGTTCCAATGGTGTGAAATAAAACGATACAAACGCAACAAAAACTCCGGTTATACGAGACTCGTATAGCGCGATGTATACAGGGTGTAACGAAAAGGTGGGTCACACATTATACAGCATTTTCAGTGGTTCAAATCAAGTGGTTTAGGTACCATACGTTTTTTTCTTAATCATTTAAAATCACTTTTTGTTACACCCAGTGTTAAAAAAGTGCTACACACATTTCGTTATTAGTTACTTTAAAAATAAATAAAAAAACATTTAGGGCATTTCGTACCTCTTCGGCATCGGAAATGAGCTTGATGTTCTTAACCGATTCGACTATTTTCGATTTGTCGATGTGTTGATTTTTTTCTATTTGTCCTATATCGTAAATCATCTGATCGCTAATAGACTTTAGTATCGGTATGCATCGTTTTTGAACTGCGGGTTCAGAAAAGAAAAAAAAATAGTATTAAATTCGCGTTAATAAAAGCATCTCTAAGGTTGAATCTACGAAGCGCCTCGAATACCGTAAAGATTCATTCGAAGGGCGTGTACATTCAAATGGGCGATGGGTATTTTTTTAATCCTTTAGGTAAATAATTAAATAACGGTTATTTTGTAACAGTCGTTACTGCACCTCTATACAAAAAAACCAATTTCCATCTCTATTAAACTTCTGTCAATGTCAAATCTGACAGGTATATCATCCAATCTCTCCTTTACCCACAGGATTAAAATTTATAATTCCTTTCGCCTAATTTATATCCATTCTACTATGGTGCAGCGCAAAGTGAGGGGAGAATTGTATGGGAAAAATCCGCGCAACAGGCGCAATACCTGCAAGGCGTTTTCGTCTTCTGTAAACGTTTTGATGGCCACTTCGATGCCCAAATTGGCCAACAATCGCGTTATTTCGTCCTCTCGGATTCGAGATATACGAGGGTTATGCGACTTTTTCCGATCGGCCACGTCGTACAAACATCTGAACAGAACTTGGCATGTAACATATAGAAATTTTTCAACAATTTCCAGGCGGATTTCTTAACGATCTAATCGATATTCGTTTCTTATCGCGTGCAAATCTAAATTCCGGATACTTACATGGTTTGCTGGGCAATATCCATTTTGGACATTTCCCATGGATGTTTTCATCTACGCAATAAGGTTTAATCTGTTCTGTTGAGTTATCCTTTGTCGTGTAAAACATATTCGGGCATTCTTTAACGCAAATCTAGAAAATACATTTACATAATACAGTATAAACAGAAAATACAGTATAAATGAATCGGTACACCGGAATTCCCCGCCGTTATTTTGTAACAGTCGTTCCTACACCTCTAAACCAACAAATCGATTCCCACCTCTATTAAGCATCTGTCAATTTTGTCATTAAAATATCATAGAACATAGAACGCATCTTAGTCGCGGAATTCCGGTGCGAAATGTGCCATAAAATGCCCTGAAATGAGTAAGAGTACCTGAGGCGTGGGACAGCCGCTAAACGGCGTCGTAGGTTTCAGGCATTCCGTCAGATCCTGGAAGAACAGGTACGGTTTTTCCAGGACGTCGGCGTCCTTGCCGCACCGGCGCCCCATCGAGTCCCTGGGGACCAATAGCATGCTCGGATCGCCGTTTAGTATAGCTGGGAATTTCCAAAATACCAGAGATTAACATTTATAAATGTGCTGATAATGTCATTTTTTATGGGCGATTTCCTTTAGATATCGATCTCACTTACAGTAAAAACCGATTGTTCATTGTGCGATAATAATTTTATATAGGCGATTCATGTTTTTTTTGTTTTCTATTGTTATAATAATTGGAGGGGATTTACCATAAAACCCGATTCCTATCCATGCTGCTATGAAGCAGATAAATACAGATAAACACAGGACATCGGTGCAGGATCGTTTCCTCAAAGGACCATTGAAATCCGGATCGTATGGAATAGGCTCTCCTGAAATTATACACAATAAATAAATTAAATAAAGATTATTTTATCTAATATTTTAAGCACCAATAATTTTTTTGTACAGCGCAATCTGTTTGAATACTCCTGATAAAATATTCCAGGTAGATTCATAAGACATGTTTTTTTTCTAAACATCTTGTGCAGGTAGGTGTATAAACATTGATAAGATAGGAAATGGAATATACACAATTCGAGTATTTTAGAAGTAAAACATCCACTTATATCCGCTCTTATTAAGCATTAAACGATTATTTAAACAAGTATTTTATATGAATAAGAAAGTATTATCACAAGAAAAAAAAACTCACGTTTATTCGAACGAAATCGCATAATTTGTATACTCAAAAATCGAAAGTTCCTACCCAACTAAATACATATTAGAGACTAATTTGAAACGTTGTTCATGTAAGGTCATTTAGTTATAAACAATTTAGGTATTTACGTTTTTCATTATCGATGTGTGTATACAATATACAGGGTCATTTTATTACCTCTGCTACATTTTTAAACACCGACAAATTTATTGCATAAATTTACATAGAATGAGAGTAACGATTATTCACTTTTATCTGATAAATAGATAAATGATGCTGAATAAGATCAAATTTGTATGGTATTCCAGCGAAACTCACCTCTAAACACCATTACTGGAAGCTAATTATACACTTTTATCACTGGTGTTTTCGCGCTACTAAGCCTGATAACGGCTTAATTAAAGAGATTAAATTCTAAAGAATTTTTTAATTATTAAGTACAGCACTTACCGTGTTTTTTCTCAGCCATATTCGCTCGGCGCGTTTCAGCTCATCGACTGAAACACATACAAAACAACAATTACATTTACGCATCTACCTAATTTATTGCAAAGATAAGGGAATGAAGGGAATTTACGATCGATACGCGATAAAAAAATTCATCAAAGTCGTTTTTTTAAACTAATAGATACAAAATATACGACTGATGTATTAGTAAAACTTATCGCTAAGCAGGGCTTAGGCAATTCTACACTTTTTTAGGGCTAGTTATTGTGGTAAAAGTTGGGGTGAAAACAGATCAAAAATACTTTGTGGTATTTCTTACTCTAAAATATTGAGAATTTATCTACAAAAAAGATCAGAAGAGTCTAATTGAGTTTTATTATTTATTTTGGGAGCTTTTCACCTGCTTACAGAGGTATGTATAAACTTTAAGATAATTTAAGTTCCATTGTATTTTGAAGCAAATATTAAATGACTAATACTACATTATAAAAGGCTCGTGACTTACCGGAATTAGCGCTAATTAAAATCGAGTTTGTTCGAGTGATTACATTCATTTGGAGCGCAACGGGAATGAAAAATACGAAAACCGCGGTTGAATAAACTCCTCGGAATATTTTTTATTGTCAACGACTCGCCGAGTAAATGTACGTGTGGGCTTAAAATAAGCCGAGAGAGAGCGATAAATATAGTCGTGTGTAAACCCAAAAATTTCGATTGATAAGAGGCGCAAAAATTAATTTCCAGCCGTGAAATTTACCAAGAATTGAAGTTAAATCAAAATTGGATTGGCAATGTTTGGTTAGGGATGTGTCAAAACTATGGTCAAAACGTTGACAGAAAATTTTTTGAATTGTGTACTTTACAAAAAAAAATATACAATAATTTTAGTAATTAATTTTGACTACAGTTTGTGCATTAAATATTGTAATAATTTAATTTCCCATTATTTTTTTATATGTATAAGTATCTACAATAGCGCGCAAATTGAATGAAAGTTAATAATTTTATCTAAAGACACCGCAATTACCTAAGCAAATGCAACACACAACATATTCTTTCATAAAACAACAAGAATTTTATCATATTATTATAATTATAATTATATACCTCGCTTACAATTTCCTGTGCGTATATGCATGTAGATAAAACAAACCGAAATATCACTTTCACTTTTCCAACAAATCCCGCAAACACACCAAGAAAAACTCAAAAAATACTTACTCCAATCGACTTCTGGCGAGCGACAAGGAATTATTAATAAATTAATCCTATTAAAAATAGATTTGTAACAGCGTCCTTGCGCGAAACTTGTTATTATTCAATGTTATTCAACAAATCAACAAGTTGCAAGCAAGTGAATTGTGTATATACAGTGTATTTTCTACGCTCGACCCAGTCGAATAGAAAACAGAAAGTATACTATTCGTATTCGTATACAGAGAGAGTGTAATTGTGGAAGAATTTTGAACAAAGAATAAAATAACGCAGCGTGCATACTACGCGTAGACAACACAAACCACTATCGGGATTTATCTACCATCTATCGGTAGTTTAACGAACTAAATTTCGGGGATTTACACACACTGGAATTCTTTCTGGAGGAGTGCGAGTTAACTGTTAAGTTTTAATTTCATTTTGTTATTTATCCACACAAAATTGAGGATAACGCTTATTATTTCGTCTTCTTTATGCAGGCAGGTTTATTTGGATAAATCACCGTTTTGCTATTTTAAAATTGTACTTAGATTTCAATGTACACAAAGGTAACGGATCAATAAATCGTTGCTATGGAGGAGTTTAAATGTTAAATTTAGTTATCTATTTTTAATTCGTTTTTATACACAATCAATAAAATTCTGCATACGATGTATACACGTAATAATTGAAACGTTTATTCGTAAATATTATGGAAATTGCAGTAAATATTTATCCTCGCGCTGAAAGATGGAGCAACAACATGATCAAAGGAACGTAGAAGTTCGCGGAAATCTTTCCGGTTTTGTTGCACAACGTTCGATTGCACGTGGTAAAGTACTTTTTATTCACATAGTGCTTCTCCGTTATCACTGATTCCATGATTTCCGAATTTTCGTGCACCTGGCAACCCCGAAACGTCGCCAAAACCGTCACGCCCGGCATTTCAGCTAAAAAATATTAGAAAATAAAAGCGTTACACTAATAGCCCTAGAAGATGAGGCCTCTAACCGAGAAAGAAGAAGAAACCAAAAAATATACATAATGAAATTTGCATCTTCTTCTTTGGAATGAGGCCTCTACTTCTAAGACTATCAAGCCTAATCACTTTATAGTGTGTTACTCACTTTGATATTGATAAACAAAACATTTCTCGGTGCTGCAATTAACTCTGTGCAAATTCCACACGAGGCCATTATTGCACTCCCTGGACGTTTGGTGACAGTAATAACAATAAAACGGCTCGTCTACGATGGAAAAAAAATAATATTCGATTCGAAAATCTCACAAATCTCACCTGAACAAATTCCTTCGCCGAGCGCCGCAACAAACAAACAAATAATTCGTAGTAATTTCATCTCATGTTAGTGCGAGAATGGGAATTTTCCGTGCGGTTCGCGAACGTTTCGCGGTCGCCGGTCGGGCAGCATTTGAAGAGCGCTTTTCTTTTTTCGTATTTCTCCGCGTGTAGAGTTTTATCGAGCGTTTGAGCACTGCGGAATCGAAAGGTCGGCGTTCGACATGTGGAAAATAAATCGGCGTGCGGGCGCCCCTCGATAAGACCCCGCACAATTGCGCTCTGCTAAAAATACATCGGGAGTTTTTGGGTAGGCCCGGGAATGTACCAAATGGAGTACTTGTGGACATACAATAGGCTCATGGGTATGGAAAAGGAAATGTAGCGAGAATGTTCGTTGTTCCAAAATCGATTTGGCATTGGGTGATTCAGCGAGTGGAATTTTTCTAGTAGGATTCTGAAATTTTTTGGAAACGGCGTTTAATCTTGGCCTGATTTTTTTTCATGGTTTTTCGGTTTTATAATGCCAACTATGCGTAAACATATATATAATTCGTTTGTGAGTTATTTGTATTGCATTAATTTTATTGGGGTCTCTAAATTACCCTCATTTACATGAAATTTGCAACGAAGACTACGCCCTTTGATTAAGTGTAAGTACACAAGTGTTGATATAAGATTGTAAATTATTAAAATGAAACAGGTAGAATCAATTTATATTGTTATTTTCTTATAACAATTACCGGTTAAATAGGTAAAATTACAAGTAAATTAATGTATTAGAATGATTAAACCCGTACAAATTGCATCCCGTCGTTTGGTGGTCTTGTCCACTTCAGTTATTGCGACAAATGTGAATAAATGAAGTTAATAACGATCAATTAGCTTAGCACAATTATTAATATCAATTAAAAAATATTTCGATACTATAATAGTATATTAACGAAATACCTTACTGCTCGAAATTAAAAAAGAAGTTGAAGTTGTTTTTACTTTTAGAAAAAAAACAACTCAAAATAAAAAGAAGCGAAAGTAAGGTTAGAATTACGAAAATATTTATTTACATTCACAATACACAAATTGTTTAAGGTAAGTAATAATATCATAAATTAATTAAAACACTTTGCGAGTTTAATCCGAACTCTCCATTAATACCGCCTTCAGGTAATTTATATTCGATTTTGTCGAGTTTTCTCTCCGGCGAAAATTCCACCAATTGGCTGTTACTATCGGCTAGTGTTTTCAATTTCCACACGGCCACATTTTTGGCTTTTCCATGTCTTGCGAGTACGTAAAAGTCTTGATTTTCAGTTAAAACACATCCACAGATTGCCGCCCAATGGGCTTTGTGTCCTTTGCACAATCCCGGCGAGTTATCCTGGGCTTTATCGTATCTAAACGGGTACGTGAAAGTTTGTGTGTAACAAGTGTGTATAGTGAAGTATGTAAAGGATACGGTACTAACATTACGCCGCCTTCTAGTAAAAAACTTTTAATGTAATCATTATTCAAATGGCCTCGATAAACTTGTACTTTCGTATCGCTTGGTAAATGTTGGGCAGCCAACTCGGCCATTTCTAAAACGCTAAACATTTCTCCGTTATAAGTGAAATTGAGTCTCTTAGCCGATTCGAATATATCCTGTACACTTTCCGAAGTCGGAGCACCTGCGAGCATGGCCAATGCTATTAATCCGCATTTCGGACCATCCTGCAGGAATTGATCTAATTGTCTGTATTTAAATTTCACGGGATTCGACAATTCGCTCATTTGAAATAACGTACAAACTTTGTGAACTTCTGGGTACGATTCGGCCCACGAAAAATCCATAATAATTGATAAATAATAATAAATTGCAATTAATTTGAAGGTTAGTTGAAACGTCAGTCATCGTTTTTTGCGGCCTCGACTACTACATGTATTTAGCCACATACTTTTTCGAGTTTGAGGATAAATAACTATGAGTACTGTTAAAAAATGTCCGGGGAAGGAAGGTTTCGAAAGGATTAATTATCTTTATCAGGTAAGTGTTAATTAATATGAGTAACCATTAAACTACTAATATACATTTATAGATTTCCAATTTAATGGCAACGAAAAATCAGTCTTGCCATGTCGCCGCCTCTCTATATTCAAATCTACTCGTCAACGTTTCGAGGAAGACAGTCCAACGATTGTAAGTACAATGATTATTTAAGAACAAATTTTGCTGAAAATTTTCTTCGTGTCCTTCTAGGGACATCCAGACGAAAAGGACCCTTTGTAAATCCTGCAGATGTCTCCTGCTCGCAGGAATAACGTGTAAAGTTCGCGTTAAAAAACAAAAGGTAACTTGGACTTGCCTGCATTGCAAGAAAGCCAAGGTGTTTGAAACGCGAGATAGGAATTACGAATGTTGGACGGAGAAGCCCGAGAGCTTAGTGGAAACATTGGATTATTCGCTTGGTAAAGACAGTGAAACAAACAAGAAAAATTAGCATTCTGTATTATACAAGTACAAAATGCAATTAGTAAATACGTGGGAATGTATAAAAAGAATTATTCAAATAAATATTTGTCGATTAGCTAAAGTATCCGTAAAAGGACTTACAATCTCTTTGGTTGCGAAATAAAAGACGAGACCGAATGTAATCGATATAGGTAGAGCTGGTAGAGCTTTCTTGAAAATCGCCAAAAGTAACAGCGTCAAACACAAACCCTAAAAACAATTAAGATAAGTCAACAAAAAAAAAATAAACACCACTACTCACTATTAAAATGGCTACGAAACAAGCCAAAGTAGTATTCCAATCGCCATACGAGGACGCTTTACCAACTAAAACACTGTAAAATATAAAATCTCCTAAACCTAATTTCACACCACCTAAAAATTATAGAAAAAAATTAATCAAACCCGTCCATTTTCATTTTTATACAACATACGTTCTTCCTCGTCTTGTTGATGCACTTGCGTACGATGTTGCCCGTTGGGATCGCTTCGAACTTCCAATTGCCTTTGGGCCACCCTGGTCGCGTGATTATCCACCCATTCTCTCGTAAACCCATGGTCTTCACTGTTGCTTCGAGACACGTTCACGTTCGGAACCTCCTCACCCGTGGCCATGCTCGTATAAGCATACATGTAAGTAGCTAAAATTATTTCAATTAAACAACATTTATAATTTTCCGCAGATTACTCACAGGAGTAAATCAAGGCTGGGAATATTTGCTCGTTTCTTTCTTGGGCGGTTTCTACTAGGATTCTCAACGGTCCCTTCGGCATTAATACTGCTATTAGATCTGAAATTAGTCGTATAGTATAAGAGTAGATATTTTGTTTAATTCGTATTTGCTTACCCCAAATGGAAATGACAGCCAATACGGCCCAAGTCGTCCATTCGGGTAAATATTTTATGAAAACTAAGGCCATCAGAGCGGCAACGAATATCAAATAAGCCTGTTGTAATATTAAAGGCCCCTGCCAATGGATAACCATCATTCCCATTACGCCGAAATTCCACATTATCACCAACAACGTCGGATAATCCATCGGAATGTTGTAAGCTCTTAGAATTTCTCTGAAAATACCACAAATCGATGCAACGAAACATTCCAATTTTACTCGATTTACTCACTCCAAATACAAGTAGGAAAATATAGAAAGTAACATGAGCGACGAGACTATTAACCAGGCGTGTATCGTCTTGTAGCACCTGTATTTGTACAAAACAATCAATAGTACAGTCATCAGGACGATAACGGCCATTAAAATCAAAGCATTAGCAGCGGCATTCCAGGCTTTCGTACTCGAATCGGAACTCTCCTCGTGGAACGGTGTATAAACCCTACAACAAAAATAGAGAAAATTTCATACCTCGTCCAATGTAGCTTGGCAGTTGAAATATTTTAGAGAGCAGATGGGGTAGGCCCAACTGCCAAGCTACATCGTGTGAGGTATACTTACAAGTACATATCTTTGATTGAGTAAAAATTAACGGCGCTAATCGTGGCGACGACGACGACCATGCAAATCGACACGGGGGCGAACAATTTGATAACATGCTTAGCGCCGTATTTCAACTCTTCCTCCTCCTCTTCTTGGGCGGGGGCGGTTTGATGAGCGTAATCGGAATCGCCGCGATCTCGATTCCTGCGGTGGCTCTCGTCGTCTCGACGGCACTGGGGCGTCGGTCTGGATTCGTCGTAGTCGCTATCCGCGCGTTGCTTTCTTTTACGCGTCGATTCCCGATTCGGCCGTAAATCCGTGGAGGATGTTCCGCTATCGGCGGCTACGTGCCCGTCCATGAGCCTGCTTGTTTCGGGCACGGCCACAAGATCGTTGTCCGGAAGATTCGAATGCGACATGCACGATTTTTCCTTATTTAGACGTTCGCGTGGGCTACTGCTTTTGTATTTATTTATAAATGAATCATTATCATTGTTGTGTGTTGTGTTGTTGAAAATTTGACGCGAAACGTCAGATTGACATTGACGTGACAGGTGTGCACACGAAGTGTTCGTTTGTTTGGTGCGTTCGTTTGTATAAAGTGTTCGAGTTTGACAGGAGTCGAACGATAAACGAACGCACATGTGACGCTTGGGTGAGTGCGCATGTGCGGAATCGCTGGCGTTCGCTTCATTATCGATAACCTCTCGATTGGAAATTGAATCACAAATCGGTAATTTAAAAAAGGCAAATTATAAAAGATGCCCCGCGCTAAGAAATCCATAGTGTGGGAGCATTTCATCAAGTTATTGGATGAAGGAAGCGTACAATGTACGATATGCCATAGAAAAATGAAGTTTTTCGGTAATACAACGAATTTAAAGGAGCATTTGAGACGACAACATCCCGAACATTTGGCCGCCAACGAATTGCAAAATGACGGTGAGTGAATTTATTCAATTCAATAATAATCGATTTTATGATTTAGCGTTTGCTCAGATTATCGATTATTTCATTTGCATTTGTGATGATGTGATGTAATCAATTCGATAATCGTTGTTTATGTTTATGTTATTTCATTATTTAAACGAATTTTTATTGAATTATGAATGTTTGAGTTGGAAAAATTTAGTTTGTTACCAATAGAATGGAACATAGAAGGAATTGTGATATATTTTTCATATTTATCGAAACATATTTATTAAAAAATAAAATAAATACCTAATAAATAAACCGAAAATGTAAAACATGTATTCTATTTGTTCACAGGATACATATTTTTTGTGGACAGTCCTAAAGTGAAAAGATTAAAAAAACTAAAGGAAGACGAAGAACCCGAAACAACAACAGAAGAAATTAATCCCGAAGAGGTAATTATATTAAGCCATTATTAAATCATTATAAAACACAGCCCCTTTTCCAGATGCAGCTCTTACAAGGCGAACACAGTTTTACCATAAAAGAAAATCCATTCGGCGAGAAAGATTTCTCGGTGAACGTATCCCGATCGGAGTCCATGCACTCGGAGCCCCTCTTCCATTTGGGCAACGACGATTTCAGCAAGATCGTCCAAACCACCACGTTCATCGATAAATCCCTTCTGATCGAGGAGCTACTCAGGTACAATTACGTATTAATAACGGCCCCGCGGGGCTTCGGCAAATCCACCAACTGGGACATGGTGAAGCGTTTCCTCAAGATCGAAGTCAACGAAGACGGAATACCCAAAGACATCCGGTACACGGATAACTTTAAAATCTTCCGAGACAGGAGATTGGCGATCACCGAGCGACAGAAGTTCTGCAAAGACCACATGGGTCAGTACCCCGTGATATCGATCAATCTGAAACCTCTCTGCGTAGTGGATAGCTACGCTGATATGTTGAACAAATTCAAAGTGATCCTGCGCAGGAGCTTCTTGGAGCACAGGTACCTATTGAAGAATTCGGGTTTGTTGTTGAAATCGAGCAACGAATTGTTCCACAAGTACTGCGACGCGGCCCAGAATCTAACATTGACGGTGACGGAGATCGAAATGGGGTACCCGTTTCTATCGGAATTGTTGTTTTTGCACTTTAGAAAGCAAGCGATCGTTATGATCGACAACTACGATTCCTATTTGGATAGTTTCGTGTTGAAAACGCACCCGGACGTCGAGAAAATCATCAATTTCGTGCAGTTGATCGTTAAGGAATTGCTGAAGTCGAATCAATTCGTCGATAGGGCTTTCATAACGGGCGTATTTCCTGTAACTAGTTCGACGATATCGACGGTTTCGTTGAATATCAAGCACTTTTACTTCCTGGATAATCATTATTTTTGTAAATATTTCGGTATTACGTCGGAGGAGCTCTCCGATGTGCTGAAGAAGGTTATCGGGGACGTTGGAGAACGGGAAAAAACCGAACGTATAATAGCTGAATACTACGGGGGTTATTTAATACCCGCTCAGAATATCACAATCTATAATCTTTGGTCGGTTTTGAGTTATTTGGAGAACAAGAGGATACCGTTGAATTACTGGTGTCAATCCGAACACTACGATTTGTTCAAAGAGATATTTTCCATCAAAGAAATCGCCGAAGAAATGGAACTACTGTTGTTAGGGATGTCCAGGTGTACGGACATCTCAAAAGCTCTATCTGTTTATAACGTTAGGAGTTTAAACAACATGCTAATGGAAAAAAACGGGGCCAGCGCCGAAGGGCTCTTTCTGAAAGTCCTCTACCATTTGGGCTACGTGACGGGCAACGATAGCTTGACTTTGGATCAATCCGAAATGTTTTTGAAAATTCCCAATTCGGAGATTCGCTTGGAAATCGCGAGGATTCTCAAAGACACTTTCATCGCGAAGTACGGTTTCAAAGAGCGCCACCTGAGGGCGCTCCATTCGGCCACCAACGCCTTCTCCGTGCAAACCTACGACGACGCGAAGTTCGAGCAGTTCTGCAGGAGCCTCAACGATCTATTTACCAATTCGAATTTCTACGGGACTTTGGAGGATTCCAACGGGTTCCAGAACGTGCTGTTCACGTTTTTGGCCAGTAAATTTTGCATCACCCAGTCGGAGATATACAAGAACAATTTGAGCAGTACAATCGATATACTGACTGTGAACGATTCGGGCGTGGGGATTTTTATCGAAACTAAAACGATCGATTGCGAAAGGAAAGACAACGATCGACATGTGGCTTTCAATGCTCATCGGCAGATAATCGATAAAAAATGCTGCGAATATTTCGACAGGAACTTCGAGGCTACAATGGGTAAAATTTGCATAGGTATATGTATAGGACATCAAAGGAAAATTTCCATCGCTTATTCCTATCATTTCCACATTGGAGACGATATTGAGAATCCGCTATATTTAGAAATCGCTTTTTAGATTTTTTAAATATGTGTTTAATTTATTTAATTTAGGTTGTTTAATGTATATTATTTTTTACAAATTTCCAACTGGACGTAGTTGGCTTATAAATTTTTAAAAACAATTTTTTTTGTTTATAAACACGTACAATAAATCGACATAAATTATTAATAAGAAAATTAACAATACAAAGCAGGAAACGTTGCGAATAAATTCACTTGATTTCCGTAATTCTCAAGCCTTCTAGGCTCTCCAGAAACTCCTCGCAGCCTTTTTGATTGCGCAACAAAGGCTTGTGACGTTCGATTTTATTCAACAGCTCCTTTTTATTTATTTCCACCATCGATTCCAACGCATCTGCAACCATCAAATCGGTAAACTTTCAATCATTCAAACATCATTTTCCTTACTTTTCACCAATTTTTGAATCGCCTCATCGTCATCATCGAAATGTATCATCAACGTATCGACGATAAGCTCGTGATGGCTCCTATACGTTAAATCTTTAAATATCTCCGGTACGTTTTTCAGTATAAAAGGTAAATTTCTCAAAGCGCAAATCCTCACCCTATCGGTCGGATCGTCCAACCGTTTCAACACCTCTAACAAAAAAAAATTACACACCAATCATTACAGTTGATCTACCAACCTGGATACACAGACACGAAATCTCCAATCTCCCAAATGCCCGTCCTGTGGCAATTCTCCTTCAACAAAACCAAACAATCCACGGCCGTTTCTCGACTTCTGTACGAAGCGTCTTCCAACAGGGAAGTCAACAAAGGCAACAATTTATCGCGAACCGGTCGCAACGTTTCCGCTGTAAACAATTCGACGCCATCTAGCGGCAGGAGAGCGCTTCGCAAACAGGAAGCCGCCATCGTTCTGATGGCCTCCGCCGTTGCGCCCGCGTGCCAAACCAGCGACGGTACAAATACATCTAAAAATAACATTTCACGTTACTTTACAATCATTTAAACTATAATAACAATACCTTGAACTAATTTTTCCAGAAATTCCGCTCGATTCTCGGCCCGTCCGAAAACCGCCTCTTTGTTCTCAAACACGCCGGCCAGCACGTAAAATATCTTCAAGCGACTCTCCGCGTCGCATTGAGTATCGAGCGACAGACTCAAAATCTCCCCTATAACGTCCAAATTCCGTCCGAAGGCCTCGTTCACGTGCGACAACAGCGACAGAAACAAGCACTCCTCTTCGCTGACGATCGTCCAAAGCTCGGGGTTCCTGTTCACGTGCCTCAACAGCCGACCGGCGTACAAATCGTACAATTCCTGCACGCTTTCCAATTTCAAGCAATCTTTCAAGCGATCCATTACGTCCGAATCGCGGATTTTCTCCGCGTTATCGGCGTGCTTCAAAGCGAACACGGACGTCGATATTTTAAACAAGCAATAACCGGCTTCTCCTTCGGTACCGTTGTCGTGTTTCTCGGCCAAAGCCTTTACGCACTCGATCAATTCGACTTGGTATTTGTTCTAAAAACATATCCAAATTACAAACGTTTTAAATTACGTGATATAAGCACGTTACTTTTCTGCTACAACATATGAAATCCTCGCTCAAAACCTTGCAAATGTTCTCAACGTACGGCGCAAAGTACTCGCGCGGGGAGCCTCTTATTAGTCCCTTGAGTACCGTCAAATGACCGTAATGGGGCCCGTCTTCGACGAGCGGCACCATCAGTTCGGACCACGTGTCGCATTTAACGAAGCACCCGATGATTTCGCTGGCCCTTTCGATGTTCGATACCACCCGGTGGTCATCGTCCCTTGCGGCCGAATACATGGCGACGAGGAGCACTTGGAGGTTCTGCGTGATGTCGCTTTCGGCGTGTAACGCTGTCAAAATTTAAACGAATCGTTCGAAAGGATCATTTTTGAGGAGATGAGGAATGTTACCAACGGCGCAGAGAAGTTGGGCGCACCTCAACCGGATGTCTTCCTGCCAACTGGTCAGTTCGTTCGCTATGCCGGGGGCTATTTTAAGCACGTTCCTCTTCACCAAGCCCCTGCAGCCGATGTTAGGCCGTAGCACGTTGTCCGGGTAATATTTCGGAGGTTGGATCAGATAATCTGAAACGATTCATATATTCGAAGAGCCATAAATCGAAGCTAATTGTAATACTAACCGATTTCGTCTTTAAAATCCTTCTCGTTCTCTTGTTGATATTGCAAACCGGCCTGTTCCCACAACTTGGCCGCCTCCATTCTGGTTTCCAGCACCTCATCGTTCAAGCCGGTGAGCAATAGCGGCAGAATTTTATGGAAAAACGAGTACCTGTCTCGATACTCCATCAACCATCGAGCGGCCACCTATTAAAACATTTTATTCTCATCGATTTAAAATCGTATGTACAGTACCTGCGCAACGGCCCTTCTCACGGCGGGTATCTGGTCAAACAGTTTCTCGGCCAATGGCGTTACGGCCTCTTCGAGGGCCTTGTACGAGCTGTGCATGACGATTTCGCCGACTGCGTAGACGGCCTCGACTCGCACTTTGTACCTCTGGTGGTAGAAACACGTTATGACCGGCTTCACCAGAGTTTCCGCCTGTTTGTGGAAATCCCTCGGCAAGGCCTCGGCCAATTTGATGACGGTGCGACAACTCAATTCCTTTATGGTAGGATACTTGTCTTTGACGGTCTCGGCGAGAATGGTGACGCAATCGTTCAGGAACGGCACCAGCTGGGCTGTATGCGAGTACCTGTAAACGGTACGTAATTAGTTTACGATTATCGAAATTTAGTAGTGAGTTTGTGTGTGTACTTAGTTATAATAGCGTCGAGTAATTGGAGTATTTGTAATCGGATTTCCTCGGATTCCTCGATCAATTCCACCGTGCCGATTCTTTCGACTAGTACAGGTAATACGTAGGTAAGGTAGTAATCGTTGAGCGGTAACTTTTCGATGATTAGGAAGTTGACGAATTTAATCGCTTGTTCGCGGACGTTTTCCACTTTGTCTCGCAGCCCGTTCAATACGTATATGTGAATTTCGACGAAAATCGACCGGAGGTCCTGGTTGCTGAATTCCGCATTTTCGTTGGACAGATAGCCCTGCAAATCGAGGAAGGCTTGCTTTCGCACTTTTCTGTCTGGGCTTTGTAAACCGATCGAGATTTTCTTCACGTTCGATAGCTTTTCGTCCGAATTTGCGGTTCCTGCGTTTTCGCCGTTGGTCATTTCGTAAATTCGCTGGAATTAATTAGAAATGTTTTAGAACAGCGCGATCCGACATTTGTAAACATAAACATGTCATTCGTTACCATGTGAACGGGTGATCTCGACTTTATGATATACAGCTACTTGAAATTGACAGTTAAGAAAAAGAAGATTTTAGTTGACATAGAAAAATAGAAGAAGAAAAATTTTGACAGCTCCATTATAACCTATTAAAAAAAGTGATTTTTTTTTTAAATTAATTTAAATAACAACTAATTTAATTATGTACAAACTGTTGCGATACGGCCGATGGAATAATCTAAATCAAATCCAAAGGTATAAACGTTTTAATTTTTACGAAACTCGCGAAATTTACCGGCCTTAATTTCCAGAGTAATCAAACGAGATTTTACTAATACAAGTGTATTACTTAAAAATGAACCGACAGAAGACGAAGGCCCCATTAAGTACTCGCAAAGTCCCGCGGTAAAATACAAAGCGAAAGATTCTCGAATCGGCGACTCGGATAACCGTTTGTGGTATGAACCCTACGTCATCATAGCCAGTTTATCTGCATTCTTGATATACTTCACCGTGTTGAGGGAGGAAAACGACATCGATGTCGATCTATCCAGGAGCCTCTACAGTCGCATCGACGGCATGGAAGAGTTCCAGTTGAGGCAATTACTACAGTACAACCTTAAAAACGGAATAGAAACCGACAGCATCACTCGAAGGCTGAAACAACTCGAAGATGAAAAGAAGGCTTCGGACGAACCTTGAATCACTACACACAGTATAGATTTCGTATTTATTAAATTGTTTCGTTTACAAATAATACTACTATTTTACCCGTAACAGTTAGTTAGCGAAGTAAGCGGAAAACTCCCATTAGAGCCATACAAAGCATAAACGAGTAATTGTAAATGGAGTTCGATGAGCTCGATCCGTCCGGATTCAACAGGATCTGGTTGCAAAGGTGTTCGTTGCAAACTTGGCAAGACATGTACGTTAGATTGGAATTTTCCTTCAACCAATCGCACGCATCGTTCACATCGATGGGTTTGTTCACGCAACCCCTGTATATTCCCGAATTGTTTGCATTCGCTGTAAATGGAAAGATATTGAAGGTAGTAAGAATAAGAAATGTGGCTTTATCAACTTACCGGTGTCTTTGACGTACGCGGACATGCACAATGTTGTGGTGTTTGGTTGTGCTTTACAATTACTATTAACAACAAGATTGTCTTTGGGATGTTTGCAGGCTTCGGGTGTGGCATTGATCGGATCGCAATCGTAACAAGTAAGTTCGCATAGACCTGGAAAAATAATAGATTATTGTATGAAATTTATGAAAATGCTCGATTGACTTACAGGATGTCGCGAAAATCGTTAGGAGTAAGAAAATTAACGCGTGGGTCTCCATGTTGGTTGAAAATAGAGCTTTTTAGGCGTGTGAATGTATGTGTGTATCTTCACCTGGAATAATTTTCCTTATCTGCGTCTTATCTGGGGTATATATACGTTTCAAAAATCACTTTATTGATAAAAGATCGATTGTTTGAACGTTATCGATGTAATATTTACTTATTTTTTTGAATCATTACTATAATAGGAATTACCAAAAAGAAACTTGACTGGCTGCATATAGAAAAAAGAATATTTGTATTATTGAACGGTATCGATGTAATATTTACTTATTTTTTTTAAATCATTATAACCATAATAGGAATTACCAAAAAGATATACTAGACTGAATGCATATAGAGAAAAGCGTATTAATATGGAGTATTATTATATCTTCCGATATAATTGACTTTTTTTAATACATCAATTTTTTAGGACATTCAGTACATTTTCCAGATGATAAAATTTATAGTAATCGATATGTACTGGCAAAATTTATGTAATTCAAATTATTACAAACATCCGATTTCGTCAATCACTTTAGAGCGATTAATAAATTGCATTGATAATGAATATATTAATATCTTAATTACAAATAACTAAACAACTTTATCGCGTCTTATCGGCTTGAACTTGACCGGTCCGAACTATTCTTGAACGAAAAACCGAATCAATTGTAATTAGAACGTTCAACAAATACGAAGTAAATCAGATTTACGCAAAATGGAGGACCTGGTAAGCGTTTTGGATTTCGAAAAGAGGGCTTTCGAAACTTTACCGAGGACCGTTTTGGATTATTACCGGAGCGGCGCGGGCAAGCAAGAAACCCTAAGAGAGAACAGGAAATCTTTCAACAAGTATGTCGTGAAATAAATAGAAATATTTATGATTATACAGAGTGGTTCCACAGGTTTAAATTGAGACCGAGATGCCTGCGCAACGTCGAAGAGAGAGATTTATCTACAGTTGTTCTAGGAGAAAAAGTATCCATGCCCATAGGAATCGCTCCGACTGCCATGCAGAAAATGGCCCATACCCAAGGGGAATGCGCCAATGCTCGAGGTAATAATTAAATCTGTAATATCGGAGAATAGTGAATGATAAAATAGATATTTTCCAGCCGCCGAATCGCTAGGTACGATTTTCACGTTGAGCACATTGTCAACGAGCAGCATCGAAGAAGTGGCCAAAGCGGCCCCGAACGCGGTGAAATGGTACCAATTGTACATCTACAAAGACAGGTCTGTTTGTATTTAGCTGCATAAATTTGATTAACGTTAGAATTACCCGCAGGAACGTGACCAGAGATTTGGTATCTCGAGCGGAACGGGCCGGTTTCAAAGCCCTAGTCCTCACCGTCGACGCCCCGGTGTTCGGCCTGCGTTTGGCCGATTTGAAGAACAAATTCAGCCTGCCCGACCACCTATCGTGAGACATTCAAATCGAATTAGATAGGCGCTTGCCTGTATCGCATTTGTACTCCGCAGATTGGCCAATTTCCGAGGGATCAAGGCCACGGGCATCAGAAACAGCGGCGTCGGTTCGGGTCTGAATAACTACGTAAACGGTCTGTTCGATTCCACCATCACTTGGGACGACGTGAAATGGCTGAGGAGCATCACGAGCCTTCCGATCGTACTGAAAGGCATCATGACGGCCGAGGACGCTCTGCTGGCCGTGGAGGCGGGCGTCGCCGCCGTGCAAGTATCCAACCACGGTGCCCGGCAGATCGACGGCACGGCGGCCTCGGTGAGTTTATAGTTCCTTTTACAAGCCCGCGTGTGGTTGACGAGGTGTTTCGTTGGGGCAGATCGAAGCGCTGTCGGAGATCGTGCAGGCGGTGGGTGGTAAGGTGGAGGTGTACGTGGACGGCGGCATCACCGACGGGGTGGACGTGCTGAAGGCGCTGGCTTTGGGGGCCAAGATGGCGTTCGTGGGGCGCGCGGCGCTCTGGGGATTGGTCTGCGGCGGACGGGAAGGCGTCGAGAAGGTCTTGGGTATACTCAAAAACGAATTGTCCACGGCGATGGCCATCGCAGGTAATTTATTTACTCTAGAGAATTGTAAATGTCTATACTAACGCTTGTATTTTTTTTAGGGTTTTCTCGCGTCGGGGACTTGGAGAGGAACTTGGTGGTACACGAGGGTTACTACTCCAAAATGTAATTTACTTTATGGGGTGTATTATTAAAAATCGTTGTCGCTTCGATTAGTAAGTACTTTTAATTTATTTTACTTTTTTGGGGCCCTACATTGTAACTATGTATTTGCCCCAAAAAGGTGAATATGTAAATTTAGATGAGAAATGTATAATTGTAATACATTTATCACTTTTTGTAGGTCCTTAAAATACTATAGTAGAACTTAAAAAAATACAATACAATTGATTTAAAAAAATACCAAATAACAATACTTATATATGTACATATCAAATACTTTGGTCTATACTTAATATAAAAAATAAGGCAATTTCGGTTTAAGCTGGAATTTTTGCTACCTATCACAATCTTTTACCTCATTGGACGGTTATCATTATTACAATTAAAATATTAGCTAAAATATTTATATGAGATTCATCATTAGTCAAATTTTCTAATTGTTCGCGAGACAAACGATAACTCGGACCTAACGTTAATTAATTACATCATTTTGTATGCCTAACAAATATTTAAAAAAACAAATAAATAAATTAAACAATAAAAGTAAAAACTTAAATCAATCGCTCTTCGGGCGGCGGTTTCAGCACGTGATCCAATTCCACGCGAGGATTGCAAAATTCTTGGGCGCTCGGACTGTACGTGCCCCGCGTGGCTCTTTTACTCCTAGCTAGATTGAGCAAAACGAACGAACCCGCCGCTAATCCGATCAACAATACCGCTATTACGGGAATTATAATGTACAGGATGTTCAGTTGGCTCGATGACTCGCTGGAAGTCCACTAAAACAAAAAAAAAACGATAATAAATAAATAATCGAATAAAGTGATATGAAAAGAAACGTATTTAAAGAAACATTTTCGGTTATTACTTGTTAAAAAAATTAATAAAATGACGTGGTAAAATAATAAAATCTCGTATCAAATGAGACGTTCTTCGGGCGGCGGTTTGAGCATATAGTCCAATTCCACCCTAGGATTAGCGAATTCCTGGGCGCTCGGATTGTACGTGCCCCTCGTGGCCCTTTTGTGTCTCGCCACTTTTACACAAGTCGACAAACCGATGCCGAGTGCAATGGCAACGGCAAGGACGATCGGTATCGCTATATACAGGATGTTTATTTCGCCCGAGGACTCTCTAGCCGACACCTAAAACAGAATATCATCGATTGGAGACTATCCGAAAATGTTTCTTTTTCTTTTTAAAATCCACAACATTTCCGAAGGCGTCTAAATTAGTTTCATTAAATTACAGAATCGAATTAACGCACGTACCCTCAAATCCGTGCAATTCTTCCCGGCGAAATTCTCCTCGCACTCGCAGAAATAATCCGCTCTATCGGTGCACTGCGAGCGGCAATTGCCGTGCACGCACGGGCCCCCTTCGCTCGGATTCCTCATCGCCTCGCAGGGATCGTCCATGTCGCATTGGTAGCCGCACTTGCCCTTTATCGAATCGCATATGCATCGATAGGAACCCGGCAAATTCTCGCACCTTCCGGCGCCGCCGCACGGGTCCGCCTTGTCCTGGCATTCGTCGATGTCGATCTCGCACAACAGTCCCGTATAACCTGCGCAGCACAAGGCCTTAGTAAACCGCGGCAAACACAGTCGGTTATTTTCTTACCGGTTCCGTCGCAAACGCACGTATATCTGTTGATTTCGTCCTTGCAAAGGCCGCCGTTCTGGCAAGGACCCGAGCCGTTGGGCAGGACGCACTCGTCGATGTTAATCTCGCAGAATTTCCCTTCGAAGCCCCGTTGGCAATCGCAAAACGGCACGTCGCCGGTGATGTTGCAAAAACCGTGTTCGCAATGTCTGTTCGAACAAAAGGCCGTGTCGCACAGATCCCCTTCCATACCTATCGATTTCATATCGAACATTACAGTTAGTCGAGCAGAGAATTTTTAGTGGGTTACCTTCGGTGCAAAAACAGGTGTAATTGTGACCGGTGGATTCGTTGGGGCCCGTCACGCACGTGGCGCCCTCCCTGCAAGGCTTGTTTTCGCAGGTGATCAACAATGGGGCTTCGCATTGTTTACCTGAAAACAGCAACATGCGAAAACTTGCAAACATTTCTATCGTACTTAACTTACCGACGAAACCTTCGGGACAATCGCACTTGAAGGCGCCGATCAAATCGTTGCAGGTGCCGCCGTGCCGGCAGGGATCGCTCGCGCACTCGTCGCGATCGGTCTCGCAGAATTCGCCCTCGTAGCCGAGCAGACATTCGCACTTGTACTCGTCGATCAGGTCGACGCACGTGGCGTTGTTCTGGCAACGGTTGTTCTCGCACTCGTCGATGTCCGTCGAGCAATCGTCGCCCGTGTAGCCGGGCTGACAGTGGCACTTGTACGTTTCGGTGCTGTTGACGCACACCCCTTTGTTGAGGCAATCGCCCGAATAGCACAGGACGCAGCCGTATTCGACGCGCGAGTCCGGCGACAGTTCGAAGTATCTCTTCAGATTGGTTTTGTTCGGGTACATTTCCGCCGCGTGGAAATAGGGGAGAAGAAGCCCGCCGATTCTGATCTCTCCCAAACAACCCTGTTGAAATAATAGCGATGATTTAATTCATTCAAACGAATCTGTATAATATAATCACCTTAAAATTGTCAGTCTTTTTATCCTGGTCTACTTTATACAATAAAACGTCCTCGTTGAATTCGCTCTCCAGCGAATTACTGATCAACGAATCCGGTGTAGTAGTATCGCTGACCGGTATGTAACCGGTCATATTATAATCAGTATTATCGATAACCGTTCGATAATCGAACGTTCCGTTATCGCTACCGCCTATATACACGACGCCGTATTTGAACAGATCCGTAAAAGCGGCGACGTCGAATCCTTTCACTTCGAAATCCGGCGATTCGTCGACGACGTGCTCCCTGAAACCGCCGCGCAACTTGTCGTTTTTGTACCGAAACAACAACGACAACCATTGGCCTTCGAAGCGGTCCTTGCGGAACCGCCGCGTCTCCGGCGCGCCGTTGAAATTCCACTCGGTCACCACTTCGTTGTGATAGACGAAAACGGCCAGGTAGGCGTCCTTGTGCTTGGCGAAGAGGACGGTGCCCCAGGACCTGGTGCGGTAGCGCAGCTCCAGCGAATCGAAGGCGAAGTCGTCGAGCGCCGGACCGGCGCCGGTCAGGCCGTACGACAGGGGTTTCTGCAGGCCGTCGAAGGTGGCGTTCGATATGCACTCGTAGCCGTCTTCTAGGTTTTTGCACAGCGAATTCGCCGGGCAGCCTTTCAATTCGCAGAACTCCAATTCGGTGCAGTCTTTACCTTTGAAACCGATGGGACATATGCACCTGCGCGACGAAAAGTTTTAATGTTTCATGTAGTTGTCGATAATCGAATGGTTTTGCTTACTTGTAATCGTTCCACGTGTTCGAACAGTTTCCTATATGACAGGGATTCAATTTGCACAAATCGTCGGAATGGACGCCCTTTAATACCGTAGATTTATCGAAAGTGACGTTACCAAAAGGCAATGGAATCTCCAAATCGGTAGCTCGCAACGGATAAAACTCCACTATCATCACCGAAGAACCGTTACTGACCTAAACAACACAAATCGATTAGAAATGATGTTTTTAACCGCCTTTTTTTCGGCGTCGTCTACCTGCACGTCCTGAATGATCCCTTTGAAATTAACGCTGGCGTGCGTCGCGACGACGGGCGTCGTTTCCACCATTTTGGCGGCGTGCTCGTCGGCCTGTCGCACGGCCCGCGCGTTCGGCTGTCCGCCCAAATACAAAACTCTCACGTCCAACGCTCCCGACGCCGATATGGTCTTGCGAAAGTACTCGGTGTTGTTCAGCTTCACTTGCACCAACGTCACGTTCCTGATGACCTTAATCAGATGATCGAAACCGTTGTCCAATTTCACGCCGCCCACCGTGTAGCTTTCCAGGTTGCCTTCGAATTGTATGCGCACCAGCAATTCGCCGCCCTCCAGTTGAGCGGCCACGTACGTCTCGTCGTTCGGGTTATTCAGCGCGCCCGAACCTACAATTACGATAGTATTTAAACGAGTATTACGCGGGGATTTAAGCGGTCGTTACCCAAATAGAATATCTGCCCTTTCGATTGCCTCGTTCTAACGAACATGCTGATATCCACGATGGATCTGACGGCCCTTCTGGCGTAATCGGCCACGTCGACGGTCACCAGCGAATCGGTGATGTTCTCGTGACCGAACGTCGCCGCCGTGTAATTGTACTGGCAAATGTGGCCGATGTACGGTCGCTCGCACGTGCAACTGAAGTCCCTCCATCGGTCGGTGCACCGGCCGCCCGATTGGCACGGATTCGGATCGCATTGCGGCTTCCGCACGCACTTCTCCTCCACGTGGTAGAAGCTCAACCACGACGGGTTCCGGTTGCCGGGCAACACCCACTGCCCGTTGATGAGCACGTCCTCGGTGCAACCGACGAGGAACGGCTGGCCGTGCGTCAGCTTACGCAAATTGTTCGGGATGCCGCCGATGTAGGTCACCGGGAAGCTGGTGCTCGACACGTTGTTGTTCTCGTTGTAGCTGATCGGATAGATGGTTTGCTCGTCGTTGGCCGACAGGACCAAATGCGACGAGTTTATGGCGACGAACACCTTCTGCCAGTTGCTGTCGTTCAAACCGGAACCGATGAACACGCCCTCCCATTTGTTGAGCAGGCTCGAATGGAGGTTCAACCTGCCCTTCGACAATTCCAGTATGTAGAAGGTCAGGCCTTTGCCGAGCGCTAGTAGACCGTCGCCTAAAGTGGTTTTGAATCGAAATTGTATATCGTATCCTTCCTCTCTCGTAGTATTTACGGTGACTTGGGACGTTCCGCTGAACGACATGGTGGTGATCTCTTCGCAGGTGTGCCCGTGGAACCCGTTGGGACAGGTGCAATTGAATTTGTGCTCAGTTTCGTTGATCAAGTACGGGTGACATTGGCCGTCGTTCAAACACGGTTCGTCCATACAACTGAAAATAATCGATCGTAAAGCGAAACCGAAACGAGTGGAAAAATATTAATTTACCCCGTGAGTTCGACGGAACAATTCTTCCCGCCGTAACCGCCGTTACACTGACAGAAATAATTCGCTATCTTATCGATGCAGGTGCCGTTTACGCACGGCTTGTATTTCTCGCATTCGTTTATGTCCTGCTCGCAATGTATACCTTCGTATCCCTCTTCGCATTCGCAAACGTAGCCTAAAACCAAAGCGATGTTTATCGCGATCTATAATCGAAGAAAAATCGCATCTTACCTCCGATTTTATCGACGCAAGTACCGAACAGGCACGGATTGCTCTCGCACTCGTTGATGTTCGTCTCGCAATTTCGACCTGTCACGCCCAAAACGCACAAGCATTCGTAACCGGCCGCTTCGGTGTAATTGAACGGCTTCGAAAATATCTCGGGCAAGTTGAAATTGTTCGCGGGACTGTAGAGGGTGACGTTGGAACGTTCTATGCACGTGCCGTTGTATTGACAGGGGCCGCTCTCGCATTCGTTCACGTCTATTTCGCAATTTTTACCTAAAAGTAAAAAAATATATCAATTATTAGTCGTAGCAATGTAAGAGTAAAAACGTCCTATTCAAGTCCTTTCGAGTTTTTTTCCAATCTTCTCTAGTCTACCCCGAATCTACTCTAATCCTACTCCGAATCTACTCAGGAACTACCCTGAATCTAGTCCTATTCGAATCTACTCTAATCCTACTCGAATCTACTCCGAATTTTCCCCTAAATCTACTCTGGAACTACCTTGAATCTAGCCCTACTCGAATCTATTCTAATCTACTTCGAATCTACCCTAAATCTAGACTGGAACTACCCCGAATCTAAACCTACTCGAATCTACTCTAATCTTACTCGAATCTACTCTGAATTTTCCCTAAATCTAATCTGGAACTACCCTGAATCTAGTCCTGCTCGAATCTACTCCTAATCTACCCTAAATCAACTCTGAAACTACCCTGAATTTAGTCCTGCTCGAATTTACTTTAATCCTACTAGAATCTACCCTAAATCTACTCTGGAAGTACCCTTAAACTAGTCCTATTCGAATCTACTCTAATCCTACTCGAATCTACTCCGAATCTACCTTAAGTCTACTCTGGAACTATCCTGAATCCAGTCCTACTCGAATCTACTCTAGTCCTACTAGAATCTACTTCAAATCTACCCTGAATCTACTCTGGAACTACCCTGAATCTACTCCTACTCGAATCTACTCTCAACTATTACATGCGCTTCCGCGCCCGACTTATCGCCCACCGAATCGAACCGCCCTTACCTCTGTACCCGTCGTAGCACCGGCACGAATAGTCCTTGACCAAATCCAAGCAGGGCGCGCCGTTGACGCACGGCGCGCCGGCGCAATCGTCGATGTTGACGTCGCAACGGGCGCCCTCGTAGCCGGTGTCGGTGCAATTGCACGCGTAGCTGTTCAAGCCGTCGATGCAACGGGCGCCGTGCAGGCACGGCGACGACGCGCAATCGTCGATGTTCACCTCGCACCGTTTCCCCGACAAGCCGGCCGGACAGATGCACGTGAACTCGTCGATGCCGTCGACGCACGTGGCGCCGTGACGGCACGGCATCGGCTCGCACTCGTCGATGTTCACCGAGCAATCTTTGCCGTTGTAGCCTAACGGAGAAAAACGAGAAAAGTCGAGGCGATGTTTATGGAAGGATTCGATTGTTTAATTACCCGGAGGACAACGGCATTCGTAATTGTTGACCAAATTGATGCAGGTGGCGTTGTTTTTGCACGGCGTCGACAGGCATTCGTCGAAATCCAAATTGCACCGTTCTCCCGTGTAACCGGGTTTGCAGTAACATTGAAAGCTACCTTCGAAGTTCACGCAGATGCCCTGGTTGCATATTTTACTATCGGATACCTTGCACTCGTCGATGTCGTCTTTGCACAACGTTCCTGTAAACAACAAACGTTACAGTTTATAATTGTAAACTCGTCGAGAAATCGTCACCTGTATAGCCGGGATTGCAGTTGCAACTGAACTGGTGCGTGCTCTTGTCGACCACGCAGGTGCCGTTGAAGCAGGGCTTCCTCGAGCACGGGTCCACGTCCTGGGTGCAATCGTCGCCGGCGAGGCCGGGCGGACACCGGCACTCGTAATCGTGTATTAAATCGACGCAAATTTGGTTCGGTGGACACTAAAAAGAACGAAACAAATTACTTGTTATACCGGTACGCAGTACACAATAATATCTACCATATTTCCCAAGCAATCGTCCACGTTATTCTCGCATGTTTCGCCGTCGAAACCGACGGCGCAACGACAGGAAAACTCCCGTCGGTCGGGCGACGGGACGCACGTGCCGTTGTTTTTGCACGGTTTTAATTCGCATACGTCGTAGGGTTTCTCGCAAGTGGGGCCCATCCAATTCGACGTGCAATTACACTGGAAACCTCCTATCTTGTCGTGGCAAATGCCGCCGTTTCGACACGGATTCGAAGAGCACTCGTCGACGTTCGTTTGGCAAATTTTCCCTAATTGTAAGCAGAATAATTAATCAAACAATACGTTAGTTTTGTTATAGCTTAGTCTAATATACAGGGCGTTTAGGTAATTGGTTGTAAAGGGTAAATCTTTAGCTAAATTTGAGATGAAAACGTTCGTGTGAACGTGGATTGAAGTTAAAGCCTTACCCTTTAAAGTAGTTTAACAAACACGCTGTATAATAACACTGTTAAATTACGTTAGAATTTTTGTTAGAATTAACAACGCTAAAATTTAGTGACTGTTTACTAGAGAATCGATTAGAAAAGAACGTTAAAACAAAAAATTATAGAACCAATAGAACACCAAATTTAATCTACCTTGAAACCCGGCACTGGCGCGCCCGCAAGTAAAATTATCCCTTTCAAAACGTCCCGTTTTGAGGTCGCAATTTTTACCGCTCCAACCAGGTGCGCACGTGCAGTAATAGCCACCCAGCTGTGAAGTAATTATACAGAAAAAAATAAAGTTAATACAAACTACGGATATTATTGTGAGTACTTATGAGCTACGTCGATACGAAATAATTCCCAAACGATATTACTTACGTAATCTTGACATGCTAAAGCACGTCGACAAGGATGGTAGGCGCAAAAGGACCTTACGTCGCAATAAGGACCTATCCATCCTTTTCGGCATACGCAAACGAACATAGTCGAAGCCTTAACGCACATACCGCCATTTCTACACATCCTGTATGTACAATGATAATCGACACTTTCGCATGCGAGGCCTTTACGCGATTAGATTCGTTAAAAACAAGCAGCATGCAAAAAGCAAAGAGAAGTACAGGAAAACAACGACATTCCAAAAACGCTCGAAACATCAACTCACCGGCGAAACCCAAGGGACAGGTGCAATTGAAGGAATTCTTGTAGGGTTTGCACGTGCCCCCGTTCAAGCAGGGATTCCTCGAGCAAACCGACGCCGCACAATCGGGATCGTCGGGCTCGCAAAGGCGCCCTTGCCCTAGCCCTTTCGGCTCCGATTCGCAATTATCGCCCGAATAGCCGTTGATGCAACGGCACTCGTACGTCCCCGGCAAACTGATACACACCCCGTTGTTGAAACAAGGCTTCGACAGGCACTCGTCGACGGGCTGCGAAAGAAACACACGCTAGATGAGACTGTTAGATAACTAACTAATCCAAGTGTAGAGCCGTATTATATCATTTAACATAGCAAACGTACGGTGGCGCAATTCCTGCCGCCGTAACCGGGGGCGCATTGGCACAAATAGGACCCGTAGGCGTTGAAACAGGTGCCGTTGTAACAGGGATTCGTCGCGTCGCATTCGTTCACGTCCTCCTCGCACAGTCTACCCTGGTAGCCGGTGCGGCTGCAGTCGCACGTGAAATTGTCCGGACCGTCCGAGCACGAGCCGCCGTTCAGGCAGGGATTCGATTTGCATTCGTCCGTGTCGCGTTCGCAATCGTCGCCGGCGAAGCCGGGCCGGCACTGGCACGTCGCCTCGTCGGTATCGGGATTCACTTGGCACACGCCTGCATAACAGAAAAAATAAAATAATGCAAATTACAACGTATGCAAGAATAAGTGGGACTTTAAGATGCGTTCGATGATAGATTTACGTCAAAAATATCAAATGTGACACTAATGACATAAGTTTAATAGAGGTGGACATTTTTGTTGGTATAGAGGCGCAGTAACGACTGTTACAAAATAACCGTTATTTTTTCACATATCGTACATCGTTCGAAATTGGCAGTATTTTGGTAAGATATACAATAAAATAAATATGTATTACCGCCGTTGAGACAGTTCCTGTTCTTGCACATCGGATGCGATTTGATCTTCGTCTCGCACCGTTCGCCCGTGTAACCGGGGGCGCAGGTGCACGTGAAATCGCCCGAAGCGTCGGTGGTGCAATTCGCCGCGTTGTTCTTGCACAACGGCGGCAATTTGTCGCAGGGATCGCCCAAGTCGATTTCGCAATTCTTGCCCGAATAGCGGGCGTTGCAGATGCACGTGTACGTATCGGAGCGACTGAGACAAGCGCCGTGTCGCATGCACGGCTCCGTTTCGCACCAATCGAAGCCCTTCGGTACGCCTGTAACGATATATTTGTCATTGTAATACTCGATGACTGAAGAACCGACTAGGAGGGAGCCGCTCGGACGAGGCCACCAACGTTCGATAAAGAGGGATTGTAGTACTTACAGCTATCGTACGGTATGGGGCAGGTTTTGAAGGCGACATTGTGGCTGGATTTGATTATGGAAGGATCGAAGACGACGGTGGGGCCTTCCAAAAGACACCCGTTGAATTGCTTGCCGATGAGAAGGACGGCGGCGCCTTCGTTGTAAAGGCCCGGACTGATCAGCAGTTCGTTTCGATAGCTCGAATTCGCCAAAAGCTGTACGAAGAAACGCGGAATGGAAGATTAATCGAGTAAAACTAGGAATAATGGTAATTACCTGAGTATATCCGTCGATTTCGATGGTCAAATTGCCTGCTACATATTGAAGGTAAACCGTGTGCCATCGATTGTCCAAGAAACGCCCGACTATTTTGTGTTCGTATTTTTTACCGGCCGTTTTGGCTGTGAATTCGATTTCATCGGAGTTCACCGATAGCTCGATCAAATCGTCGTTGAGCTGTTGCGAAAACAGATTTCCGCCTGGAATACGAAAAAATAATTCGAATCGAATCGATTATTTGTCCAATGGACGTACCGTAACACGTTCGAAAACTCAAACCGGTCTGTTTCTTCAAGGATATTGTCGTGTGAAGTCTCAAATAGGAAGATCCGTTGAAATAGGCCTCCGGCTGGTGAGAGGGGCCCGAACTAGATGCTTCCCGGGGTCCCAGAAGCGAATGGAACGCTGGAATAATCCGCATTTTAGTTTTTCCATAAACGTATTGTCGATTCGAAAAGGTAAATAAAGCTCGAAAGGTCATATATAATTTTTTATTGGTAACAGAAGTATATAAAAATTAATTCTATGTGTAGATATAAATGCATCATAAGCAAACCCTCTTCCGCAAAATAGTAAATTACTAATCCAGTGTACCGACACCTTTACCAAATTCCATAAAATATCGTATTTTTATCACTTTAAAATTTTTAAATTTATAAGGAAATTGCTTTATTAATCAAACATTCATATAAAACTTATTTAAATGAGTTTTTGTTTGGATAACATAACTTTTTGATACTCACTTAAATAAAATACATTTTCAGATATATCACAAAGGTCAAGTTTAGTCGATGATGAAACAAAAAACGTGTAAAAATATTTTGAAATTTAATTCTCATTCACCGGGTAGGTACTATTTTATTTAAATCGAATCGACTTAAATTTTAGCCCTAAGAACTTCGATTTTCTTCGCGGCGGTCTTCTGCAACTCGAGCAACTTCATAGCCACCCCCATGTTGCCCTGTATCTTCACTTTACCCTGGAAGAAAGCCTTTTGGGGCGGTATTTTACCGGTCAGCAAATCCAACACGTCGACTTCCTTCACGATAAACGTGACATCAGGCTTTTCTTTACCGTTGAAGACGATTTTCCCTTTACCCACTTTGCAATTGATCACCCAAAAACCGACTTCACCCGATGGTTTTGTCACCTTCAAGCCATACACGCCCCGATGGTTTTCAATCAGATTATCTTCATCTTCGTCCATGGCCGTTTGAAGGATCCTATAAAACAAACAAACAATTAATAACTTAGGTATGTACAAATCAAAACCCTTTTACTCACTTCAAATAAGTAGTCACAGCGAAGTTCTCGCCACCTGCTAAACCGTCTTGAGCCGGTTCAGAAGACTTCCCGGGGAATCCCAATTGGTACAAACCGACAACAACGGCCCCGCCCAAACCGATATTGTGCTGCAAGGCTAACTTGGCCCCTTTCACTTGCCTCGCGCCGGCTTCGCCTCTCAGTTGCCAGCACAGTTCGGCGCATTGCGCCAGCCCCGTCGCCCCCAGGGGGTGTCCCTTCGATATCAACCCGCCGCTCGGATTCACCACGTACTTCCCGCCGTAGGTGTTGTCCCCGCGATCGATCAGCTCGCCCGCTTTGCCGGGCGGGCACAGCCCCAGCGCCTCGTACGTAATCAGCTCGTTGGCCGAGAAGCAATCGTGCAATTCCACCACTTGCACATCGGTGGGTTTACGATTGGCTTTGCCGAACAGCCTTTCGGCTGCTAATTTGGTCATATCGTACCCTACGATCTTCATGTGGCTTTTGTCCGCGAAAGTAGAAGGCAAATCGGTGGCCATTTCCATGCCTAAAATCTCGACCGCCTTGGATTCCAATCGGTGGGCTTTCACGAACCTCTCGGATGCTACAATAGCAGCGGCTGCTCCGTCCGAAGTGGGGCAACACTGGAGCTTCGTAAGGGGTCCGTAGATGCTCGGAGACTTAATAATCTCCTCTAAACTGTATTCGTCTCGAAATTGGCTGTTGGGATTGTTCACCGAATGCTTGTGATTTTTCAAGGCTATTTTGGCGAAGTGTTCGGGTTTGGTGCCGTACTTCTTCATGTGCTCGATGGCGGCGTTACCGAACAATTGGGCCGTCATGGGGGCGCCCACTATGTCGGTCAACTCCGACATGGCTTCGACGTGCTTATCCATGGGATTGGTGCGATCGTTGAACTTCGAAGAGAGACTACCCCGTTCCATCTTCTCGAAGCCCACGGCCAAGGCGCAATCGCACTTGCCCGACTCCACCATCTCCTTGGCCAGCATCAGGGCCGATGAGCCCGTCGAGCAGTTGTTGTTCACGTTGAAAATGGGGATGCCGTGCATGCCTACTTCGTACACGACCCTTTGGCCCGACGTCGAGTCGCCGTAGACGAATCCGGCCGTGGCCAGTTGGACTTCCTTCATGTCCACCTGGGCGTCCTTCAGGGCCGACGTGATGGCCTCTTTGCCCCATTCCGGGTAATCGTCCTGCCGTTTGCCCGGTTTGTCGAATTTCGTCATTCCGACGCCGACTACGAATACGCGACCCATTTTCGTTAGATGTTTTTCTTGTCGTTTTCGCAAAGTAGGCGATTCGCGTAAAACTGTTTAGCAACTGCGACTCGTTCGGTTTTGTGGAAAGTAACGATGATTTATCGAAATTCGATTAATTTTTAAGTGCCAATCGCTTCAGAATTTAGACTTTGAACAAACTCGTACTATCAACTTAATCACAATAACTACTTAACCTATAACCAGTTTTTTCTGTTGACGTTTCTTGCATACGTCATACGTCGAAAGTCGCGATGTTGCCACGTTTTTAATTACGAACTTCCTGAATTTCAATAGTAATTCACTTGTTGAATCAAAATTTATCGGAAATTGTGTAAAACATGAAAAATCGTAATGTAAATAGCCTATCCTTGAAACCTGATTTATCCTTATTTAAAAGCTTTATTAGAGAAAAATTAGACTATCTGGCAACAAGGCATCGAAGAAACTTTGTGAGAGGCTACATGATAGGAAATCATAATTTATTATTATTGTTGTTATTATTATTATACCAGGTGGTTTAAAAATACATGGCTTAAATGGAAATTAAATTTAAACACGTCGACTGCTTCGCAAACAAGACGAATGCCAATGTAATAAATATGTAATAGAATGAGAATGATTCAATGGCGAGTTTCGTGAGAAATTCTTTGTTTCTCAGTCATTCAACTCGCGCAAAACAATGAATAAAAACGCTATCGAAATAAAAGGAAAATTAAATTATTCCGACAGCAAATAGCGCGAATTAAAGTAGGTTTCCAATTTAATCCGGAGATTAAAAATGAATGGCTTCGTTATAAAAAAAAAACTATGTTACTAAATGAATTTAATGCTAGATTTAATTAATTGTTTCTGCACCACCTTGTATAATATAATTAATATAAATCTAACTGTTATTTTGAATCGCGCCGAATTTGATGCTTTCACAAACTAAATAATACAGAGAGGAATAAATCGTCTTGAAGAACTCACTTACAGGGTGGACCAAATAATATAGAGAAATTCAAAGGTGTCTTGATTTCGATAGAACTTTCTGGTTTTCTCCATTACCCTATTAGGAATTCTCTAACAGGGCAAAAATATAATTGATGGAATGAAAAAAATATTTTCAACGTCACGAAACGTATTTGTCGATACACGATTAAGATTTTTTTAATGTTTTTTTTCATAAATTTCGTGTAATAAACACACGACGTTTCCATTGTTTTATTTCGTCAAATAAAAATGTCACGACAGTTACTGTATGAAACCGTTTTTTAAAAACACGATAATTGCAAGAATATTATGTAAATTTTATAAGTGTTAATAAATAAATATAATGGTATATATTTGCTGACATGTTTTGGACATATTCGGTCTAGTAGGCGAAATTACGAAATTTTTTGACCTACTAGATTTTAATAATTTAACCTAAAATGCAATAAAGCCTTTTGAGAAAAATTTCCAAGATTAACTCGACTTTAATTAACTTTTGCATTAGACAAATCTTGAGAAGTTTACTTCCCCCTTCTTTGATGCCCAAGAACTATGAGTCATCGACTGCAAACCGTTAAATCCTAATATACTTGGAAACCATTCGAAATAAACATGCAATAAAAAGGTAACTAAAGCGACTGTTACTCACCCATAAATATCAGAAAATTTCCGAATTTCCACCTATTCGGAAACTCCATTGTTGTTTTTTTGGCCGTTAAAAACCCACAATGCACTCCGCGTCACTGAAGCGTCCTAACATTATTGTCACACAGTTCGATCTGTTTAGGACATTTTTTTAATCGCGAAAATTAATTAAATTAACGAAATAATAGAAATAAATCGGCAGGTAGCACACGAAACTATTCACCTGTGTAGCTTACCTCTGTCAACAACAATCGAACTGTCAATTGTCAAGAGTGTCAAACATTGTTGCCAACTTTAACTTTTCAAAATGTACTAGAACAATTTTCAAAATAATCAACAGTACAAGGCCATAATAATTTGACAGCTACATTTGGCACTCGACGTTTTTTAGGTTATGTTTTGAATTAGTGTTTTGATATTCGATTTGGCGATGAGATCGAGATTGTTTCCAAATTAAAATGGCCCTTTACGATAACAAATACTGGCTGTTGTCTCACATCAGAAGCTCCTTCATTTCCACGGACGATACAGGTGCGATTCGGTGTTTAATTATTCAAAAAATGTACGCAGCAAACGTTTCAGGAATGTGCGAACTGGTGATGTCGGGCGAGAGCAGGGACGTACAGACGCATCTAAAGAGCGCCGAGCCCTTTCCAGATCCGGACTCCAGCGAGGACGACGAAGACGATTTCCTGTCGTACGATCTCCAAATGGACGCCGATTTCAACATAAGGGAGCGTTCGAACACGGCAGCTCAAATAGAAAAATTCGAATTGGCCCGGAAGAGGGCCTCAAAAACCAAAAGCGTCAAGTGGGAATCCAAGCAAGAGTGTCGGGCCGATATAAACGAACTGTTCGTTAGAAAAGATCTATCGCAAATGAAGAAACCCGAAAAGCTAACTTCTAAACTGTCTGCGTTGATACAAAGCCACGCGAACGTGCCGAAGAATCCTTTCGTCGAATTTGCCAAGTTCGACGGCACAGGGCAAGTGAATATACCTACTAAAAAGTATAAAATCTATCTGACGATGCTGCCGGCCCAGCAAAGGAACTACCCCATGCCCGTGTGTTGCGTTTCGAGCGCCAAAGTTAAGGAATTAATAGGTTTAATACTTTTAAAATATAGGTACATATACCCCCAATCGAAATTTCCCACTGTACATCATCTGATTCCAGCTATAATTACGGGGTTGCGAATATGAAAGACGTCAATCATTATGGTCTCTATATCACAGAAGAGGACGGTGAAGTGGACAGTGATTTTCCCTGTTTGGACTACAAAGAACCCATTTCGAAATACGGTTTTGCCTGCTTAGGATTAGTCGAGCACAAAGAAGGTATGAAATCCGTGTCTTTTCCTGAAGAAACGCACTCGCTAGTAACCATCGAGGAGATAAACAGGAACAGAACAACATCGGAGAGGAGCAAAGCCGATGAAACGAAGCAAATGGAGAACGACATACAAGCCGTACGTTTACTATTATTACCAAATTATCAATTAATTGGGGTGTATTTGTGGTTTATTTTAAGGTGGAGAATCACAATAAACTTATGGAAGCCCCGCTGTATCGTTCCTTCAGGGCTTTCATGGTGAGCAAAGTGAAACCCAAGATAGAAGTCAACATTGGAGTTAGCGGAGAGAGAATAGAGATTGATCCAGTGCCTCAAAAGGGCACGAAATTGTTGCCTTTCAAAGCGAAATCCATCAGTCATCCTATGGAGAATATAGCGCATTGCGAATTAACCGAAGATAGATCGAATAAGAGCTGTTTTAGAATAGTGTACAGTGCGAACAGCACCGGTAGCCCTAGTACAAATACCGACGGTTTAGTATCCAGTTCTTGTAAGTACCGTATTGTCGCCTCTAATCGATATTTTCATTATATTTTTTTAAAGCTATTATTATCCAATCACCGAGTACAATGTGTTTCAAAAACTACGATTTCGAAAGCAGCCAAACCGTAGCCCTAGACCTAGTCCAAAAGATGAAATTAATCCTCGAATTGAAATCCAGCCAAACGAGAGAAGAGTACCTCGCGACCAAAGAGAAGAAATTACAGAAGAAGAAGAGTTTTCAAATTGTCAAGTGATTTTATTCAGCTACAATTAGGTTTTTAATAAAAGACAGTATTACTTTTAAATACGATGCGTTTCGACTAAGACAAGCGAATCGTACCAAAATAATTTTTATTCGAGAAAAAGAAAATAACAGTTTAATCAAGATAATAAAAAAACGGTAACACAAAAACAACGTTCTTAAAAATATATGAAAATAGGTAATACTTAAACATTATTTACGATCGGATCGTCCAAATTAGGGGAATCCCCTGCATCTCCTACGCCATTAAAAGCGTTCAGTCTGAATTCGATGGCTTTCTTCAAATCCTCATTACCCACTTTTTCCGCTAAATCTTTAGCAAAACCCAACAGATCCGGATCGGTTCTTCTGAATAACACAGAGGCGGCTTCTTCGTACTTCCCCAAATAGATGTAGCTAAAAATTACACGAAATAAACTTATCAGAAACATTGTATACAAAATTGATAGCTTACCATTGAGCAGAGACTTCGAAATAGCCGGTTTCTAGGCAATAAATAGCCCATTTCTGGATTATTGTATCTATTACGTCTTGCCCTAACAACCTGCATTTAGCCAGGAGAAAGGCTTCGCGGTATAGGGACCCGTTACACAAGGAATCCACGGCTTTTTCCACTTTGTGACAGGCTAAATAATACATAGCGATTTCCTGGGGATCGGAATTCGCTTCTTCAGTCAATTGATCAGCGTACGTTTCGCACGCTTTTAACCAAGTACTAAAATATAAATGTTCAATTTCTATGGTAATAAAATATTTAAAATATTACTTGAATGAAACCATCGGTGCTAAAGATAACATAGAAACGTTGACGCGTTTCTCTTCGATCGCTTCGTTCAAACATTTACTGATATCACCGTTGAATAGGGAAAGTTGGAGGCTCTTGGAGTATTGTCCACGTTGTTTCAGCGTCGATTCTACAAAAAAATCAATTAGGATTGGAAAAAGATTTGTTTGAGAAGATAACCGCTTACCGTTTAGGTTAATTAAATTTTTGGAGCATTCTTGAGACCCAAAGATGTCCAATAAATCGATCGGACGAGATTCGCCGGAATTCTCCCGAATTGTCAGACTGTCTTTCCATTGCAACAGCCCCCTAAGATCCGTAACCAACTGGCCGGAATCCTTCGGAGAATAATAAACGGGAAACAAGTCGGTTTTGCTTGGTTTCACTGATAGTTTCGGTTCGATTTTCACTTGTGGAGTGTTCGTAGAGTGTTTGATAACCTTCTTTCTCTGTTTGTTTAGTTCTAAAACGACATATTATTAATCTAAAATTGGGTATTGGTGGTAATAAAAATACCATTCTCGTCCACGTGCGGATGTTCGGATACCTTCCACACCCTCAAACAGCTATCCCTGCTTCCGGATATAACATAATCCGGATCTAAAGGGCTCCAAATCGCCGACAAAACGCTCTCGAAACCTTCATTTACCATCGTGGAAATTATCTCGTTTTTGCGCACGTCCCATACCTACAAAAAATAATAATAAGCGAATTAAGTACTCTTTCGAAAGAGGAATTGTCGAAATCACCTGTACGATTCCCATGTCTCGAGCGAACAGCACATGCGAAGGTTCGAAATGGCTCCAACAGACATCGTGCACCAAATCCGTAAATTGGTAATTGCTAATCACGTTCTCGTAGGCCTTTTCCTCTTCGGAAAAATCGTATACCGTAAGATTCTTCGAGCAATTCGAAAGGGCCAGGACCCAATTGTTCTCCTTCGTGCCGGCCACCAAAGCATTGGGATGCCACATCGCCCTGGTGAGTCTGTGCGCCAGATATTCTATCTTGATAATGCTCAAATCCGGCCGGCAGACGATCAATTGCCCGGATTTCGTCACCAACAACACTCTGCTGTTGTCCGGCTTCCACGACATCGAATAGATGAATTTACCTTGGAACTGATTAAACTCGATCGGATCTGGAACCGATTCATAAACTAGATATTAAGCAATGCTGTTTGCTAGATAACCGCGCGTTCAGAGTCCAAAAAAATATTCTTACAGATGATGTAATGTAGTAAATAGTTTCTTGAATTAATAATCTCACCTTTGTTGGATTTATTCAAATCGAATAGCACCAAACGGCCTTCTCCTACGGCATACAGCCCGATGTTCCCTTCGAAAGATCCCCATTCCAAAACGTACACCTCCGATTTGAAATACTGCGGTAGGGTAACGGGCGCTTTGGATTTGTTGTTAACGTCAATAATGCAAATCTTTAAACAAATAGTAGAAATAATGCTAGTACTATAAGTGTAGTTATTAAATTACCCTTCCTTCGGACGTTCCACAGGCCAATTGGTGCTCGTTGACCGGATGCCAAGCCATCGCAGACACCTTAGCCCCTTGGATTTTTTGGTAGAAATTACTCATGACGATTTGCTTGGTATGAGGTCGGCTCAAATTCCAGATCTTGACGAATCCATCGGTCGTTCCTATGGCCAATCTGGAAATATAATTATAATACATTCACGTTATTAAATAAACAAATCACCTGTTGGGATCCAGTGGGGACAGTTTCATGCAAAACACGCTTCCGCCTATCGTGGGATAACAAGCCAAATTGGTCCTTTCGTTATTTATTTTAGTATTCAAGAGCAAACGGTCTTGGGACAAAGTCCAAGCGTTCAGATTGTCTTCGATGCATCTCCAATCGTACTCGCTGTATAACCGTAGGGGGGCCGATATCGAGAACAACAAAGCACTGTGGTCTCTGTGTACGACCGTGTAATTCTTCGAAGAGCTGCAATTAATCGAATTAATACAAACTAGTAGAGGGTAGATGAGATTTCCTACATACTCCTGGGGTTTGGGTAATGCCCAAGCGAGCAATTCGGAGGATTTGGACGACGATAGCAAAACATTAGGAGCAATCCAGCACAAAGTGATCCATAATTTGTCCGCAGATGATTTGCTCCTGTGGTTGTTCGAGTTGTTCGGGAGCGTCAGGAAGGTTTGCAATCTGCCATCTGTACCGGCTCGCCATATGTAAATATTCCTGAAATGAATCCGATAAATTTAAAAACGCTGATAATTTGTACGTTATATTTACCCTTCTTTAGCAGAAGAAGCCAGCAGGAATTCCTTCCTGGGTTCTTCTTCCATCGGAACAGGTTTCGATGATATTTCTCTGTTTACATCGGACGTGGTAAGTTGTTCAGAAGATCCATTTAGGCTACTAATGTTCTCTTCATCCTGTACTGATTCCTTTGATGCGTCATTATCTACAGGAAACTCTATAAAAAACGTTGAATCATAAATTACCGAATTCAACAAGTAATCATCGATTAATTACCGGGCACATTGTCGCAACGATTCAATAAATATTTATCGAAATATTTAAAATCATCTTCATCGTAACCGTAATATTCCAACAAAGATACTTCCTTGGGCTCATCCGCTTCCGATTTTTTCTCCCCGACGAAATTATAGGGATTCTTGGGGAATACGTTTACAGGCGCAGGACACCAAGATAGGGAAATCACGCTCTTATCGTGACCTCTCATCTTAAACAAGACTTTACCGTTTTCTGAAACACAATAAATTAGATTGTTCACATAGCGAAATTAACATTTCTGACTTCTCATGTCTACGACTGTAACGAGCCCGTTGTTCAAGCCGAAGGCCACCAGCCAATTCACGTGGGGGCACGAGGATATGCAAGAAACGGAGACTTTGGGGCCCAGAAGATCGTCGATTACGTTCGTTTGATTCAACGGTAAATTCCACAATACAATCGTACCGTTTTCTGATACACTCACGACTCTTTCTTCGCCTGCGAAGGCTACACCGATGACTTTTGAACTTCCAAGCTACAAAATATATAAACATACAGCGATTTAGTAGCACAAACGGTTAGTTGTACGTACGTGTTTATCGTGAGAATGTAACTTTTTACCAGTCTCCGCGTCCCAGACGTTAACCATCTTGTCTTCGGAAGAGGAGGCTATCAATTTGAGGTTGTTTCCCCACTGTTTGTTTACCTTTACGCACGTTACTCTGCAAAAAAAACTATAAAGTAGTGGTTAAATACAAGGAATTGCGACGTACTTTTGCGAATGGGCTTTGGATATTTTTCTCACAGAAGCTGGAACGTTGGGCTCCGAGTTTTCTATGATCACAATATCATTTCTGGAGCCGTAAATTAGGGTGTTGTCGGGGGCGCAGGCGGATATGTCGGTTTCGTACCAATTCGGCGACGGTGGTATCACAAGAGCGTTCATTGTTACCTGGAAATTTTATTGTGATAAATTTAAGTGCATAGGCAAATTTGCCAGTACATACTAGGCTTTTAATCACTAGTTAATTGCTAATCATAGAGAAAGAAAGTATAGTTGCTTATATTTTTGTCTGTATTGCTAAATTTCGTCTTAAAATTTTACCGGCAAATATAAAAACTAGCTCAACAGATTATTGGTTAGTTTTTTTTAGAATAATTCTTCTTTTTCTTGAATATAAGTATCTAGGCAACTGTGACTATTCAGCCATTTAGTTGCTTTCGTGGTACTTAGTAAAAGGCCACCAATAGTCAACGTACGAGGTCACCGAAAAAATGGTTGAAGGAAGCTTTTTACACATCCACATAACGATTTCCACACAGCCAAAAACGAAAAAAAAATAAATTAAATGTTCGATCGTTAAATATTTTATTGAGCTGCATGGATAAAAAACATTGATATTAAATTATTCATGTACGTAGGAGTATAAAAATAGCAATAAATTAAAAGTGTACAATTGATATCGTTATATGTTCGTTTCGAGAAAATGAGTTTGTTCGAATTGATTATTTTTAACAAATATTCAATTTCGTTAATCGAAAATGACGATAAGGCTTATCATTGACAGTTGTACTAATTAATGTGAGCTAATAAATACTTACGCCTTTTGTTAATTTTTTCCACTTAAAAACTAATAAATTCTTCTAATTAAAAATAACGAATAACAAAATGTATTAGGAAGACTAAAATTATAATAAAGGCAAATCATAGCAAAATAAAATCTCCAAGTAAATTTTACTAAATTATAATCTAATGGAAGATCTTTTAATCCCCATATTAAAAATTAAGCAATATCAAATTGAGACTTCGCAGTTGTTGGTTGAACTTTTTTTTTTCTAAAAGTTAAAATAGTACGTAAGGTTTAGAATATATGGTAAATATTTTGGTCCATTAGATAATAATATTAATTATGATAGCTTCTTTAAGGATATTTCCATTGCCAGTTTACCAGCGAGCAACCCGTGCCTCTCGATTTTAACCCAAATAGTCGCCATAAGTAGAAAAAACGCCGCGAAAATCGTCAATAAAACCCTAGCGAAGTCGTAAATCACCGAATAACCCGGCGGCACACCGAAAGCGAAAGAAACCACCAAAACGCACGATAACACAACAAACACGAACCCGTAGCAAATCCTGCTGGACGCCAGATCGTTCAAGGCCTTGTTCAATACAGCCAATGAATCGCGCAGCACGGTTTCCGTCTCGTTTTCCTTCTGCGCGGCGTGCTTGATGGGCGCCTCGCCGATTTCCAGCGTGGCTTCTACGGCTTCGTGGTCCGAGTAGCTGTACGGGCAACAGGGCACCCTATCGGGCAGGGGTAGATCGTAGCTCTTCAAAGCCACCTGCAATTTGGCGCCGGGATGGTACAAAATGTAATCGATCCTTTGCCCGTGGGATTTTCTCTGAGTGTAGCTGTTTCGAGGGCTTTCGCACGTCGAGCTGTCCTCGATCGGCTCACGGCAGCATTCGTATGAATCCATTAGACCCGGTACGGTTTTTATGACTCTACAATAAATTAATATTATAATACTTATGATAGTATTTTAGAATTACTAATTACTTGTAGGCTAAATCGCCAGGCATCGTATTCAAATCGCCTGCGAGTACCACTAAATCGACCCCTCGGGATGTGAGCAAAATAAACTGAGCGGTATCGAATGCTTGCAGTACACGATGAGCTTCGTATTCGTCGCTGTTTCTATTATATTCGGCATGTAGCTGTAAATAAATAACATAATTACGAAATTCGCATTGCTACGACTAATATATTTACGTGAGCAGTGTAGATGTTTACGTTGAAATTGTTAACGGTTAATTTACACAATCCCACGCCTTTGCCCCCGAACCAATCACCGTGGTGGATTTTATGAATGTAACCGTTTAAAGACCACTGGTGGAAAAAGGCCTCTTCTATTACGTGCTTCGAAAGTATACATAAACCCGAACCGATAACGCCACTAAAAGTACACATTTTATTACGTTAGTAATGATTTCGTAACAAAAACTAACCTGTAGAAATAATGCACGTAAGGGTAAATATTCGAAGATTCGTTTTTGATCAAATCGAAATCTCCATCTGTCCATACTTCTTGTAAACAAACCACGTCGTATTCGCTGTTTTTTAAGTAACAAGCTATGGCTTTCATTCGGTTTTTTCTGTCTTTCGATACATAAGGTATACCCCTGAAAATGGATTTCGTTATTTATACCGTTTAATTAAAATAAAAGTTCGAAAACTTACCAGCAGTTTAACGTCAACACTTTGAATTCCAAACTCATCTTTCTCGTTTGCTCGTCAATTGAATATCGAACAATCAGCTGCACGAAGAACGCGCAACATATTTAAACATTACAGAGATATAATTGTTACGTTGCACTTTCGCGTTATCTCCTTTATCAACGATTGTATTTTTAAGAGGGGCGTTGAGCACTTCATCAGTCGTACCAATCGCCCCTAGAATCTAGTAATTTTTTATAGTTTCATTAATTGAACCAGATGGCGTTAGCTGTCTCAAAATTAAATTTTTAGCCAGGTTTTTAACCAGTGATATTTCAGAAAATGTTCTAACAGGTGGCGCAAGTGCAGTGGATCTATGGGTTTACAGGGGTCCCATAAAACTGCTTTTAACGATGTACAAACTTTATTGTTGTATCCACAAGAAAAACACGTAATTATTATTGGAATAAACAAGAAAAATCATGAGTTGAGCATTGAGCGGTTCTTTTTGGCTCTGGTTGACAGATGACAGTTGACTTCGGATCTTCTTTTTTTTAACATTCAGTACGAACTGTCAACAGCTGTTTTCGGCGACTCACACGCCCTCTCGGGGCTAGCGGCAGAGTCGTTACCGGATCAGGTGGAGCAGGAACCGCCACATCCACTCCTCCTCCAGTGACTTGCGAGGGAGCTTGCGAAGAAGACGGCGAAGGAGGCTGCGAAGAAGACGGCGAAGGAGGTTGCGAAGGAGTAAGGAACGAAACCTTCTTGGCACGGGCGTATGTTCTCGTTGGCCTGTCGATATCCGTGGTGGGGTTGATCTGCGGAGTGATTTGCTCGTCTGATCGGTTGGAGTTGTCATCAGTCTTGGTAATGTAGGCGGGCTTCAGTAGACTGGTAGAAATTGCTTTATCCTCCCCCTTAATGCGGATGATAAATACTTTGTCGTTTAGACGCTTGATGATCTCATGCGGGCCTGAATAGGGGTGTTCAAGAGGCTTTCTAACAGCCTCGATTTTTCTGAAGACGTGGCTGCAGGTATTCAGGTCCTTTAGAATGAACAGTCTGGACTTCGTGTGGTGGGCTGTCGGGGTGGGTCTTAAGGTTCGAATGTGTTCTCGAAATTTTTCTAAAAAGAACTGTGGGTCCGCTTCGGTTTCCTCCGAAATAAAAAATTCGCCCGGTATACGTAATGGGGCACCGAATAGCATCTCCGCTGGAGAAGCCTTGAGGTCTTCTTTATAAGCTGTACGCAGTCCCAGGAGAGCGGTTGGCAGAAGGTCTGGCCACGGCGTTTGAGAATTACACATTAGAGCAGCTTTTAGCGCACGGTGCCAGCGTTCAATTAAGCCATTTGCTTGCGGATGATAAGGCGACGTATGAATTCTGTTTGCTCCAATTAACTTGGCAAGGGCCCTGAAAAGTGCGGATTCAAATTGGGTCCCTTGATCTGTGGTGATTGTGAGCGGAGTTCCATATTGACAAACCCATTGGTTGTAAAAAGCTGAAGCTACAGTGTCGGCGGATATGTTAGCGAGAGGAACAGCAGCAGGCCATCTACTGAAACGATCTATCATGGTTAAACAGTAACGTAGGCCTCCGACGGTCGGTAGTTCGATCAAGTCAAGATGAACATGATCGAAGCGATTATCTGGTACGTCGATGTGCATTGGGATAGTGCGGTTATGGCGATGTACTTTCGAACGTTGGCAGGCTATGCATTGCCTAGCCCAGAGAAGAGTGTCCTTTTTAATTCCTGGCCAGACGTACCTCTCTCTGATTTGTTTGACCGTAGATCTGCCACTTGGGTGAGATGAATCGTGAACGGTTTTAAAGGCTTCCTGCCTGAGGTTGGACGGAATAAATGGACGAATGCGGCCACTGGAAACGTCGCACAGTATAGTGTGACCATCAATTGTCAGTTTCTGTAAGGTAAGCGACGTGTTTTCCAGCAGATCGGCTAACTGGTCATCGTTCCGTTGAGCGTTGGCTATTGTTTCGGCATCTAGCTTTGTGGGCATATTTATTACATTAATTCGAGAAAGCGCGTCGGCTACTACATTTTCTTCTCCCTTAGTGTAAATAATTTCAGTCGTGAATTGCGAAATGTAGTCTAATTGTCTGAGCTGTCGCGGGGAGGCTTTATCAGCGCGTTGTAAAAATGCGTAGGTCAGCGGTTTGTGGTCCGTTTGAATGACAAAAGACCTACCTTCAAGTATATAGCGGAAGAATTTGATGGAGGCAAATATTGCCAGCAACTCCCTGTCATAGGTGCTATAGCGAGTTTCTGTCTGGCTAAGTTTTCTCGAAAAGAAGGCTATTGGTAACCACTCTCCGTCCTGAAGTTGTTCAACGGCTGCACCAATTGCCGTGTCAGACGCATCCGTCTTAAGCATCAAAGGCGAGTTTGGTGCCAAAAATGGAATTCTTACGGCCTCTATGATGCCACGCTTGCAAGCCTCTAGAGCTTCCTCGGCCTCTCCTGTCCAAGGGATCGGGCGTTTGTCTTTCTTTTTGGCGTCACTCAAAAAATTGGTTAGCGGGGCCTGGAGTTTCGCAGCCCCCTTGATAGACTTGCGATAATAGTTCATCAGTCCAAGGAAACGGCGTAGGTCATTGACGGTCGCAGGTTTTGGGAAATCAACAATGGCCCGGATTCTCTCCTCCGGTGGGCGGAAACCGTCTTTGCTCACCGTATGACCCAGGTATGCCACCTCTGTCCTGCCAAATTGGCATTTTGACGGGTTGATGGTCAGTCTGTTTGCTCGTAGAATAGAAAAAACGATAGAAAGGTGTTTGAGATGATCCTCATGCGAAACGGAATGCACTATCAAGTCATCAATATAGCAACCCACGAAATCCAAACCCCTAAAAAGGTTATCCATATGCCTCTGAAAGGTTTGTGTGGCGTTACGGAGACCCATCGGCATCCCCAGGAATTCAAAAAGTCCAAATGGGGTTGTTACGGCGGTTTTCGGTACGTCGTCTGGGTTCACAGGTATTTGATGGTAAGCCCGCACCAAATCAATAGTGGAGAAGATCTTGGAGCCATGGAGTCGCTGAAGAATATCCTCGCAGTGTGGAACTGGGTAGCGGTCTGGAACAGTAAGTGAGTTTAAGCTTCTATAATCCCCGGTGGTACGCCAGCCGCCAAGTTTCTTTGGTACCATATGAATCGGGCTGGCCCACTGGCTACTGGAGGGACGGATAATTCCATGGAGTAGTAACATGTCGAGGTCTTCTCTCGCTATTTTTAGTTTGTCGCCAGTTAGCCTGCGGAATCTTTCAAAAACTGGTGGTCCTTTTGTGATGATATGATGAGCCACAGAGCTATCTGCGCAGGTGGTGGGTGCAGCGTTAGGTCTAGTTATATCGATGTAGTCGTTCAGTAAATCTGTGTAAGGTTTGTATTCCACAGAAGAGGAATTAATTTGGTCGATTGTCGAAACACTATGTACTGCTGCCTGGAAAATTTGGCCCTTTGTGGTGAAAGAGGTGATCGGGTCTATGAGTCGACCACCCTTCAAGTCCAAGAGTAAGGCATGATAAGTGAGGAAATCCGCACCAATGATGGCAGATTGCACGTCAGCGATAATGAAGGACCATTTGAATGCCCGTCGTAAACCGAAGTCAAGAGTTAATGTTTTTTGACCGTAAGTATGAATCGTTGTACCATTTGCAGCGTACAGAAGAACGTCATCCTGCTTTAGCCTTGTATTAAAAGATGATTTTGGAACCAATGATATCACCGACCCAGAATCAATAAGAAATCTCATATTCGTTTTTTTATCGTGGAGGTGAAGACGGTGTTCCTGTTTCAGGATGTTGTTATTGCTGTCGCCAACCGCCTGAATTGACGACAGCTTTTTTAGTTTTCCGGCTGAGGTTGCGGTACGAAGGAGCACGGTTGTGTACACATGTTGGCTCTCTCCTTGAATCTGCGGTGATAATAGCATATACGACTGGGAGCTGGTGATGCAGGTCTGGAGCTTGCACGGCTGTAACTGCGGCCTCTTTGATTCCGAAAGTCAGCACGTTCTTTGGTTAGCGAAATGAGCTCCGATAATGAGAGTTTAATCGCCGCCATGTCCTGAGCTAGATTGTTCAAAATTGAAGTTGTAAATCCATTGCTGGGTGAATATGATCGATTATCGGCCCTGCTGGTAGACATTACATAAGAACCTGATTGAGTTTCCAATAGCTCATCTGCGAATCTGGCTTGCTCGTCCAGCGTTGTCGAACGAAGGATTTTTAAAAGTTTTTGAGTGCTTGGGGGAAGCAATGCCAACCAACGCACGCGTAGTACGTCTTCAGTTGCTCGGTCACCCGCCAAGGCTGTCATTTGTCGAAGAAGCTGGCTCGGTTTCTTATCTCCGAGTTGCAATTCTGTTAAGGCTTTATGCAGCTGTCGATCAGCTGAATCGGTGAATCTGTTGATGATTTCAGATTTTAAATGATCGTATTTGTTCGTCCTGGGAGGATTCCTTAAAACATCCGATACCTCTATCATCGTCTCAGCATCTAACGCCGTGATAAGCTGATTATATTTAGCACCGTCCGAAATGATTTTGTTGCATTGAAATTGTGCTTCAATTTGTATAAACCACATGTTAGGATGATTCTTCCAAAAAGGAGGCAGTCTGCAGGTAGCTACAGCGTCGACATTCATAGAAGGTACGTACGAACTCAAAAGTAGTGGTTCGCCTATTAAGCTTTGATTGTGACCTTGTGCTTGCTCTCCCGGGTTTGTGTTTGAGGCAGGAAGAAACGGGCAGTCATCCTCCGGAACAGGATCTGCTTGTTGTTCGCGAGACATAATTATTGTTTCACTCGAATCTGTAAATTTGCGTATAAGTTTAGTTGTTCGAGACAAAAATAAAAAAAGGTATATAAGTTCTTGTTTGCAGTACGAAGCGGCTGGAGTGGGCCAATTGACCGGCACACGATGCACACTATTGCACGAAATTGTTATAGTTTTGTATTGTTTGTAGCACGTGGCACGTCACAGGTCAACACGTATTTTAGAGTTTCTAAGTTCTTTCGGGGTCACCAATTATGGGTTTACAGGGGTCCCATAAAACTGCTTTTAACGATGTACAAACTTTATTGTTGTATCCACAAGAAAAACACGTAATTATTATTGGAATAAACAAGAAAAATCATGAGTTGAGCATTGAGCGGTTCTTTTTGGCCCTGGTTGACAGATGACCGTTGACTTCGGATCTTCTTTTTTCTAACATTCAGTACGAACTGTCAACAGCTGTTTTCGGCGACTCACACGCCCTCTCGGGGCTAGCGGCAGAGTCGTTACCGGATCAGGTGGAGCAGGAACCGCCACAGATCTAAGAGACTATTTTCAAAGTAAATGTATTGTTATCGTCGCATTGTAAATAAAGTAAATTTGCATAAGCAGGTAGCCGTTTATGATTGCCGTCTAATCGTTTTCGACCCCTAACACTCTGGCGAATATTCTCTCTATTTTTGTAGCGGCGAAGATGCATTTTTGCTTTTAGAATTTGCAAATTTCATTTTTGATATATGTATAAGAAGGTATATTAATTTGCAAATTTTAATTCAAATATCAATGACTATATAAATATTATATAGTTTATTAGTTAATTATATTTCAATTTCTTATTGCAAACTTTGTAAACTATAATATATGTAAATTTGAAACATTTTATTAATTAATTTTTATAATTAATTACAAAGATACATTAATAATAGACGTACAATCATTGCTAGAAAGACCAGTCTTTGTCGAGTGGTACCTATATTACAATGGTATTAGGTAAAAATCACTAAACATTTTTTTTTTCACTAAAAATCATGTAATTATAATGATATAGTGTTCATTAAAATACAGGGTGTCCCAATGAAAAGTAGCCACTTTAGTGAGCTAATATTTTTTAAACGCCTAATGATGATAAAACATGCGGTTTTGACAAATATATTATTTATTTTTCTATAACTTTTTGTTGCAGTGAGACAAAAATTTTGTATCGCCTGCACAGGATGTTTCATATAAAAACCCCTCTTTTAAATTCGCAATAACTAAATTTTATGAAATAGGATGTCTTCTTTTGTAGAATAATATCTACAAATAATATATTTTTGAAAAGTAGAAGTGTATCTTTTAAAATACCTCTGTATATACGGGATGTTCCATTTAAATTAATTTGGTTACTGTGAATTTAAAAGAGGAGGTTTTGATAAAACACCATGTGTTGTTAATGCATAATTTCTGTATCACTGTAACAAAACTTATAATAAAATAAAACATATTTGAGAAAACCGCATGTTTTTATGATTAGGCGTTTAAAAATTATTAGCTAATTAAAGGGGGTACTTTTTATTGGAACACCCTGTATTGTATTGTATACCTATGTAATATTGTAAAAGTACGTGCAGGCGACAAAATGGGAGACGCGATTCTACGATCGAATATATTGATAAATGCCCGATACAATAAGTACTCCGAACACCCACTCCGATAATGGCAATGGCACTGATGAATTTGTAAGTGAAATAGTTCTACTACAGCCACTCTGGGGTCGTAGGACTTGGGTGGGGACCTGTGCAGGGCCATTTTCAAGTATAGATTTGATCATCAACCTGCCCTATGAGATACCCGATAAAACATTATATTCCGAAGATAGAAGAGAAGAAAAGTGGACCGATGAAACTTGTATATCAATGAAATGTTTGAATTCTTTTCCTTACAGGTACAACAAGTTTAGCATGATAGTTGAATTGAACGTAAGTCATATCATATCTAATAACTGATAAGTGTAAAGTTGGAAAAGAAAAAATACAATAATAAATTTGTATGCCAATAATGAATATGAAAAATATACCTAATAGTGCACGCTGTGATAAATTTTGATTTCATTCTAGTCTTCAATCAATCTTCGAATATTGTTTTAAAAAATAATTAATAAATGCATAATATCCAAATATAATAACGTATCTTCATAATTAATTATTGTTTGTATATTGCAATTTCAATTGCAACTACAAAGTAATAACTCGATAAAGTAAAATATAGCAAATGTAAATATGTTAACGTAAACATAACCTCCTAAAAATCAACATGACATCTTGTCTTATGTCTTATGTCATGTCTTATACGTCAAATACTCTATTTTGTTGGCAGCAATGACACTTACAATAAATTTTCACTTGAATTTCCTCAATTCTCCTAAATTTGTTTATTATAATAAAAACAGTGTGCTTTGTGAAGTGCACATATATCGTATAATCATAAATAACCCTTATTTTATCTTCCTAAAGCTCATATCTCGTTGAGCGTATGCAACCCACATTACCAAAATATCATTTTCGGTATCCCCTAGCGGCAAATCGATGAAGTTTTTTCCAAAATCCAGACTTTTCGGTGTACAAATCTCAAAAAATATAAAGAATATCGTTTCCAAATTTTCACAATACATTTCTATTACCCATCGCTAGGTCATAAAGGATTTTGGTTACCGTCCGTTAGAAAAAAAAACTGAAAAATGTCTACCTTCAAACGCTTGTAATTTCGTTATTTTTGCATAGATCTGTAAAAAAAACCTTTATGACCTACACGAAGGTTCACTCTATCAGCTGCGATTCATATTATATCTCAAAATTAAGTAAAACTTGAGATTTGTACACCGAAAAATCGGGCTTATTTTCATTGCTGCCAACTGAAATTGGGTTACCAAATCTCAACGCCCCTCTTAATAGAAAGTAAAGCAAAGCAAAGTCGACCAGTCAAAAATTTTAAAGTTAGTTTCTTCTTCTTTTTTCTTAGCACATGCGAAGTTAGGAACAATCGTCTTCTGTTACAAGGCTTCAGTTAACCATTGCCTTTAACATATCGCTACATTAGCAAACAAGTTAAGAATACCCCGAAGAAAACGCAAATGGTATAAAATGGTATATTGAAAAAAATACATCACATCAACAAAACTATCACTTCATTTTCTCTTGAACCCTTCTCAAATGCTCGAACGTCCTTTTGGTCAGCATCAGTTCATAATTCATCTCTTCCAATCCATCGAACTCCATCAGACTGAGCCCGGCCAATCCCAGGCAAGTGTGCATCGGATCAGGAACGATGTTCACCCATTTCGAGAAGCCTCCGTATCTGGAGCAAACCAGCCATCAACTAAGCACATAAATAACACAGTCTACTCACCTATCCTGAGTCAATAAGACGAATTGCGCGTTGAATTGATCGTGTATAAAATCGTACGAGTCCAATATCTTCAAAGCCCCGCCCGTCCAAAAGGAGTAACAAGTGTCCACGGGTTTGTTGGGCCTCCCGTTGAAGCCTCGATCGAACCTGAACAACAGCCATCTCCTTAACGCCACGAATTGCGCCTTGGTTAATCTGTCTAGATTGTTGCTCAAAGCCAAGCTGGCTATGGCGCAGAACGTCGACCCGCAATGGGACTCCAATTCGGGGCCTTGCCCTATACCCCCATCGTACGACTGAAAAATTCGTTATGAACGAATCATTTCATACGAATTGAGAGTAAATATACTTACGATACTGTTTAGGATAAATTCAATCATTCGTTCGATATTAATCGCACTCCAATCGTCTAAAATGTAGCAAATACAAGCCGCACAGTACACGAATCTCATATCGTTTTCAACGCCTTCTTTGGCACCTTTGAAAGACCCATCGGGCAATTGTAGAGTCTCTAAACCTTTGAAATCGCATAAAAATAACTAATTATATCATACACAATTCATTATTTACTCACTTTCTAGTATGGCCTGTTTGTTGACTCGACTCAAATCATCTCCAAGGATTAATAGGGAAGACAAGCAAGCGTAGGTGTTTGCGACATGAGACCACTTGTAGCTTGTGTTGCCGGTTTTATTGGTGCGCGTGTTTAGTGTAGGGGAGCCCTGGAAGCCGCTCACTAGCTCTACGGATAGGGGAAAGTTAAAAGGTGTGGGCGACCGGCCGCATAAGCCGAGGCCACGTTACCTTCTTTATTGACGATTTGCAAGGAGTAAATCCATTTGATGATGGAGCGTTTCCTTTCTTTGGGCAGGTTTTCGATTTCTCCTAGGATGTCGAGGCCGGATAAAGCGAAATACATGAGTACGGATCTGAAAAGGGGCTCGCTGTATTTGTAAGAATATTTGCAAGGGGTGTTTACCTGTTAGTGTCCATGGAATTCTGGGATGATGGTAGTTTTTTGTTTAGTACGTATAGGAGGTAGTTTTTGTGAAATTCGGGCTCGAAAGTCTTAATGAGCTGTTCCATTTTCTTGCGATTAGGTTTATCAGACACACCCGCTTATTTTGCTTTTTCGAAACGATTACAATGGATCCTTGTTGTAGATTTTATCTGTTAATGTCTTCGCTCATCTTTTTCTAAGATATCTGCAAATTTTCGGTAATTATAAATGGGAAAATATAAAGTTTTGTAAAAGTTGGGTTGCCTTTTACCTCCAAGATCCGGAGCCGGAGATAAAATATATTTTATTTTCCATGATGATCCGAATCACAGATATTTTTAACCGTCATTGTCAACTGTCACTATTCAAATCGGTTTTTACTGATGGGACTATTCAGCCAGTATTTTGGCCAGTAAAAGAAGAAGAGGAGGTAAATAATAAATGCTAACCAAACTTTTCCTTTGAAATTAAATATATCCGTTATATCATATCAATTGAATTTGTGATTTATACGATAAATATGAAGATTTATTGCAATACGTTCACCGAACATAGATCATTGCCGAGTTCTAATAAGGGTAGAAGGCATACAAAAACCACTCTGGCACTGGCAAAACATCCGAAAACGGCTCAAATTTCGCTAATCTTATTCACAAATCAAGCGCCTACCGGTAAAAAATACATAATCAGCAACAACATTCAACAAATAATGACGAAATTCGCTAATAAAGGGAAATTTACCATTCGTTTTAAAGTCCCAGACGTGGATTTGTTCGTGGAAGGTGACCCGATGGATTTGACCAAATTTCTACAATACTTGCACAAAATGCTTACTAATAAAACCATTGAAGAAACTTGTAGTTTAGCGGTCGTGGATACCAAACCTAAATCAAGACGGCTTAAAATCTCCAGCAGGGCCGACTATCCCAAAAATGGCCTACCGGATTATCTAGAAGAATTGTATTACAACATAGGCAAATTCGATATAACTAACAAAGTTATACGATTAACGAGACTGCGATTATTAGATTTGAGTCATAACGGTATTAAAAATGTCCCGAAGGAATTAAATAGATTGCCCAATTTGGGAACTTTGAATCTCTCCCACAATTTACTCGGGCTAGGCGACAATTCGAGCAACTGGTTATGCGAGAATTTTACGAATACTTTACACACTCTTAATTTAAGCAACAATGAATTGAAGTCTCTCCCGAGGGCTATTTCAAAATTGAGGCACCTTCATACATTAGACTTGAGCCGTAACTCGTTAACTAGTCTACCATCAGGAATAGGTTCGTATTTCTTTTAATTCGCTTAATTATCCTAATAAGTATCACGTTTTAGCTTCTCTTAAGGAACTAAAAAAACTCTCCTTGTCGAACAACAAACTTCAATCATTGCCCGGACGAATGATGAGAATGAATTTAGCAGAATTAGACGTATCCGATAATAATTTTTCGAACGCCATTTGCGAATCTGTCCCTCGGAATTGGAGCTTCTCCAGAATAACGTCGCTAAAAGAACTCGCCGCTAAAGTAGTGATAAAATCTAGAGTGCCTTATCCACCTGGATCGATTCCTTACACGCTCATAAGGTATCTAGATGGCGTTGAATTTTGTACGTGCGATAAACCAATATTCGAAAATTTTGCGAGGATCACAGTAGGCCGATCGTACAGGGCGAATCTCCGGAATGTCTCCACCAACGTCACCGTTTCGAATAACGAGGATTTAAGAGTTCCGTTGGATTTATTGGTGTGTTCTCAAAAATGCTTGTCGCATTGTAGATAAATACCGTTTTTCTTTGCTACTATTACACTATTTTAATAATACAACGAGTTAATTTTATTACCTATTTATCACCTATAATTGAATTGTTCGATTAAAATTTCGACTAGACAACGCTCATTTTTCGATCCGTTTCCTCGATTTCAGGTTTTTCTTGTTGGCAGCCTGACCCCTATCGGGCGGACTTTGACTTGTCGCTGAACCGGCCAGGAAATTCGAGACTACATCGGACATTTCGAATTTGGTCATGCTTTGCAATTGCTCCATTTCTTTCTTCGTTTCGGGATCGTTCATCATCTTCGGCAACACCATGATGAGCAGCAAAGGTAGCACCATCATCATCACCATGGGATTGAACAGCAAATCGGTTATGCGCCATTGTTCTCTCACTTGGAAGTAACGGGTTTTACCTAAAAACGATTGTAAAATCACCCTGTATATTGAAGTAATAATCATTGAAAGTACCTAAAGCTTTCATTCGTAAAGGATAGGGCACGACGGTGACATCGGATGTTTTAAGGTGATTTACTCTCCTGGCCCGGAATTTTCCTTTGGAATTGATTTCCACTCGAGCCGGTTCGAAGGAGAATTCCGGATGCAAGGCTTCCACTACATACGATCCGGATGGAACGTTGTGGATGACGAAAGAGCCGTCTTTCTTGACGAAACCGAGGTATTCTCCGCCGTTTACGTGGATTCTGGTGTGGGCTTGCCAATGGGGCTGTTTCTGCTGAGTATCTGACAGTGGGAAAACCCTTCCTTCGAGGGTATATCGAGCTGTGCCGTCATTTTCTTCGTCTACATTTCCCTCGGCATTGCAGATGTTACGGTTGACGAAGCACAGTAGGAAAACTAATGGAATTGTAATTAAATTCATGTTTTTAACTTTTGTGTAAATAAAAGTTAATTGTCACGAATCGGATGTCAATATCTTACTGTCATTAATGTCAATTTAATTTTTTATAACTGTGGCTGATTGTCTCTATGAAACAAGACCAGTAAGGGATTTTTTCTTCTTTTTTGAATGAATTTTATTAAATCTAGTACACTTTTTTGGGATCTATAGCACTGTACTAAATCTCTTCCTCTTCCACTTTACTAATTTTATTGTAAGGTGAAAAATCCTAGTTTTTCCATATCAAGGATGTAGGATATGAAAAAAAAATCATTCATTCGTGTATTGTATTTAAACAGCTTTTATTAACACTTACTTTACAAACTATGTATAAAGGTGTATCTGATACGAATTAAAAAAAATTAAAAAAACAGCAAAAATGTCATGGACTAAAGTTAATATAAATAAATAAATAAATAAAATTACAAACTAAGTGCTAAATTAATAAATTATCAACGATTTTTTCTCTTATTACTAGATAATTAATATTTGGTTCTAATTTATTTTGTGCCCGTATAATGAGAGTATTTCTAGTGAAATATACACAAGTCAAAATTTAAGTACATACTTAAATGGAAAATAAAATACTGGCAAGAATTAAGGACAAGCCAACTCATTGAATTTTTTACAATAATTCAAATGATTTGGGACACCCTGTAGCAAATTAAAATAATAGAAGAACAGTGTTTTTGATTTAAAATGTAATAATTATCATTATACCTAATTATTTTTTGTAATTATCAACATTTACACAACCATTCATTGAGAATTTTGATTGAGAATCGTCGAAGTTTTCTATATTTTTTTAATAATTCGGTGCAAAAATACTCTCTATAAATTTAAATACTATTCGCGAATCCTTCGAATATCTGCAGATATGTCTACTCAATATGTATATTAATCAATTCCTAAACGAAAAAAATAAATAATACATTCAATATCTCTTGAGCTTAATAATGAATTAGCGAATAATCACGATGGTCGCCATAGGATAGACCCTCGTAATTATTTACAAATAAACACAACGAAATAACTAGAAAACGAGACTAGAGATCTCCGGTCTCGATGGCCTTATTCAAACCGTTCACCACCCTGCCCAAGGTCTCCCTGTACGGCGAATTCCTCTCGAAGACGGCGTCCAAGAAACCCCCGTCGCCGAAGAACTCGAAGGCCCCCTCGATCTTCGACATGGACTTCTCGGTCAGATGACCCGCGACCACCTTCACCAGGCTCCTTTTGCTCTCCGAGAAGGCGTCCACCAGGAAGCGGCGATCGTAGCTGAAGTCCACCTCGTAGAAGGAGATGACGGCCATGCCGAGCGTGCGGAACTTCTGCTTGAACTTCTCCGCCTCCTGGAGCTCCTCCTCGGAGAAGACGTCGTTGCGGTGCAACAGGCCGATTTTTATCACGATCTTTATGATGTTTTTTATCAGTTTTTCCGCCTCCTTTTTGTTGCCGCTCTGTAAATTAAACACAAGTAATGCATCAATATACAGCACTACTTTTTTATGCTCTTCAATATTCTCGACGTAAACAATGTCCTTAGTTACTCCATAACAACAATGTAAATCTGTCAAATTAATTCTTTTAAAATGACAGGTTGTGTGAAGTTCTAAGGCAACTGACTAGATTTCGAAATATATTTGGTGGACTTCGACAAGATGGTTGTACAGGTTGTAAAGGATTCATAGAGGAAACAATAATGAAAAACTTACGTATTGCTTGGCCAATTTGTACAAATTATCCAAGAGCGAGGCCGTGGTGTCGTCGATGAAAGCTTTGACGACGTGTTTTCCGGCCATGCGAGACAGGATTTTCTTTTGCGTACGCAAACCGATGTCTCTCGCTCTGAAGGCGCTCTCCGTCATGACTGAAAATTTGCGGAAAAAAATTAGTTTTCCTTTCAATTAAATCGGTGAAAATTGAATTCGAATTGCCGCTAACTTCGCTTTACTAGTAAGAATTGTGGTTGCGCGGCCGTTTTGTTTTATTAACTGTTTTCGTCAAGATAAGATAAGACATTCAAATTTACATAGATAAATTACAATATTTTACTATGAGCAACTAATACTTTTATTATTAAGACGCGTTTACTTTAAATTTCTCAACGATCGAGTTACCGGGAAATCGCAAAAACGCAAACCGATGATAAGATAGTCATAATCTAGTTGGCGAGTTTTGTATTTACTCCCAACGAAATTATACGGGGAAAATTAAAATAACGAAACAAAATAAATAAAAAATAACTTACTTGTAAAAACCCAAGGGGGGTGCTTAATAAAAATCAGTCGGGCAAATAAAACGTTCCTATAAAAAAATCAAAAGAAAAAAAGCATAAAAATGTGAAAAATAAAATGAATTATTTGCGATTTTTTTGTGGGTTTATTTCGGGGGTTCTTACACAGGCAATCGCCGCATTCGGTCGCAACATATTGGTAAATCAGCCAACTTTCCAGCTCTAACATGGCCGACATGATCCCAGCAGGTTAATTAAAATTTATCCGGGCAGTGAATTGGATTGTTTTTTAGACCATCTATAACAAAAAAATACAAAAATGAGAAATTAATAATTATATTATTTGTATATAATGTAACGAAATCGTCAAAAACATACTGTATATTAATTTTCTTCCGTTCTACTATCAAAAATAAAATACTATCATTGTATGTTTTTCCTTTATCACATTTCTACTATCACATTTCTGAAAAAGTACACTGAATAATAACAATTTTGTCGTCTATTTTCAATTTATACTGTCTATTTACTGACTTAATTGCAGGATATTTAAAATAATCTGAAATGTTATTAACATCAATCGAATGACTCGAATGAATTTTGTTATTAATGTTTTTTTAAATACAGAATGAATCAGACACGAGGAAATAAATTTTCCAATTGATTTTCGTTCGATTTTTATGGAATATTTACGTGAGTAACGATCAATAAATAATGAATAACAAAAGAACGATTATTGAAAAATAACGAAAAAATTGAGTTGGCCTCGTTTCCGACGAATACACTCCAGGTAATAATTAACGTAATTAATTCGACATTCTTAAACGAAATTCCATTGATTTGTACCAGACTTAAAAATGACTGTTGTATTATTAAAATAAATATTTTCCTAACTCTTAATAGGTCATTTACTTTATAATTAATCTAACATGAAAACGACGACAATAAGCTTAAATTAAAATTTTAAGAGGGAAAAACCTTACCAAAAAATACATAAAAATTGATTTTAGGAAATTAACTAGCACGACCGTATCGACGTACGTTGTTATGGTAACTAAAATAACTGACGTTACTGTCATTAGTCATCTATCATTGAAAAGAAGAAGTAAAGTAGTTGAATAGCCTAAATATCAGAGTCCTCCAATTGTTCTAATGAAGAAAAAGAAGAAGACAAGTGATCGTATATCCGAAGTAACCCAGGCCAGTTACAAACGAAGAAGAAGATTATGCCTCTACCTATGCGTTATTTCGTACACCCAAATTCTTAACCTTAAAACTATAATATTTATTGAGTTGTTGGCATACGGAATTACTTTAAATATCGCATTATGTTTGTTTATTTAGTTATTTTATTGATAAGTAGTAATTCTATTCAAGCGTGGGACAGTGAGCAATTAGAAGTATTCGATGCCGTAGACGAAGTGAAGCAAAACTTTTACGAATTATTGAACATAACAAAAGTAAGTACTCGACTAATTACATTCCTAATTGTTGTTAATTTGTAACGTTTTTCATCAGGATGCTTCGAATTCGGAAATCAAATCGGCCTTCCGAACGTTATCGCTCAAATTACATCCGGACAAAAATAAAGATGTCGACACCTCGGATCAGTTCCGTAACTTGGTGACCGTTTACGAAATCCTCAGAAGTTCCGCCAAAAGGAAATATTACGATGAAGTGCTCGTCACCGGCCTGCCGAACTGGAAGTCCGGATTGTTCTATTACAGATTCGTACGCAAAATGGCCGTTACGGAAGTATTACTGATATTGTTCGTTATAGTGACTATCGGACAATATCTAGTTAACTGGGGAATTTACTTCGAAAGGGTATTAACGTTGGTAATACGATTTGTTTATTCATCGAGTACGATTCTATTTTTAGCAATGTTTTAGAACGACATGAAAACGAGGAAGAAAAAATCCAAGAAAAACAAATCGGACGATGATATGGATTTCGTTATACCGAAACCGTCTATGTGGAATACTCTTCCCGTACAAATTCCACGGTTCATCATCTACATAATAGTTTCTATACCAAGTTTAGTGGGCTTTCTGAAATCGGCCGTTAAAGAGAAAATCGAAGAAATCAACAGACCTCCGACTCCGGAACCCGAACCGGAACCCGTACGAGTAAAAACCGCCCGAAAAAGGAACAAATTCGTGGTTCCGGAGGGGCCCAATTTCGACGTGCAATACGTAGGCCCCGCCGGCGAATCGGCCCCTTCAAGCACGTCCCCGCCAATATCGGGAGGACTGTGGACCGACGACGATCTAGCCGAGTTGATCCGATTAGTGAAGAAATTCCCGCCCGGGATGACCGGCAGGTGGGAGAAAATCGCCGAATGTCTCAACAGATCGGTCCCCGAAGTCACTTTCATGGCCAACAGGATGAAAGAGAACGCCTATCGGTTGCCCACGGAACAGGAAGAGGAAGAACCGCAGGTGAAAGTCAAGCAGAAAACCAAGAAGGAAATGGACGGAGCCATGAGCGAGGGGGTGCTGAAGTGGAGCCAACAGCAACAGAAGCATTTGGAGGAGGCGCTCGCTAAGTACCCCAAGGGGGCCGCGGATCGGTGGGATAGGATATCGGAATTGGTACCGGGCAAGACTAAGGAGGAATGCATGTTGAGGTTCAGGTATCTGGCCGAGGACCTGAAGAAGAGGAAAGAACAGTGCGAAAAGAGCGAAGATATTGAGGAGTCGACTAATTAATTGTAGAAAATAAAATGGTTACTTAAAATCACGGTCGTATAAACCTTAAAATTGTCAATTATTTCGTTACTAACTCATAGAGAAATATTCTATTCTCTATGTACTAACTTCTCTACAATAATGAAGTATCGCTAGATACTAGATATCATTTTAGTTGAGCAGGGTATTAATCTATCTGTATAATTATTAAGTTGGAGTAAATCTTCTTTTTCTTATGATGATTAATATTTACTACTGGCTATTCGGTCAAATATAAAGATTGAGCTAACCTTTTCATATTGACACCTTGGTTTTCGTAGCGCCCTCGAGCGGTGGAAATGTTAATTAAATTTAGAGTTTTGAACATGGCGAAAATGGACGTGTGGGCAGCTTTAATGTCAACTAACAATTAAACAAAGTCTCTAGCAATAATTACTTATTATCGCGATATTGTATAATAATTTCAATACCATGCGTTTTTGACGTGTCAGTTTTAAAGTGCCCGATAAGTTCTTCCTTTTATTTAAACGTAGATAATAAAAAATGTAGCAGGCCATATTTACTCTTATCTGGGAGTTTAAATTGAAGATTGTTCTTCTGAAATACGATTCCATGAGTAAGTTGATACGACTCTCGCTGTAATCTCGTTTGTATAGCGAATTGTTCTATTCCAGTTTTGCTACACACGATAATTTTATATGTAACATGCGAATAAAACGCACATTAACAATAGGATTTATATTCACAATATGGACGTCTGTGCTGTTTATAACTTACCTGTACCATCCAGGCCAGTCGAACGATGATTCCGGCAAATTAAACAATAAAATGGTGATATTGGAACAAGGCATATCGGAGGAGTTTGCGAAGAACGATGTCATGATCAAAGATGCTCAAAAACTATTAGAAACCAAAAAGATTACTAAGGACATGCTAATGCGGGAAGACATACGAAACGTTAAAATACCTATACTCGTGTTCGCTTGCAATAGAGTGACTGTTACTAGATGTTTAGACAGTCTCATTAGATTCAGACCGGATCCCGATCGGTTTCCCATAATCGTCAGTCAGGCAAGCCGGCCTTCGCCTAGTTCAAACAAACGGTTCATTTTACATTTACATTTTTGTAGGACTGCAATCACGACGAGACGAAGCAGGCCATAGAAAACTATGGATCGCAGGTTTCACTGATCCAACAGCCCGATCAATCCGACATACAAGTACCCCCGAAGGAGAAGAAGTTCCGGGGCTACTTCAAAATATCGAGACACTACGGCTGGGCTTTGAACCAGATGTTTTTCAATTTTAACTTTAGCACAGTCATCATAGTAGAAGGTAATTTTTTCAATGCTATTCCGTTACTCCAAATACCTCAAGAAATGCACGAAATAATCAAGTTACCGTACATTACCGATTGAATATAAATGAACGATTAATGTTGGTAATTTTCGTAGACGATTTGGAAGTGGCGCCGGATTTTTTCGAGTACTTCCTGGGGGCCTATCCGGTGCTTCTGGCCGACGAGACACTGTGGTGCGTCTCGGCGTGGAACGACAACGGTAAAGAGGACCTGGTCAATATGCAGAGGCCGGATTTGCTCTATCGGACAGACTTCTTCCCCGGGCTGGGCTGGATGTTGACCAAAAATGTTTGGTCGGAGCTGTACACGAAATGGCCGAGGGCGTATGTTTTATACAGTAAGAGGCCGCTCTCATATACTAATGTTGCATATTGTACAGGTACTGGGATGACTGGATCCGAGATCCTTCGCAGAGAAAAGGGAGGTCCTGCATTAGGCCCGAAATATCCAGGACGAGGACTTTCGGAAAAACGGGAGTATCTAAGTAAGCTTAAATTTCCATTTTATCTAAATTCGCGGTAAATTCCTCTTTGTTGCAGCGGCATGTTTTTCGAGAAACATTTGAAATACATAAAATTAAACGAAGAACCCGTGCCTTTTACCAAAATGGATCTCAGTTATTTGTTGAAAGTACGTTTCTCGTCGATTAACTTACAAATAAGATTGATTGTATTAAAATTTTTACAGGACAATTACGACAATGAATTCGTGAAGAAAGTTTACCAAAGCCCCGTGATCAATTACGAAGATTTGAAAGCTGATAAAGTAGATTACGAGGATCCATATAGAATCGTTTATAGAAGTAGGGAGGAATACAAAAGGATAACAAAAAAATTAGGACTAATGGACGATTTTAAAGTAAGCAGTTTTGTACAGAGTACGTTAGATATAATTATTGAAATGTTATCGTTACAGAGTGGTGTACCTAGGACAGCTTACAAAGGTATTGTAACGTTCCATTACAAAGGAAGAATGGTACATTTGGCCCCGAATGTCAATTGGAAAGGTTACGATGTCACGTGGAGTTAATTTCTTTTCTTTTGATAGTATTTATTTTTCTAATCGATTCCAATACGTATATATGAAATATGTACATAAGTTATTTTAACTCTTTGTGATATTTTACTTTATCGAATTCCCTTTGTTCGGGACGTTGTTAAACAATGGTACATGGCTTCTCATTGATGTGTATATAATAATGACAAATTAAATTCATTATGGTTGTGAATTTGTTATTCAATTTCAATAATCTCCCTTTTCTTTTGTTTCAAATAATACTTAATTGTTAAAAGTTTATTTTACTGATAATAATATTGTATTGATCAAAATATTAATTTTATTAAAATAGTACAGATACATTTACAAATTTATATAATGCATTTTATCACATTTTGAATCTTTCGATAAGGCACTTGGTAACAAACATATATATTCTTTTAATAAATTAACGAAACTAAAAAAAATACACCTCAAATATGTAATCTCAACTATCATTGTCCTATTGGATAAATTTCTACTGAGTATAAACAAATAAACCAAAGATAAAATATACACCTAAATCCCTCATTGTACTACGAATGACAAACATTTTCAATTAACAATAAATGCTCAAAACCGTACTAGAAAGTACGCTAGACTAAAACCATGTATAATATATTAAATTTATCAATATTAGTTAATTATCAATTCTACGTTATCCCATTCGATTGACTATCACCCGAAAAAAACGGTAGACCAGACCTTTGTACTTGCGACCAAATATCATGAAACTGCAACAAAGTATTTCTTTCATTAACATCAAACTTACACGAAACAACAACTCACCTCCGAATGAAAATTAATCCGTAAACTCATCAAATTCCTGATGATGTTCGAGAGCGTCTCCAAATAAGCGTACACCAATCGCGTCTCCATGTGCACGCAATACAAACTGAAATCCGCCCGCAGCTCCATGTTCGTTATGAAATTCTCCTGCGCCAGCATCTTCGATTCCAACCGCTCCACCCGTTCGGCCTGCAAACACCCCCTCATCAATACAACAAAGAGACGATTAAAGTCGAAATTAACCTACATCGGTCCCCCTAATGACGCCCTGGATCTTCCTCTTCTTCATGTTCAACAATTTAGAGAGCGCCGCGGCGTGATCGTGATGCAGGCCCCTGTCCAAGCGCTCGCAGAGCTCCTTGTGGGCCACCAGCACGTCCAGCAGCAGGCCCAGCCGTTCGCACACCTCGCTCTGTTCGGCGTAGGCGTGATGGTTCGATCTGTTCGACATCGAATCCATGTCTCTGGCTATCACGCGGAAGCCCTTTTGCATGGCGTTCCAATTCAGCAGATTGTTCTGCGCCTGTTCCACGTCGAGCGTGCTCAGGGTTTTCAGTTGTTCGGTGAAGTCTTCCAAGTCCCTGCCGGCCGTTATGTGGCGCTCCAAGTTCCTGTCGATTAGATGCTTCAATTTACCGATCACGTTCACCAGCGTACGGATGTTTTGTGAATTCACCGCCATTCGTCCGTATTCAGGAGGCAACAGGTCCTAGAGAATCGATTCGATTATACAAAGCATGTGTGCTATTTTATATACATTACTTTAGCGTTAGATGCTACATCGGACGTCATGAATTCGTCCGGTATTCGAGCGAATATCTCCCGGATTCTGTGCTGGCAATCCGGGCCTTGATCCGTCAGGAAGAAAGCCACTATGGCGTCATCGCCGACGACGGGATGTCGGCTGATCAAAGTCAACCATCTTTGCAACGCCAGGCGTCTTTGTTCCAGGAAATGGGCGTCGGAAACGATCTTCTTGGGCGGCAGGGACGGTATCAATCTGGAAACCGTTTTGATTGGCAATCAAACCTTCAATCGAAGCGAAGAAATTACGCACCTGTAGGGAAACCTGTTGAGCAGTAATTCCTTCAAAGCGACGAAATCGTTGTATCTTCTGGATACTTTGCCGTTGTGTCGTTGAGACGTGACAACGTATTCCGAGTATTTTAATATCAAACCTTTCTTTTCAGGTACTAAATGAACGATTATGGAGTCCCGTTTGTTAATCGATGCGTAATCCAAATCTGTGGATGTGGCTTTCTTCGCCAGCTGGGCTCTTACTGTTTTTACTTGTGCTAAATCAGTTATTTCCGGTACAGGATACTCTAAAAAAATCATATTTTATATCTACAAAACTATTACACAGGGTGTAATATACTAGGTTACCTTTTTCTGCGCAATTATCAAACAGTTTATCGGTAATTTGTTTGCCCTGTTGAGACCAAGCGGCTAGAGCTAGGGTTTTATAGAAATTCGTTCGATTGACGTCTCCTTCGGAAACGCCAGCCACGTTATGTATCTTTTCTATTTGAGCAGGCGACAGCTTGAATTGGGAAAGAAGCGTTTCGAACACTTCCCGGAGAACGGTCTGGCCATCGATCGAACAGGCATCGTAGGCTTGCCTGTAGAACGTCGGTATGGAAGCTACGGATTCGATACAATGCAAGTAGGTATCGACGTAATTAGTTCATATTTACCGGAGCTAAGATCTGTTGTCATTGTTGCGTAATATCCACAACATATTAGCCAATTTCAAGTCCCATTCATCGTCGATTTCTAATTCGTCTCGACGTTGTATTTCAACGGGCTGGCAGCTGGAAAGCACTGATGGGTAGGCGTAGTGATATACGAGTATTACGATAAAACGAATGCGAAACCGGATATGTTAATTATCTATTCGAACGATGCATATGTTACAAAATATAATAACATGAACGTTGAATGTCACAACATAACCTACATTACATTCGTGTGCTCTTCTTCTTTTTTATCAGGTGGATCTTTAACTATTTCGGTTGTTCACGGTTTTGACACGTCAAGGTATCTATAAACCGGAAGGTTAGATCTTCCAATAATGACTCGGCCTTTACGTAATATGTAACCTTGTGTCAAATTGACACTAATGACAGTTGACGTTTAGTAATTTGAATGTTAGATTTTAGACCTTAGATTAGAATATTTTTGGAATTAGTTATTTGTTCATTAACGTAAATAATTATCTCGCATTTACCGTTATCGACGTTACACGTAAGTTTTTGTAACGCAACGAACATGAAAATTTTGCGAAAAATTCCCTTTTCCAACTATTTTGGCAAGCGCAATATCAGCGCGAAGGCCTTCATTTTCCGCAACCAATTCGAGGGGTTCCCTAAAGAAAGCGACTTTCAACTAACCAACGAGCAATTACCCTCCCTAAAAGAAGGAGGTACGTAACGAAATTGTACACTTTATATTACAATAATTAAGTTTCCAACAACCGTAGAATTTCTGGCCGAAGCGGAATATCTGAGCGTCGATCCCTACATGAGAGCCTACGCCCCGAGAGTGAAGACAGGCAAGACGTTCATGGGCTCCCAAGTGGCCAAGTACGTGTACGAAGCGTCCCGCAGAGCCCTCGTACACCCGATAACCCTTTAGACATACTAAAATCTATTACTGCTTTTAGGATACTAGAGAGCAAGAACCCCAAATTCCCCGCCGGGCGGCACATAGTAGGCGAGTTCGGCTGGCGAACGCACACCGTCTCCAACGGCAAGCCCCTCTCTACGGGCGTCCCTACGGCCTGGCTCATACCCGACATCGGAGACCTACCGAAATCCCTAGCGCTCGGAGTGCTAGGAATGCCCGGCAACACGGCCCTCTTCGGATTCCTGGAGATTTGCCTGCCCCAGCCGGGCGAGACGGTACTTGTGACGGGAGCGGCCGGAGCCGTGGGGAGCTTGGTCGGACAAATAGCCAAAATTAAAGGGTGCAAGGCCATCGGAGTGGCCGGTTCGGATGAAAAGGGAAAGTGGCTAGTGAACGAGTTGGGTTTTGACCACTTCATCAACTACAAATCGGACGATTTGAGGAAGAAGATCAAAGAGTACGCCCCGCACGGTATAGATTGTTACTTCGATAACGTAAGTTTGGTAATTAGCGAGTTTTAATGAGTTATTTGTAATGTATATTTTAAAGGTAGGAGGTGAAATAAGTTCGACTATAATGCTGTATATGAATACGTTTGGTCGGATATCCGTGTGCGGGGCCATTTCCGGTTATAACGAAACCAAACCGCCTAAAGGTAAGTATTGTAAATGATCGGTACCTGTGACTTTTACATGTGTGATTTTCAGCTACTCTCGTTCAGTATCCCTTGACGTTTAATCAATTGAGAATGGAAGGTTTCATAGTGCACAGGTGGTTGGATAGATGGTTTGAGGGGATCGAACAGAACAAGAAATGGATAGAGGAAGGGAAATTGAAATACAGGGAAAGCGTAACAGAGGGTTTCGAGAACACTTTCACCGCTTTTGTCGATATGCTAAGAGGCGGAAACGTTGGCAAAGCCATAGTGAAAATTTGAATACATTTTTCTACGATAAACATGATTAACGTTGGCTTACTTGTCGCTTTGCAATAGACCTTTTCCTATTAATCTCCTCGTAGCGAAGTAGAACATTCCGTTTTCGACCAAATCCCCGTTCCAATCCTGCCTTCTGGGTCTCCTCGAAGCTTCGAAATTCACCGGTACCAATTTATAATCGAGTTCCCTCCACCGCAGTTTGTGCGATCTTAAATCGTCTAATCTATTTATCGAGAGTACTAAAGATATTTTAACTTACCTCGTTACTGAAAATACGCATTCATAGCCGCTTCTCATAGAATCTACAGCGAATTGGACGTATTCAGAGCTTATAAAAGGCGACGTGCATTGCAATAGACCCAGTATTTCGACTTCCTGGTGATTCTCCAGGAACTCCTCGATCCCTTCAAGCGAGCTTGCTGTGTCTGTAGCCGATTCGGGCGATCTCCAATGAACGTTGATTTTATCTAAACAAGGTGTCGAAGTGTTCGTTTTATATTATGTGGCTGTATAATACATGAGTGGAGTTCCAGCCTACCTCTAGGTGAACCTTTTTGCGCTTCCCGAGCGATTTTCCAATGATCGGTCGATACCCAAATCGAATCCACTCCTTTCACAGTCCTAATCTCGCGTATTGTATTCCGCACTAATGGTATACCGCCTATTTCGGCTACGTTTTTCAATGGTATTCCTTTCGAGCCTCCCCTAGCAAGAATCAACAGCGCCAAATGGGCCCTCCCGAAGGGGTTCCTGCAACGCTAAATTTCTATTCCTGCCCTATTCGAACGTATCGAACTTACCATTCGTAATGTTGGCAACAAAAAACACTAGTCGAGCTTAAAACTATGTATAAAAGGTATTTATGAGTGTTCATAGTGCGGTATCGAAGCGAGACTGGCACGTTCGGGTCTAATAGAACATCCTTATTAACGCGACAGAATTTAATGCGTTTGTTATGTATATTTTCTAGTGATCCCCTCGTATGTAGCGTATAGAAGATTCGAATCATCCCTCGTATTTAATAATTGTTTCCATAGCGACCGTTTATAAACGAGCGATCATTTCATCTTCATTTCAGCCACTTTATTTACATTATACACAATTATATCCTATTGGAAATGGAATGGATGAGCAAGAACGTGCCCAAAGGCGGGATGTTGCAAACGCCCAAAAACTCGTTCGATCCGGATAGAGCGAAATACCTAAAACGTACAACAGCCACATCGGTGCCTTTTTATTTTTTTCTAGTAACTTTCTGTACTGTTGCCTAGTGTTGATCGAAGAGAGCAAAATGGCATCGATGATGCGCAAGAAGGAGAACTACAACCTGCGCAGCGACGAGGAGGCCCCGGAGAGCGTTCGGGAGCCGAAGTATCCGGTGACCATCAGGCCGGGCAGCTCGAAGAAACGTTCGATGCAAACCATCGTGGAGTCCGGCGTGTACGAAAGGGAGCGATTCAAGCCGGCCCGGCCGGCCGTCGACAGGGAAAAGGAAAAGGAGAAGCTCCAGAACAAGATGGCCTACAATTCGGAGATTAAATTCGAACGGAAGAGGGCCATCGAGAAGAGAGTTCGAAGGGAAACGGCCAAGGAGCCCAACAGATTCGATCAGCGTAAGAAGAAATTTTCCTACCCTATGCACGAGTGTTTTTGCTGATTTTTTTTTATTAATTTTTAGTTGTGGAAGAGATAAAAGAGAGGGAGAATTGGTTAAAAGACATGGAACGATTGGGCGAAGCCGATAAATATCGACAAGTGATTGAGAATCAAATACAAGAGAAAATTCGCTTGTTGAACAGAATGAAATCTTGCGATGATGTTATAATCGATTAGGGTATTCGTCCGAATTGCTACATAAGTTGTTTCGATTGTATATTTATATCAAACACAACGAAAAGAACACTGGTATTTAAATCGTATACAACACTTTAATCCGAATATACAAACTTAACAAAAAAACGTACATCAAACGATTTAGATTTTGTTAAAGGCAGCTATATCGACCGATTGAACGAAATCCTCGAACTCTTGAATCTTCTCCACCAATTCGTCTACAGACACTTTGGCGTCTTCGACCACGCACATGATCTGCAACTTGTTGATTCCATACCCGACGGGCATCAGCTTGGAGGCGCCCCACACGAGCCCCTCCATTTGCACGGACCTCGCCGCCTTCTCCAGCTCCTTCATGTCGGTCTCGTCGTCCCAGGGCTTCACGTCCAAGACGATGCTCGACTTGGCTATCAGCTCGGGCTTCTTGGATTTCTTGTCGGCGTACGCTTTGAGGCGCTCCTCTCTGACCTTGGCGGCCTCTTCGGTCTCTTCGTCGGAGGCGAATAAATCGACGTCGTCATCGTCGTCGGCCGCGGTGGTGGTGGCGCCGGCTTTGAGCGGGCTCGCTCCGGCGAGGCCTAGGGCTTTGAGTTCGTCGCCGGTGAAGGATTTGACGTGGTTGTACCAGCGCAGGGCGTGAGGCAGATTGGCCGCCGGCGGTTTGGTTAGCTTGCCCAAGGCGTCGATGTCGGCTTGGCTCAGGGCGAAGCTGCGGAAATTGGAGCGGACATAGACGTGTAAAGTTGGGTTATGTTGGAGAGATTGGTTTGGTTTTGATTAAACTTACCCGCTCACGTAGCTTTTGTCCTCGATGAAAGCGTTGAGTTCTTTCACGCCCTTTTCGGTGCTCAAATCTCCGAATGCCATCTTGATTAGGTTTTTATTTGGTGAAAATCGAGGAAAAATTCGGTAACGGCAAAATTAAAAAATAACAGCCAACAATGTGAAGTTAGCTCCGTTTCTGTCTATAATGAATGTCAAATTTGTGGCCTTTTACTTTGATGTGATGAGACTATTCTTCTTTAATCATCATTATAATAATTTCGACGTATCAAATCAAAAAGATTTGCTTCAGGAAGAATTTCTTTTGTCAGAGAGCAGTCAATAAGTTTATTCTTACGTAATATACATATAATTTTTTATCGTTTCTTTTATTCACGTTGAAATCGGAAGTTTTCTAATGTTTCGTCGAAGCATCGACGGCGATTTTGCTCTTTTCCTCTGCGTAATCGTCTTGAATTATTTGCAACGCTACAACAGAACGATTATAGAATTATAAAGTGTGATCAAAGTGGATTTTAGATGCGAAAATTGTAATATTTGACCACCCTGTATATTAATATAGTTCATGCACACACACCTCTTTCCAAATCCATGGTGTCCATATCCTGATTTTTGATCAATTTGAGCCTATGCCTGAACTTCCCCGCCAATTTTTTCCTGCAATAATCCGCCTCGATTTCCTGCTTCGTCCTCGGCACTCTGATTTTAACGCAACAGCAAAATAGCACCACTGGAATTAACTGAGAATAGTTAAACTGCAATATCAGTATACAGGGTAAACCACAATTATTTCTAAATAGTTTTGATTCGCCCCTGTACAGAAATTAGTTCGGTCGTTTAGTACACTCACCGGCGATAGTGAAGGCGGAAAAACAGAAAAAAATGTAATGCCAAACGCGAAATCTCGAATCGAAGGCGGCCTGTTCGATCCAAATTTCATTTTCTTCGTTGGGATTCGCGTAGAACGTCGCCATTTTCTCACGTGTGAGCGTACAATAAGTAAATTACAGCCGCGCCCGGAAAATTAACACACCCTCGTTTCGATTTTCCTCTAATGAGAAACTCTTTTACAACAAGGTCTTTGGAAAACGTTACTGTACATATATAGGGTGTTGCTGTCGTCAGTGATTTGACCGCCCTGTATATGCGCTTGTACGGGATGTCGGTAGGAAATACGATTTAGTTCGATTTATCGTTTATTTTTTTTATTTATGCAAATTATGCGCTAGGTACAATACAAGAATGTGAATCGGTCGCTTTATTTTTTTTTCGAACCGATTTGAAAACACTTTGGAATTTTAGTACTCAGTACATACGATAAGAATCGACGTTTCTTATTCGCTCGCCTGCGTCCGATTGGTGGAAAATCGATGATTTATCGATTAATGAAACGCCTGCGAGCGAATAAGGAGAGCCAATTTTTCGAACGGGGCGAAACGAATTTTGAAAAAACAATATTTACAAATTGCATTATGGCAGTGTACTATTTTTTTTATATAAATCGATCGATCGATCCAATCGATACTTAATTTTCTTTGTATTTTTTTTATACAATAGAAAATACAGGCGAAAATACGGCCGTTCTACTTGAAGCGAGAGAGAATTTCCGTCGATGAAAATCAATGTAGTTGCGGATTTATTTGAAAATTTTGCCCTTTTATAGAGATTTCCAATCCAATAAGTAGACCAGGATCTTTTACTATATATATCACAAGTGTACCTCTAATAGTTTTCTAAATTGTTATACATACAGGACGGACAAGTATAAGTTTCATTCAATAATCCATTAATCGATAATTAACGCGAAACAAAATCGATTAAAAAGGGCCGTATTTTCGCCGACAACAAAACATTTTAGTAATTCGATAACGATGGACTAAAATTCACTTTTTTTTTCGGAAAAGTACCCGTACGAAAATATTTCGTCGAAAAAATAACCGAAATTTTTCGTTGTGCATTCGAATAGCGATAGAAAACATATCGAAACGAAATCGCTTATTTTATACTCACAACCATCTTTAATATTGATAAATACCATACGGGGTGTTCGAGAAGAAACTGCCCTTTATGATATTAGTTTAAAACAAGAACAGAATTAATTCACGTTAATCTAGCAATATTGTCACGTATCAAATCACAAACAAATGAGTTTTAAATAAAACTTGTATTATTAGTGACTACATCACCAAAGTGTCGTGAACATATCGCGTAAATACACCTAATTATATGTCTATTTTATTGCTATAAGATGAGATATGTTTGAATTAAAACAATACAGCTTATTTTTATACGGGTACCTTTCTTAGTCGTAATAGTTAATGAACCTTTTTTTCTTTAATTATTTAATTATTTATTTATATATCCTATGACGGCGTAATATGTACCTATTTACAACAATGCATATTTTACCCTTACTTAACTACAGCCAAAAATCAAAACAACATTACTCAATTTCGTAACAATTAACTTACTCTTACGCAAAAACTTTTTTTGGTATTTTTGATGAAAAGAAATCGTTCTACTTGAATATTTCTAGCCCGTCCGGATCGAATCAAATCTAGAAAGTCGCGGTTTCGATAACTTTTGTACATTTATCTCAAGTGAAATTAAATACGAAAAGAAAACAAACGGAATTGGACGCTTTCTAGATATGTTTACAAATATTGCTATTCATAGAAATGATAATTACACGATTAAACAAACACGAAATTGGACAAATTGTAAAAAACCCGATTTATTAACGACTCTCAATTCTACCTATATCACACCCTAATCATATTTTGTATTGGTTTTTACCTATTAAATAAATGCACAGCACCTAAAACCGTAAAATGGCGTTTTGATACCCTCTAAAAAAACACCGAAATTAATAAAATAGAAAAAAGAAACTCAAAGCAACATCAAAACACCATTTCACGCATTCAATCCCACTTATCTATAATATAAAAAAAACGAAAACAATATATTACAATGTACAACTATGTACATATTGTCGTAAAGTTTTATTTTCTCAAGTCTCTATTACGCATCATACATACAGGTTGGCCCGGGACAATCTCAAACAAGCTCATCGCAAGCCATCCCATACCACCACCGCATCATCATCAACATCATCTCAATTATTATAGTTACACGTTATCTATCCCCCTTTCACTGAGACGCACAAGATCAACCAATATTCCGGAATGATTTCGAGGCGAACGCGCTTGGCCGTTTACCCGACAAACTCGAGACATTCAATGCTTGGACAAGGAATGCCCCGAGTGCTTTCCCTAACTGCTCGTACTGGCCATGGGGCTGACGGGCGACAGGGGCGTGCACGCGTTGTCCCGCAGGCATCCGTTGAGGGTGACCATCAGCTTGCGGGAGCCGGCGTGGTCTCGGTGCTCGCACAGCCATATGCCCTGCCACGTGCCCAGGTTCAGCTTGCCCTCCGTTATCGGTATGGTCAGATTGGAGCCCAGGAAACAGGCCTTCACGTGAGCCGGCTGCAAATTTCGTACACGAATTAATCACTTGGTCAAGTAGTATAACAATTATAGCAGTCTGAATATAGGCACTAACGTTTAACACTCTGAATGTAGACACAAATGTAATAATACATGCTTTTCGATACAGTTACGATGGATTTACTGTAGGAATATTGTAGAGTTGTGTACGATTAATAGAATAAATAAGGTAAATTGTAAATATTACCATGTCATCGGGTCCTTCGCAGGAATGTCTATAAGGTAATCCTTCGGGCACGATTTTATTCAGCATCATTTCCATGTCGTCCCGAACGTCGGGATCCCAACTTTCGTTTAAAGCTAAACTAGCGCTGGTATGTAAAACTGCAAAAAAAATTGAAATATGTAGGTTAAATAATGAAAAAAAATGACAGGACAAATGACGTAATTGACAGATATATATGTCAAATTTTTTTACATACTTTTCCATGTCCCGAAAATATTTGTTTAATAAAAATTAAATGTATGTTCTAATTATTTATAACTTTGCGACAAATTAACTCGACTTATTATAAGGAAACTGCAGATTAATTCGTTTAGGAAAAAACACTAGGTATAGCGAGCGAGCCCTTCACCTGCGGGTTATTCAGCGAATCACCTTGACCCGAAACGGAACACCCTGTATCGGAATCGTTAACAAATTTTAAGGGCAGAACGATTCCAACAAATAATAATGACGAAACGCACTCACTTTGAATATGACACAATCCTATAACGAAGGAATTCAATTCGGGCAATTGCCTGAGTATCTCCTCGGTGACCAGATGGACGCCGCGGTGCTGCGGCCTCAAATTCACCTTCCGCTGACACCACGCGGTGGGACTTTGGACGAATCTCGGCGCGGAGGCCATGTTTGACTTGCTGTCGCCGTCGCTCGCCAGCTCGACGGTCACTCGGGCCTTTTTGGGGCGCCCCTTCGCACTTCGAACACACGCACTCACACGCACCACACTCTATCGCCTTGCTTCACTGGCCGTGCGGGAACGGGACGAAAACGGTAGCGGAACGACCGAGCGCGGCACACCGGTGCATTATTATCATGAGCGAATCATCGCTGCGGTTGTGTTGTGTGTGTGCGCGTTTTTTTTATTTTTATTTTTCGTTCGCTCTTGACGGGGGAAATGAAGGTTACGGATGCGACGGGTTCGTTGCCGCAGTCGTCGAGTCGGACGGCTATTACTGGCTCCTGTCAGCTGTCATCGGTCGGGAGGCGGCGTTGCCGGTTCGAAGAGTGTGCAAGGAAAATGGGCGGTTCTGTGCGTTGATATAACCGATAAATCAGCGTAAATTAGAATTGTTGTACTCATTAAAAATACTATTGTTTTATTAATGCCACATTACAATAATATTAAGGTACATCTGAACTGGAAAAATTCGATTCGAAATTGCCGCATTGATACTCTACTAGTAATCTTCTGGAATTTTCGAAACATGCGGCAACGTTGACAGCTATTATGTCACTCGATGACAGTTACTCAGCAACAACCAATTAATTTCAATGTATTTATTTATAAAAATTAAATCCAAAACGCAAGAATATGAACTTAAAATCAATTTTTAAAAGAAAGTAAATAATTAAAATCAAATAATTTGATAGAAAAATATAGAGCTTCACGTCAAGTGTCAACTACCTAGCGACACCTACCATTTAAAGTACGAAGTATAAAATATGAGCTTCCTTTTCCTGTAATTCATTTATCGACGAACGTATAGATGGCGCTAGTGGTTTCAATAGAATCGATGACCTCGATTTTTTTAATATAAAGGTATCGCGTGTGTTCCTAGAAGCCAACTGGTTATTCTTAAACGTACTTTCAAATCGTTGATATTTATTTAATAAAGTCCTTTATTATCACGTCGTTTTCACCGGTACTAATTTGTTGAGGTTAACCAAAATTCGCGGGGTTGTAAGTGTTCGAGTACCTACCTAAAAAAAACGTAAACGGCCAGAATCTACGTAATAGTAACACTATAAAATTAATACGAAACGAAAATACTGTGTTAATAAAATAATAAAACTAAATAAATTGCACTTGTTGCTCGATAAAAAGAAATAAAAAAAGAGAATGTTCCCGAGCCGCCTTCTACGATAGAATCCGCAAAGACAGATAACATTCGAGCAAAGAATAAGCCATTGTGATCTAGAATGCACTGAATTTCGTATTATTGTACCGTTTGTTGTAGTTATTCAACGACAACCTTACCCACCCATCTAGAAAGTAGACTCGGCCGAACCTCAATTAAAACAGCCTACTACGCGTTCTAAAAAGGTTTCGTCGGTTTCGAGTACGTGCGTTTCGAAGTCGACGTGTTATTTTGAGAATTTCACCGTTTTTCTCGTCCGTTTTCTATTCCAAATGCCATCGAAAATATATGAAAAACGATAATCGTAATGCAGACATTCGATGAGTTTTATTTACCTGAAAGAATCGCGTTGGCTGGGACACGGGATTTGGATATAATTTACACGATCAAGTCGACTGTGTCGACGTGGTGGCTTTGGGGTCGGTTTAACGCTTAAAACGTGTCATTTTTATTGTAAATTCGACATAAATTTACTGTATTTTGTATTTAATCAATGAATATTACAGAAAATTGAGAAACAGTGTTTGATTTATTTATAAGGCATCTCAAACTTGATTGCCTTATAGTACATACGTGTAATACTGTAATAGTACAAAACTAATAAAATTAATCTAGTAGGCGAGCAAATGAGAATATTTGTACCCGTAAATAGGTAGAAGTTAATCCAGAAAACTTACGCGTACGATCTCATTTAATACCAAACAAATATCTACCGTTTTAGTAAGGTACCCATAAAATAAACGAAATTATCCAGTACAATAAATTACGAATCGAATGAATAAAAAAAAACCGAAAAAAAAGATCGATATTGTTTTGCAACGTGGCATCGACGAAACGAAAACAAACAATATATCGTAACAATTATAAAAATAGACCGATTTTTGTAAGCAGGCTAGTAGCGACCGAAAACTCCGACGCGCGATAGAGAGGGAACGACGAAGGAAAGCGAGAGCCGAACGCGGCCGATCGCACGTCGACTCATCCGTTCGGCCGTTTCCGTCTACACCGCTCCGCATGGTTGCCGGCTCCACCGTTTTTTCCCCACGCTACAATACCATTGTAATTTAATATTTGCTAATTTTGACGCATAAGATTATTGTAACGTAACGAATGTTTGTTTGAATTAAGTGTGTTGGTTGAATTTCAGGATGCAATCCAAATATCAACGATTTATTTCTTAAATAATAAAGAAATTAGTACAATAAATGCGTGAAAACTAGTAGGTGGTTAGTGAGGATATATCGTGAAAAAAACCTCAAAATTTAATGCAGGTGTAAACGCAGATGGTAAAATAATTCATTTTCGTTAGAATTTTTGGATAAAACATAATAAATTGGTTGGAATTCGAACCGTTCCTATAGTAAGCTAATCGCTTCGAGGAAATTCTCATAGAGCTCGAACCGGCAACGTCGACGCTCGAGCCAGGTCGGGACGCTAGGCGGTGCAGTTCGGTGTACACTCCGAACTGGAAGCGAACGGAGCAAGCGAAGCGCGAGCCCCAGTAGAGAGCAGCAGTGTGTGCGCGTTTTGTGCTAAAGGCGAAGCGAAAAAAATACACATATAACCGAGAGAAAAATGGCAGCGAACGATGGATTTCTGGACGCCTAACTGGGAATCGAAGTGCACGAGATTCGGATTAATCCAGTCGGTTTTGCGATTGGGATAAGTGCAGCCGTTTTGTGTTGTTTTTTTTGTTGTTCCGTGCGTGAATATATACGTGAAATCTAGTGAGTGTATCTCCGTGTGTGTGTGTGTGTGTCGTGCGTGCCAAAAAGGGAGTCCGACATGAAGTTGAAACGGCTGTGTTTTTTCGTGAAATAGTGTCCGTGGCGGCGACGAAAAACAACAATATCCTCAATGTGGTGTTTAGGGCAAAATGGTCAGAGAGACTAGACACTTGTGGGTAGGAAATTTACCCGAGAATATACGAGAAGAACGCATTCGAGAACACTTCAAACGGTAAATATCCAATCCTATTTTTACGTTACGTTTGTGCAGCATCGGCTATGGACAATTTTTTTTTAACATGGCGTCCGTTTGTTACAACATTTATACGCGCTTATTTGTCCGTTTTATTCGCGCGAATATTTTTCGTATATTCCATACTGGTATTTACCCGAAACGTAACGCCTACTGCGATAGCTCCGGTGTATTCACTTCAACCCACCCCCATGTATAACATTCATCGAATTCGCTCGATTATCCCGATATGAACGGATCTCTCGGACGACTTGGCAACAGTGTAATCGATAATGGGATAGGCCACTGGTCGTAGTTTTTTAGATGACGTAATGCACGCGGCTTTAACCCTAGGAAAATTAAAAAAAAAAGTATTCTCTCAATTTTTCGGGGTGGGATTCTCTCGAGACGTACGTACGTTTTTCCATTTCGATAGATCGGAGCGATGTAGAAAGAGATAGGAGGGAGAGAATTGATGACTGAAATTTTCGCGCGGCTGTTTTGTTGTTGTTTTGTTTCAATTTGACGGGGAATTTGATTTTTTTTTTCGATTGTTAAGTATGCCGGTGACGTTTCGCGTTTTATTCTAGTGTGCTGTGAATAGTAATGGCATGTTGTCATTACTGTAGCAAGTTGAAGTTTTTTCAACTTTTTAGTTTTTTATTTTAACTTTTTTTTTCATAATAGTTACCAGAATTTAGTTAAACATTAATTTATGCTTTCTTCATCTTTAATTTGCGATTATGTTCGAAATAATTACTTAACTCAGTTATTCCTTAAAATTTGGCAGTTATGACGTTTTACACATTTTGACACATTTATATAAAAATCATCAAGTTGGCTGCTAATGTCAAAAATTTTAATTTGACGTTTGTTCATATTCAAAATTAATTCATTTTTTAAATCTAGAGTGCTCCGTTTGGTAATATGATAATTATAATTAATCTTCCTCTCTCTTTTTCCCTTGTAGTTTATTTAGTGCGTATATTTCTTAAATAAAATGCACGTTTAAACTTGAAATTGCTTCAGCTCGAATTCCCTTTAAAACCCTCTCTACCTGGTTACAATGAAAACGAAATCTCTATAAAAAAAAACTATTACAACACGAAGGGTACCTGACTGAGTCGTAAATTTTAGGGGAGACCTTATATTCGTATTGTTTGATCCAGGTAGTTGACCCTTCCTCGCTTTCTAATAGACTTTTTTGTGATTCGAAAATTTTCCCCGACATATCGGCTTTAAAGTATACCTGGCAACGCTGTTTGTTTACTATTTATTTTCGAAAGAGTCGTCTAGTCGAGTTTAGACTAAATAATGAAAAAAAAAAAGTGAAATGAAAAACTGGCCAACTTGATTAAAAATAAATTGGAATAAACACGTATAAACAAATTGCTCTTCCGGTTTCGGTAAAATGGCGACATTTTATAACAAAATTACAGATTGGCCTAAGTTTGACAAGGATGATGAATGAATCCGTTAATATGTATTTCAAATTTTATTCATCTTACTGATATTCACGGTTAAAACTACTCTACAAACCTTAAATAATCTTCCTTTTGTTGTATTTTTATGAAATATCAAATTATAAATGACAGATTAATGAATCAATCAAACAGCAAGATTGACAGGTGGGTGATTGTTTATTTTAGCAATGACAGCTAATGAGAAGAATGAATCCGACAATATTTATCTCAAATTTTAAACATACATGATTAGATGCATCTAATCGATATTTTGGATTGATAATAATTTAGGAATGTTAAATAATCATTGGTTGATTATATTTTTTGTAAAGCATCAAATATTATACGAGAAATCAGTATGCCCTTGAGAAGCCCTATTTACCGAATTAGCTGTCGTGGAAACTCCACTTTTTTTTGTTATATCAATTCGAAGCCATACAAAAACCAATTCAGCGATATAAAGCCCATGGAAACGCATCGTTTATTCTACACAGTATTTATTTTACCAGTACAGAGCGATAAGTATTATCGCCTACTTGATACGCTCCTTTTGTCTTATTCGAATGTATAATAAAGAAAAAAAAATAAGAAAAAAATATTACGGAATGTAGTAAAATGAATGGCGTTGCGTGAACCTATTTTTACCTAGAATGGGCTAAGAGTGCCGTGAGAATTGGAATAAAACCAACAATAAAACCGAACATTACGCAATACCCCCGTAGTTTTCTCTTTATATTGTTATAAGCGTTTATAACATTTCAACAGCCCCTCTAAAACGCACAACTACATTTCGCGCGTCCCTCGTACATACGTAGATTTTACGATCTCTAATCCCAGTCATCGTAGTAAAGTAGGACTAGCTTGTTTTCGTGTGTACCGGGCGAGACAAAAAATACATTATTTTACTTGGTAGTTTTGTTGATTTGGGGAATTGTATTGACCGCGATTGTACCGGCCTGCAATAAAACAACGTTTCACCGTTTCTAGACGTGTTAACCTTTACACCGTTCTCGCTCGGGCGAGCACGATAAATGCGTCTCTTTCTCTCTCTCTGTATGTACACTGTGCATATGTTGTGTGTTACACAGGGTGACCCGCGAAAATATAATTCAGTAAAAGTTTGTTTTGTATGCAACACGTTTTGTAATAACACGGGGTTGCTAATTTCTGCAGGTGGATAAATTTAGAAATAATAATATACAATTATTTCGAGAGGTAGACAAAAAAGTAAATAAAATTGTTTTTTATAAGTATCTTGAAAAAAGTTATTCGCAATCATCTCGGAAATTAATCGAGATAGAAATATCCTGTTTGTCATATTTCGTAAAAAAAAATTCTCTGCAAGTTGTAAAGAATCGGAAATGGAAAATTTCCTAGATATTAAAAAAACACTATCACCCCTAATGTTTCATAAAACAAATAGAATAAATCTAGTAAGCTGTGACTGTTAATCGTTTACTTTTTGTTTCCACGGCCAACGCGGCTTTAAATTCCCATTTTCGAATAACCTCGATAAAAACTACGGATAGAATTTATCTCGTACACCCCGTATGCATGTTCGTACGTACAAAAGAATTTTATTTTTCGCGTTTCGTGATAGAACGTGATTATTTTCGTGTATTTAATAATAAAAAAAACGAACAATGAAATTCAGAATTTCGATTCGAGCGAAAATATATTTTATATGCCATATACAGGGCGACTAGGAAAATTCCCGCACGATTTTCGTGCATCGAATTATTATTACGTTATTCAAATATAATATTTTCTAAATATTACTCAAATCAGATACGTCATTCTTGTCAAAAAAGCCAATCAAACGGCATAAATGTCAAATAAAAAAGTCAAATCAAATGTCACGATTATAAAAAAACCAATGAGTCATAAATGTTAAAAAAACTAATCTAATGTCAAAATAGCTAATCAAACGTCAAATGTCAAAATAGATAATCAAACGTCAAATAAGTCATTGAAACTTGTTTGAAACATTAAAAAAAACGCGAAGAAAATCTCGTCTTCGGACATTTTTCGCATCGATTTTCCCGACCGAACCGACGGGAATGCGAGTTTTCCGGGACGCGGAAACTCCGGGAACTCCGACGTGTGCCAGTTTTACCCTTTCTCTTTCTGCTCCGTTCGCGCGCCTGCGCCTTCTTCGACCTACCGCCGGCGAATTTTCCGGGAAACTCCACGCTTACCTTCCCTTTTCGAACATATACAGGGTGCTCCCTAAAGCATTGACACTATTCTACCGGCCGTTATTGAATCAATTTCGTGACATTCTTCTAAACGATGAACATTTTTTTTCATGCACAATACACTTATTTTGATTATTATTCTCTATAATCTTCACAATAATATAGCATTTTTATCTTTAACTACTTGACATTTTATAACTGATTTTAAAGATATTCAATTAATTATTAGATAATAATTTTCTGAAAATCTATCGAGCATGTCGAAATCATATTAATTTCTCAACATGACCAGAGTTTTGTGATTTTTTTACTTTGACAATTGTCATTTGTCATTTCATCAATTATTAACTGCAACGCCAACGTGATTTTGTAAGGCAATGGCGAGCCGTCTTCACAGGCTACTTTCTAAAAACGACTGTTTGCATTATACATAGGTAGATATTTATTAAAGCGAGAAGAGAGAAAAATAAATACGCACATGTAAAAGTAATCCGTGTAATTTGATTTGTTTATTTTTTCTTCGTTTAACAAACGCGTCCTTCGACGAATAAAAAATATGTAATAGGCCATTTATAAGTTCATAATAATAATAATAATAATAATTTAGTTGTCGTTTGTACATTCATGTTTCGGAAAAAATCGGGAATTAATTCGAAAGGGAAATAACAGGAAACAGAAATAGAGAGGACAGAACAGAATAAACACGACTAGAGAATGATTAAAAAAACGGAAATAAAGAATCGGAGAATACGAAATCAGACGGGAGAGCTCCGTATAAATAAATTGCGACGTTGCCAGTTGTCGCGAAAAATCTTTACGTCAGGGAGATTAGGAAAAAAAATAAACGGATAGAACCAGAGACCAATACCTAAAACTAAAGAAATATAAAGAACGCGATTCATAGCAAAAATAAAGAAGCAGAGAAACGCGAATTGAAACGGCCAGCACGTAGTAAATAACTTGCGCTGTTGTCGGTTGTCGCGAAAAATCCATCATGTCGGAGAAATTAACTCGGCTAGAACAGAGCGAGATAGAACGGATAAAGTTAAAGAACGATAAAAAACCGCCGATTGAATCGTATTAAAAAAACATGCGCTGCTGCCGGTTGTCGCGAAAAATCCTCGACCTCGGAGAAATCGAATCGGCGAATACGAAACCCTTCGATTTAGCGCCCCGCTCGCGCCGCGACGGCCTTTCCCCCCCGGCGAGAGGGCGTCGCGCCGGAAGATCGATAAGCGGCGTTGCCGGGTCGGCGCTGCGCCCCGGCCGGGCGGCAGTCTTTCTGCGAACGGGAGGCCGGGAGGAGGCCCCCGGAAAAATAACATAAGAGGATAAAACG